GAGGGCAACGAGATATCGCTGTGTCTGCGGATGGAGCACTTGCTCGACGTCAAGTCTGCTTGGTGCAATGCCGCGGCCCGAGCCGAGCCGAAGAGACAGACAGAAGGCGCGGTCGACGTACCTACGACCACCGCCGACTCTAAACACCTTACACCTCCTCTCCACGAGCACCACCTCTCCTGTGCGCACACACCCGCGTATTCCTGACCCCCCGCATATTCGTCGACCTGGCCTGGCTTCCGCGCGTTTGCCGTTTCTGCGCTGCTGGTTCTCGCGCCACTTCTGCATCCCTCACTCCCGACTTGCACCTCCGCGGTCTCGAATCCATCCACACGCGTTCCATCACACATCATGTCGCGCTCGCTGCAGGATCAGTTCATCGACGATGACGAGGAAGAGACGTGTCCGCTGTGCGTGGAGGAGTTCGACCTCACTGACAAGGGCTTCCGACCATGTCCATGCGGCTACCAGGTGCGTGGCCCTTTGAGCAGCCCTCACTACCACCACTGTGGGCACTGCGTCCCAGGCCGACCTCCTGTCACTAACCGCGACACTAGATTTGCCAGTTCTGTTATCACAATGTTAAGACCAACATGAACGGCTTATGTCCCGCCTGCCGTCGACCCTACAATGACGCCGATATAGAGTACAAAGTCATCACACCGGAGGAGACGGCGGCCCACAAAGCGCGACAGGCCCAGAAACAGAAGAAAACCCAGCAAGCGCTGCAGAAGGAGAAGCAGAAAGCTGAAGCTGACAATCTCAGTCGCAAGCATCTGGCCGGAATGCGAGTCGTGCAAAAGAACTTGGTTTATGTGACCGGATTGAGCCCGACCTCGCAAGAAGACCAGCTACTTCAGACCCTGCGCGGCGACCAATACTTCGGACAGTATGGTAAAATCATCAAGATCGTCGTTAGTAAGGCGAAGGACCCTTCACATCCCCACTCCGTTGGCGTATACGTGACCTACGAGCGCAAAGAGGATGCTGCTTCATGTATTACTGCCGTCGACGGATCTAAGAATGGAGATCGAACTCTCAGAGCCCAGTTTGGTACTACTAAATACTGCTCGGCATATTTGAGAGGGGAAAACTGCACTAACAGGAATTGCATGTTCCTCCATGAACCTGGGGAGGCGAATGAAAGCTACTCGCGTGCCGATCTCTCTGCGCTCAACGCCGGCTCGTCTCAGCAAGGCTCCGGTCGACCACCGCCTCCGCAGTCCCAACAACCTGTTGCTTCTGCAGCTCCACCGATGGTGCAGCAAGGCAGTAGTGACCAACATCCATCCAGTCCTGCATTAGACCGACCAGCGCTACCGTCCACAGCCAGCTGGGCGTCGAAACTACCCCAATCGAGCCGCGCAGAGAGTCGAAGCACGAGTGGCACCCAGGAGAGCCCTGCTCCTGCGGCGTCAACTCCTGCCACCACGCATCCTGAAGTTGCGCAAGAACAAGACTCAACTTCGCCGCCGATAGAGGCTTCTGCCGATAGCAGCGTGCCAGCCCCAGACCTACCAATATCGCATCCGGAAATACGCCCTCGACCGCAAGTTTCTCCGATCGATACGTTATTCAAGAATTTCTCTCTGGACGATTTCAAGTTGGTCTGGTCCTCCACTTGTTTATCAGAAGCGGACCGCAATATGATCGTAAACTTCCCCCTGTTATTCGATGAGCACGGCGGGGCCAAGCGCCGTCTGCGTAGACAACGCGAAGAAGAGCGACAACGCATCGAACAAGAAACCCAAGGGTTCCAGCACGCCGCGGTAGAACAGGACGACAATCCCGAGATGAGCGGAAGTTTGCAGCTCGGTGGCGAACCGGAAGAGCGACACAGTAGCACTCAAATGCAAGGCGCCATTCATCCACCGGGACAGGATGCGAACACCGATCCCAGATACCAGTATGCCGGTGCAGCGACATCAAGCCCTGGGGCCAGTGATCGAGGACTCACTCCGCAGCAGCATCAGCAAATGCTCTTGCAGACACTCAAACCCAATGCCCCTGGGACTTTCATGAACAATCCAACCCAGCAAAGCACATATAATGCGCCATCATTTCCTCAACAATCGGCAAATAATTCACAACTCGGCCATCAACGCAACGTCTCTCGGTACTCCTTCGCCAACGAGGCTGCTCCAACTGCAACCTCAGTCAAAGCAGTCGCGAACCCCAAATTGATGAATCAGCAATCCGCAATGATGCCTCCGACCGGAGGCAATCACTTCGGCACGCAACATCAAACGCCTCATGGACAATTCTATACAAGCAATGTGCAAGGACCTCCTCCAGGACTTAAAACGACTGGCACACCTCCTGTCAGCGGCAATCTCACGTTCGGACAAGGACATGGCTTTGCTACAGGAGGTCTACAATATGGTGCTGGTTCTACTCGTAACCAGCAGGATAACTACTACAGGGATTTGCTGCGCGGCAACGAAGCAGCCTCCGGCCGTGGTGATCCTAAGCGTGAGTTACAATCCCTTCCCACATACAACACTGCCCAATCACATGCAGCGTTCATGGCGAGTCAACCCAATGCTTACCCTGCCCCACCCTATGCAAACCTTGGTGCTTTTGGCGATGGCGAAAAGCAACGAAAGAAGAAGGGAAAGAAGCACAGACACGCTAACACTTCCTCCTCTTCAGGAGGTGGTATGATCGATGTGTCAGATCCCGGAGCCAGCCATCTTCTTCAATCAAGAATGCATCAGGGTGCGAGCGGGTTCGGCGGAGGTACGTTTGCCGGTCAAGCCGTGGGCGCTGCAGGTGGGTTATACTCGGGCATGCATAGCGGCGGCGGCTACAGCGGGCGATGGTAGATGGTGTGCGGAGTGCTTTTCCCCTCGATTACGCTCTTTACGGCACAGACGCGGCTCCAGACGCGTCTTGACGAGATATTGTTTTCAGCGATGCGACTTTTTCGTCTTCTTGTAAGGTGTTCACGGGACTGGATCGATGGACTGGACTAGCGCCAAGTGTTGGACGCTGGCTAGTGGAATCGTCTATCGGCAGGCGTCGAGCTGCGCAGCGTTTCGATCTGGGAAGCTGCGGGAGACCGAGGGTCACGGCGTCATATTTTTCGGGCTGAAGCGGCGTTTTTATTGCCCATTTTGAGGCGCTCACCATGCCGCTTCTTGTACGTATCTCATGGACCTTCGTTAGTGGCTGATAGATTGACTGAAAGATAGTTTCATGGCTCATCACAGCTCTTTTCATCTTTCAAGACGTGCCATGATGAGAGACGTGTGATGTAGATAGCGATATAACCCGCCGCGCTCTAGTCTTGGTCATGTAGTCGTTCGTAGACCGCGCGCCCCATGCATGTCAAGAGGAGGATCTATCACTGCATTTCCAGTCGAATATCAGCTGACATTGCAATCACTACAGACGAGAACTTCCCGCCCCTACGGCCTCCTACAAGACAAGTATCGCTCGATGAATCCCGCCGGTCCACGCCCCCCATTCCTCCTGGGTTCGAAGGCCACATCCTGGAAAGCAGGCGATCCACGCCGTCAATACCTCCCGGTCTCGCGAAACCCACTGCACTACCTGACCTTGAGGGTTCAGTTTCACGTCCTACTTCACGTCCCTCGAGTAGAATGAGTGTGAGACGACAGACTTCCCAAATATTGCCCGCACTGCCACTGTGGCCCGCCACGCCTCATAGGATCTCCACGCCTTCGAAATTGGAGAACCACCAGGCTGTTGATGCAGCTTTAGTGCACGAAACGCCAACAAAGGTACCGAAAACTGCATCTGCATCTGATCTGAAAGTAGCCACGTCCACCGAGCCAGTTGCCGCGGACGAAGACCGTTCACGGGATGCTGCAAAGAGTGGTGAAGCTGCGCCTACCCAGGATCTGGACCAAGTTTTAGAGGACCCCAAAGCTGAAGTCAAGTCAGCCAGTCCTATCAAGGACGAGGCAGAAGAATCGAAGTTACAACGTCAGATCGCAGATCGAGGGGAAACCACGAGGCGCAAGCACCCTGGGAAGCTGGACATCAGTGCTGCTGTGAACAAAAATGATCCAACTACGACTTCTATGTCCTTGAATGCAGACGCTCCAAATGCGCAAAAATCACAGCCGATGCCATCGAGTGCTGGGGGAAGCACAACGATGGCGACCAAGCCAGCGGCAGCAGAAGGCCCAATGGCTTCTCCTGCAATCAGAACCGCCCCTCGTACGTTGCGCGTAGTGCAGACACCAAAAGCCGAAGTGCCTTCAAGTAGCCTGCCATCAGCCCCCAGCATGGCCGCAATAGTCGCTGCTCACAAGTTGCCCTCCCGAAAGCCCAGTGTGGCATCAATTGGACTTCCGGGAACTCCCTCAAGCGAACAAGTCTCCATGTCGGACAATATTTCTTTGGCATCCACTTCGCAATCTCGTGCCAACTCGCCACCACCTGCAGCCAGCAAAGTAGGCTCTGCGCCCGTCAGGGCTAAGACGAAGAGTCAACAGAAGAAGGAACGTCAGGAGCGTGCGAAGGCATTGGAGGAGGAGAAGAGCAAAGGAGGCGAGACGATCACTTCTCCTCCAGCAGAACCTGTGGTAGAAGCCATACAGAGCCGGAAGAAGAAGACGAAGAAGGAGAAAGAGGTCCGTCCAAAGCCTAAAACCGTGCCTACTGCGACTACAACAGACACGACGCCGACCGCCAGTAGAACTCCTTCTCCCAGGAGGAAGACAACCACAGAAGCTTCAGTGCCGCCCGAAGCAGCAGCTAGTGACGCAAAGTCTTCGACTCCAGTGGCAGCGCAACCACAAGCGCCGCATCCAACCAGTGTTCCATCGCCGCCGGTCACGCCAACACTTACTCCCGCACAACTCATCGCCGAATTAAAAGCCTCCGCGCCTCAGATCCAGAAATGCATCGACAGCCTGTTCCGGGTATCCAACAGTCGCGACTTCAAAGCTCACCAGAACGTATCACACAAGGACTTGTTGAACAACTGGCAGACCGACCTGAAATTCAATCTGAACAAGAACGATGTCGAGGCGCTACTCACCGGCAAAGTCCCCGCCGTCTACTATGGCGGAGAAGAGCAAGGTCGCGCTTTCGATCGAGGCATGATCGCTCCCTCTGGCGCCAACCTTCGAGCTTTAACGAAAGAACTGGAAACTCGCTTCTTGGAACTTGAGCGAGCTCTTCGTGAAATGCCAGAAGAGTCACGTTTTCGGCCTTCGAAACCGCAGAATGATTTGAAACTTCCGGCTATTGATCTCGAGACTGTCAAGCGACAATATGAGAATGGTTCGGGTCGTGGACCTAGCGTTATGGAGCAGATGGTGCAGGATGGTGCTACACTTAAGAAAGGTGCTTTCTTGGTTGATGAGGCGAGCAAGTATATCAATGAGTTTGTCATGCCGCCTGTGACGCCGCCGCCTTCTGCGGCTTCTATGCAGGCGAGAGCGCAGCATCCGGCTGTTCCAGCTGGTCCGACGGCGGCGGCTGCTGCTGCGGCTGCAGAGCAGAATGTGCCCAGCGCGGATGTTGCGGAGAGACAATTGAGGGAGGCACAAAAGTATGCTGAGGAGAGGGAGAATGCGCTGAGGAAGGTAATTAAGAAGAACAAGAAATTGTTGGGACTATGATAAGGCATATTGTACATGCTGATTGCTGTGGTCGATCAAATAACTGGAGGCTAGGATTATCAAACAGTAGAATACTGCGCTGTGTATACATCGCAGTAGTATATAGTCTGCCTACTGCCTCCTCTGACGCAGAAGATAGTCTATGGCACGGTCTACGCGCACAGATCCTCCATCGTCTGTAACTCGTAGCGCTTCTCTTGAAAGCGTGACAGGAAAGCCCAACTCTACCAATTTCCTCAGTGCGAGATCGCAACTCTGAAGCGGCACGCCGTCTGGTAGGCTGTGCTGCTGGGTTTCATACTCCAGAATGGGACTTATGGATGGCCTCGAAGTGATTGTCGATGGAAAGGCTGACGACGATGTCCCAAAAGATCTTTGTGATGGCGCAGTCGGCGCATAAGCAGAATAAGCCGTGCCACGCGACGAAGTCGAGACACTGCTCACTCGTGAAAGAACGCTCATGGGTCTTTCATCGTCCATTCCGATGAGTGGTAGACGCCGATACTCGCTCGTCTGTCGACGTAGACGGATCTCGGCAGCCATTGATGCAACCCTTTTGCGACTCATTTCTTTCGCCTCTTGCTCTCGAGGATCTTGTCGTTGGAGTTTTGCTGCGGCGATTTGCTCGGAGTAGACGATTGCAACTGGCTCTTTCAAGAAATTGTTGAAACTGCTGTTGTAGACGGGTAGTGACCACTCTGTCCAGCCATTCTGTTTGGCTAGGGCAAACCCAGCCGGACTGTGGTCTGATGCTAAGAGTGCCAGCTCCAGCACCACCGATGGTCCCAATGTCAGGATGTGCGCGAGCCATTCTTCGAGGAAACGTTCCTCTTCGTAAATATCCCCTGGTGCCACATCACAATTGTCGTAGACGCCGTATTCCCTCGCTTGATCAACACGGCCGCTGTATCCTTGTAAAAGAGAAGAAAGGCAGGTCCACATCTCGGTGATGTCGTACAATTGCGCTGCAGTCAGGCCACCGCGATTTGCAGTTGCGAAATGCTCTGGTGCATTCAGCAGGACGCTCGACATATCGAATTCCAGGTTTGTGTTGACAGTGGCGGCGCAGCCCTCGTGCTCGTTAACTACTCCACCTTTGAGCCAGTCTAGCTGGCCAGTTATGTCATCTTCACGGCCTTTGCGACTGCCGAAGATGGTGCAGAAGCACCAGATTCGCCACAAGGCATCGTCGAATCTCTGTGAGTGGGGATGTGTGGGAGTCGACAGAGCGAAAGTAGTTTCACGCCTGATGAAAGTCTGACATCTCTCATGAACCAAGGCTTTGATCTGCCTGATGACAGTGAGATCGTTTCGATAGTGCGAGAGGTATGTTCGAGGTGTGCGTCGTGGCCTAGCGATAGAAAGCTCAGGGCTCTGTGTGACGTCTTGCGATTGAATCCATTCTTGACGCTCATGAGCTGGCATCGATATGTTGCGGACAACGGTTTGGACTAGCCGCATTTCGTGTTGCTTGTATATTCGATACATGCCTTTGTTGATGATGGCGGTGTTGCGAAGATCAGTGAGTGATGAGAGCGAGCACAGGATATTTAGCAGCACTATCTCTGCTGCGTTTGGGGACGACGGAACATCGTTACGATCCAGTTCGGAGCTGATCGGCGAAGCGAGTGTTTCCGCGTCGTGCTGCGAACTCACTTCGCGCTCGGACAGTCGTGGTAAAGCCACCATGGGCTCCGATCTAGCATGGTTGTGCGAAAAGCTTGCCATTCTGCGCAGTGGTAGACCACTCTTCATACGAGTAGCACGGGGCAGCTCATCGAAAGACTGTCTGCGAGCAGGCGCTGCAGGGACATTTGCTCGTTGTGCCTTGGCTTCCATAGCACGCCAATCTCGCTTTCTCGACCTCTTCGGCAGCGCAGGCGGTTGCATGACGGCCTTCACGCTATTGCCGCGCCTTACATTCGACTCGCCTTGTGCTTCATCGATCGAGCGGGGAGCTGGCCGCATTTTTGTCATCTCCGACAATTGATCTCGGACGGCAAACTCTGCCTGGCTCAGTGTCGGGCTGATCGTACCAGACTCGCGCCAGGCCAGGCGACTGAGTCTCAAATCGGCCAATGAGCGACGAGCAGGCAGTATCTCTGCTTTCTGCATGCTATTGCGAGCAGATGTGAGAGATTTGGTCAAAGGTGCGGGAGGCGAAGCTGCCGTCGTCACAGGTCTCGGGCTCGGCGTTTCCGCTGGGATTGGAGGCAAGGCCTTGTTGAAGTCGACTGGATGAACGAAGCTCACGCTGGAGCGAGGGGAAACATCGTCGAATACGCCAGCCTGGGTTGGAGATACGAGAGAGAATTTGCTAGGCGAAAGCAATGTGCGCTGGTCGGCGGTGATGATTGTGTCGAGTGTCGTGGCAGAGCTGCAGCGGCTGTACACGGAGCTCTCGTCGGTCGCTGACTTGCTCGAAGACGATGATTGCGAGGGGTACGATCGATGGCTGCTCGCCCTAGGACATCCAGATTGTGCTTCGGGGGTCATGGATCGCGTGGCCTTCAGGCGCGATGGAATTGCTGTTGCTGAAGGCATCGAAATTATTCGTCGAGGCATCGGGTGTGCCAGTATTGGAGTTGACTTGACCTTCATAGGCTCCGGAAATTGGAATGGAATTGGTTGCTCGGCTGGGATGCTAGATCTTGATGCGTCAAGGTCTGCAATGTGCCGGGCCGGCTGGTCGTCAATGGGGCTCTGATCAAAGTATGCCACGCCATCAATCCAGGTGCCAATGCGATGATCAGTGTCTGAACGTCGCCTTGAACGCATCTTGGTCGGAGATGGTGGGTTGCTTCGTCGAAATGATGTGGGCTTCGAAGCGTAAGATGACCTGGTGGCAATGTGCTTGGCCGCAGGCAGATGGTCGCTGATGGCGGACAGAATCTCTTCGTTAGGGCTGGTGGCCATTTTCTCCTCCAACGCAGTCATTTCAATCACTTTGGCTGCAGGTACGGCGTGCAGTACGGTTCCTTTGGCAGAGGAGCGTTTGCTTCGTTCACGGGTCGTCGAAAACGAGGGCATGGCCGGCCTCTTGCCGTTCCAGCTGCGACGAAGTGCAGTGGTGGGCACGCTCACAGCAGAGCTGGCAACGCAAAGCGGTGGAGGAAACAGGTCGTCGGCGCCTCTGCGACTGAAGATGGATATGCTCCGTCTGGCAACGCTCTTCGTGGCGGGTGTACTATCACCGATGGCAGGCGCGGCTCCATCCACGGCGGATTGCTGGAAAAGTCCGGAGGACATCATGACGGCGCGGTCGTGCTATGTAGTCGTCAGAGACCGTTCACGCCGAGAACCTTGCCGTTGCAGTCAGGCACACCCAGTCCGGCGAGCTACAGGGCTGCAAGCATCAGTCTGCTTCGATGCTTCTTCTGCGAGCCGTCGGGCCCTTCAGTCGAGGTACGTGCCAAGCTTCGCGGCCTGGCAGGGTTAGCAGTCAGTAGTGGTGGGTGAGCAGTCTGCGACGATGAGTAGAGAACAGTACGGCCGCGCGCTCGGCTTATTTGCAGCAGCGCTCGTCGACAGTGCATTCGCCGGCGCAGCAAGACGCAGCAGCAGTGCCACGCGCAATGGCCTTTGCGTGCCCGCCGCATATGTGCCATATCGGCGCAGCAGCGAGGCCGTGGGTGTCTTTCGCAGGCCCAGCACAGTGAATGCGGTCATCGTGGCCGGCAAGGATGGCGGGAGGATGGCAGCCGTGGGTGCAGGGCCACGATGTGAATCCCGTCGTTGTTGTTGCTGCTAAATTCGGAGCCCTCAGCCCCGGCCGTCGCTTCGCTTCCCCACACATCAACACGTGACTGAGTCTAAACCGTCACGCGAGACGCTATTCTCGCCAGCGACAATGCACACCCCGACACCTCTTGCTGTTGGATGTCGCCCGCTAGCATGTTGTCTTCCTCTGGTAGGTATGTAGCCGCGCTCAATGGCGCATTGCGCGAAGGATGAAGCAATTTGTTGCGTCCTCATCTCGGACAGCGATGCCTCCTTCGCTCCGTCCAGCACGCACAACAACGGACACTTCAACATCCGGATGCCCTGGCAGCTGTCACAATCACTCCAAGCTATTGGCTGATGCCCGTGACAGTCGAACGTTATCGTTGCGGCAGCTCGCGCAAGGTCACATCATTCAAGCTTCTATCCCTCCGCTGTCTTCCGGATTTATCGTGCGAGCCCCAGCCAAGTTCTGGAACATGCCGAAATCACCGGGGTGCTCTTCGATGCCCTAACCTGCATTATGGTGACTCCAACACTCATGCAATCGCCCCACGGAACTGCAGAGCTCAGCGAGTGTACTGTACCTCGTTCCGACCTCACGAAGCTCTTCTTCGTTCCGTGCCAAAACAGGGCAGTGGGCAACGACTGCGATTGTACGAGCGGTCATCGTCGACCATGGCTCGCTCGTTTCAGATTTTTTCGTATCTCTGCACAATGATCTTTGTTAAGGCTTGATCGTGTTCCTGCAGTCTCATCAAGGATCGTTACCCATGAGCGTTCGCTCGGCGCTGTGCGAGAGGGTCACTCGGAGCTAACACGCTCGCTCAGTAGCCTACGCTATGCTGTTGGACGCTCTCCGAATACATTGCCACTAGCTGTAGAGTTGGGTATCTCGAAGACAAATGCAGTGCTAACGCCACAGGTGAGACCAATTCATTATCCATCATCCCGATAGCAAATTTCGCTTCCATACAAACGCCGCGACCACCCCAATCGTAGCGACAAGACCGACGTAAATTGTGGCACGATCGACACCTTCGTCCTCGCTCTTTGGAAGCGCCTGTGAAGGATACGTCGCACATTCGGCTAGATGGACGAAGAAGTCGTTAATTGACGTCCAGCTCGCCGATACGTGCAGCGGCTTGGCCATCTTGAGCTGCTCACAGAACACGTCCGGCTGCACCTCCGTTCTCTGCACAGCACGATCCTGGTCTGCTTTGAGTGCGGCGTAGACTGATGGCAGCGCTGCCAAGGCCGGAAAGCGTTGGCGCAGGTCTACTATGTGCGCAAAACTGTCCGGATCGCTACTGTCGTATGTATAGCATAGCAGGTCACAAGCGTCGAGCTTTGCCTGATTTGCCAGAATAGCGGGTTCCAATTCGCCCAGCTCTTCGAGAATGAGGTAGCATTGTTTGCCTCCTTGTAGTTCGACGCTGTTGACTGCCGTTTGAGGCTTGATGGTCGGATGGTATGCCGTGCTGAATTTCCTGGCAAGGAAAGCATTGAGGAGCGCGGATTTCCCACTCTGCGCCGCACCTACAACATAGCAAAGGAACACGTTTCTCTCCACCCTGCCGGGACCGTGTCGTCGCTTGCGAGGTTTCGTCAGTCGTAGAGCAGATGTCGTGCCTTTGCCATCGCCTTCGAACCCGAGATATGCAAGATATTCCAGTGTCACCTTCGGGTTCTCAAAGGTCGTCATGCTCCAATGTGCTAGCCAGCCCTGGAGTGTCACGTATCCCGCCTCGTTGCAGACTGTACTGCTGGGGAATCCGGAGTCAACCCATGAAGACGGCATTCCTGGTGTTGGGGCAAAGAGCGCAGCCAGTTCAGCATCGCTCAGCCCGCCATCGTTATCCTTGTCGTGAAGCAGGAACAGATCGACAAAGAAGCGGTAGCCCGCTGGAGAGAGCTCGGCAGATGCGTGCGCCGGCACATCGAACTTGGGATGCAGAAAGGTGTCCGACAATGATAGACTGTCCGAGTACTGGAATTTGCGGAGGATGATCCAAATAGTCTCGTGGCGACCTTTCTCTGCGAACATCTTGTTGAGCTGAATAAACCCGTCCACGTCGATTCCGACGCTGTTCGCATCTTCATACTCGGTGTGGTTGGCATATGACCTACCACGCTGTATTGAACGCTTGATATTGGCAAGGTCCTCTGCGGAGAGGGGCTTTTCGAAGCACTTGTGCTGGAAGTTCTGGATCTCCTTGTCGTTTAAGAGGCCGTCTTGGTCCTTGTCGCATAAGTAGAAGACTCTCTTGAGTGCTTCGATCGCGGCTGGTTTCAGGTTGCTCTCTTTCGAGTCATAGATTGGCGCAATGGGATGTGTGACAGCCTTCTGGCATAGGAAAAAGACCTCGTTGATGTTGTGGTGCTCACGCGCACTGGTACGGATGCAGGAGTCGATCTCCTTGAATTCTGCCATCTGCGTGATCACCTGTCAGTGCGAGACACTGTGCGAACACGTGGGGTTGGCATACCACAGGCAACATTTCATCTTCAATGGCAGTGCTGACGCCGGGATTGAGATCGCTTTTGTTGGAGCAGAGCACCACAGGGACATTCACGCCCAAGGATCGGAAATATGGCATCCAGAAGAGAGCAACGCGTTCATAGCTGTAGTGATCGCTGTACACCAGCAAGATGACCTACAGGCGAGAGGCATAAGTCAGCCATCGGCGCAGGAGGCATCAGTCAGACATCGAGGCGAACGGACATTGCATTTGCGCAGTGCTTTTTTGAGCTCATCTCGGTCCTGCGGCAGAGACGAGGTGTCGACAATGGTGGTGGGCACATTCTCAGGCGTGCCGAGCGCGGGAGGCAGTGTGATGGGCGGCAAGACATGTTGAATCTTGGTCGTGACGAAGGCGTCCTTGACAAACGACGTGAGCAACGAGCTCTTGCCCGTGGCTTCATCGCCACAAACGCAGACCCGCACTGCTCATGCATGGGTCAGTTTGGCGCCGACAGTCGCGTCCAGTAGGCACGTACCAGCCGCCATGTTCCATCATTCGCTGTTTAGATGCCGTGCAGTACGGTCTTGTACAGAGCACGCGGGGCCGGCAGGACTTGAGTAGATGCTATCTTGACTTCGTTTGGTGTAGTTGTTGTCCTTTAGAATGGGGCAAGTGTCACGGCAGTCAAACTCCGAGTTTTGAGGTTGGTTGCTCGACGCGACTCTAGACCGCTCCAACTTCAAGATGAATGACAACTGAACTGGTGAAATGTATGTCAAAAGGAGACTCGAATCCTTATTGCAATTCATACAAAATTGTAGATGTTGATGGAATTGAAGAAGTTCAACAGCACTACTGCAGTTCCGAAGCTAGCAACCCTACTTTCGCGACCCTAGTTGCTTACTTAATCATCTCCTGCCGAACAGAGGCTGGGACGGACCACTTTCGAAGAAGCGACAACTCCGAAAGCAGCAGGAAGGACGGACGCTCATTCGTCCGACAATCGAGAGCGACTCGGTGGGGGTTCACAGTAGAGCTTGACTCGTGTGCTGAACGGTGTCGTCTGCATTCATAGTCCGCGAGCATTCACAACCATGTTTGTCCTTCCGCCGCCGCCGCGATATCCCAATGGCAACCTCTATACGGGCATGCCCGGTGGCGGGCCTCTACTGGAAACCAACAACACGCTCGAGCATCCAACGGGCCCGGAGTATCAGCTCGTGCTTGGAGAGGGCACGTATGTCCTCAAGGACGACCTGCATCTAGCCACGCCGCCGCCGCACCCCAGCGATGCGCCGCAACCGAATAACAATCCGCTGGCAACCATCGCCGGACCTCCAACCACCGGGGCGAAGCTTTCCATTGCGATTATTGAACCACGTCGGCCGCCTTCGCAGAACCTCTTTCGCACCATTACCACACAGAGCACTCGGTCACAGGTTCCTCCAAGCATCCAGGAAGAGGTTCATAGCCCCAAGAGCGATGCAGGCTCCACGGCGAATGGCTTTGGCTCGCATTCTTATTACAATCAAGTTCCCACCTTTGGCGACGGCAATCCAGCTCTTGCCGCGGCTGTTAACCCCAAGGCAAAGAAGGATCAGAAGGCCAAGCCGAAGAATAACATTGTCAAGTCCAATTCATCCTATGTGTCCAGGGTCATACCTCACGAATCGCTGCAGAAGCGGCTGAGCGAACGATCCACCGATGGCCTATTCGCTTTTGCCAACGTGAACCGCGCCTTTATGTGGCTGGACCTCTCGTCTCCCATCAAGGTTGAGAATCTGACCAAAGTGCTCTTCACCAAAGCACATGCGCTGTGCCATGACGTAAACCCATTGACCAGATCGACCACTCACCTAGACGTGGTGCTGGGCTTCAACACCAGCGATATCATGTGGTACGAGCCCATGTCACAAAAGTACGCTCGACTGAACAAGAACGGCATGATCAATCCATCTCCGGTGGTTTGCATACGTTGGCTTCCTAACAAGGAGAATTACTTTGTGGCCGCACACACTGATGGAACCCTTGTGGTATATGACAAGGAGAAGGAAGATGCGGAATTCGTGCCCGAGGAGAGCACTTCTCAGGAAACGACAGGTGGCGCAGCGCACGATCTGCTTCGCGTCCGCAAATCGGTGCAATCACGTAACCAGAAAAGCAACCCAGTGGCGGCGTGGAAGGTGTCCAATATGAAGATCAACGACATCGCGTTCTCGCCCGATGGACAGCTGCTGGCCGCCGTCAGTGATGATGGCTGCCTGACTATTATTGATTACATCAACGAGAAGGTGCTCGACGTTCATCGTGCCTATTATGGTGAGTTTCGAGGCACAGACCCCATCTAGCTTGCATGCGCTGATCTTTAGGACAGGCGGACTATTGTGCGTGACATGGTCGCCTGACGGCAGATACGTCCTGTCAGGTGGTCAAGACGACTTGGTCAGTATCTGGTCCCTCGCCGAACGGGCGCTGGTGGCGAGATGCATTGGACATCATTCGTGGGTCACGGACGTGAAGTTCGATCCGTGGAGGTGTGACGAGAGGAACTATCGATTTGGAAGCGTGGGCGAGGACTGCCGACTCTTGCTCTGGGATTTCTCAGTAGGCATGCTTGGGCGCCCCAAGGCCATGAGAGCGCGCGGTAGCATTTCGAGCCATGTGCCTGGGGACCGGAAACAGAGCTCAGTGACTGCTGGCCGATTCAGGAGCAATTCCAACCTCACGCAGGTCCCTACGGCGGAGAGCACAGAAGATGCTGAGGTTGTACATCCGGTTGACTCGAAAGCGAGCACGGCTGTGCTGCCGCCTGTCATGTCCAAGAGCATCGACGAGCACCCTCTGTGTTGGCTGGGCTTCGAAGCCGATAGTATCATCACCTCATGCAAAGACGGTGAGTGCATCTTTGGCTGCGGGGCTGTCGGGCGATTCGCTGACCACGAACATCACAGGACATATTCGAGAATGGCAGCGGCCCACCGATGGGTCGTGATGTGGTTGCACAAGAGCCCGGCTCACATGAGAGATGAGGCCATGTCAGCCCGACCGCAATATGTACACATCCATGGCGAGAGGAGGGTCGTGCTCGCGGCGCAATCGTGTTCCCAGGTCGACGAGTTGCGCAGCGGTGATGAGTTTTACGTTGAGGACCACGCCATTGCTGTAACAGTAGTGCCGACGTCCAGGCGTCGGGATGATGGTTCGTGCTAGCGGCGCACTCAAGAGCTTCTAGCGCGTCTGCTGCATGCTCAGATCTGCTGCAGCTGCTGCGAGCGATAGACTACCGCTGTGGCGTCATCGTTCACGCGCGGTTGTGGCTGCAATTTTTCTTTGTACATGTCTTGTTAACGAGCAGACGATGGCATGTTAGATGGTAGCACAATCCACTTCCTTTCACTGCCACTTCTTATCACGACGTGCAGCCCCATCCACAGGAGCCGCGACAGCGCGGGATGACCAGAGTGGGCAGCGCGCCGGACGTACTACGGCGCCATCAAAAGTTTGGGAAGTCGAGATAAGAGCGACTGCGTCACGCCACTACCCTGCATTTTGTGTCCATACATAGCTGCGCGCGAGACTTGCGTGCTGCCAAACACTGCCCGTCCACGCTTCTCTGTCATTGCTCATTCCTCCGAACCTCCCGCCCCCTCACCACCCTCCGCTCTCGTCGAATTGATGCCGTTTTGAGTAGTGGCCGAGCCGGCGCCCGCAGCCCCCTCGTCTGTCCAGCATGATCTCCTCGCGCATCCACCACGTGGGCAGCAGCAGCGGAGCAACGCCGCGACACCAGAACAAGCCATGGCTGGAGATTCTGCCGGACGTGCGCTTCGTCGTCTTCCATGGGAACGAGCATGAGGCACAGACGGTCAAGCTGCAGGGTATCGTCCGGCTGCATACGCCTGAGGCCATGAGCATCCTGAAGCCCAAGGTGCGGCTGGAGGGCAAGCGTAAGATCTCGTGGTGGTACATGGGCGGCATCTCGGCCGGCGAGGTCGTCGACAAGCGCGTTTTTTGGAATCAAGAGCAGCGTCTAGGCATCGAGAGTGCGCACAAGGTCAAAGCCGGCACGCTGGATTGGCCCTTTGAGTTTGAGCTGTCGCCGTCGATGCCCGAGAGTGTAGAAGGCTTGCGCGAGACCTACATTGCCTATCATTTGCACGCCAGCGTCTCACGGCCAGGATGGAATGCCAAGGATATCACTGCCCAGGAGCACATTCGTATCGTGCGTACCTTGGGTCAGGACTCGATGGAGATGACGCGGTCGAGAGTCAATGCCGACATATGGGCAAACAAGATTTCGTACAGCATTTCCATCCCCACGGATGCCGTGGTGTTCGGCACGTCCATCACGGCTGACGTCGAGCTTTCCCCTATCAAGAAGGGCCTGCGGCTAGGCAAGGTAGAGCTGCGACTGATGGAAACGGTTGTGAAACGCATCCAGGCCACTGAAGTTCCAGACATCCGGGGAGATCGATCGAAAACCGAGGAGTCGGAGGTAGCCAAGGTGCGTCGAAGCTGTGCTCGACCACAGATCCCGAGCCATCGCGTGTAGCGATCTGTCAAATTGACAAGATACTGACTTCTCACTAGGCGGACATGGACTTCCCCGAACATTCAAGAATAATGTACGAGGATGAGACTCTTGACAATCCCACCATGGCCGACGAGATGTACAAGTTCAAGGCCACGCTACCGCTGCCGAAGTCCCTCAATGTGTGCAGACAAGATGTGGACAATCATAGCATTAACATCACGCACCGATTCAAGCTCATGGTGAATATACACAATCCAGAGGGCCATGTCTCACAGCTCGTCTGTCGATTGCCCGTGAAGCTGTTCATCTCACCCAATCTACCCGTGGATGAGAGGAACGAGGTGAGTGCGAACATGAGCGGTGTTTCAGACGCCGAGCTCAACAGTACCGAAACTGTTGTTGTGGCTCCACCCGAGTATGGGCGACATCAGCTCGATCAGATGTACAGCGACATTGATGTGAGCGGCTTCATGAGTAGAGCCGGAAGTGGTCCTGGAACACCTGCCGGACTGTATGCGCAGAGTCGAAGGGGCTCTCATGAGAACGTGCTGTCGCTCAATGGCCTGGCTGATGGCGATCCTGCTTCTCTCCACGGCAGTGCAATGCCTCATCTGTTGCATTCGCGATTGGTGAATCTGCAGGAAGACGGGCATGTGAACGGATATCGGGCGTCAGCTACTTCGAGCCATCACAGTCCTTCCGGAGGCAACTCACCCGCGCCTGGATTTATCGATTCGAGCGATCACTCTCCTGAGCGTGCATATCGTTACACGCCGCCGGTACGCAGTGGGTCGTACTTTCCAACTACCGGTAGCTCTCCACACTCGAGCGCACCCATGTCCCGACGGACTTCGGGCGATGAGCATGCACACTCCACGAGTCTTCACAGCCGGGACTACGACCTGAACGATCTGTCTCGCGTGCCATCATACGGTGCTGCGCTGAGAACGCCTGGCGCCGTGACACCGTTCACTGATGGACCGCCTTCGTATATGGAAGCTACTTCTCGGCCGCCTAGCCCCGTTCAAAGACCTAGCGCGGCGCACATGCGAGGCGGAGACACGCATCTCACTGCACCTTTGGCAGCGATGAATATAAATGGTACGAGTGGCACTTCCCAGCCACGATCAAATTTACACGACGAAGATGCGAGATTGCGAATTCTCCGCGCAAGAAGTTAGTGGAACCTGCGCCGATCGACGAGTAGCCGGCGGACGAGTATGATTCGAGCGTTGTTTCCAAGCGTTTTCTTTTTTGGAGTCCAATAAACTAGGAGTCAATCTTTCAAAGGTCATTTTCATCAGCGGGAGTTTCATTCAGAGGGAAATGATGGACACTGGGACAAAGCTTGTGCGGATTATTGGGTTTGATTAGTGGCGTTTGCAGTGATATTCACCACTTGGTCTCGTCGGCGTTGATGGGGCTTGCGAAAGTGTATGAGGCAAAAAGCGCAATCTTTGTTTATGGAAGGCAGGATGGGACTTTGAAGTATGATCATCCTTCGCTTGAAGGAAAGAGAAAATCATTAGATTAGACGATAGAAAGAGACTAGCCATGCAAAGTGGCAACACAGTCTGCGGGTATCTCGCGAAGTGAAAGCAAGCACAACCGTGGTATCGAAATTCGACCCGATCGCGCAGCGTATACAAATTCCTTCATTCATTCATCATAACCAGATGGAATGTCGTCGATACCTTCGTTCAAGATCTTTGACATCGGGTTCTCGGACTTCGATGCGTACACTGTCTTTACGTCGTTGCGCTTCGCGTTCGTATAGTGTTCCACGTCGCTCTGTGGAAGGCGTTGGCATAGGCATGGGCCTGATGGAGACGTTCTCTAGGCCGTCATTTGCCACTATGGTTGAGTAACGGTGTCGATGTTTGCGGCGATGTGTCTGATCGCTTGACGCTGGTTCGATGATCGCGTCAGGTTGATACGTGCGTCGTGTTGATGAAATTGGGTAGACGCGCGTGTAATCGTTGGTTGGCACTGCTGGCGTAGACGACAAGCTATGTTTGCGCAAAGCTCGTTCCGTCGAGCGCAGGAGATGTCGCAGTTGAGAGTAGCCATGAGGGATTTCGACTCGTACGAGAGAGTTTGTGCTGCTATCCTTCTTTACGGCGTAGATGTCGCCTTCTCGAGAGAAGATGTGGCAGGCGACGTCTTGGCTCAGCGCATAGCCTGTGTCGCATAGGCGGGAGACTTTGGCGCGGTAGCATGTGGGACAGGACCGGGCATGTAGTTCGTAGTTGTAGAGACTCCAGGCTTCGACGGTGGATAGGGGACGAGAGCTGTTGTTTGTTGGTGCAAAGCGCACTGATTTGGGTGGTGAAGCTGGGCTGTTGGGCGTAGAGACATTGTTGGTTGTGGTGGGCACAGCGTCGGGCTGCACCTCGACCACGACGGGCCGCAGGGTGGGGCGACGCGACGACATGATGATAGGTGAAGATCAGTAGTGGTAAGGCTGAGGTAGACGCTGAGTAGTATGGTCGATGTTCAATGATCGACTCAGGACAGAAGGCAACGAGAGCAGGCAAGGGCGAGGGAGATATACTTGCTGGAGAGGCAGGACTACTGGACGTGACCCATCGTTCCCAGGCGGCCGCAGTAGCATAGCAGCGGCAGCAGGAGGGCGCTGAGCGCATGGGGCTGGTCGAGCTCCCAGGCACCACCAGGCTCGATGTCCAAACGCTTCTGAGACGGAGAGGGTGTGCGGAAGGATTCTGTGTGGGCGGCGGCCGGGGTGACCAAGGCAGCTTCGCCTACTCTTGTTAATCGAATCGCATGTACAGCCTTACGAGGCTGTACGTGCGGATTAAGCGTTTGATAGGGTCAGGGTTGGAAGCTGTGCGCGGTCAAGTGGGATTGATGCGCTCAGACTCGTAGGCACTATACTACTATGGAGCTAGCTCGTAACAGGCCCCATCCTTACGGTGTGCCCACGTACTGCAGGAAAATCCTTGGCGCAACGGAATATCTCTACACTTGCTCCGCCACTCTGAGGCCGCCAACTTGTCCAAGCCAAGCCACCACCAATGCAGCACGCAAGACGCAAGACACCGTGCAGCGTTCGCAGCTCTGTCGGCGCCGAAACGAGCTCCATTCGAGTCACCGCGCGCGTGAGTCGATGATGAGTGTGCTCTCTCTTCCTCTTGTCCACCTCGGAGGTAACGGACGAACACTTCGTGCTGGTGTCGGCATTGTTGCTTCTGTGCTTGCTTGGTGCCGATGTGACGTGCATCGTAACGGTCCATCAGCCAGCCAGGCAGCCATGGCAGCCACACGCCAGATTGCACTAACAACGTCCAGATCAACAAACATCCAGACAACCAGACAGGCAGGCATCTTATCGCCAGCCCACTGCGACCATGGAGCGCATTCGCATTGAACTTGAACCTTCTGCCTTGATGACGTGAAGGAAATCCGCCCAGTCTCGCCTCCATCCTCCCGCCATTGGACGCCTGCCAACTTTGTCAACAGCGTTACACCTGGTATCGCTCCCCAGCGATGGCGCCCAAAAAACGTGTCTGACCCAATAGTCACGCTGAACGGCTTGTACACCACATCAGCTGTGTAAGTGCCGGAAACTCGCCTGTCAGCGTGAGGCGTGTTGCAGCGTTGTCCTGGAGTCGTGCACCTTATGTTTTCAACCAGGCGTGGACCCTCAAGGATTGACGTGATGCCGAGAGATAGCACAAAAGCACAGCAAGACACCCGCAATGCTCTGTCTGTGAATGGTATATACATCGCTTAACTGTACACGCAAGTTAAATGCTTCATCGTCTGAAACCGGCTTGAATATCTGCCTTGGTGAAATCAACAACCACATCCTTCTCCCCTTCTGTTCGAGGATAAACGTCCTCGACCAGTCTCTCGAGCCGCTCTAGAACCGATTCGTAGTTGCGTTCGCATTCCTTGCAGACAAACGTGACCAGTCCACGGGATAGTTGTTCTTCGTCGGCTTCGCCAAAGTGCTTGTCGATTCGCTTGCGCAGTGTGTCGATGCCACGTCGCACTTCTTTGCTATCGTGCGCTGAAAGTAGCGTGCGCATCGCCTTCCGCGAATACGATGGTCGCGTGGACAGTGCTGTTGCGCTCCCTTGTTGCGTGGCGAGGATCGATTCGGCGGATTCTAAGTAGTCCTGCATCATGTCAGTAAAGCATTCCGCTCATTGATAAAGGCCTTGATCTTACCAGAAGCTTGCCTAGAGGTCGACGAATCACGCGAGACACATATGCTTCCAGCGCCTCCGCTCTCTCTGTTAGAGCTCTGCCTTTCCATTCTGCGAGTACGCCGTCTCGCCCGCCATCGTCGACTTCCTCAACGTAGTGGTTCATGTTCTCGATAAGAAGGATGTGGTAGTTGAGCATCTCTTTATCCTCGGGATCATCGGTACCGGTGTGCGCCTGCTTGCTGGCTGTGTTCCCAGCAACCGGACTCTCTTTGGCAATCACCTTCAGGCTGTCAAACATGGTTCGGTTGAGCTTTTCGTACGCCTCGTCGATGATTTTCCTCACTTCCGCAACGCATGGTGCAGGACCGTCGTAGTCGGGCCCGGCTACTGCGGAGAATGTGTTCTCCACCGCGGCGGAGAAATGAGGAAAGATTTTCATAAAAGCAATGACGCCCTTGCGCTTCTTGATCTTGACCTTCGTGTCCTCGATCGCTCGAATTTGCTCGTCTACAAATCTGCTCAGTCGAGTCCTTAGACTCTCCGCAAGATTGTCGAGTAGTTGGAGGAGATAATCTTGGTTACTGTCTTGAAGGTAGTATGCATGTCGACATAACGTGGCCAGCACGCCAACGGCTTGCACTGGGTCATCTGCGACAGCCCAGTCCTGCATGGCCTTTGTTTCGGCGAGGAAAAAGTCGAAAATTTTGAGCATTGCGCTCGTGACAAGGCCGGCTGCTTCTCGGTTGGGCTCTACGGGCTTCCTTTCCAGCAGATTCGTGCCGAGTCGAGCGGCTGGTGGTGATGACTGCACGGCGTCAATAAAGTCCATGCTTTCCATCGAGCTGAGGTGAAAGAAGTCGACGATGAAATTCTGTTCCCGATTGATCAGTGGCGCCATCTCGTCCACGGCGCCAGCGAAGGCTTGAGCGCGCATGATGGCGCCTGGCTGCTTGTGCTCGCTCGTGGTATGTTTGTCGCCAGTCGCACTGCGGAATGTCTTAGCCAAAGTCTGAGACCGCTTCACGGTGAGCTTTCGAGCTGTAGATGTCAAGCCACCAGCAGTCGGGTCTTCCTTCTCAAGAGACGTGAACAGGATGTCCACCTCGTCACCCGTGCTTGTGCGCGCCGCGCGCTTCCAGTTCTGCAGGTTTTCTCTGAACGTGTCTCTGTAGACAGGGCCTGCTCGCTGTTGGTACATGCGAAGTAGCGTTGACCAAGCCGGTGGATTGAGTTGCTTTGTGAACAAGAGGATGGGGCTGTACATCCACAGGGCGCTGCGCACTTCGCCGAAGACCTCACTGTGTAGCTTCGCTAGCCCCCCGCCTCCACCTACGCGCAGGGCACGGCCCTTGATGCTGTTCATCGATGTCATGAATCTGGAGTCGAGGAATTGCATGAGACGTTGACAGAACTCAGCAGTCTCCCGATCATAAATGACTTTCTTCTCCTGCAGAGCTACCATGTCCGCCGTCTCGTGATCCCCAACCGCAGCTTGAGCTGTCGGCAGAGACTGAGTGTTAGACCGTAGTTTGGGGTCCATAGTCAGCAGTGCTTGGTACAGCTTCACCAAGCTGAATTCAATCTCCTCCAGGCCAGTGGAGTCGCCGAGATCGCCGTAACGCAGTGGCTCCATCACTCGTCGGTCGAGAGACATGGTGTCAACGAGGGTCTGGAGCTCGGACTGCAAAAGCTTCTGGTTCGCGGACTGCACCTGCAGACCTTGCGACTGTGCCTCAATGTAAGCAATGTCGTCGTTCAGCGAACTGAGTTCGACATGGTACAGCGTCAGGAGACCTTCAAGCTCGTCGCACTCCGCAATGGCCTTGTCGAGCAAGGACTCTACGAGATTTACGCGCTCTTCGCGTGCAGCATCGGCATGTGACAACCAAGCACCGGCTTCGACGCGGCCCTGCTCACGTCGGATCTCGGCTTCAAGATTGTTTAGCTGCTTCGGCCGAAGAATGTCGTTGTTCCAGCCAAATTCTGTCAGCATCATTTCAAAATCGAGTCCCTTGTCTTCCAGCAGTGATCGATCGACGCCCAACGCAGCAAGGTACCGTTCTTGATGTGCGCTGCGCCGTTTGATCTTTACCTGAGGTTGGCGGGCTTGTCGTTGCTCGATTGTCGGATTTGATGCTTCATCCTCCGTTTCCACGGGTTGAATTGGCTGATTTGCAGGTCGCTCGCTCGATTCTGCAACGCGTTGGATATCTTCAGCAGGCTCGTGCTCTATGTGGGGCGGAGACTTTGGCGAGCTGATTTCAACTCGTGGGGGAGTCTCCCTCGAAGCGCTCTCATCGGATATTCCGTTCACTGGAGTCGACGGCCTCTCATCCGGCTTCCCCCGCGGCTGAGGTCGAGGAACGACACCAGTGATACCGTCTGGCTCACCATCTCGTTCCGATTTAGCCTTCAATATTCTCTCGGCTGCCCCACCAGGACGAGGCTTGAACGCGCCAGCTGCGTTTGCCGCCTTCTTGAAGCGATCTGCGATGGCCCTCTTTTTGAACATGGGCCCCAGTCCGGGCCTGTACTGCTCCTCGTCCATGTCGCCGTCAGGGGAGTCCAGCTGATCGGCACCAGGTGCTGGTTGCAGCGGAGAAGGCATCATACTAGGGCCAGACCCTGTCAACGAGCGATCCATTTCTGACTTGCCTACGTGGAGAGGCTTCACTTCTGGAGTCGATTCCACGAGATTACCTCGAGGTGTAGAGGCATCTACGTGAGACCCATTGCTTTCCTGGGTAGGTCGCGCTTGCAGAGGAGCAGGTCTCAGCTCCATACTGTTTGAGATTTCGGCAGCAGGCCTGCGATTCGATCGCTCAGGGGTGGTGGGACTAGGTGCAGCATCCAGTGCAGTAGCTGGAGCAGCGGCGGACGAGTGGCCTGGTCCCCAATACGACGTCAATGCTCCGACGGCGGCCGCATCGCCAAGGTCAATACCATTAGAGTCTTCGCTGACAGCAGTTGGGAGCTGTGGGTCTGAGGGAGCCTTGGCGGATCCGTTTTGCGCTGGCGTGGAAGGTTTTGTGTCAAGTTGTGGCAAGCGGCGTGGGGAACTTGCCTTACTTGTCTGTTCAGGTGTCTGCGATTGATAGTTCATGTAACGATCGCGTGCAGCCTGGAAGAGGCTTGCTCCTTCTCGTTTCGTGGCATCTGTAGACGGTGTGTCGCTCAACTTTCTGTCCTCGGAAGCGCCATCGATAGACTGTTGGAGTGAACGCTGCGCGGGACTCTTCGGGCGCGATGGCAATTGCTCTGGTTGCGTCGGGGGGAATCCGGGTGATGGCGGTGGCTGTTCGCCCTTTCGGGCGTTTTGCTGTCCAAGCATTGGTTGCCGATGACCTGGGCCAGGAGAGGTCCCAGGCCGCAATTCTGGTCGGCCGTCCCGACTCGGCTGGCGAATCTGCTCTGTGCTGGCAAAGGCTCGCGGCCCACCTGGCGCATGTGGCCCTGGACCAAAACGGGCTGGGCTATCTGAGGGCCGTCGACTAGACGGACCGCTGCCAGGCCTGCCGCCATCGCTTACACTGGGAGGTGGTCCTGGGCTGCCCCGATATCGACTTCCATCTCGGCTCTGTTCTCGCTGTGCGAAAGGTGGTTGTGGGGGCTGCGGCACTGATCCGTCGCCGGTTGTACGTGCGGACTGTTGTCCCGACTGTGATGGCGCAGAGGATGGCGCCGTCGGCGGGAACGCACCCAGTATTTGAGCCCTCTCCTTATCGTCGAAGCCTCGAAGCTCGGGCGTCTGACCTTTGGTGTATTTCCTGTAAATCTTGACGGCGCTTGCGATGAAGAAGTCCTTCTCCTTGCTCGTCCCCGCCTGCCAGTAGTAGGGCTTAGAGATAGTTACGACAAATCCTACACTGCCCGCCCAAGCACGGTGGTTCGCCTCACGCTCGCTTTGTGGTGGATGTGGCGGGTTCGCGAATGATTCGATGCACGACAGCTCCTCCATGTTCCACGTCTTCCCAATGCTGAAGCTTCCATTGTTGTTCTCGCGCGCCTTGTGCATGCGAACCCGGCCTGTAGATCGTACTGCAATTATGATGAGCCGAGGCTTCTTGTGCTCCGGTGGACTGTCGGGGGGAGGAGGAGCTGAGGGCGACGAGCCATCTTCCTGGATGCGAATGTGCGTGATGTAGCTCTCCGCCAGCTGCCCGTTTGGGTCGAGCTTGGAGAAGCACGACTCGATGATGCGGCGCTTCTCATCCTCAAACCTCTCAGCACGAGACATGACGGCGGCATCGCTGGGTGGACGAGGACAACGGCATGGCTGAGCGTGATGCGCGTTGCGACGTGCGGTAATGCTCGAGCTCGGGTCGGCGCCGGCGAATCTCAATGCCGAGCCCGAGGCGCTATTCATACTGCATCTATGGACTACACGAACTTTAATGCACGGCGTAACCACGAAGGCGGCGCCGCCATGCGATTGATATCCATGGTGCTCTCCCTGGCCCGTCTCGCCGCATTCTGTCTCGCTTCTGATCGTGGTCCCTGCTTACTGACGACAGGACGCTCACGAGGAGCCTTCTGCTCGCGAAGTGGACGCCTTGGCAGCCAGCGCTGCTCTACATCGTCACAATTTTCATCGTATGAAAGGTCGTCATGTGTGACCTGTGGTAGTTGCTCGCCCAGCCTCCATCTCTGTTGGCCTGCCGTAATCGCGAAGCAAAACCTACGGAGACAGCGTACACGCTGCGTAGCGGCGAGTCGAGTTCAACGTGTGAAGTTGCGAACAAGCCACTGCTGCCCGATGGGCTAATATTCCAGAGATGTTTTGATCGCATCGTAGACGCGCGTAACGTCAGGAATGTTGAATTTTTCGTAAGCCAGTCCAGAATGAGTTGACCAGCCTGCCACGCGTTGCACTGGCGCTTCGAGTCGAAGGAAGCACTTCTCCTGTATAGTAGCTGCTACTTCTGCTCCAACACCCGCATTAACCATGCTTTCGTGCACAACAATGCAACGGCCGGTTTTGTTGACCGATTTCATGACTCCTTCGCGGTCCCAGGGGTATACGGTGCGCAAGTCAATCAGCTCTACGGAGCATTTCAAATCCTTCTCTGCAGCCGTTATCGCATTTTGACAGGTGTAGAGTGGCGTTCCGTATGATATTATGGTGACATCGCTGCCCTCTTTGAGCACATCGATCGTACTTAATGGGAGGGTGTAAGGCTCTGCTGGGACATGTTCTACGGCCGCTCGATACAGTATTTTCGGCTCCAGGAAGATGACGGGGTCCGGGCTTGCTATCGCGGCCAGAAGGAGCCCTTTGGCCTGAGAGGGTGACCTTGGAATGACTACTCTCATGCCAGGTACGTGAGTGAAGAGCGATTCAGGCGACTGCGAGTGATACAGGGCGCCATGCCCGACACCTCCAGCTGGCATACGAATGACGAGACCTCCGCAGGATTGCGCATCGCCATTAGTACCAGCACGATAGCGGATCTTCGCCGCTTCGTTGACAATTTGGTCGAAAGCAGGATAGACGTAGTCGGCGAACTGCACTTCGGCTACTGGCTTCATGCCCTCCACCGCCGCGCCCACGGCAAAGCCGACAATGCCCTGCTCGCTGAGAGGGGTATTGAAGACACGGCCATCTCCAAATTCTGATGCCAAGTTCATGGAGCAGCGGAACACCCCACCGAAGGCCACGTCCTCGCCGAACAACAGGACACGATTGTCGGTGCGCAGTGCGTGGGCGAGAGCAGAGTTGATGGCCTGGAACAGATTGATCCTGCTTGTGGTACCATCACGAGCTTCTTGAGGGAGTTCCCGATTCGCGAGGGCCGACTTGGACGTGTGGTGCAGCAGCGGCGTGGTCGCGTAGTCGGTTGGAACATTTAATCTTGCATTGGGCGGATGGGAAGCGTAGCTCCTACTCCCAGAGCATACCCGCGAAGGCAGGCACAAACGTGCGCGTGATAGAGGCAGCATGTCACGGACGTGGACGCAGAGTCTCCCGGGCATGCAATGCAATGGCGGCCATCACAAGGGTGTGGGAGGTGCGATATGCTCTCCTACATAGACGCATGCCAGGCACGGCGGCTGCCCTCGGCTCTCGTGCGCAAGCTTAAGCCGCCTCTGGCAGTCGAGGAGGTCAGGTGCGCATCGCACGGCATTCACGAAGGCGCGGCGTGCAGACCCAGACGCAGACACCATGGACGCCGCCGATGCGTGCCTCTTCGTGCCTGTGCCTGTTGCGTGCAGCGTGCGGACGGTGCGCGCTGCGCGAACAAGTTCACGTGCGCGGCCAAGCAATTGAAAGTGCGAGGAGCGTCGATGCGGTAGACGGGAGCACGGGTCGCGCTAGTCCCGGTTCGAGCGCCAGCAGCGACTTCCCAAGGAAACAACAGTAGTTAGCGACTTCACATTCGCGCACATTTCCAGCTCGCCGCCATCGAAGTTCGCACTGCATCCGAATCACCACTTCACCTCTATACCGTTGCCATCTTCCGCGTCCTTCTCGACTACCGCCTCCGTCGATTCGACGCGTTCCCCCAAGCGCAGCACTCCTCTGGCCTCAAAATCCAATTCTGATGGCTGTCAGTCATTACCCACTCGCCACGTGCGCCCACCATTGTCCACTGACAGGTCTCAAGCAGCAAATACCCTCGCAGCCGCGCGCCTACTCTCAAGCGTACGTCCCCAACGGAGCTCCGCAGCCCGGTGGCCCAGTGCCAGGAGCTCGACCACTCGATCCCAACCAGGGTCGCGTGCAACAGATTGGCCATGCGCGTGTGTTATGTATAGCGGATGTGCGAGGTATGGAGCACGCCGAGTGCCGTCACGGCGGGACTACATGGCTGACAGGGCTTACACAGGCAACTTGCGGCAGCTCAACGAGCTCGCGCATAATGCAAAAGCAGACTACATTATCCACACTGGCGACTTTGGCTTCTACGACGACACATCCCTGGATCGCATCGCCGAGAAGTATGTTGTCACATGAGAGGCCTGGAAACGACGGCTTTCATGCAAGCTTCCGCTGTTACCTTCGGAGATGGGTACTAATCTATCTCATTGCAGGACCTTGAAGCATGTCGCCCAGTATTCGCCACTGCTTTCTGAGCAGATCAAAGCAGACATTGCTCGAGTTGGCACGCAACAATCGATAAAAGAGCGATTCCAACGCGAGCGCCTGCCCCTTTCCGAACTTCCACACTTTTTGAACAAAACCTACCGGCTCGACGTTCCAGTGTTCACGGTATGGGGTGCCTGCGAGGACGTGTCAGTGCTGGAGAAATTGCGGTCTCAAGAATACAAGATCGAGAACTTGCACGTCATCGACGAGTCGCATTCGCGCCTGCTCGACATCGGCGGTGTGAAGCTGCGTCTGTTGGGGCTAGGAGGCGCGGTCGTGATGCACAAGCTATTTGATAACGGCGAAGGTCGGACAACAATCGCAGGCGGTCAAGGCACCATGTGGACCACGTTGTTGCAAATGGGCGAACTCATCGATACGGCGAACCGCGTTTACGACCCGACCGAGACACGAGTGCTCGTCACGCACGCCTCACCTGCTCGGGAGGGTCTCCTCAACCAGTTGTCCGTCACCCTCAAGGCGGATTTCTCCATCTCGGCTGGTCTGCACTTCCGTTACGGCAGCTCCTACAACGAATTCTCCGTCAATCCATCTCTCGATCACTACCGGGGCAAGCTGTCGGCATCCCGAGCATCTTTCAACGATGTATGGGAGACAGTGAAGCACGAAGTAGAGCCAGCCGTCTCTGAGAATGATGCTCAGCACAAACTGCTGCAACTTGCACTAGAGCTCGTGGGCAAGATGCCGGCTGTTGCCAGTGGAGGCAACCCGTTCGGAGGCTCAACAAACGGTGCTGTGGACGAGTCGGCCTTCAAGAACATGTGGAACTTCAACCTCGCCGATGCTGCGTTTGGATGGCTTGTGCTCGACATCGACCAGGGCCGCATTGGGACTGAGATGCGTGCTCAAGGCTTCAATTTCTCGCATCGCTCCGGCAAAGGTCAGCAGCGACCACAAGGAGTCGGCCCTGCACCAGTCAGCGCTGCCGTTGGCCCCGCCTCAACCAACTTGCCTCCAGCAGCTCAACAGCCATCCGCGGGCGCGCAGCAGCAGACTCGATCGCAGCCTGGTGCCCCTCAGAACCCACAAACGCAAGCCCCACAACAACAGCGCAACCAGCAGGCAGCGACACCGCAGACCGGCTCGACAGTACAGGGGAGCAAGCCTGCAGCGGCGCAAGCTCCTCCGATTGTCAACGGGAACGGAGGCCCAGCCAACAACGATACGACCCAAGTTAATGGCAGCTCACCTGCTGAGGGCAAGCCGGACGCTGCACAGACGAACAAACAAGGCAACGCACATAGCTCACCTCAGCAGCCACAGGAGCCTTCTAAGGGCATCTTCATTCAGAACGCCACGAACGTGAATACTGCGGACGAGCTAAAGGCCCAGTTGTTCGCACCCGAGGACGCGGACAAGATCAGCAATGTTGAGAAGGCTGGTCCAGGCCGATGGGTTGCACACTTTCCCTCAAACGAGGTCATGCAAGATGTGCTCAAACGTGGTCCCGTGAAAGATGCGGGTGACAAGAACAAGGGCGTGCGATTTGCTGCATTCCGAGCCCGAGGCGGCTTCAGCGGTGCCGGGGGCTGGGGCAGCTCTCGTGGCGGCCTGAGCCAGCGTGGTGGAGGAGAAGGCAGAGGGGGCTACCAATCAGCTGGCGGAGCCACCACCGGCAGCGACAGTGAGTCTGGTCGTGCCCGAGGAGGTCGAGGCCGCGGAGGCTTCAGCCGTGGGCGAGGTCGCGGTCGCGGCAAGGCAGATGGCGCTCCAGCTGGCGCAGAGTCCTGAACAGTCCGCACCATGTGAGACATCATTGTGGCGGACTCAATTCGATATCGAGCGTTGTCGATGTCAAGCCCGTTCTGTGGCTGGCGCCGGTGTTCGAGGGGCGGAGGACAAAAAGTGCATGCACACAGTTGCTTTGATACCCGGGCACGAGCGTCGCATAGTTTTTTGTAATTGTAACTAGAACAGGAGGCCGGTGACAGCACTTGCGATAGCAGGGCTCCGGACACTGCCTCTGCAGCACGCGTCGGCTGAACAGAGCAGTTCCCGCACGCTCAGCGGCAAGTCGAGAGAGCAATGTGTACTGTACTGTACGCAAAGTAGCATAGCACCAGCCAAACAATGTAGAAACTCGATCGCGCGCACGTGCCTCGTGTTCCTTGCGCGCGGCAATCGTCTAGTCGTGCGTCACCGCTGCTGCCGGAGCTTACAGCGCCTGCTCCGATCGATCGACCGCACCAGGCACGCGTCCAACTATGCCTATGCTCTCGTGATGAGGGACGCCACCTGCGAGAGAACTTCTAACAACGACACCCCGTCTACCATCACCACACACGGCGAAGCTCCTCGTCCTCCATCCTGATCACGCTCGCACCACCAAGCCGCCGCATGCATCGCTAGCCGCGCGACCACCGAGACGACGACACATCGCCATGGCGAGGGCGACAGTGTGGCGGACGCTCGCGACTGCTGTACTGCTGTGGACACCATCCGCAGTGGCAGCGAGCGCGAGCGAGCCTCCGTGGACTGTGAGACATGAAGCGGGGCGATGTGCCCTTCGTGGGCAGTGCGGCAAACAGAGCCTGTTTGGAAAGGAACTGCCCTGTCCGGACAATGGTCCTGCAGAAGATCCGTCCGAAGAGGTGCGTGACAAGCTGGTTTTGCTGTGCGGCGATGAATGGCGTCACGGAAAGGTCTGTTGCCAGGAAGACCAGCTTGATGTGCTCAAGAGCAATCTCGACACGGCCAACAGCATCATCTCGTCCTGCGGAGCGTGCAAGAAGAACTTCTTCGACCTCTTCTGTACCTTCACTTGCTCTCCTGACCAGTCTTTATTCGTCAACGTCACAGCCATCGCGCCCAAGGGTGACAAGTTCTTGGTGACGGAGCTCGACCAGCTGGTTAGTGAGGACTTTGGTGGTGGGTTGTACAACAGCTGCAGTGATGTCAAGTTTGGAGCTACAGGAGGCAGAGCGATGGACTTTATCGGAGGCGGTGCGAAGAACTACACGCAAATGCTGAAGTTCCTGGGCGACAAGAAACCATTCGTCGGCAGCCCTTTCCAGATCAACTTTCCCCGACCAAATGAGCAATATGAAAAGATGCATCCGATTCTGTCTGATCCAACACCCTGCAACACCACGGACGAGAGATATCGATGCGCTTGCGTCGATTGCGCTGGAGCGTGCCCAGCGTTGCCAGAGGTGACCGAAACCAAGCAATGTCATGTGGGGTTGCTGCCATGTTTGAGCTTCGCAGTCGTTCTCATATACTCGGTGTTCGTGGCGCTGCTGGTGCTTGCTGTCTTTGGTCACGCCGCTGCGGCAAAGAGAAGGCGAAGCAAAAATGAGAGACTTCAGCTCCTGCAAGATGCCTCTCCCAGCGACGATGAAGACGAGGGCGACATGGTGCACGGGGCAGCATCGCTGGATCGGCCGACCAAACAATATTTTGTGAACACCTACTGCGATCGCATCTTCAGTAACCTTGGTCGCGCGTGCGCGAGATTTCCCGGCATCACAATCGGTACCTGCGTTATCGTTGTCGGACTGCTGTGCATTGGCTGGGTCCGATTTGATGTCGAGACGGACCCGGTGAAGCTTTGGGTCGCCCCCGACTCGGACGCCGCCGTCGAGAAACGCTTCTTCGGTGAGAACTTTGGGCCTTTCTTCCGAGCAGAACAGGCGTTTTTGGTGAATGACACCCTTCCGTCCGGCCCAGGTCCAGTCTTGAGCTATGAGACGCTCAAATGGTGGGAAGACGTCGAGCGAAGGGTTCGTGCCCAGGAGAGTCTGCAAGGCGGGTACACGTTGAAGGACGTGTGCTACAGCCCCACGGGCGATGCTTGTGTGCTTCAGTCCGTTACTGGTTGGTTCTCCGGGAGCAGCATTGAGCGAGACTCGTGGCAAGATCAAATACTCAAATGCGCTGACTCTCCGGGTGATGTGGATTGCTTGCCCGAATTCCAGTTGCCTCTGCCGCCTGAGCGCTTACTGGGAGGCTACAATCGATCCTCTGAGCCCGCGACTAGTGCATCCGCGATAGTCACCACTTGGGTTGTCAAGAACTACAACAGCGGGGACCCTGGCCTGGCGAAGGCGGAAGATTGGGAGCAGAGCACAAATCGTCTTTTCCAGGACATCCAGTCTGAGGCCAAAGAGCGCGGATTGCGTTTGAGTTTCAATACCGAAATTTCGCTGGAACAGGAACTTAACAAGAACACGAACACAGACGCCAAGATTGTCATCATCAGCTACATTGTTATGTTCATCTATGCATCGCTGGCTCTGGGTAGCACAACCGTCACCGCAGGCATGATACTGCGAAACCCCGTAGCGGCTCTGGTACAGAGCAAATTCATGCTCGGCATCGTAGGCATCGCCATCGTGTTGATGTCGGTCGCTGCGTCTGTCGGTCTCTTCGCAGCCGCCGGCGTCAAAGCAACCCTCATCATTGCTGAGGTGATACCTTTCCTGGTTTTGGCTGTCGGCGTCGACAACATATTCTTAATCGTCCACGAGTTCGAGCGTGTCAACATTAGTCACGCTGATGAGCCTGTTTCCGAGCGCATTGCACGAGCGCTTGGGCGCATGGGACCATCCATTCTGCTTTCTGCTTCGACTGAAACAGTAGCATTCGCTCTGGGCGCTGCAGTCGGCATGCCGGCTGTGAGGAACTTTGCAGCTTATGCTGCTGGAGCCGTCTTCATCAATGCCCTCCTACAAGTTACCATGTTCGTCTCCGTCCTAGCACTGAACCAGCAAAGAGTAGAAGAAGGTCGTCTCGACTGCGTACCTTGTGTCAAGCTTCGAGAGTCGCATCTAGATCACATTCCTGGTGGTTTCGGTGGCGCTCCTTTCAGCGGCGCTGACGAAGAAGGCTGGCTCTCGAGATTCATCCGCAAGCAATACGCTCCAGCCTTGATGGGCAACAAAACAAGGGTAGCGATCATCACGGTTTTCCTTGGGCTGTTCGCCGCAGGCATCGCGCTTTTGCCTGAAGTCCCGCTCGGCTTGGATCAGCGTATAGCACTACCCTCGGACAGTTACCTGATTGACTACTTCAATGACCTGGACTCATACTTCAATCAGGGTGCACCAGTGTATTTCGTGGTGAAGGACTTGAACGTCACAGCAAGACCGCATCAACAAGAGCTGTGCGCAAGATATACTACTTGCAATGAGTTCTCCCTCGCAAACGTTCTGGAGCAAGAGAGGAAGCGGCCGGACGTGAGCTACATTGCTGATGCGACTGCCAGCTGGATAGACGACTTCTTCCAGTGGCTCAACCCCGATGCAGGAGAGTGCTGTGTTGATGGGTCCAAGGCTTGCTTCGCAGATCGCCAACCTCCTTGGAACAATGCTTTGCGGGGCATGCCAGAAGGCAAGGAGTTTGTGCAATACGCAAAGCGGTGGCTCAACAGCCCCACTGGGCAGGAATGTCCTTACGCTGGACAGGCCGCATATGGCGATGCTGTTGTCATCGACGAGAAGGGAATGACTGTGCCGGCAAGCCATTTCCGTACCGCTCACACACCATTGAAGAGCCAGGAAGATTTCATTAATGCTTACGCCTCCGCGCGCCGAATTGCGAAGGATATCAGTGAGCGCAACGGCATCGAAGTTTTCCCCTACAGCAAATTTTACATATTCTTCGACCAATATGCTACGATCGTGCACCTCTCGACTGCATTGGTCGGAGCAGCGCTGGCATTCATTCTGGTCATCACTACTGTCCTCCTAGGCTCAGTAGCGACTGCTGTAGTTGTGACCCTCACAGTTGTCATGATTGTAGTGGACATCGTGGGAACGATGGCGCTCGCCGGAGTTTCTCTCAACGCCGTCAGCTTGGTCAACATCATCATATGCGTTGGCATCGGCGTAGAGTTCTGCGCCCACATTGCACGCGCTTTCACGATCCCATCCGCATCCATCATGGAGCGGGCTCATAGCAGATTCCGCGGCAAAGAGGCACGCGCGTGGGCAGCACTGGTCAACGTTGGAGGCAGCGTCTTCAGTGGTATCACAATCACCAAGCTCCTGGGCGTTTTCGTGCTGGCATTCACCCGAAGTAAGATCTTTGAGATCTACTACTTCCGAGTCTGGCTTTCGCTCGTAATCTGGGCCGCTCTACACGCACTCGTGTTCCTTCCGGTCGCACTGAGTCTTTTCGGTGGCAAAGGTACGTTTTGACTCTTTTACTATTACTGACTCTTAGACTTTTCACACATGCATAGATCAACGGCTAATTCATTCTTCTTTTTTTAAGGTTACATCGATCCGGATGATTTCGGCGGCCTGGAACAGGATCTTGCGAGTCGAAGATATCGAGCTCTGCTTCCTGATGAAGAGTATGACAGTGATGACTACTAGAGCGTTGAACGGATATGTAAAACTCAATTTTTATATAAATTTGATATGATTAAAGAGCCTGAGATCACGATCGTCATTTTTATTATTTTACTATCGCTTTGAAAGTTCGAATCAGTGCTCCGAGGAGGAAGTAAGTCTTCAAGGTTTCTGCTAGCAGGTAACTATCAATTGTGTCAGTTGTTTGTTATTGCTGTGGGGCAGTAGCGTCCTTTGTGGCAATTCTCCTTCCGGTCAAAGTTATTGTTATAGGCTAGGAGGAGTATACACTGGGTTTGAGTTGTCGTATTCTATGAACGCAAGTCATTGCGCAAACCGAAGTTCATGTGCGAAAGACATGGAACGGCTGTGCAGGAACGACAGCAGAACTTATTCCGTAGAAATGAATCTATTGCACTGCCGACGGATTCCTTGACGCTGACAGCACTTCTCGACATCCGAGCATGCTTGTAGTATGGCTCGTGTTGCTGGGTCTTCTGCATCTCATGACACAGTGGCCATGCTTCGAGCTCGAGCGGCACGTTGTCGCGACTGGGCGATTGAGTTCAATCTCGAAAATGGCACAAGGTCAATAACCTTTTGCAAGAAAGTACTGTAGGTGGCATCAAAAATCTAGTAAAATTGTTCCCCCAGAGCTGGTATCTAGACAATTCGATCAAAACGCCTCGTATGAACTCCTCAAGGTTCCTGTACCCTGCTCCAATCCCTTTTCATAATTCCACGTTAAAAATAACAAGCTATGAGACATGGTTGTTGTTGTGGCGTCGAGATGCCAATTATACACAAACTGCGCAAGCATCGCGAATCGATCTCTGTGTCGCGGATCTCGCAAAAATCTTCATACAAATATTTTTTGCGCACACATTTTCGTGAAATGTCTAGCTCTTGCGGAGGAAGAGTGTCAACCATCCGAGTAATCGGTAGCCGCAGATGATGCCAATCATGATCCCGACCCATTTGCCAGTCTCCCCGGTCTTGTAGCCGTAATTTCGGAGAACTCCGGTGCCAGCGATCATGCATTGGTGTGCAAGTTCTGTCTCGTACATGCACGAGCATTCGCCTCGCGCGTTGGTGCCGCAGGTGAAATTTCTTTGTCCGAATTCGTTGACCATCATGCCTTGGAAGACATAGGATTGGTAGTCAATGTAGTGGAAAACGTAGCGCCAAAATGGATTGAGCGTCTTTGCTGGGACGAGGAAACCGCCAGTACACATCCAGAGGCCGTTCGCGAAGGCGGTTCCAGCAAGAGCGACGACGAAAATGGGGATCAGGGAACTGATGAGAACGACCAGAGATTCGGCAGCGATGAGATCCAGAAACAGCCACATGACCCAGGTGAAGAATGCTTGAGCAGTAGGTCGGAAATTTGACAGCCAGTAGGCGACAATCGAGAAGAGCATGGCGATCAAGAACAAGTAAGGAATGCCAGTGAGGAAGTTGGCCAAGATAAACGAACTGGGACCATAGAGACCGTTGGCGCGCTCCTTGATGAATAGGGCGCGATCCTCGAGGAAGGCAGGAATATAAGCGACGGCCATGAATGACATGAAAGCGCCGCCGAAGAAGATGGCGTTGATGAAGGACTGGATATTGCTTTGATCGGGGTTTAGTCGCAGCCACACAGTGCCCATCATGACTGCCAAGCCCATGTACATGGCAATTCGAATGCCGTATGCGATGATGTCGCGGTATGACTTGATAAAGGAGCGGTGGATTAGTGCCATAGGAATGGCAAATCGACCGGCAGACTCGTCCTTGGTCTCGGCATTGACATCGGTGTCCATGGAGTTGCGCGCCATTTCGTCCGTGAGCTCGTTTACAGTGGCAGTGGCAAGACGCGACTTGTGCCATGACGAATGTACCATGTTCAGCTGCTGATCAACTTCGCTTCGGTCGCGGGCAAAATCGGTATTGACAAAGTCGATGATGAATTCTGCCGGATTCATGTACAACGGAATTGGAAATCCACAGGCGTCGAAGTAGGGTTGCACCTCGGACACGGGTCCACTGTACGCGGTTCCTCCCTGTGAGAGCAGAAGAAGCTTGTCAAACATGGCAAAGGTCGAAGTCGACGGTTGATGTATGGATGCGATCACGATCAACTGTTATGTTCTAGTCAGTGGTGTGGTGGTGCGATATGAAGGCTCTCCAACATACGTTGTGCTTCTTCGCAATGTCTTTGACAAACGAAACGACTTCGAACGAGGCAGCGGAATCCAGACCCGATGTGGGCTCGTCCAGGAACAGTAACTTCGGGCTAGTGATGAGCTGAGCTGCGACAGAAACACGGCGTTTCTGACCGCCAGAGATACCCTTCCTGATCGGTGTTCCAATGAGGTTGTTCGCCTGGCCTTGGAGACCGAAAGCGGTGAGAAGGGCTTCGATTCGCTGAATGCGCTCCAACTTGCTCACCGATCTGGGCAGCGACAGGCGGGCGGCAAAATTGAGCGTCTCTCGCACAGTGAGCGAACCAACAAGCGCATCTTCCTGCTCGACGTAGGCGGAGATACGGCGGAAGGTCTTTGGGTTGGCAGGGGAGCCGTTGATATAAATGGCGGCCTTGACATTGGCAGCGAGCGAGTGCGTTCGGTGGGCCAGCACGTTCAAGAGGGTCGACTTGCCAGAACCACTGCGGCACCGCGTCAGTACAGATGCTGCAAGAGCAGCGCTGCAGTCACTTACGAAGGTCCCATGAGAGCGAGCAGCTCGCCAGCCTTGACCATGCCATTGATATCGGACAGAATGGTCTTTGGCTGCTGCGACTGGCGATCCTTGACCGTCACGCTGACGCCCTTCCAGCCAAAACTGCGGATGTTGGTGTTGGTGAGCTGGGCGTAGTCGCCACCGATCATCTTCTCAATGTCGGACATTTTGGAGTAGCTGCTGCGATCTCGGCGAGCCGCAGCGTCGAAAGAAGGGGCCAGGGTGGTGGTGACGGGGCGGAACAGACCCTCGGCCAGGATGACAACGCTGGAGTGTTGGAGAGGCCAGCTGCCCAGACACCGCAAAGCACGGGGAGGGTGGTGATTAGAGAGTGTTGGGCGGGGATGGGGAGCAGAAGGACGAGAGAGAGGGAGCAGGACGAGGGACTAGTAGGGTGAGGCGGGCAGAATATGATGGATCGACGAGCGAAGGGTCGCGGCCGGGAGTGGACGCCGGAGACTGATACGGCGGGATGGCACACAGGCGAGCGATGCAGCGCACAGCAGAAAGAGCGCTGGCTGCACCGCTCGTCGCACGCCCAACAGCAGCAGCAGCCAGGGGTCCCGTCGCCCATCGCCTCGCCAGACTCGCCGCGTCTTCATCCCTGCGTGCGTGAAGCGCACCCCGAGCCGCTACTGTTTCACGCCTANGTCGTGCCTGCCAAGTCTGCCGGCGGGCGTGCAGTAGCGCACGCCGCCGTGTGACCCGACGTCCTCCAGACAAAACTCTGTAGGCACAGCACGCAGCCTCCGCCGGTGCTTCACGCCCACCCTGCCCGCCGTTGTGCCCAGCGACTGACCCGTGAAATTGCCCGCCGCCAACGGTGTTTGGAGCAAATCGACGCTCCCCCCGTTTGCCCTGTCCTGGAGTCTGATGACTGATGACTGTGGCACGCACGGGACCGCGTGGCCCAGAATGGCCGTGCGAAGCTGATTGCGCCAGAAGCAAGACACCCCGTCGTGTGTCGGCGCTGCCAGTGCTCTAGCTGACGCGCCGTCGTGAGCTGGCCAGGCGGGGACGAGATCCGGCTCTCAACCACGCCGTCGCTTGCTGAAAGCCCTGGCAGGCTAGCAGCATAATTCTTGAATCTTGCGAGATGAATTGGAATCATGGACCGACCAGTGGAGGAGCAGCAGCAGCGAGAGGAGCACGGTACCTGACGCATTTTAGGTTCGACGTGTCGCGAGCGAAGGTTATTCGATCGGAGTATCGCGCCATTCCCGATGCAGCAAGGCACAGACACCCAGGAACACCCGCTCGTCGGGCATCGACCTGTTGCTGAGTCGTCCGCCTGCTGCTGCTGCTATAGTACACTGCCGCTGCCGCTACACACGACATGCAACTCTCCCGCACGCTGCATGCTGCTAGAGCCCCCGACTCTGCGCACACCGTAGCCCATGTGTGATGGAACGCTGGTGGGCGTCGGCAGCACGCTTTCCCCCACCGCCGACCGCCGGCCATGCTGCACGTTGCGGCAGGCAGACGTCAACATCCAACGTCCTGCCACGCAGCGAGCGCCGCTTTGGATCAACTGCCGCGGGCGGATTGCCATGTGTAGCCGTGGTCAGGAATGATCTGGCTGGTTGCAGAGAGACAGATTCATGTGCGCATCGTGTGCTGCCGACACCCGGGATACCGCAGGCTAGTCAGTCAGTCTGCGGCGGGGCCTGTGCGGCAAGGTTTCGATTGATCTCCTCTCACCCCGGTTCCTGCAGCACGGCCGCGGCAGGGGATGGGTGTGGCGCGTGAATCGCACGCTAGCCTTGGCTGGCCGCCGATGGTTGTTTGGAAACGAAGCAGACGGCGTCGATGTGCAGCGATGCGGCCCCAGGGGGTCGACTGGCGAGCCTGGGCGAGCGATCAGCGACGAATGCGATCAGTCACTCAGGAGGCACGAGTCTAATGACATGCTTAGCACCCGCCGCCGCGCCTGAAGAGGCAAGAACGCGGCGGGCGACCGTTTGCTCGCGAGAGCAGATCCCAGAAACGCGCTGTGCCACCGACTGTCACATACGTGCGGCCTGCCGTCGTTGACGCCTCCGCCTGCTTGCTTGCTGCTGCTGCTGCTGCTGCTGCTGCAACGCCGTCGGCACCTGTCTGTCCGCTTGCTACACCACACCGCAGACACCACACTCCCTTCCCTGCTGACCGCACGTCTGTCCGCCTGTCTGTCAGTGAGGCTTCTCCCTCACCACCACCGCCGGCGTCATCACTCTCGTTCTCACCGTCGTCACCGCCGCCGCTGGTCTGAGACATTCTTTCTTCGGCCCCTCCAGACCTGCGGTGCACACTGGACTGGACCGCGAGAATATCCACGCCACCCACTTTTGCTCCTGGGCCCAGCAGCACTCGTCGCGCTGGACATGAAGCTGGCCCAGCACACGCCTCGCCATTGATTGCACATCCGGTCATGGACATCGAACGGCACATCTTGGACGCCGTGTCGACGGCCTCCGACACGGCCTCGCAGCGCTACCTGGATGCCTCCAGCACCAAGTCTCCGCAGAAGTCGCCGCTCATGTCCCATTTTGCCCCCGGCCAGCACCACGCCAACTCATCGGCAGAGGACGTGTCGACAACCAGCGATTCTGGCAATGAACGAGACTACCAGACCGACTTCACTACGCCCGAATCGTCCGAATCTTGCGTGGAGGACATGCAGCCGTACGATGTCGAGGACTTTCGAGATCGCGAATACCCGCAGTTGAAGGGCAAGACCTATCTTGATCACGGAGGCACCACAGTATGTGCTGCCCATAGCTTGTACCAGAACGTAGACACTGATGCTCTTACAGCTTTACGCCAAGTCTCTCATTGACGACTTCGCCGCCGATCTCATATCAAACCTGTATGGAAATCCTCACTCCGCCTCGACTCCTTCCGCCATTGCTGGGCACCGAGTCGACACCATCCGGGAGCGCGCCCTTCGCTTCTTCAACGCCGACCCCGACGAGTTCGATCTGGTCTTTGTTGCTAATGCCACGGCTGCGATCAAGCTGGTGATCGATTGCTTCAAGGACCATGCTGCAGCCAGCAACACTCCCGTCTGGTATGGCTATCATCGCGATTCGCACACATCGCTGGTCGGAGTTCGCGAGTCCACAAAGATGCATCGCTGCTTCACGAGCGATGAGGAAGTGGATATTTGGATCAACAGCGGAGGTCTGGGTGGTCCACGTGCGAGACAGCTCGGCTTGTTCGCCTACCCTGGGCAGTCCAACATGACTGGCCGTCGTCTCCCTCTGAGTTGGTAAGTTGAAAAGTCGCTATGATGTTCATCTTCTTACGGTGGTCGCTCACATGATGTTAGGCCCGGGCGGATCCGCAAATCATTCCACAAGGCTGTGACTTACACGTTACTGGACGCAGCCGCGCTTGCCAGCACGGCTCCTTTGGATCTTGCCGATCCTGCAACCGCGCCCGACTTCGTTGCGCTCTCGTTCTACAAGATCTTCGGCTTCCCGAACATCGGCGCCCTGATTGTGCGAAAGGATTCGGCTCATGTGCTGGAGAATCGCAAGTATTTTGGTGGCGGCACGGTAGAGATGATCGTCTCCATCAACGATACATGGCATGCGAAGAAGGACACTTCTATCCACGACCGGTTAGAGGATGGGACGCTGCCTTTCCACTCAATCTTCGCCCTGGATCACGCCATGAACGTTCATGAGCGCCTGTATGGCCCGAATCCTATGAAGTTCATCTCACATCACACAGCACAGCTTGGACGGCGGTTATATGATGGTCTTGCACACATGAAACATGGCAATGGACTTCCAGTTTGCCGGATTTACAAAGATGAAAACGCAGTCTACGGGGATCCAAGTGTGCAAGGTTCGACGGTGGCTTTCAACGTTCAGCATGCCGATGGCAGCTTGGTGGGTTTCGAGGACGTCGAGGAGGCGGCCGATGAGCGCAACATATACATCCGCAGCGGATCCTTGTGCAACCCCGGAGGCGTTGCGACCTATCTCAATTGGAGTCCCGCTGAAATGAAGGCTGCATTTGCCGCAGGACATCGTTGCTCGAACCCCACCCAAGTCATGCTAGGCAAGCCTACCGGTGTTGTCCGTGTTAGTCTGGGTGCGATGAGCACGGCTTCTGATGTGAACGTCTTGCTACGTTTTATCGAGGAAGTCTATGTCTCGCACAAAGCAGACGAGCGCATACATGCCAACGCTGGAGGGTCTTTGACGGGGCTAGAGTCGCCTCGTTCGGCGGCTGCATGTCAACTAGACCAACTACCGAGCCTCACCATCCCTCATGGATCTGGGCCCTCTCCCTCCAGGTCAAGTACCGCGGCCAGCAGCATAGGCAGTGTGAAGGGCTGGGAACAGGCAGGCGCAGTCATGCCGCCGACACCGAACACCGATCGTCCTCGAGCGCCCCCATTCATTCCGGCAGACTACGTGAAATTACGGAAGCCGTGGGAAGAAGAGATGCGGAAGCAGACTCCGAACTATGCCGCCATGGAAATCAAGGTGCGCGAACTGGAAGACAACAGCATGTTCTCACGAAATCCTACACCGAGCGTAAAGGCGAGGAAATTTGGCCGCAGCGTTGTGAACTTGCTCCGAACGAAAAGCCACGCTCAAGAATCACGACCCGAGCAATCCTACCCGCGCTGAGAGCTGGCGCCCGTTGGACATGCTCCACGAGGAGCATAGCTCGACTTTAAGTTGACAGCTATCACAGCTGAATTGTATAAAACCGACATCGACAGGGGACTCAAAAATGCTACTACGGCGTGGGGCGGTACTGAGATGAGGAATCTACAGGACCTCATTGGAAATCTCAGCAGCACGGCGTTTCTGGGGCGGCAGTCATGTGAATTTTACGATACCACAGGCGGTGGAGAGATGTTTTGACCATCAATTGTTCATATGGAGTGAGATGAGTGATACGCCACACATGGCGTTGGCATTTACTTTGTACAGATCAATAATGTTATTAGCCCAGCAACTTCTATCCGTGGCTGATCCTCGATTTCCGTCGTTCGACTGACGTCCTGTGACGATGTCGATTGATGAGTTCATCAGATACGTCGAGCAAGGTGCCGTCGGGTTTCACAAAGGCCAGGGCACCGTAGTATGTGACAGGTTGCACAATATCAATGACCTGGTCCGGCACTTGCACATCACAGCCGGGTTCTCGGGTGTCTGCAAAGGTGGAGCGAGATGGATGCGAGCTGTCGCACAGCTTACGAGAGGCGAAGATTGACATATCCTGGCATCGAATCCTTTCTATCCACAGCTGTCTATTTAAGCGAGGATTTGCACCGCGTGTGTTCTCTTCTGCATGTCGGTGCGCTGGATCCGGTGTGGCGAGTGGATATGTCATTTGTGGATGTGACGCAGCCAGCCGTCCCATGGCATGCTGTCGCTGCTGTTGTGACACTGATCATCGGTTATTGCTTCCCGCCCAACTGCTTTCGGTTCTGGCAGAGCGGCCAAGGATGCCGTGGCGCGAGCAGAGCAGGGTGTAACGTGTCACATCGATGGAAGCACAAAAGGTCAATCGTAAGTACAGGTACCTTTGAGGACAAGGTGACGTTGGCACAAGACAAGGGGGCAATCTGACGCATGCCGGCATGGGTTGAGAACATGTGCCAGCCTTGCTCCATTGCGTGCTGGGACTGTTCACAGCCACATCGCCCGTGGCAGTGGCAGATTGAAACTTCTCTGGCCCTTTCCAATTGCAGCAATACCCGAAAGAGTGCCGTGTGCTCGGCAGATACACGATCAAAGGAGGATGCAGCCCAGCGCCCGCGGATGCCAAGTTGTAGGTTCACTGGGCGGTTTCGTCTGACAAAACTTGCCATGCTGAGTTCGGCCAGCGGCAGCCATGTCTCGAGAAAGGGTGACGCCGAGCAAGACAAGACGAACGCTTGGGGTGGGCATCGTTGGATGAGCAGCGGAAAGACGAAGACGGAGGGAGGGCGGAGGATCAAGGATGGCAGGCGCGCGGGACGTGCCTTTCCGACGACTCTTCCTTGCTGGACCCTGGATGCCGCTGAACCCCCACATCGACAGCTTGCGGGTCAAGAAATTATTTTCTTGCCCGCTGCTGCAAACACTCTCTGCTGGCTGCACACCACCAGCACTCACCACACCACCGCCGCTCGCATCGACGCCGCCGCCCATCATGGATGAGCAGCAGTTTGTGTCGCTGCTGCAGGCGCTGCTCGAGCCTGACACCAACAAGGTGAAGAGCGCCACGTCCCAGCTCAACCAGCACTTCTACAAACAGCCCGAGTCGGTTGTGGCGCTACTGAATGTCGTCGTCAACCACCCACAACCTGAGCTCCGCCAGCTCGCCTCAGTGGAAGTCCGCAAGCTGGTTGGCAAGCACTGGGCCGCGCTGTCCGAAGAGCAGAAACCACAACTTCGCCAGCAGCTCCTCCAGAGCACCACCGATGAGCAGCAGCAGCTGGCTCGTCACAGCAAAGCCCGCGTCATTGCTGCAATTGCCAAGGTCGACCTCGAAGATGGCCAGTGGACCGAGTTGCCTGGCCTTTTGCAACGAGCTGCCACCAGCGACACCGCACGCCATCGCGAGGTTGGCGTCTACATCATCTACACACTTCTGGAGACCATGCCAGATGTGTTCCAGGAGAACATGTCCACAATGCTGACCCTCTTCAACCGTACCATTCAAGACCCCGAGTCCGTCGATGTGCGTGTCAACACAATGTTGGCACTCTCGGAGCTTGCCATGGTGCTCGACACCGAAGAGGATGCCAATAGCCTGAAGCAGTTTCAAGATGCCATCCCGCATATGGTCAAGGTTCTGCAGAATACCATCGAGAACGATGATGAGGAGCACACAATGCAGGCGTTCGACGTCTTCAACAAGCTGCTCAGCTATGAGAGTGCCTTCTTGAACGCTCATTTTGGTGATCTGATTCAGTTCTTCATGCAAGTATCGGCAAAGACGGAGGTGGATGACGAGGTCAGATCGCAAGCCATTTCATTCCTCATGCAGGCTGTGAGATACCGCAAGCTCAAGGTGCAGAGCCTCAAGGTTGGCGAACACTTGACGAAGATGTGCTTGCAAATTGCGACGGAGCTCGATGAGCTTCCAGAGGAGGAGGATGACATCTCTCCAGCACGCTCGGCTCTTGGGCTTCTCGACATCCTGAGCGAGAGCCTACCTCCAAGCCAAGTTGCTGTACCCCTTCTCAAGGCTATTGGACCTTTCGTGCAGGACAGCCGCCCAGAGTATCGACGTGCTGGTATTCTCGCCCTCGGAATGTGCGTCGAAGGCGCACCTGACTTCATCGCCACTCAATTGAAGGAGATCCTTCCTCTTGTCCTCCACTTGCTTGAAGATCCAGCGACTACCGTTCGTAGTGCGGCGCTCAACGGCGTCTCGCGCTTGGCCGATGATCTGGCCGAGGACATGGGCAAGGAGCACGCCAAGCTCATTCCTGCTCTCGTCCGAAATTTCGACATGGCTCTCCAGGGTATGCGAAACACTCAGAAAGATAGCTCGGAGCACGATCTCAACACACACATCGTCAAGGCTAGCGCGATGGCCGTTGACTCTTTGATTGAGGGTCTGGAGGCCGAAGATGCGGCCAAGTATGTCAGTGAGCTCATGCCACGATTTGCCATGCTTCTTGAACATGACGACCACAAGGTGCAGATGGCTGCAGTCAGTGCAATCGGTAGTATCGCCAGCGCGTCTGAGAGTGCCTTCGAGCCTTACTTTGAAAAGACCATGCAAACGCTTGGCAAGTACATTGACATCAAGGGCAGCAACGATGAGTTGGAGTTGCGCAGCATGGTGATCGACTCTTTGGGCAAGATCGCCAGCGCCGTGGGACCAGAAGCATTCAAGCAGTTCGTCCAGCCATTGATGCATGCCAGCGAGGAGGGGTTGCACTTGGACAACCAGCGGCTCAAGGAGACCAGCTTCATCTTGTGGAGCACCCTCGCGCGAGTGTACGAGGAGAACTTTGAGTCCTTCCTCGAGGGTGTTGTCAAAGCTCTGTTCGCTTGCCTTGACCAGGAAGAGGTCGACTCTGAAGTCCAGCTTGGTGCTGAAGCATCTGACCTCATCGGACAAGAAATCACCATTGCAGGCAAGAAGATCAAGGTCGCAGGCGCCAATGGCCACAACGAGGACGACGAGATCGACGAAGAAGAAGTTATCAAAGCTATGATGGAGACTGAAGACGACGACGACGATGACTGGGATGACCTGGGCGCTGTCACTGCTGTTGCCATGGAGAAGGAAATCGCCGTCGAAGTACTGGGCGACGTGCTCACTCACACGAAGGGCAAGTTCCTGCCATACATGCAGAAGACGATCGAGACCACCATTCCCCTTCTTGAGCACACCTTTGAGGGCGTTCGCAAGAGTGCCATCAGCACGCTGTGGCGCGCCTATGCATGCCTGTGGGGCCTAGCGGAGGACGACGGTATGCAGAAGTGGCAGCCTGGTCTGCCATTGAAGGCCAAGCCTACGGCCGACCTGGAGAAGTTGGGTGATCTTGTGATGAGAGGCACATTGGCCTTGTGGGAAGAGGAGATGGACCGGTAAGTCATCCTTTCGTGCTGCTCTTGTTGAGACTTGATCACTAGACATGTTCAATGCTAATTCTGGACACAGTGCTACCGTCACCGAGATCAACCGCAACCTCGCCGCTACCCTCAAACTGTGCGGGCCCGCTTCTCTGGTGCCTGCATCTAGCTCGAACCAATCCACTCCACTCGAACAGGTTACCAGCGCTGTCATGCTGATGCTGCAGCGTAGCCACCCCTGCCAGAAGGACGAGGATGATTTCGACGAGCCAGCACCGATGGAGGGTGAAACCGCCGAATATGACTGGCTGGTAATCGAGACCGCAATGGAAGTTGTGACTGCACTCGCCACAGCTCTTGGTCCTCAGTTCGCAGAGCTATGGAAGATCTTCGAATCTCCCATCGTCAAGTACTGCTCCTCGCAGGAACGCTTCGAGCGCTCTGCTGCTGTCGGCACCATGGGTGAGTGCATCGAATCCATGGGAGCTGCATGCACTCCATACACGCCACGTATGTTCAAGTTGCTCCTGAAGCGTCTCAGCGATGAGGACCCTGAAGCGAAGAGCAATGCTGCCTACGGTATGGGTCTGCTCTGTCTTCACAGCACGGACGAGAAGGAAACCCTGCCAAACTACAACACCATCTTGGGACTGCTTGAGCCTCTGTTGCGCAAGAACAACGGTGCGAACGAGTCCGAGGCACGTCTGCTCGACAATGCCGCAGGCTGTGTCTCTCGCATGATCAAGAAATCGCCAAACAGCGTACCGCTTGACCAAGTACTACCACACCTCGTCGATCTTCTGCCACTGAAGGAGGATTTCCGCGAGAATGAGCCAGTGTTCGACATGATCATCAGCCTCTACCAAGCTCAGAACCCTGTCATCCAGGGTCTCACAAGCAAGTTGCTGCCAATCTTCGAACAGGTCCAGCAGCCACCGGAGGACCAGATCAGCGATGAAATTCGAGGCAAACTCACAGAGTTGACGAATTACCTTCGTAGTTGAATAAATCCTCAACTTCCGATTGATGAATGTTAGCACAAAAAGCGTAGCATATATAGAGAGAGATACCCCGAATCCGTTGAACAAAGCGCGATAGACCGTTGCTGATTGGGCTTGCATGAGACATTCACGGATGATTACGAATGAGCATTGGTTCAACTTGAATAGTGTCATTCGTTCTATCGGGTATTTTCTTTGAGTATCCTAGGCCCACCACCTCGTCCATTGAGCGGACGCTTCACGTTGCCATTGAGTACACTCGACTCTGGTGAGCCGTATGCGCTCGCTCCTTCCAACCGGCGTCGTTTGGACATAGAATTTGCCCGATCATTCGCGTCTAGTTCTTCAGTCTCACCGTCTGCATCGGCATCGTTGTTAGGTGTAGCTTCATCGTCAGCACTGCCGACCACGGCTCCCGGATTAGGTGGCGTTTCGTACGACATCTTTTCCTTCTCATGCTGCTGCCAATCCATATTTGATGCTCGAGGCATCGGTCCTTGGACTCCCCAAACAGAGCCATTCATGACCATGTCCTCTTGAAGAGCATTAGAACCCTTTTCAGTATAAATTTGTGGTCGAGAAGTCGCTGAAGGTGCTGTAGTGCGCGAAGAGCGCGTATTTGCGCGGATAGTGGATCGCCATTTGGAAATCAGCGTTTCTACGTTGTAATTCGCTTGGGCCGCCGACATGCTTGCACCCGAGCGGTTCACCTCCTTCATCACCGCGGGTGGCACGGGGATTGTATTTGGAGGATGCGTAAGATACTCCCGAGGAAGCTGACATCGCGATAAACGGTCGTACTCGGCCTCAAGGTGCTGATTATGCTGGTGCAGTCGGTCTATTTCAGTCTGAAGTTGCTCATTGCGTTCCTGAGAGCGTGTGAAGGAGCGCAAGATTTCGAGCTGCCAGGCCGAAGTACGCTCTGATTCCGGCATTCCTTCCCAATGCTCCCAAGCACCCGAAAGGTGCGTATGATGTTTGAACAATACGGAGTCCGGAACGGGATCGTTCTGTTGTCGCTGATTGATGCGCTCGTTCATGAGACGAATCATGGCCTCGTACTGCCGTAAGCCAGGAGCGCCAATGGTCCACGATTCAGCAGACGCAAAGGGAGCTGGGCTGAACAGAGTGGTGGGCGGCGGGAGAATAGCTAGACAGAGGCCTGGAAATGATAACGAGAAGAAATCAAAATCGTTGTAGAGCAATTTGGGTTCAACCTTCTTCGCGGCGGCCTCCAGACTACCCAGAACTTCACGTAGGGCCATCTCTGCGGCGCGACCCATTTCCGCAGCCTCTTGCAGTCTCCACATGCTGTCGCCGCCTTCGTACTCGGGACGCTGGATTCTGGTGCCCCCGGCGTCGCGACGCATGTCCTGAATACGTTGCGCTTGGCCTGAAGGTGCTGGTGGATGCTCGGAAGCACTTCGTGAAGGTGCTCGCGGGGGCAGATTGTTTATGACGCCCGTGGCCTGCCAATTGGCCTTGTTGAAGAATGAGGCAGGCTCTTGCACGTCTTTAGAATTCACAGGCGATTGGATTGGTGTCTCCTGGTCGGCGCGCGCAGTGGAGGCCGCCTTTTCATCCTCGTCGCCGTCGCCGCGGCCATCTCGGCGCGTTGCGCTGTGGTCGACGCTGTTGCGCGCATTGCTGGCAGCACCACCCTCCGCTTTGCCGCTCGTGCGCGGCTGCCGGCGCGTTATACCTCCGCGTAGCTTCCTGATCTCATCGACGTCGTGCACGCCATCGGGAGGCTTGGGATTCTTGGGTCGAATATACAGATCCAAATGGCGGCCTAGACTGGACGAGGTGAAGGCCTGTCCGCAGAAAGGACAGGCGCGGTCTTTGGGCGCATGAACGGTCTTTGATGCGCTGTGAGGGGCGGGAGTCGAGTTGGGCGTGGAAGCAGACGTCTCGGGCTGTGCGTTCTGTTCGTCGTCGGGTACTGCCATGTTGTTTGGTCGGGTGTTGTTGCGCGAAAGTGCGGGCGGGGGTGTCGCAGAGACGCCGAGCGTGCGCGTTTAGGCGAGCGCGGAATCCAGCATCGTAACTGTGCAGGTGCGTAGCAATGACCGCGACCCGATTGAAGTAATGTAGCTCCCTCTTCTTTGAGTGCTGCTGCGCGGCGGCGGCCAGCGGACTAAGCGGACGTGGAAGTCGTCTCGTGTTGGTCGGATCGGAGTAAGCGCAGATGCCGTTCCCTTCCCACCTTCACACTCCCAAACCTTCCTCATGTACGGACATGGACTTACGTGGGATGCTCGTCGGCGTCGACGTTGTACACTACATCCATCATAAGCTCACTATTACTACATGCAGCACTCGACTGGCAACTCTACATGCTGCAACGAGACACATTGCGGACGAGGAATTACTATTGGTGTTGCTACGGATGAGGGTATTACTAGGAATTATGATTTTCTCCGAGTGGTCTGTCATGGATCGAACATCGAGTCGAACTACACTGCAGAACCTGGTGCAGCCGTTGTCGTTGGTACTGGCTCTGCAACTGTGCCTGCCGGCGCCGCGACTGGAGGAGGAGCAGCTGCTTCCTCACTCTTGGTCACAGGGCTGGAGATGGGACTCTCGTCGTTGCCAGGCAATTCGTTCGATGTCTGTCCAGCAACACTCGCAATGATGCTGTGCCACTTCCTTGCATCGTCGGGCGTGTGGGCCTTGAAGGCGAACTCGTGAGCCCGAGCCATCTTGTTCATCATGGCGTTGCCGCTCGTATCCTTTCCTCGGACGTTGAACTTGACGCCGTCCACAGCACCAATCATGCAATCGGGGAGGTAGAGGGAGTTCTCGGGACTGGGATCCTTGGCGAAGTCGTCGTCCGTCTTGAATTCATGCAAATACTTTGACGGTGTGACGACATAAAAGCCAGCATCGTAGCGCTTGAGCATCTTCTTGCGCTCCAGCGAGCCAGCTATGAGCGGGCGGGTAGCGGAATGGTCCTGATTGGCGAACTTGCATGTTGTCAGTTCACCTTGGCCTGCATGATCACGGACTGCCTCCATGTGCTTACCTTGATTTGTTCAACTGCACGCTTGCCGCCATTGGGATCGATCAAAACACCAACATTACGCTTCACAAAACCGTTCCACTCAAAGTCGGCAGGTATACGCTGAATCTATAAGGCGTTAGTACAGCCAAGTCTTGCCATCGAGATGAAGTCTGACGTACCGTGCCTGTCATGTCGCCATACAGCGAGCGCGTATTGTCCGCCTGCGTGGACACCACCTGGTTGAATTGTTGCCAGCCATGTTGCAGCGTGGCGATGATGTGCGCTTCAAATTGTGCAAAGCTGTTCTGCACGGAGAGCATATCGTCTCTGTTGTTGTTCTCCTCAAGTACCTGGCGGCCATGAGATTAGCTTGTGTGACCTGGCTCACTGATGAGGGCCAAGACCTACCTGCTTGTTCAAGCGATGGTAGACCTGGCGTTGCAGAATGTACGGGTCATCGGCAGCTTTGACACTACCGCCTGAGGAATCGTAAGCGGCGGTGTGCTGACCCAGAAGCTCAATGTGCTTCTGCGATACGCCTCGCGCCTTGTCCACGGCTTTAGAGCCCTTGCCGGCACCCTTGGTCAGCTCCTTGGTCTTGTTCTTGATCTCCGAGTGCAACCGCTCAAAGATGGGCAAGACGGTGCCCTTGAGAGTCGAAGCCGTTTCATTATGGCTGTTGACCAGAGCTTGTGTGTTCGAACGCACGTTGTCGAAGAGCCCGGCCACACCGCCCAGGTTTTGGTCAAAGTGATGCCCTTCCTTCAGAGGGCTGCTGACGGTCTTGAGCACTTTATTATAATCTTTGGCATTGTCGTGGTGCATCTTCTCCGTGGCCTGAATGTAATCCTCGACATACTGTACCATGTCAGCGGGAGCACGGCACGGCTACGGCGGGCAAGACGTACCTTGACGGCATGTTTCCAGGCTTGCAAGCGCTCATGAAAGAGCTGAGAGGTCTCACTGGAATCTTCGTCGGGGATAGCATCGTCGTCGAGGGTGCTGCTGGTGCGGGTGGTCGCGGACCGGGTTGGGAGTGTGGAGGTTGGCGAGGCCATGGCCGGGGCTGTGGATGTTTCTTAGTGGGGTGAATGTGGGTGCTGCTGTCGGTCGGTGGTGCGGGAACGCTCTTGCGGAACAACTCTGGGGATTAGGATGGGACAACGCGCAAGCTGGCGGTATTTAATGGACCTTTCTGGGCACCGCTCAAGAAATTGAAGCTTCGCTCGAGGCGGTGGACGTGACGTCAGACAGACTAGAACTTGCTCCCAGGCACAGCTGCAGCTGCAGATCTGGTATGTGTGGCTTGGAAAAGCTTCTGAGCCACAGCGAAAGACTGGATTCTGGACTGAGTTGCGGTCGAGTAGTGCCCGGTCCGGTGGTGATGATGATGATTAGTTAGCGCTTGGGAATCAGGGTCACCCACGCCGACGGACGCCGAGCCCCGAGCACCGCAGATCGAACGAAGAGAAGCGTGCACGCCCGCCAGCGACAAGACAAGTAAGTGCAGCAAGTGAAGATGCACGATGCAGATAGTGGAGGCAATCGCCGAGAGCCGGGGCGTGCACATGGACGTGCTCCCTGCAGCAGCGATAAGCGATAGCTCTGCGACCCCCGTCTCGCTCCTCCCGCCCACGGTCTTCTCGAGAGAGTTTGTGCTCGCTCCGAAGTCGTGGTGGTCACTGGCCGGCGTCAGAGGTATCCCACAGCCAGCGCACCATGCCCGCCGTCATCGGGCGAGCCAACTGGGGCGCTTTACTGTGGACCCGTGGACATGCCGCGAGACCTGGAGAAAATCGCCTCCGCAATGCTGCGAGTCACTCTTTCTCATATTCTGCCCTTGCCGCCTGGCATCCATCGCGCCTGCAATTTCCTCCCGCAAGCATGACCGCCTCGCAGCAGCACCGCAGCTTCGGCGCCTCGGCCGCCCAGCGCAGCTTGAACATCAACAACATCAATCCCCACGTCAAAGAGGCCAAATACGCCGTGCGTGGCGAACTGGCTATCAAAAGCGAACAGTATCGGGCACAACTTGCTAAGGGCGAGGGCCAACACCTACCTTTCGATTCCGTCATCAGCGCCAACATCGGCAACCCCCAGCAGCTGGATCAAAAGCCGATCACCTTCTTCCGTCAGGTCGCCAGCTTGGTGGAGAACCCGGAGCTGCTCGAGCATGGCGATGTACTTCAGAAGAGCCTGGGTTACAAGAGCGATGTCATTGAGCGTGCCAAGACGCTGCTCAAGGACGTCAAGAGCGTGGGCGCATACTCGCAGTCTCAAGGTGCACCAGGCATTCGCAAGAGCGTGGCACAGTTCATCGAGAGAAGAGATGGCTATCCTGCCGACCCGGAGAATATCTATCTGTGCGCGGGCGCCAGCGCCGGTGTCAACGCACTCATGAATGTCATCTGTGACGGCCCTTCGACAGGCGTGTTGGTTCCCATCCCTCAGTATCCCCTCTACACCGCGACTCTCAGTCTGCTCAATTCACAAGCCGTACCATATTACCTGGACGAAGAATCACGATGGAGTACAGATGTGGAGGCTATGCGCTCAGCTCTCAAGACTGCACGGGACAAGGGTATTGACGTGCGGGCGGTGGTTGTGATCAACCCAGGAAACCCCACGGGTGGCTCCTTGGACGCTGAGCACATTCGTGCAGTGCTGCAATTGGCAGCCGAAGAAAAGCTGGTAGTGCTCGCCGACGAGGTATATCAGACCAACGTCTTCGAGGGCACTTTCACGAGCTTCAAGAAATGTCTGCGGGAGCTGCAAGCGAGCGAGCACAACAAGGAGGGCAAATTTGACTTCCTGGAATTGGCCAGCTTACACAGCATCAGCAAAGGTATGGTGGGAGAGTGTGGGCACCGTGGCGGATACTACGAAATGGTCGGCTTTGATCCCGAGGTGAGATTGACTGATTTGAATCAAGAAACACTGCCCTCTGTTCTAACGTGCTAAATAGGTCGTTGCGCAAATTTACAAATTCGTCAGCATCATGCTGTGCCCGCCTGTTGTCGGGCAATGCATCGTAGAGCTGATGGTGAATCCACCAAAGCAGGGCGAGCCCTCGTACGAGCTCTACCGCCACGAATATGATGGCATCTTCAACAATCTGCACGACCGAGCGCAGGCTCTCTACAAAGCGTTTGCGGAGATGGAAGGGGTGGAATGTCAGCCGCCACAAGGTAGCATGTACCTGTATCCCACCATCAATCTTCCTGCCAAGGCCATTGAGGCAGCACAAAAGGCAGGAAAGCACCCTGACGACTTTTACTGCCTGGAGCTATTGGACGCGACGGGCATTTGCATTGTGCCTGGCTCTGGATTTGGACAGAAGGAGGGCACGCTGCACTTCCGCACCACGTTCTTGGCTCCTGGAACGGAGTGGGTGTCTCGCATCACGAGCTTTCACCAAAAGTTCATGGACAAATATCGATGACGAGATTTCATGTCTATTCACTAGGGCGAGGCGTTGGGGCTCCAATTCATTTGCACCCAAGTGCTCGGTGCATGGTTGCACGGCATGTGACTTTCCATAGATTGAGCGGCCACCAAACATCATAAGCTGCGAATGATAGCATGAGAAAATTGCAAAATTGCCCAATGAGTGCTGTGCCTCCCGTAGCATCACATGTTACAGGTGAATGTCGGGCATGTCGGGGTGCGTGTGGAGTGTGAAGTGCACGGGCGAGACCCTTGAATTCAACTCGAGCACGGACCATTTAAGCTTTGCCCGTGGACGACAGCTTGCACATCTTTTGATTTATCCACCACCGCCGCACAACCACTTCCATCGCATCGACACCGCCCGCTCATCGTGCAGCCGCATGTAGCAATATCGAACCTTATTCTACCTCGGTCTACACGCAACTCGCACCCGTCTATACACCCTCGGTTTTCCTCCCGATCAAATGGCCTCCACCGCCAACGGCAGCGCTAGTGGTAGCACTGCTCAGGATGGCATGAGTGCTGCTGAGCGTCTGATGCACGCGCACAAAGTGACAATTGAAGATGCAGCCGACGAGGATTTGCCATCCACCGCTTCCACCGCTGCACCTCCAGCCACTGGCACCACGAGTGCTTCGCACGATGGCACTGTCTCCAGCGGCAATGGCAGCAAGTCTGCAGGTAAGCAGCCGGTGCGCGAGGCACCTGCTGCCAATGCCCCACGCGCACCGACTTTGGATACACAGTCTGAGGAGCTATTCCCGTCCCTCGGTGCCCCCAAGGGGCCCAGCGCGGGAACGAGCATGTGGTCCAACAAACCTGCAGCTGTCGGCAAGGCAAACGGAACTTCGAACGGTACAGGCTACGGTCGGGCAGCCAATGTGCCTGTCCGCACTATGAATGCGACCCCAGGTATCGTCAACGCAGGCGCAGGCCGAGGGCCGGCACAGGTCAATTTGCCCGGTCGCAACAGCGAACAGGTATTGATCCCTACTCACCTGATGACGCCGCGCGCCCAACTCAAAAAACCTGTCGCCGACATTCTGCGCGATATCAACAAGCGTAGCAAGGCCACCGTCGAGATGAAATCTGGTCCGGGAGGAAACTACATCATCGAAGGTACAGGCCCAACTGATGCTGTGCGTCTGGCTTTGAAGGAGGTTGCCAGCCAGCTATGCTCAAAGGTAAATACGTGATGCATGGATCGAAGACTAGGAAGCTAGCTAACGGATAACAGCAAACCGCCAAGGTCCCGGTGCCCATGAGCGTGCGTGGCAGGATCGTCGGAAAGCAAGGAGCTACAATTCAAGCCATCTCGAAGAAGACGGGAGCGCGAATTAATATCTCGAAGCAAGAGGCTGCCGAAATACTCGAGGACGATGACATGGACGCCACAATCGACGTTACCATTGAGGGCGATCCCTTTGCGGTTCAGATGGCGAAGGAGGATATCGAGAGAATTGTCAACGAACACACCTCGTCCGGTACCTCGCGCCTGAAGAATATCCCACCCGAGTACTATCCTTTCTTGGCAGCGCCGCACAATCAGCGCCTCCACGGCCTGAGAGAAGGTCGCGATCTGAAGATTAACATTCCCCAGTACCATACATGGAGCAATCAGTTTCCACCGACTTTGCCTGATGGACGTCAGCCTGCAGCTTTCAAGGCTCAGTCGAATCTCCCGATCCAGCTTGCCGGAGACAGACAGGCTATTGCCGAGGCCAAGGCTGAGATTGAACGCCAGGTGCAGGAATTGGAGCGACAGCTTACTCTCGAGCACGTGCCTGTGGAGCGGGGCAGACACCAGTTCATTGTGGGGGAGAAGGGCAAGTCATTGCATGATTTCCTGCAAGAGACTGGCTGTTCCGTCATACTTCCTCCTGACGGAGATGACAGCGAGGTGCTTGCTGTTATTGGTCCAGCGGACAAAATCGACGAGGCGACCAACAAAGTCATGGAACTCGCATCTAGCATGGCTATGGCTAGCGCAGATATCGCACGCGCCCATTCGAGCGCACCTCGAGGAGCTCAGGTCCATGCACGCGACATCACGAGATACTTGCAGCAGCGCCAAGCTCTCCAAGAATTGGAGCGGGCACACGATGCACGCATTGTCCCTGACAGTGCAGGCGCCTGGCAAATCTACGCGCGCGATGGCAAGAATGCAATCAAAGCCCGTGCCGATGTCATGAATCTGGTTGCCGGGCATCCACCCAGCCGATTCCAACCGGTACAGGTCGATCCTTTCTACCACCAACACATCCGCGAAAAGGAGGCTCCACGCATCCGCGAGCAACACGGCGTCCGCGTCGTGGTTCCGGAGGGACACAGCGATGAGCCGCTTCTTTTGGTCTTTGAGGATCGTGCTCCTTCACCCGAATACAGTCTGCCTCGGGGTGCTCCACAGGCCGCGCAGATCAAGTCCTTTGAACAAGCATTGCAGCAGGCCCAGCGAGAAATCAACACGCTGTTACAAGGCAGGCCTGAAATTGTGTCGAGGCAGGTCGATGCTCCCGCTAAGTTCCATGACAAGATTCGTCGACACGTCGACAGCCACCACCGAGGATTGGCGGAAGATCAACTTCCTGTCCAAGTGTCGTATGGTGGTCAGCGTCAGGCAGCGCCACGTCGTGAGCAGGAACCTCGCGTGAACCTCCGTGGACCGCAAGACTCCGTCGAGGCTCTGTTGGCAAGTCTCGTCGCTTTCATCGAGCAAGAGCATAAAGACGAGTTGGAACGCGACTTCAAGCTGAGTTTCGATTTCCCACAACAGCATGCCAATCACCTGATTGGACGCAAAGGCGAGCACATCAACAGCCTCCGCGAGAAGTTCGACGTCGACATCCAGCTCAATGAGGGCAAATGTGAGATCAAGGGGCCTGAGGCCAAAGCCAAGTCATGCAAGGACCATATCCTCAGTTTGGTAAAGAAGCTTGATGATGAGAAGACGCATCACCTGAACATTCCTCAAGAGTTCCACAAGGACCTCATCGGAGCCCAGGGAAGTCAAGTCAATCGCTTGCAAGAACGATACGGCGTGCGCGTCCAATTCCCGCGTAACAAACAAGGAGGCGAGGATGACACAGCTACTACTGAGGGTGCCTCCCGCCGTGAAACCCAGAAGCCATACGAGGTTATTGTCAAAGGCCCTAGCAAAGGTGCGGATGCCTGCCGGGATGAGTTGTTGAGCCTGCTAGAATACGTCAAGGACAACTCTCACAGCGCAGTGGTGTCAGTCGCACAGAGTCAATTGCCATCTTTGATCGGTGCCGGCGGTAAGGAAATGGACGCTCTGCGCGTCCAGACCGGGGCTCAGGTCGACGTACCCGGCGCCAAAGATGCAGCCGGAGCGGAAGGTCGAGTCGAGATCAAGATCAGAGGCTCCAAGAAATCAGTAGAGGAAGCGAAGAAGCTGATTCAAGAAAAGGCGAAAGTCTTCGACAACACCGTTACTCGCACTCTCAATGTGGACCGGAAACATCACGGCCGCATCATCGGGCCCCAGGGCAGCAATCTTCGCGCTACGATTCTGCAGGCTGGAGGTCCGGAGGATACCCGTCTCCACAATCGCATGATCCGCGTACCCAAGAATGACAGCGAAGGCAACGAGGTCCGAGTCGAGGGTCAGAAGGCTGTTGTGGACAAGATTTGTGCTGCTATCGAGGCTATGGTGGCCGAACAGGAGTCCCAGACCACGGAGATTCTGGAGGTCAAGCCAGAGAAGCACCGCTTGCTCATTGGACGTGGCGGTGAAACTCGACGTCAGTTGGAACAGCAGTTCAACGTCTCGATCAACGTGCCGCGACAGAGCGAGACTGGCCCGCAACGCTCTCAAGTCCGCGTGACCGGCCAGCCGAACGAGGTGGAGAAGGCCAAGGCACATATCCTCGAGATTACCAAGGACCAACAAGGCGAGACTGTCGCAGTTCCGCGCAAGCTTCACCACATTATTGCCGACAACGGGCAGTTCTTCCGGCGCTTGAGGAACGATCACAAGGTGACGGTAGACCACGATGGCCAGCGTCCTCCGCCGAAACAGTCCACGCCTGTGCCTAGCCGATCCAATGGCAGCGGCGCAATGCCTTTGATCACAGACGAACCCACCGACTCTAGCAGCAGCCATTCGTGGGAAGTGCACGAGTTGCATGGGAGTGGTGAGGAAGGCGAGATCCCGTGGATCTTGAGTGGACCTTCCACTGAAGCTGTACAAGCAGCACGAGCGAAGCTTGATGCGGCCATTGCAGAGGCCAGCAAGCTAGACACGATCGGATTCTTGATCCTGCCCGATCCTCGTGCGTACCGCCATGTCATCGGACCTGGTGGCAGTGAGATCAACCGCATCCGCTCCAAGACCAAGACCAAGATTCAGGTGCCTCGCGACCAGAGTAAAGGCGAAGCGATTGAGATTCAGGGCTCTCAGGAGGGCGTGGAACAAGCCAAAGACAGTATGTTGGAAGTGGTTCAGAACCACGCATAAGCAGAATGGCGTGACATTGATACAGCGGCATTTGGGGTACGAAAAGGGATAAACGCAAAAGTTTGGAGCGATTTCCTGTAATGCACATAGCAAATGATATAGAGTGACAATCGACTATCGCAACGATGCGCCGCGTCTCTTCGAGCAAACTGTGCTTGCGCGATCCATGTCCTATGCTCTACTGACGCCGGCGAGCCGTACAGCATCGGCATCGGCGTCGGCAGGGGACAAATTTAAAGCCGATGCGAGTGCACTTCGGTTCTTTCGCTGGCATGCCGCACAGCACCACGACCAGCACAGCCATTTCACAATGTCGAAACGCAAACGGGAAGCGGACGAAGAGGAGGATGCAGACACTGAGGGGCACGGGTCGCGAGACTTCCGGCGACAGCGACAGATCATGGCGACTTTTGCGCAAAGTGCGCAGCCACTGGAGCAGGCACTGAAGCTTGCGCGCGGATTTGAACGTCAAAAGCTGGGCCGGCGGAAAAAGACTGCACGAGGAGATCAGGATACAGCGGCACGCATAGATGCTGAGGTCGCTGCGCTGAAGAAGCTCGACCTCGCGCGGTGTGCGCAGAATGTGCTGGCGAAGGCGCTTTTGAAGATCAAGGCGGTGCGTGAGGCTCCTCACTTGCCTGCTCCCATTCGCAACCCGACACCCGTTTCTACCGAGACAGCGACGCTTAATGTGTACGCGCGACTATGCAGCTCGAATCCGGTCAAGGCAGCGCTGCCTACAGCCACTGCCGGCATGAAGCGCGAGATGGGTGTGGAGGAAGCGGGGCACCGAAAAAAGGACCACCAGCCTGCGAACGATGGACCCGACAGCGATGACGACGATGATGCTTCTGTCAGTAGCGAGGCAGATGGGTCGATCTCAGTAGATTCAGACGTGGACGTGGACGATTTGGAGCGGCAGTTGGAGCAAGAAGGAGTGCCACGTACCTCGTCGGCTGCACGAAAACGGCGGCGGGACAACGATGCCTTCAGTGATCAGGAACCAGATGCTGCTTCCGACGCCGAGTCAGAGGAAGCCCACCACGACAGCAGGACTGCGCCCAAGAAGCTCTTCCTGCCGAAGCTAACCATGGCCGGCTACGTATCTGGCAGCGGATCCGATGTGGAAGACGATGTGGAAAGTGCGAAGCCTAAAAAGAATCGGCGTGGACAACGAGCCCGCCAGGCGATTTGGGAAAAGAAATATGGCAAGCAAGCCAAGCACGTGCAAGAGCAAGCCGGGAAGCAAGACTGGGATGCAAAGCGTGGAGCAGTGAGCAGCAGCAAATTCGCAAAGGATGCCAATAAGCTTCCACTGGGTAAGCGAAGATTGCCGGGCTCAACGATGAAGCCCACCGTGGCGAGCAAAAAGCCACAACGAGACGATACGGGCCCTCTGCACCCCAGTTGGGAAGCTGCAAAGCGAGCGAAGGAGAAGAAGAGCGTACCAGTAGCTTTCCAAGGGAAGAAGATAAGTTTCGATTAATCGAGGTCAAGTATGTCAATCTCATCACTGTTACCTCTCTCATCATGCTATGTGCAACTCAACTGCGAACTTCATAAATCATGAATTACTGATTGTATATGAACATGGGTATCATCTAAGCCAAATCATTGTGGGCATTCACCCTTCAAACGAAGCTCCCAGTCTCTCCACTCGCGAAGTCATTACTCTGTCCCAGGCAATTCGAACAAATCTTCCCAAAGACTGCCAGAAATGCCGACCAGCCTCGTGCTCTTTAATCCTCCCGAGCAACTCGGCGACTTCTTCCCTGACCTCAAGTTTTGGGTGGAAAAGTCCCATGCCTATGTACAGCAGTCCCGAGTTCTGCCCGCTTCCAGAAGCAGTGGGCTTGCTTTCCCACACGCCGTTGACGACGATTGATAGTAACTGGTTGATCTCTTGTTCCGTGCGCGTTGCGGCACATATTGCGAGGTAAATGTTTGCGCTTTGCTCATTTCCAAGTCGCAACTTGGCCAACTTGTCGTGCAGGTGTTGCAAATCCAAGTGCTTGATCGGCCGGTGCACGTAGAGTGCTGCCAGATCTTGCACAAAATTGTAGTAGCTGCGCGTGTTGCGCCAGCCTTCGATCCGTGTCGAGTTGGCTGCCAACTCGTTGGTCTTACTCAACGCAGTTGGCCATACATACCCATGCCCCGTGACCTCAGGTGGCATCTTGTCCGCTCTTCCATCGGTCGGACTGATTGGCGATTCCTCAGGCGGGAGTGTTGTCTGTGGACTGTCCGGATTGTGAATGGAAAGAGCGCTGGCGCCGTAGACGGTCTCTTCGAAGCTAGCAGCAAGCCTAGTGAACTTGACAATCCATTTCCTGAATTTAGCTCGTATTGCGTGCTCGCCATGTCTCTCGTTGATGGCGAGGAGCACACTCTGCATGAATGCCCCGTCACCGGTTGCATCGCTGCTCATACTGTTATTCGGAGCGGCGTTACCGCCCAGACCTGCCGATAAGCTCGCGCCGGCGGTCATGAACGAGGCAATACCACCTCCACTACCACTCGAGGCGACTGTGCCCGGTTGATGAGTGTTCTGATGAAAGAAAGCCACGCCCTCCGTCAGCGGAGCTTGGTCGATGCGATTGGAGATCTTCATTCGCCCTGTGCCGAGATCGCACATCAAATCCCACCATTCTGCGTGATGGGTGAACATTGGATTTGTGACGCCAGCGATGAAGCCAGGAACCCTGAGTAGGTCTTCGATCTTGGTTAAGTCGGTATAAGGAAACGCATGCCGCGTGAAGCCGCGAAGAATGCCTCCAGAAGCAAGAGCACACGCTGCCAGAACTGCCTCCGCAACATCAGAGCTGGGCAATTTGTCGCCGAGGAAGATGACACGCTTCTGTGTCAAGAGAGCGTTGAGAAGCACTATGATGGGGTGCGTGGTGGGCCCCGAAGTGGTGAGATGAGGGTGAGTGGGATTGAACGGCACCACTTGCGCAGCATGTGGCGTACTGAAGGTGGTGATCAGCTTGACCAGACTGAAATCGCCCACCGTCTCCGGACTGACGGCAGTCGGGATTTTGACGGGCACTGGCACATTGGCATAATTGACAATACTCTCGAACTCGTGCGTGTCTCGGGGAAGGCCGTACCGGGTCCGAGACGGAAACTGGGTTGTGTTTGACGGCTCGATAGGAGAAAGCATTGCATCCTGGTCTTTGTTGGACGCCATGCGCTGCGCAATGATGGCTTCGAACTTTTCCAGAAACATGTCTTTTGCGTCAGAGGCCTGCAAAATGTATTTCTCCAGAAAGTTCAGTTTCGGCAGTAACGACAGGTCCATGCTGTTCAAGGCATCATAAAGTGTCGCTAGGGTCTCGGGGTATGGATGGGCGAAATACTGCTCCAATGCCAGTAAAAGCAAAGGCTTGTAGATGTGCATGAAAGAATGCCGCGTGCACACGGCCATGGCCTTGACTATGGCGCCTCGAGGCACCGAAGGATCGAGTTTGGTGTTGACAAGATTGAGGACATAGACCAGGGGCGGCCCATCCAGATTGATGTCTTCGGAATCGTCATCTTGAGCATCGTCTTCTTCGTGCTCATCGTCCTCAATGCCGTCGAGGTCGTCCTCTTCGTCATCGTCTCCTAGCTCATCTCCTCCGTCATCATCTGCACTGTCGTCGCCTCCAGTATTGGCTTGGTCGCCTGCTTCTCGTTGGCGTTGGCGTCGGCGGCGGCGTCTTCGATGCCGTCGTCTCATCTCTCTCTCCTCCTCCTCTTGACCGGCATCTTTGTGGAGAAAGAAGGTGGTCCAATCCTGAGATCGCTTGTCCACCTGGTCCGGCAACATCAGCTCGGCCAGCATATGCTCATCGCCGCCCACTGGAGCGGGATACTGCTGCTCCATGATGCTGCCCCGGTCGATGTCGAACGAGGCGACCAATATGTATTCGACATGCTTCTCAGTGCTATCGGGAGGGTACTGCGACTTGACATGCTTCACGGCGCGCGGCGCTCCTTTGGGACGCGACGAATGCGAAGGCTGGGCGGAATGTCGCGACACTGCGGCGGAGGAGGTGGAGTTGCTGGATCGGCTAAGTCTCTGCACTGCAAGGCCATTGTTGGTGGTCGTCGTGCTGCTCGCGGCGGGGAATGAGTGCAGCGAGGCATGGCGCTGACTGCGCGAAGATGATGTGCTTTCAGTGGCGGAGCGGAGCGGAAGTACCGTCGCCATGGTGGTGCGGAGTGGCCGCCCTCGATTTCGTGCTCTTCCAATGTTATCGTCCAGGGTGTGGGGTGTGATGCTGGTGAACCAGAGGGGAGGTAAGGCCCCTGTCGCATGCATCCCTGCTCGAGCTAGCAGAAGCTTATCTGCAGATCTGTTGACACGCCCGTGTTTACATACACCTCACCTATACGACCGAGCTCATTACATCGCATACCACAGCAAACATGGTAAGTACAAAGTGCAAAATGCTTTCTGACTCTCGCTAATATAGGCAGCCGTCGTCTGCTCCCAATCAACTCTCCGCGCAGCTCTCGACCTTCGAGGGCAGACAGTCGCCATTCCGACGGCAAAACAGCCAGTCGCCAGCACCACCTAATCGTGCGGGCACGCCAGGTAGTTCACTCACGAAGCCACCTGCACACCTCTCGCCCATAAAGACCGGATCTTTATCTCCCGAGAAGACAAATCCTTTCACACGCCGTCCGAGCCAAATCAATCACGCGGCAGACCGGCCATCAAGTGCTTTTGCACGACCCGCGAGTAGCCTCAGTATTGCATCGCCGCTACCCCGAAAGCTCAGCAACAGTAGCCTGCAAAGTGCATCTTTCGACCCACCACGCTCACCGCGGCCGGGACAGACTTCCAGCCCAGAGCCCGAGCAGAGCCCGCCGAGGCAGGCGAGCGCTGTCACAGCGGAATCGCGTTCATCACTTCACAGGGAAGCCTCCCCGTCACGATACGATACTACCCACCAAGTCTCAAGCGATTCGCCTTTGCCACAATCTCCTGCGCAAATGTTCAGTCGAGACAACCTGCGGCCCGCGATGCAGCGCAACATCACATCTTCCACCACGACTACCATCAAGCCTCCTGTATTTTCTACTCAAAAGAAACTTGCGACGCCGAAACTGAATGGTTTCGGTGGTGGCGGTGGTAGTGCATACAACCACTTACCCCAACCGCTTCTGCACAGCATGCGCGAGTCCTTCGAGGTGCTCGACAGCAACAATACCGGTGCCATCAATTCTGCCGCCGTGGCGGACATGCTGGCTCAATTGGGACTGGATAACAATGCATCCGCTCTCAAAGACTTCTTTCCACCGCATGGACCCGCTCAGCTCAATCTGGCACGATATCTTGACATTCTGTCAGGGCCTTTGAGTGAGCTCTCGGAACCAGACGAGCTCCGCGCTGCCTTTGAGGCTTTCGACATTGATGACAGTGGCCAAATCGACGTGAATGTACTTCGCGACGCACTATTACATACCGCCCCACAGCCTGGCGAAGACCAGAGTCGGCTCAGCGAGCGAGAAGTCAGCAGCATTCTTGGTGAATTCACAGGGCGGAGAGCTTTTGGCACCAAAGGGATTAATGCCGGCCAAGCGAAGGGAGAAGTTTTCCGCTACCGCGACTTCATGGCTAGTGTCAGCGGCGGGGGAGGGGGCACAATGAGTGAAGCTGAAGCAGCCATGGCATCGTAGCGTCGCCCAGCACGTCCTTTTTGATTTGCCGCACATGCTGGGCAAGTGTTGGTAATCATGGATGCATGAACAACGCAACTCTGCCGTGTCAGCGAAACAGAAGCAGAGCGGTTCACAGACTTCATGAAGGCGCAATGAGAATGACCGAACATCATGTTTGCAACGTACGTGTATGAATGTGGCGTGTTTTGCGAATTGTACGAAGGTAAATTTGACCGGCCAGTGAAGACATGACCATAGCTTTTTAGTGAATATTGTACACTTAGCATGCGGCTGCTGCTGCACTGCAATAGCTAGACTTGCATCGTCATGCTTGTTTCACAGCCTCAGTTCGAACGCAGCTATGTCTTTACACCATAGATCATCGATCCGCCCATGGAGCAGGCCGAAAAGAACTTTGGCCCGAGTCTGCACGCAGTCTACTCGCCAATGCGGGAAGAGTTTGCTCCAATGGTAAACTGCATCTGACGCCTTCACGCCCATCGCCATCGCTCGACAGATGCCGGAAGAATGCTTCCTCTCCACGAATGCCACCCATGTTGATCGCCGCAATTCTCTTCCCTTGCTCGCGTGCCCTCTTCACTAATCGCCAAGCCGAATATGTCGCCAGTGAAGACCCTAAGATCAGCATACTGCCCGCTCCATCTACAGCAGCTTCAACCGCTAATTTGCTCGGGCTAGGGATTGATTCACCGAACATGATGACGGCAGGTTTGAGGATACCAGCATTTGACCCAGTCGCCCATGCCCCGTCCGAGTCGGTCCGGATGACCTTGCTGCCATCGCGGGCGTCTTTGTTGCATTTAGGGCATGGTGGATATCGAAAAGTGCTGTACTCTACGCCAGGTACGTCGACATCGCCGTCAGGATTCGTCTTCAGTCCACGTCTTCGACGCTCAGCAGGGTCTTCCGTGGCAAGAGCGCCGGTAGCGAGCATCTCGTTCAGAAAGTCCGCCCATTGAGGGTTCATGCGACTGAGATCATCCTGAAAGGCAGCGCGAGAATATTCGCTCCTGCAAGTCAGGCAGACCGTGCTTCTCAGGTACCCATGCAGCTCCAATGTCTCCAGATTCGGATGCGCCTGAGGGTGAAAGCTGTCCACATTTTGAGTGATGACTTGGGAGATGAACCCAAGATCCCCTAATTCTTTCACCGCATAATGTGCCGGATTGGGCTTGCTACGATTGAGAGTGGTCCATCCCAGGAAAGATCGTGCCCAGTATCGCTTCCGCGCTTCGTGGCTTGCTGAGAATTCATGAAAATAGATCGGGCGATACCTGTTGTGCAGGAGGCGTAAGCGTCGTCCCGTCACCAAATTTAAGGAAGTGTATGACCCGCGCACAGCATGGACCGGGGGGCAACTCACGTTTTGTTCAAGGTGTACGTCCCTTGGCTCCCTCGATAGTCGGAGAGTCCGCTGGATACTGAGATTCCCGCACCGGACAAGACGACAGCCTTTCCGCGTTCGTGGTCGCGTGATAAGAAGTTCTTCAGCGCGTCGACTGCGCCACCGATTGTGGTTGCTCTAGCGGGCACGACGGTAGGACTGGGCAGCGGCTGCGTGTAGGGAATGCGCATCAATGGCATGCCGACTCACGCCTCATGGTCCAGCGTCGTGGCGTCGCATGGTCGTGGGATTGAAATGCACGACCGTAGAGCGCGTGTACAGCAGGGCGAAAGATTGAAGGGAGGACGTTTCGCCAATGTCGTCACGATTCCCGCGCCGCCTCGCACTTAATATAGTAGTGGCCGCCAGCCATTGGCATGCAAGCGAGCAAGAGGGTTTTCGATGTCCAGGTTGCTGGAAACACAACCAGGCTTCCTTCGCTGCTGTGGCAGGACACTGATCTTGCGGCGGCGCGTGCAAGCAGAAGTCCCTGTACACGGCGCACCTGGGAATCACAGCAGCAGCCGAGCGTGGTTCGCCATCCATCGAGTTTCATCCCAAGCGAGCGGCACCGGGCCGCTCGACAATCTCCAGCCTGACCAAAAGCTTGACGGCCAGTCCAACCGCAAGCATCCCACTCCCACGTTGTCCTTCATCATGCCGGCGAAGCGAGCTGCGGCAGAGCCCTGGTTTGCTGTGCTCGAGAGTCGAGAGTCACGCAGGGCTGTGATATGTCAGGGTTCCTGTGCTATCGTCCTCTCCCGACAGGTCCTCCGAAATAGCGCTATTGACCGTTGGTACGCGCTTCGCCCGTCGAACAGCAGGTTTTCGTCTCCACCACCTGCTGGAGCACTGCCGCGCCCGCGGTGTTACCGACGACGATGCCTCTGCAGGCTCCATCGGCAGCGGGACGGGCATGCCGGCGACGCCTACAAGATGCGCTGGCGTGATGTGGTGTTGGTTGGCTACAGATTTGTTGCGTACGTGCGCTGAGGTTGTAACCTATAATAAAACTCCTGTCAGCCTTCCTAGTGGAAGTTTGTGGGTCTTATATGTGAGTGTTCCTGGCAAGCACGATCGTCTCAAGTCCACCAGCCGCCTCGAAGTGGTGAGGATGATGCTCGCACCATCTGCTGTCGTGCCCTTGGGCCGCCGAAACGAGATACCTGGTGAGTGCCATGCGTGAACGAACTTCACTTCAACGCTCCCAGAGACGAGACGAGGATTGCTACTGACGCAACGGGCAGCTGTCGCCGACATCATGCATCGCAGCCAGCAAGCATTGCCTCCGCTGCCGACCTCCGCCACTGCCTTCCAGCGCCAGAAGCCGTTGCCTTGTGAGCCAGCGCTCGTCGCTTCCACCAGCCAGCCACGCCCATCCACCAAGCACCGTCCAGAGACGCTCGATTTGAGCGTTACATCGTCCAATGGCCACTCCACGCTGCCCACGCCTCGCTTGAAGCGCCTGCTGCGTGATGCGCGCTCGCCCAACGACGTCTCTGCAATCGTTCAAATCCCTGCTGCCGACCGTCGAGAGCAATTGCCACCGACGCCCACGACACCGCTCGCCAGTCTTGTCATGGGGAACGCGCACTCGGCCGCTTCGGACAGCGTGACGGACGACAACAAATCCCTACGAAGCGTCGTCCATGTGCGGCGCCAGTCCCGGCCGATGGCCCGGAAAAGTTCGTCCAACCTGTTCAAGCGTATCGACAGCCGCAGTCCGCTGCCTCGCGATGTCACCGCAAGCGTCATGTCCATCCTGCACCGAGACAGCAACAAGAATGACGCAGGCTCAGTTGGCATGGACCCATTCGACGACCGAAACGACGAGCACGGCCCTGAATACCGCGGACGCTCGCCCACCATGACCGCATTGCACTCAACATCGACCGTGACTATGACCGACTGCCGAGCGAAGCCGTGTCTGAGTCCTTCAACAACTGTTCGAGATTTCGACATATCCGAGAAGACCCGCAAAGATTCGAAGACAGAATTCTTTCCCGGCCTGGAACCAGCCGAAGACACATGTGAAGAGGCAATTGAGACCCTCTCTCCATCCATTCCGGCACCGTCACCTTTACCTGAAGATAGCCCGCACAAGTACGGCTTGAGAGACAGCGCAGACACACCGCCCGTGCCACATCAGAGTGTCGACGCTCAGGCCCACAGGGCCAAGCGCAAGAGCAGTGGCCTGGAGATCTTCAAGGTAAGTCAATGTTTTGCCCATGTGGTGCCGCGTCTGTATCTGACCTCCAAACAGGAAGCGCAAACACTACAGCACGCCCAGTCTTTTCTCAATGGTCTGAGTACCGCTCGGCGACGGGCAGAGTCAGCAGCTGGCGCAGAGCTGACACATTCGGCCAACGATTCTGTCTGCGATATCACGAACAACCAACCTGGAGCTGTATTAACATTGCCGTCATCGCAACCCGTGAAAGCTTACGAAGACGGCGAGGGACGTCGCAAGGGGCATAACTTCAAGTCATCCGGCTTTGCGTACAGCCGACCTCTCACTCTCGCGCAAATCAAATGCTACCGCGCTCACGCCACGCTACTGCAAAGTAGAAACAAGCAGGCGCCAGTCGAGTGCGCGGTATGCCACTCTGACGATGATAGTGAGCATTTCAGTTGCAGCTGGTGCGCGCTGCGCATGTGCAGGCGCTGTCGAAAGGATTTTGCCGTGCGTGGTCTTTCTGCATTGAAGGAGAGAATTAAGATGGCCGAGATGGGGGATCGGATGGAGACCGCGCAGCATAGTTCGAGCGAAAGTGCCCCAGAGAGAGCCGCATCGAACCAGACAAGAGGTAAAGAGTGGAGAGCATAAAACAGCGTGGTGCGCAACTAACACGATGTACGATGATGGTCGAATGTTTGCACACGACAAGATGATACCTGTACGTTGACGATTGGCATGATGAGCATCATATACCCACTGCACCGGTGCAGGCGAATTAGATATTTCAAAGTATTGACGGCTTTCGTCGCCTCGAACGACCATATCGTATGCATTATTGTGAAATGTGCTTGATGACATATTCAGCTCGGGCATTCATGTACTTGAAAATGCTCTTGCGTCTGGTCTGGTCTTGTCTTGTCGCGCTCGAACACAGGGAAGCGAGATTAACGAAAGCTGCTGCTGTTTCGGCAGGATCGGAGATATACAAATCCGTGTTGCTGAAAGGGGCAATAAAAGCATAACATAGTGCTGGTACCGTGGTGCGCCAGCGATCATTCCCGCGCACTGCTTGCGCAACGCGCGCCATCAACGGCCCATTGAACTCAAACCACAGCTCGAAAGGCTTAGCACCAGCAGTATGGCGCCGCCGACCAGCAGGCTGCCTGCGCCAGGACGACCAGCGCTCGAGCGCGACCGGCCCACGTCCATGTTCGAGGTGTCCACGGAAAACATGAGGAGGCTACAGCAGATCGGAGCGGGCAGACAGAGTCCCGCAGAGGGTGCGCCGTCACAGGGCGAGGACACAACGCAGCCGGCGCCATCATCGAAGCAGTCCAAGCGGCGGAGCCTGCTGCCGCAGTCCTTCACGCGCAAGTTCTCCAGCGACGGCAGGGAGGCGGCGGCGACTACGGCGCCCATCAAGGAGGATGCGTCTGGGAGCGATGAGGGACGGCGGTCAGAGGACAGAGCGGCAATGCCTCCACCGCCCAAGCCGCGGCCGACGTCAATGATGCGCCCACCCAACAGCATACCGCGCAAGGACGTGCCGAGCCATACGCGATTGCCCTCGAAGGATAAGGACGCCTTGAACGCCCCAGCCAGGAACAGCTCCATCGCCAAACCGGCATCTTCGTCAGCCAGCACCGCCGTGCAGTCAGGTCTGCGGCGCGGAAACTCCACCAAGCTGCCGCAATCACCCGTATCGCGAACGTCGAACCAGCACGCCGCTACGAATGGACGGAGCGGCAGCGCCGACCTGGGAGTGGTGCAGAAGCGATCATCTCCTCCGGCCACTGCATCGAAGAGGGCGTCGGTATCACTCTCCAAGCCGCCCTCTCTCAACACGGCCCTCGCCCCCAGCACGCAGACTCAACCTTCACCCACCTCGCCCACTCGATCAAGCGCTAAGTCGCGCACGCCCGCAACCTCCAAACCCGCCTTCAACACATATCAGCAACACTATAGCCCCGCAAAGTCGACGCTGCCGAAACCAGGCATCCCAGGTGTCAGGGCTACGCACAAGGCGACCAACAGTACTGAAGATGTCGAAAGCTTGCCGTTTGATGTGGCTCTCGAGCAAATTGAGCTGTTGCAATTGTCTCTGATGCACCAAACCTCATTCACTACCCTTAGAGCTTATGAAGCGAGTGCCAAGCAGAAGTTGGGCAAAATGCACGCAAAGCTGCAGAAGGAATATCAGTCCATTCAAAAACAAGAGCAACAAAATCGACGAGCAACCAATCTTGATGCCTTGGAAACGTGGTGTCCTGATCCGGCGCTCCTCGCCGAACATCTCCAGACAGTAAGCCGCGCTGTCTCGGACCTCCGAGCCCACACGGAGAGCGGGAGCAGATATTCGGAGCTTGTGCGTATCTTTGAGGAATGGGTCATACAAGCTGAAACTGTTCTCATGGGTACCACGAACCTGGCGGCTTTCATTGAAGCTCTCCCCGAATCTTGGCGATCTCAGCACACTTCGCTCGCGCTGAATCTGAGGTCGATACAGCGAGACCTCAGCACATTACCTCCGTTGCCACCACCCGCGAGCCCCCCTGCTGATGCCACGAGCTTGCACGTGTTGATTGATAACTGTGCCTCGCTCGCCGACAGCATGGTTCGAGAGCTCGAAATGATGGCAAAGCTACAGAAAGAACTCCTACAGCAAGGCAAATCTCGCATCGATTCTCATATCGGTACACTCGTCTCTGGTACAAATTCTGGCTCGGGGAAAGAGAATTGGAAACCTGTGTGGCAGAGCGTGGGCTCCTAGAAGCCGATTTGCAAGTATTGGCACTTTGTGGCCAGCATCTACGATTATGTACAGCCATTCGCGGAGCTACTGTTTCGCTCCCACGTGCGGCGTGTCGTCACGGCGTTTCATCAGCGTTGAGATCCCAGAGATCCATCAAACTTTGAACTCGATACTCGGCCGCCCAGCCCATATCGTGCTCTATACCTCTCAATAGGCCGACGACAGTGCTTCTCCAGGCCTTGCAATGACCACTGATTGGTCCAGAATCCTCATTTCGACCGAGTACAAGTCCCGCAGTCCACAATGGCTGCACACTGTGTATGCGAGTTCCTTCATCGGCTCTTCCGTTGGCAATTGCGACGATCTCCTTAGCATGATCGCGAGATTGTGAAAGAATCGTCGCGTGTCTTGCATGTTCATACTTCATGCTCGAGCCGGGAGCGATGGCTCCAAGGCATACAGGTGCAGCTGGACTGGCTGTCGACACTTGGGGCCTGTTGTGCAACAGCTGAATTCGGGCAAAGTGGTACCATTGCCTGTATTTCCATCAGTGACCAAGTCCGATAATGCGGGAAAAGAAACTCACATTGTACTGGCGCACATGGCACGAGGGAACCACTTTTCGGTCTCCCACTCATCGTCACAGGCGTGGACCGCCGTCGGCTGAAATCCATCCGGCAGACCATTGAACCAAACTGCCAGTTGCATGTCCAGGTCGTGCCACTGGAAGGGAGCGGCAGTCAGCACGTATTGCGCGCAGAAACAAGTTACTCAGGTGCTATTGGTGGCACTTACGCTATTCAAGAGTTCCCGCTGCCGTACACCGAGCTCGAGAGGCGAGATGCTCTTGGACACCTCATCACCCGCGGCAATGAAATTAATGAGCTTCAGGAGCAGCCAAATCAGTGCATTAGAGATCATCTGCAACTCTGTTAGAAGTGATGCTCGCGACAGTGGAACGCTGGGCGTAACGAACATCGTCACCCATAGCAAGATCCCCATTATAGTCCTGATGTCGAGGATTAGATGGTGCCACGAAACCATCTAACGTCAAATCTGCATTCGTCAATTCAGGTAAGCGTGTGTCTGCGAAACGTCCATGCGATAGCCATGAGTTGACAAGCATAGATTTCACCATGTGAACAGACAGCATGGGAAATAAGAACATGTCTCCTCGCCACGTCACTTACTGAGACCTGCGCTTCGCCACATTGATAGATCCGTAGTGTCCAATCGCGTACACGTATTGTTAATGAAGGCGGATAACATGTCCTGTCTAGCAAAATTCCTAGGAAGGCGTTGGCACAGCGAAGGACACAGAACGGGCTAGTGGACTCACCAGAATACAGCACGTCTACCCAAGCTCAACCCTCTGCCGTTGGGCCTCGCTCGTGGTGGTGAATGTCCCGTCGTTCCAGAGACCTGTCGTGATAATTGTTCGGAGATCGATTGAGGGGAGGGAGGAAGAGTCATCGGCATGGCCTGTTCTCTAGCCACGTCAAATAATGTTTTGGCTCCATCAAGATGCCTGCTCCACTCTGGCCCGGAGGCATCCAAGAACTCATATACACATAATATCGCAGTAGCAGCTACTAATTCGTCCGAGTCCGTGGTCGGCAACGGCGTGCCTTGGATGGCTGATAATGTGGCGGGGGTGGAATGTTCTGGTAGTGAGGACGTCCCCGGCCGTATGCACCCTGCTAGGCTCTGTCGAAGCAACGAGACGGCAATATCATAGCATTCCCTTCCTTTGCGCATCCACCTGGTGAGTCAAACGTTGGTCAGAAAAGGTTACAAATATGGATGTGTTCGGCGATCAGGACAACTCACATTTCTGCATCCATGGGCCGGCCGGGCCAACTTTCCATTTTGCTCTGCTTAGACACCGCGCCGCCCATGACTGGCCTTCGTCCATTGACGCGAGCCAAAGACTTGGCGGAGAGACTTGCACAGCTGTACAATAGCAGCGGACAGTCCACCGCCAACACAGGTACTTTGGCTGCAAAGAATAGGTCGAGATCGTAGAGGTCCATCCAGCATAGCGAATGTTCCTTGGCTTGGCGCAGCAAGTAGGCTAGCTCTGGATCCTCGATCGGAGCTCTTGCTCTATGTCCTGGAGTTCCTTGGAAGGAATGTAAGCTGCTCCGCCCGCCTACCGATGCGAATGATGAGGTACGTACATGGGTCGGAGATCGGAGCTGCGTGGTGGGAGAGTGAGAGTTCAGCTGCGGGTCAATGTTGTTCTGGCCTTCTGCTGTTACCGGGGATACGTTCTGCGAGGCCGGGTTCAGGATGAAGTCCAGTCCCAGACCGCTCGTGGCGAGTTGCTGCTGCTGCTGCTGTTGTTGTGGTTGCGAGGTGTGTGACGACGTCCGTTCGTGGCCGCCCATGGCTGGAGGATGAGGCGCGTAGGTGTACTGGTCGGTGGCGACCGCACTCAGCGCCTCCAGACCATGAGTAGCATAAGCTGGGTAGGCATCGAAAGCGCTGCTGCTCGAAAGATCACGCGTGTCCTGCAGTGAGGTGGCATGCTCATCGGCATCGTCGTCCTCGTAGGGGTTGTTCGTGTGGACGAAGGTCAGCTCGGGCGGCACCTGCACCCAAGTCGTGCTCTTGGCGAAGGTCTCCTTGTAGCCGTAGAAGCTCTTGAGTCCATCCTGCTCACTGCCGTTCATCGACGGGTTCTGCTGGTGGCGGAAAGTGATGCCTTGTGATTTGATGCACTCGCGGTGCGCCTTGGCACAGTTGGCGCATGATGGGCCCGGCGTCTCATCGCACTTCAATTTGCGCGAGCGACAGGTGAGACTGGCACGGCGTGGTCAGCGACAGGACAGGACAGGACAGGACAGGACAGGACAGGGCGCATTGGGCGAGTGCGGTCAATGCCGCGTGTGTACAGTTGGACAGGCAAGTCTGGCGAGCATCCGGGCAGCTTGCTCGAGACGCATCATCACTCACCATCCCGTGCGAGAACGCGGCGCCATGTTGGCGCGACAGCTCGCGCGATGTCCCCAGTCTTCCGCGACCGCTGCGCAGCGTCAGACGAGGTTGTGTCGGTTTGCCGATGTGCATCAAGTGTTTGCGTTCGGTAAACTTGGACCAGAGCGTTGGACGTCCTTTCCTGAGGCTGCCCCGCTCGCCGGCGCCCGTGGCAGGTGCCGCGCCGTGCATTCACTGTGATTCTATGCTTGGACTGTTCTACTTCTACTGTATGCTACTATCTCCAAGCACCATCTCTACCACTCGATACGTTCGCCGAATCTGTCGTAGAACGTCCCGGTGTCCTTCTTGGTCCACTGCTGAATGATCGGAAGCATGCTTTCCACGCTCTCACGGGGGCTAATCGCATCGTCCTCTCTCCACTTCACGAGCTTGGTCTCGACGCGGCCAGGGTGACACATTACAAAGGCAATGTCTGGCTCATCAGCCGCCAGCGATCTCACGATCATGTTCTGCGCTGCTTTGGAAGCTCGCTGTATGCGGTGAGAACCATGTCAGCACGTGCCTGTGGAACGCACACAGAGCACTACACACTCACATAGGCATATGCAGAACCGGCAGCTCTGTTTGGATGCTGATTGTTGCCAATACTACCCTGGCGAACGAGGATCAATACAGCTCGATACCCTCGCGCAATAGGCACTCACCATTCTCGAGCTCATGACAACAACCTTGCCGTTCGTGAGGCGAACATTTGGGACAATTGCTCGCAGGAGGAGGAACGTCCCGACTGTGTTGATATGGAGTGTCTTCGTTAGAGTCTCGGCGTCCATCACGTCCATTGTTTCGCATGCAGCGACATTGCCTGGTGTGCTCAACTCGATTCCGGGCACCAGCCCACGCACGCCCGCACTGTGAATGACGAGGTCAAGCGGCCGGTCCTTGAGCCGATGGGCGAGGGCTCGTACGGACTCCTCGTCCCCAACATCTGCACTGATTGCTTCGACATTGTGCGAGTGCGCAACATTTTGTCTGTCCACTGCGATGACGTTATTGCCAGAGTCTGCCTGATACGCTTGAACAAAGGCCGCGCCAATGCCACTGGCGGCCCCGGTCACCAGAATGGTCGGCATGTCGATATTTGGTGAGGATGTTGTAAGCCAAAGCGGTTTAGCGCAGATGATGCCCGTCCCTCCATAATCCCACGACCATAGCACTTCACTTTCATAGTAACACGCCACACACATATACTGCTCCCCCTTCGACGAGCAGCATGAGCGCCTCGGTTGCAGGCAAAAATGCGCCTGCTAGCCCATAGTGCCGAAGCGAACACGCCTGCCAGCCGACGACCGCTGCCACATGCGCGCCTTCGAGACCCGACGCATGTACAGACTGTGTGGGTAATATGAATTCTGGTACTGTGGTGTGTCGTCCATTCTTCACCTTCTATTGCTACATTCACTGCGGCCCGGCTGAGTCACTGTCACTCCCACCAAACCAGCACTTTCTCTGCCGTTGGCGCATTCTTGTCCATCCTGCGCTCACATCGCCTCCTCGCAGACTCCGCCCCCGGTGGCTACGATGCGCACACGGCCTCGCCCCGTCTCGCAGCAAGGCGCGAGCCCTCAAATACGACCGGCCCGTAAAATATTCAACTGCATCGTAGACGACAAGGCGCTAGTGGCTGGAACGAAGCGTGCCACGAGACATGGCATACCACAATTTGTGCGAAATAACCAGATTCGCTTGTTCATCCCTTTGCACGGTAAGTCTTGCAAAGGCTCGCACGGTGGCATGCAGAGGCTGATGCACTCAAGCTCTGGATGAGTTGAATCGCCAGAAAAATGGGACAACGAAACATGCGGAGGATGTCAGAGAAACACTCCAGTGGTTGGACAGTGCTACGGACAAGTTTCCCAACGCCGTGGCTGTACAAGGACCAGAAGAAACTTATGAGAAATGGTCACTGGTTGAGCGTTTCGCGGTGCCCAGTACCCTGTTCTCTGAGGACAACCACGATCATGAACTCGATGCGGTCGAGTCTAGCGAGCTCTCATACGATACTGCGAACAAGACCAGCATTGCCGAAGACAAGGTAAAGACACCCGTCAGCTCAGGTGCCACGGATGCCACTCGATCTCTCTCGCCTGCGTCTCTCCGCAGCCCACGTTCGAGTGCCAGCGCTATCTCACCCCTGGCCGATCCAGCAGAGTTGCCAGCAGTACCGCAGACCAAGAGCGTGGCGTCTCTCAATGCGGCGGCGAGCAAGGTACACTCATCCAGCGCCAGTGTCCCTGCCGATCTACAGCCTCTTTTCAACTACATCCTTTGGCGCATCCATCAGGAGCTCGATCCGGTGGCCGCACTAGAGTCTTTCATTTTCTTGTGCAATGATGGCCGCAAAGCAGGCTTTGCGAAGGGCTTCGATATTAAGACTAAGAGACTCGAACAACTTCGCGAGGCGATAGGTCGGGAAGACCGTGATTTCAAAAACCGACAAGCTTTACTCAGTCGCGAAAATCAGAGTGTTGATATCGCGCAGCATATCTCTCCGGAGGTCGCTCACGTAAAGAAGGAAGACCGACCGATCACGCCAAAGGATGCAGTGGATGCAGTGGATGAAGCAGACGACGAGGTTATCTTCAAGCCGCCGCGAGCACCGGCTGCAATGCTGCAGAAGCCGCAGCCAAATATCATGGATCCCAACGTGTTCGAACGTGGCACCCAATCCCATCAGACGGCGACAAAGCCAGACCAGCCTAAGACGCCCCAATCCCCCCGCTTCAGTAACGTGCCCGCCCAAAGAGGCTCGCCACGTGGCGGCCACGCGCTTCCATTTGCCCCTCGCGGCAATATGCGTGGTGGTCGAGGCAACATGCGCGGCAGCAAATTCAGTCCTCGCGGCCGTGGCAACTTCTCTGGCCGTGGAGGCTCTGCTGATGTAAATGACCAAAACGGTACTGCTGTAGTGCCCCCGGCACCCAACGGACAGATCGACCCTGCCAGCTTCTCGCGTCCCGAAGCTCCACGCCAGCAGCGCAAGTTATGGGTTCCAACGTGAGATCCTGATGTCACTGCATGTGCAGTAGCTATCAGACAGGTTGACTTCATAAGCAACAACAACAATCGAGAAGTGGGACAGATTTCGGCACAGAGCACATTGTGCCTAGGGCTGATTCGCGATACTTCAAATACTGGGACTGGTCAAACTGCACCATGGGGAAATTCAACAGATTGCAATCAATCGGGCTATTGAGCTATGGCGTCGTGGTCAAGGCGCGAATGGGCGGCGCGGAACCAGGCAAGTGCATTATCTGACACGAGAGGGTGAACGATAAGGACTCGGAGGTGAGCAACGCGGATTGCTATGAGGATTGTATGCCGCACAACGCTGTGTTGTGCTCATCAGTCTAGCGACTTGTTGTACACGACGTTTGAAGGCCGGCAACGGTGACGGCGAAGACATCAGAGATCGCCGGGCATACATATAGCACATTTGTGAAGCACGTGGCAGCGCGCTTGTGATAGGCTCGGAGCCGATTTCCGATGCTGGAAACGTCATCAGAAACTTGGTTTCCACATCCACCTGCACCCGCGATAGTTGCTGCCTTCAAGTGCCGGCGCCATGGCCTGCCATACCTGCACCATTCCACGATCTGACCGCGTGATCCTTGTCCAAGGCGGCCATTGCTGTCGTCGCACCTGCTCGCCGACACCTCCGCATCCTCCACAATGAAGGAGCTCCACGACGCGCTCACTACCCTCTCACCTGTGGATTGGAGTGATGTGCCCACCGACGACCTCGAGCACTATGTCAAGTCCTGCTTCGCCTCGGCTGAGTGTATCGTCAACTCTGTCCCGCCCAACTCCGAAGGAACGCCATTCCACGCCGCGACGCCGTCGTTGAGCGAGCCCAATGCCGCCAAGTCGCACAAGGACATCGTTCCTGCCAAATGCCTCCCCCATCCGGCACACGAGGACTACGAAAAGCTGCACAAGAGTTGGGGCAAGCCGTATAAGTTCAAACAGAATCCACACAATGTGAACATTTTCAAGATGGCCGGCAATGATCGCCATGGCGCATGTGAGTAGAAGCTGTGGCCGGACCATTCGCCGCGAGCTCGAGGGCATAAGAGGCCCAATATCAAAGGCTGTGGCAGAAAATGGTTCATTCTCTAATCGAGACTCTAGGGTTCGCGCGTAGCAGCGTACGTAAAGCAGCCACCTTGTGGCACCACCCCCTCCCGCAGTTCTGAGAAAGAGTGCTGTTGGCATCATGCTAAACCCAGACACCTGCCCGTCACTGCCATGCCTTTAGGACAATACGCTTACCTATCTTCGGTTGCATTTAGGTTCACGAGGGTCTGTCCTTCGAACGAATGAAACGGGCGATGATGCGTGAATTAGTGCATTCTTCAAAGGTTTCTGGTGGTCCCGGAGCAGGTGCAGTGCGCGGGATAGCGGCAGACAGACGCCTCGAGAGGTTTGATCTCCCTGGACTATCAGCAAAGCTTGAAGTGTACGAATTGAGCGCGGCATTCCCGGGCCCAGTAACGCCAAGAGACTTCGTCGCCATGATCATGAGCAGCGACAATGCATTAACAGAAAAAAGTGCGGTCGCGGTGAATGGGGAAAACTACGTGCCTCAGCATTTCATGGTCCTATCAAAGCCCGTTGTCCATCCCGATGCCCCAGTGCGAGCTGGCTTGGTCCGTGGGCAATACGAGTCTATCGAGCTGATTCGCGAAATCCCCCTCTCAGCCACAAAATCTACCTCTACAACGAGGTTACTGAAAACGCAAGGGAGTACGAAAGACAGAGAAAAGCATGAAGGAGACGGCTTAGAGAAGTCAGACTTGAACCCTGTCGAATGGATTATGGTGACACGATCAGATCCAGGTGGCGGAATACCCCGGTTCCTAGTCGAGCGCGGCACGCCAGAGTCCATGCTCGGGGACCTGCCTAAATTCTTCGATTGGGCATGCTCGCTTGACGATATCCCACATCCAGACGATGACGCGAACGAAGAAGATGCGGTACCTACGCCTGGTGCAGAAACCGAGCCCGAGCGCGCACCGTCACAGTCACCTTCCGGCCTACACACGACTGCGTCTCCAGAATCAACATTCAGTGGCCCAGCACCGTCCGGGGAGGCGCAAGGTGGCTATCTCTCGGGCATTACCAATGCGCTGGGCGCTGGTATCGAGGCGTATGCGCCCGCGGCAGTGTCGAATGCGGTGCTGCCTCATTTGAACCCGGAGGAGAGCTTATCTGACGACGAATCCGACACGTCTTCCGTAGACTCGTTCATGTCTGCGGAAGAGCTTCGCCGCGCGGCGTCAGTGCCAGAAATTGGAGACCCTGCGCAATCGACCGACAATTTTAGTATAATGAGTGGCGACCACTCGGAGGATACAAAATCCACCAAGGGCATGACGCATCATGAGAAAGAGGTCCACAAACTCGTCAAGAAACGCGAGAAACTCGAACAGCAGCTGGCAAAGAAGCGCGTTGCAGAGGAGCAAAAACTTCGTGAAGCGCAAGAAAAGGAGCAGAGCGAGAGCGGAAAGGCGAGGGAGAAGATGGAACGAGAGTTGAAGAAGACCGAGGAGAAACATCGCAAGGAACTCGAACGGCTCGAGCAGAAGAAGGCAAAAGAAGAGCGGAAAGCGGAAGAAAAGCGCACCAAGAAGGACGAACAGTACAAGATGTCACTTGTTACACGGGAGCGTGACGAATTTAGAAGTCAAGCAGACTTGCTCAGGAGGGAGAATGCGCTGCTTAGGGATCAGGTGGCTGAACTGCAAACGCGAAATACAACCATGGCGCAGCGGCTAGGGGCACTCGGTGGACCTGAGGCACTGCGAGGCCTCGATCAGGCATCTGAAGGAAACCAGAAAGCGACGAGTGTCAAGAGCACGCGCAGCAATTAATCCGCGCCTCAACACGGGATGAGGACGAGTTGGGCCACGTAGAATAGGCTAAATCGAGCTCAAATGTGGGGCGTGAGCTCACGGCTTGTCACGAGCCGTCGAAGTCCGACTTTAAGCAGACCCGACCCTTGCATTGATGTACGACTTCACACCTCGTGTCCTGTTGGAAAGCATTGTTGCAGATTGACCGTGGACGTCCAGAACAACAAAGACCATGGGCGGCAACGGCCCACTATACATGGTATCTGCGTCAATGCGAGCTGCTGCAGCACACGGCTGAGCTGACAGCGCCTAGGGCTTTGACTTGTCCACGCAACAATTGAAAGGCAAATCGTCCTTGAACACAACCGGTAGACCGTCGTGGCTGACGCATCGCAGGCATTGTCGTTGACTCCAATCTCAAGCTGATCCACGAAGCCAAAGTCGATTTCGATGCCGACCTGAAGAAGTATGGCATCCAAAAGGGCGTACTCACCAATCCTGCGGAAGGCGAAGTGTTCGCCCCGCCAGCAATGTGGCTGGAAGCCATTGACCTCGTCCTCGATCGTCTGAGGAATGCGGGACTCGATTTTAGTCATGTCAAGGGTTTGTCCGGAGCTGGCATGCAGCATGGCACAGTCTTTTGGTCCAATGACGCCGAAAGCCTTCTGGCCAATCTGAATCCCCAAGACTCTTTGACGAATCAACTTCAGCCTGGAGAGGTAGGCAAGTCGGCCTTCGCTCATGAGATGAGCCCCAACTGGCAGGATGCAAGCACGCAGGAGCAATGTGATGCTTTCGACGCAGCATTGGGAGATGCGGAGACGCTGGCATTTGTGACTGGAAGTAAGGCACATCATCGATTCAGTGGACCTCAAATTATGCGTTATAGGACCAAGTGGTCTTCGCACTATGAGAAGACTGCTCGGATCTCTCTGGTATCGTCGTTCCTTGCCTCCGTCTTTCTTGGTCGTTTTGCTCCGATCGATATCAGCGATGTGACTGGCATGAATCTCTGGAACATAAAGGACGGAACGTGGGACGATGCACTACTAGAGCTTGCGGCAGGTGGCAAATCCGGCATCGACGATCTCAGGAATAAATTGGGCGTCGTCTCGGGAGATGGCGGCCAATGGCTAGGCACTATCAGCTCCTACTTTGTCACCAAATACGGTTTTGCAAAGGACTGTCAAATCATCCCTGCAACTGGTGACAACCCTTCGACAATTCTTGCGCTCCCCTTGCGAGCCTCCGACGCTATGGTATCTTTGGGCACGAGCACAACATTCTTGATGAGCACACCTGAGTACAAGCCCGATCCTGCCTACCACTTCATGAACCATCCCACGACGCCCGGGCTGTACATGTTCATGCTCTGCTACAAAAATGGTGGTCTTGCTCGAGAACAAATCCGCGATCAGATTTCGACGTCTTCGGATTGGGAGAGCTTCAACTCAACAGCTTTGTCCACACCAGCACTTTCCCAGCGATCGCCATCGGAAGCCCTACGATTAGGTCTCTATTTTCCTCGTCCTGAAATTGTTCCCAACCTTCCCTCCGGCCAATGGCGCTTCAAATACAACCCCGAAACGCAAGATCTCAAAGAAGAGCCCTCCGACTTCCTTCCAGACGATGCGCGCAACATCATCGAATCCCAATTCCTCTCTCTCCGGCTCCGTTCTCAAGCACTCGTACACGCCGAGAAAGATCCCGCTACGGGTAAGACTCTGCCACCACAACCGCGCCGCGTATACCTCGTCGGAGGCGGTTCCGCAAATCCAGCCATCGCAAAAATCGCAGGGGAAGTGCTCGGTTCCGTAGAGGGCGTGTACAAGCTCGACATTGGCGGAAACGCTTGTGCTCTCGGAGCAGCATACAAGGCTGTATGGGCCTGCGAGAAAGCACAAGGTCAGACATTTGAGGACTTGATTGGTAGCAGATGGGATGAGAGTAGTTTTGTTAAGAAAGTTGCGGATGGTTACAGGGAAGGATTGTTCGAACAATATGGAGTTGCTGTGAAGGGTTTTGAACAAATGGAGAAGGCTGTGCTGCAGGCAAATGGGAGAAAATGATAGACTTGCTCGCTGCAAAATTATACGAGAAGGTCTTGATTTGCTAGCAATATGAGTTTGGGTGACGTGTACGACCTAGGACATGATTGGGGATCGCTGAACAGTGCAATAGCGCCTCGTGGCGCACATGTACTGGCACGACCATGAATCACGTCTAGCTGCCATCTCTGTCAAATGCCATATTTGAGAGGTATGGCAGAGATGGTCTCAGATCGAAATAAGAAACATCGCTGCTCGTACCAGCTCCCATACGTATCTTGTGAGATCCTCACGACATTCGAGCTCAAGTGCAAGGCTTGCTTTGATCTGAATCTACGGCTGTACTATGTCACTGTACATAGACACCTGCAATCAGGCACTGGACAGACATCATGCTTCTCGAACCAACTTCGCGCATGATCGGCATGAAAACCATGCTCGCAGCTTACGCAAAAGGTCAGAAATTTCGACATGACATTGCTAAATTGGGACAGGTCCTTCCCTCCGCCCCTTCTGTTAGGGTCTGGCGTCCCTAGCCACGTTCTACACAATCTAGAAGTACTCGTCAGTATGCATACGTATTCCAAATGGGTCTTGACAAAGCAGTTTCATCCGTGACAGCAATCACCACCGGGGTTTGGGAGAAAGGAGGAGTCATCTGGTGACCACTTACCCACAACGAGGCATATGTCGCCCGCATTTCGGACATACTATTCCTGCAGCAATGGAAGGCAAGGCCTTTGCCTCGGGCTTTGCCTCCCGTCTTGTGGTACTGCGCCCGTCATATCTGGCAAGTGACAAATTACAATGGTTGCATCGAAGGGTGATTCCTCCGGCCGGAGGATCTAGGAGGTGGGGTGCATCCTTGGCTTGTGCCATGTGTCCGTATTGAACAATGAAACGGCTTCTTTCAGAGAATGCTCGCCAGCTTTGCATCTGCATGAAGTAAGTTTCCTTCCACATGTCGAAGCGCGCATCGTCAACATATTGAGGGTTAGCCAACGCAGTAGCCAAAACAGCCGTTTGCAGGTCATTGGTCTTGGTGATGTAAGTTTGGAATAAATCCATGGATTGCTCGCCAAGTCCGGTGAGCAGGATGCCTTCGAGATCTCCATTCTTGATCGCTCTGGCCGTCTCGCTCTGTATGAAGCCGCGAAGCTCGGTGTCGTTCAAATATTTGAGACCAAGAGCAACACGATAGCCAAGGTGAAGGTAGTTCGTCTTCATAACATCTCTCCAATCGCCCGCTTTGAGGAATGCCAGCAGAGCTTTGAGTGCTGGGTCATCGGTATCAGCGGTCATCCAAAGACACATCTCGCGTTGCTCTTCGTTAATCCTATCTGCCGCAAGGAGTGCGCCCAGACCGATATTAGGTATCGTCTTAGATCTGATGAGCGACCTGAGGAGATTGAGAGCAATATGCTTGCGCTCGTGCAGCACTGCCTGCACAACAGCTTGATAATGCAGTCCACGATCGGCAAGATCGCGGCACTCCTGCTCAAGTGCCTCCTGGTGGAACTTCCATCCGCACATCTCAAGGCACAATTGGCGAATCTCTGGATGATCCGTGCGTTGCCCCTCGAAGGGTGGCAGGCCACGAGCGGCCACCAGATCAGCGACAGCATCTTCGAGCTTTCCACTGGTGAAGGAGAGCTTTCTATTCCGATGGTGCCCCATCTTCTCTGCACATATTGCAGCCACTCCGATGTAGCTAAGGTCAAGCTGTTGGCGCTCCGCGACCATTCCGTTTCGTGCGGCCTGCTGACGGAAGCGATCAACACACTCCCACATACGCTCGAGCTGCCAATGCCCCGCGATGATTTTCAGATTCTTGCCACAGTCAAACAAATAGCCCCGACGACATCGCTCGCGCTGAACTGATGCGCTCGATAGCATGTCCTTGAGCTGTGCAGAGTCAGGGGCGCACTTCAATGCTGCTTCTTCTGAGTGCCCTTGCGTTGCTTCGCCCTGGTAGGCCTGAGGCCCGAAGTCCTCGGCCGTTCGTTCGTGCTGGTTCGCCGTTTGTGTTGCACCGGAGTCCACGACCAGCTTCGGTTCCACAATCGCCAAGTCATCATAGGCCAAACTCAGGTCATCTCGGGCAGTTATGGAGGATTCAGCAACTGCACGTGGAACACGTACAATGTCAACTTTGCGATCTGGCCGGAGCTGCAACACGTTCTGTGCGGCAGCATGAGGATCTGCCGATATCCAATCGAATGCGATGAGCGGCGGCGTACTGCTTGGCTCTGCATGTTCCTGCGCTGCGCGTCGCACAGATCTCACATGGGATACGTATCGGTTGTGATTCCACGGCTGGCCGCCGTGGGCATTGCTGGGCAAATACTCCGAGCCGCGCAGAATGGAGCTGCGGCCTTCTGCCATGTCGACCACTCTCAGTTCGCCTCGACTGGAGCATATAGCTAATCGACCACGCTGCTGGCCGGAGTAGCGAAGGCTCCATATCGTTGTTGGTGAAGTGTCATCGACTGCGGGATGAAAGTCGAACACAGCACCGGCCGCTCCTGAACCTGAGCTACTCTGGGCAATCCAGCGCTTGTCCCAGACGGTCACAGAAGGGTCGCCCGTCGAGCCTGCGGAGGCGAAGTAATTGTCGTCCAGCGGATCGATGGCGATGTTGTGGACGTTGCGAGTCGCCACTTGGACACTACTGTTGCTGCCAAAGTCACTATCGCGGAGGTCGTACAGGCGGATGAAGGAGCGCTGCGCGGCGACTATGAGCTCGTCGGGGCGCGTAGGAGAGAAGCGCACGCTCGACACGACCTCTGCTGGACAGAGGCGGCGCAGAGGCTCCTGGCTGCTGCTCTCCTGCGGGGCCTTCGCATCGAAGATGTTGAGGCAGGCGTCAGATCGCGTGCGGTCCAGCGCTACGGCCAGCCAGTTCTGCGGGCCAAGGGCGATGGAGTTGCACTTCCTCTGCTGGCGCAGCTTGAATGTGGCAAGAGTCGCCGACTCACGTCCATCGTGGTTCAGTTGCACCAAGCAGGCGCTGCCCGAGACGAGGCCGAGGGCGACGATGGACTCATCAGTCTTGGACCAGTCAAAGGCGCCGAAGTTGGGCAGTCGGCCATAGCGGGCCAGCTGCTTGTAGCCAGCGGCACTTCGTCTCCAGTGCGTGATCTCGTGCAGTGCCACGCTCTGATCGATCACGTCGACGAGCAGAAAGCGCGGCCGCTCGCTCGACGCGAACGGCGACCATCTCACTGCCGCTTCCATATGCGCGCCGTAACCTCGGCCGTCTCGCAGCACATTGCGTAGTGGCGCGAAACGCGGCCTACTGATGTCAGTCCTCTTGCTGGTCGCGGAGGACGCGATGGGTATGGTGGAGGACGAATCGTCGCGTGTCGCACAAACGTTTTTCCGTCCCCGAGGGTGACGTCTCATGCTGTGCTGTGCATGGTCTACTTGATGTTCCCGGTTGCCTGCACGTGGCTATGAATCTACATTCGATAGAAAGTCGTTCATGTCACGCAGCGAGGATCCGCCGCCATATGGCGCTCCCAGCATTGCCCAATATCAACAACTGGGCTTGGACAAGGCCGCCGCTGGTCTGGCGCACAATGACCCGCGTTCATCTTCGCAAGAATCGCTCGGACCCCAGTTTGATGCGCAGCAACAACGTCGAAAGCTGCTGTTAATCTACATACATGGTTTCATGGGCGCAGAGACGAGCTTTCGCAGCTTTCCAGCTCACGTTCACAACCTCTTGACCGTACTGCTGTCCGACACTCATGTCATTCATACGAAGATCTACCCTCGATATGCTTCACGGGGCAAGATCACCCGCGCCAGAGATGATTTCGGCCGCTGGATTGAGCCTCACCAAGACAGCACCACCGATGTGGTACTTCTCGGCCACAGCATGGGCGGTCTTCTGTCGGCGGAAGTGGTACTTGCACCGGGTACGCTTCCTCAAGGCAGCCCACTTCGAAATCGCATACTGGGAACAATCAACTTTGACGTCCCTTTTCTGGGCATGCACCCGGGTGTAGTCAAAAGCGGCCTGGCAAGCATCTTTAGCCCTGCCGATGAGCCACAGGATCAACAGCTTTCTGACACGATGCCTGGAACGTCGGAACCAAGTGCGTCGGCCCCAGCTCCAGGTACATCGCGGGTAGACACTCTGTGGTCGCCCGAACAGCAGGATCCGAACTACAATCCGTCGTTCGCCAACGACGTCATATTACCGGTCCGAAAGGGCTGGCGGAACGCATGGCACTTTATCAGCAAACATTCCGACGATCTTACCACCGCTACGAAGAAGCTAGTGTCATCGCATCTCGAATTTGGCGGCGTCATGGCAAACTACAATGAGCTGCGGTCGCGGTATGCTAGGGTCAGGGCCTTGGAAGAGTCCGATGAGAGGGTTCGCAAGTCGGTTGTCGGGGCAGGCATTCCTCCACGAGTGCGATTTGTGAATTACTATACGGCTAGCACTGGTCGTCCTAAGAAGCCCAAGTCGCCTCATCGCCATGCGTCCCGCAGTCCCCACGGCTCGCGAAGTGCTTCGCAAGCTACGGATCGGCCTATGTCTTCTAGGAATTCGAGCAGTGTGCAATTAGGTGCACAGCTTGAGAATCTTCATGTTGCGGACGCAGAGCGCAAAGGAAGCAGCGCCGTCGACGATGCATCCCGAGGAAGATCGCCTGCTCCGCAATTGCCAGCCCGGAAGTCAGAAGCGGAAATGACACACAACGAGCGCGAACAATTGAGGCTTGAAAGAGAACGACAACGAATGGAAAAAGAGGGCCGCAGGCTACGTGGTGAGCCCGAACCATTGCCGGAGTCCACCAGCAGTACGGCGTCCCTTCCTACTGTTGAGATGACCTCACCTACAGACGTTCAGCCATCGAACTCCAGCTTTGTTTCCCAGACCTCATCTGCATACGATCAGAGCTCGCTCACTCCGATGGACAGTCGAACATCGACAGAGAGCCGCTCAGAGTCGCAGAAGCCAAAGAAGGACCGGATGTTTTGCACGCTGCCGCCCAAGGACTCTAACGGCGAGCGAGATCCTTGTTGGGTTCGAGTATTCATGCAGAATGTAGACGAGGTTGGAGCGCATTGCGGTTTGTTCTTTGTGGACGAAAGATACGAGCGCCTGGTGGGAGACGTAGCGTCGCGTATCGAGGGTTGGGTGAACGCAGACATTGGCAGCACGACTAGTTGGAAGTAGACCTGGAGAAAGTGCCCCTGAGCAGATCTTGTCTTGTGACCAGTGCAACCTTTTATCCACTTCAATGTGTTCGGAGCCGTTACTTGCAAATTTCACTCGAAGAAGTCTCCACCGCTTTCGTTGTCACTGTCGTCCTCGGGTGCCTCTCCGTCGTCCATGTCTTCGGCGGTCTGTTGACCTTTCTGTTTGCTTGGCCCGTGTGAAGTGTGGCTCAGCTCGGATTTGCTCGTCTTGTCCTCTCCTGGGTCTTCCGCCTCGCCGTTTTTCAGCCGCCCCTCACGCAGGTCTTTCAGCGTTCCAGCCTCCGCGCATCTCTTCACCACCTCCCACATCTCTCCGTCGCCTTGACGTTCAATTTCTCCACCAGGCTGCTCAGCAGTCGCGTCCTGCTCCTCGTCCTTCTTCCGCCTCGTGGGAAAAAGCGGCACATAATCCTGATCCAGTGGGTAGTACATAGCGTAATTCACCTCATTCTCCCTCTCTTTGACTTTTTCTCGCAGTTCTTCGTTGTCTTCATCGTCACGCAATGCCTTGCGCGCCTTTTTCAGACGTCGCTCTGCTTTCTGCCGGTCGAAGAACCTGATCTTGTGCCATCTTGCAATGATGTCGTTTCGCTTCTTCGCATACTGCTCGCGGGCCAGGTCTTGCTCGGCAGTACGTAAGGCTCGCTCCTTCTCTGCGCGAACAGTAGCAGGCAATGCGGCAGATTTGGGACCTGTCAGCAGGCGACGCAGTGAGCGAATATTGGATTTAAGGTCGTTCACGGTGTGGGCTTTCTTGAACGATTTACTGCCCAGGTTGGCGGGCAACGGTTTATGGCTTTGTGAGTTGTTCGTGCGATGGCGCTTGTATGATGGACGAGATGTAGGCGCAGAGTCGGGGGCAGGGCGTTTTGTGGCCATCGTGCGAAGCACCTGAACAGTTGTATGCTGCGTGGATGTTGGATGCACCTAAAATCGTTCTGCAAAAACTGCCACAGGGTAAGCATCCGTCAGTGCTGCGATGCGCAAGAAGGAAGGCGCGCCTCGGCTCGGAGAAACTCCAACTCCGATGCACAACTTCTACCGTTCCAGGAGCAAGCATCGTCAAACATTAAAACGCGCGAAATGCCCCCTTCGTCGGGCGCGCGCATACTGGACGTCGCTCGATTTCCCAGAAACTTGGACTGGGCAAAGACGCTTGCGCTACCGCGATCTCAGTTTCCAGCTCGTCCGACGCCTGCACAATTGGAAGGATATCGCGCGAGAAGTTCCGATGATTTGTATGCGTGGCAACGTGGCCATCGGCCGGCTACCGTCACGCGCACAAATGGCTCCGGCGACAGCAGTGTTGTCGATAACGAATTTGTGCTCCATGATGGTCCGCCGTATGCCAATGGCGCAGTCCATATGGGACATGCGCTGAACAAGATCTTGAAAGATCTGATGCTGCGAACTGAGCTCTTCCGTGGCAAGCGAGTGCACTATCGTCCCGGCTGGGACTGCCATGGCCTGCCAATTGAGCTCAAAGCCCTCCAGCAGCCCACATCGGATGCGAGCAAGGCACCGAAGAGCAAAAGTGCACCGAAGAAGGAGGCCCAGGCCGCCAGCGAAGCTGCTAGCCGAATGACTGCATCCGAAATTCGCAGTGCTGCATCTATGCTGGCTCGTCAGACTATTGACGTGCAGAAGAAGAGCTTTCAAAGCTGGGGCGTCATGGGCGAGTGGGACACGCCGTATCAAACGATGAGTAAAGACTTCGAGATGCGGCAGCTAAGTGTCTTCAGAGAGATGGTACGAAAAGGTAAGGTCAGGGTGTGCATTTCGAGTGCAGGTCGGGATTCGCGCTGATAGCCTCGCGCAGGACTAATCTCGCGACACCATAGACCAGTACACTGGTCTCCTTCATCACGAACCGCCCTGGCTGAGGCTGAATTGGAGTACGACGATAGCCACCGAACGACTGCGGCATTCATTTTGATGCCGATTGTTCGTGTGCCCGATGTACTCAAAAATGACAATTCGGTCGACCGCACGAGGCTGAGCGCACTTATCTGGACGACTACGCCTTGGACGATGCCTGCAAACAAAGCGGTCGCGGTCAAGGATGACATCGACTACTGCTTGCTCGAAATCGGCGACCAGCAGGGAGCTACGAACCAGATGCTTGTGGCCTGCGATCGCGTGGAGCACCTCCGAGGATTCTTGCCGGACACGAAAATCACTATGATCAAAGCCGCAATTAAGGGGTCTGATCTTGCAAACGGCAATGGAACCTGCTTTAATATATTCAGCGGCCAAGAATCACCGATCCTGCATGCCGACTTCGTGACCGCAGCATCGGGCACGGGATTGGTGCACATAGCCCCAGGGCATGGCATGGACGATTATCTGTTGTGTCAGAAGCATGACATAGGACCCGCGTTCGCCCCAATAGACGACGGAGGCAAATTTACCGCCGATGTATGGCCGACCGCAGAGAACGGAGATCGCGAGCGGCTGCAAGGCTTGTTCGCACCTTCAAAAGGTGTAGAAGCTGTGCTTGGTGTCCTGCGGGACTGCACTTCGTATCTGCCAGTGGGTCGACTGAGTCGATGCCATAATCTTGTGCTCGCGTCGCATAGCTTTACGCACAAGAATCCCATAGATTGGCGCACAAAACAACCAGTGCTGACTCGTGCCACTGCTCAGTGGTTCGCAGATGCATCCGCCATCAAGACCCGGGCACTTACTGCTCTGGACAACGTACGCTTCATCCCGGAGAGCGGCAAAGCTCGGCTGCGCAGCTTCGTGGAAGGTCGCAGCCAATGGTGCATTTCGCGACAGCGCGCCTGGGGTGTTCCGATCCCGGCATTGTATCACGTCGATACTGGCGCAGCATGCATCACCGAAGACAGTATCAACCACATCATCTCCACGATCGACCAGCGAGGCTCTGACGCTTGGTTTTCGGATCCGCTGGATGACCCTGCCTGGCTCCATGCGTCTCTCGAACCAGGAAAATGGATCAGAGGCAGAGATACGATGGACGTGTGGTTCGATTCGGGCACCAGTTGGACTTTGCTTGCAGACAGAGGACCGGGCATGCCAGTGAGCGACGTGTATAGCGAAGGGTCTGATCAGCATCGCGGCTGGTTTCAGAGCAGCCTGCTCACCGCGGTCGCTCTCCAAAACTCAGATGCGAACCCGGTTGCACCATTCAAGACGCTAGCTACACACGGTTTCACTCTCGATGGCGAGGGTAAGAAGATGAGTAAGAGTCTCGGCAACGTCGTTGCGCCGGAAGATGTCCTCTCAGGCGCATTCCTGCAGACACCACGAGGAAAGAAGCACGGGAAGAGCCAGCAAAAGTCTTCAGCGCAGCATGGTCAGAAGACGTCTCTAGGTCCAGACATGCTGCGGCTGTGGGTGGCGTCCTCGGACTTCACAAGGGACGTTGCCATATCGCAGACGGTGCTGCAAAGCGTTCAGCAAGCGCTGCAGAAATATCGCGTCACTTTCAAATTCCTGCTGGGGGTGCTCCACGACTACCCATCACTCACGCCCGACAGTGCACTACTGCATTCCGAGTTGGGATTTTCAGATCAAGTCGTTCTTGCGCGATTGAGTGAGACGAGCCAGGCTGTTTTCGATGCCTACGGCCAGTACAAGTTTCATGCAGGCACGGCTGAGATCAACAAATTCATCAACAACGATCTCAGCGCCTTCTACTTCGAGATTGTGAAGGACAGACTGTATACTGGCAGCACACAGGTCCGGAGGCACACCCAAACCATACTTGTATATGTGCTGCGCGAGCTCACGAGGATGCTCGGCGCGGTCACGCCTCATCTGATTGAAGAGGTGCAAGCATGGCTTCCCACGCAAATGCAACCGCAACTTTCCCTGTTGGCGCAAACGTGGGATGCAGCGTTCCAGCCGCATGAAGTGAGCAAAAACTTCGAAGCATACCAAGCGCAAGGCGAGGTACTGCTAAGCATATTCAAGGAGATCAGTTCAGCGGTAAAGATTGGCCAAGAGCGGGCAAGAGCTGCCAAAGTTCTCGGAAATGGACTCGCGTGTCAAGTTGAGATCATTGCGCCCTCTGAAGTGCTAAAGAGGTCTGATGGGTTTGCCGCGCTCCAGAGAGAGCTGCCCGCTATGCTTGTGGTCAGCGAGGTTCGATGGAAGGACTCGGAAGCAGCCATGGTCACCAAACCACAAGACGACAGCAGTGCTTGGCGTTTCGAGCAGCCTTTTGAGATCGTCGTCAACGGAGAGAAGGTGGTCGGCATGGTTGCAGTGCTGCCACCAGAGCACGAAAAATGTGTGAGGTGCTGGAAGTACGTGGCGGAGGAGAAGGAAGTGCCATGCTCTGACTGCCGCCAAGTGCTGGTGGATAGTCACCCAGAGCTGGTCGGTGCAGTGGATGCCGTGTAGTATATGTGTATATGTAGAATAGACCACCCAATGGTGCAGAACGCAACTCATCATCACCATCTTTGTTGCTCGTAGTCATGACCGTCTGTTGTTCACCTCGAAAGCGCTAAGGACGGAGAGCACGTGAGGCCCGCCTCGGCTTCGAGATGCTTCGGTGGGACCGGGCATGGAAGCTAACGCGAGAGAGGGACAGATGGGCGTTCGGAAGACCAATCTTTTGTCGCTGCAGCAGTGCGGCAGCCTCCCGCAACGTGCGACACTTTGCTACTTGTGCACCTTTTTTTTGCTCCGTTACTGAGTCGCGCGCTCGTCTTCCTCTGTTTTCAGCTCCATATGGTAAATGCTCTTCTCATCCGACGCCGCTACCACCGCCGCTACCACCCCATTGCCTCCGCCGCCACCACCCAATCCGTCCACTCCCCACCTAACACCCGTCTGCCCTCTCATACTACTCTCCCATTGCACACGTGCCGTCTCCCTGCCGTGCTCTGACCAATCTGCGGGATAGCCCTCGTTTTTCAGCAAGAAGAAATCCACCGATCCTCAGACGCCGCCCGTCGAACCCACCACGAGCAAAAGTCCCGCCCGGTCACCGGAGAAAGAGAAGCGCGGCTACTTTGCGAAGGAGCGGGACAAGGACCGGCTCAAACGCTCCTCCAAGTCCTTCTCGCGCACCACATCCCGCCGTGGATCGGACGAGCATCCGCTGAACCTGCCGCCCGACGAGCTGCGGCGGCTCAGCGCCCTCTCCGCCCAGAAGATGAGCAGCAGCCCGCGAGACTCCAGAGAAGGCGGCGTGCCCGTCCCTTCCGACCCCATGGAGACGACGCCTGCGCCAGAGACTCCTGGCGCCTTTCCCACCACCGATGCCACTGAGACGACCAATGGCACAAATGGCGAGACGCACCCCGGCGACGACGAGCAAGAGCAACGGCCGACCCCGCCTCCTCACAAGTCACAGCCCAGCTCGCCGCCGCGACAAGAGCCACGACCCGAGGAGGCGGAAGCATTCAAAGCGGAGGGAAACAAGTACTACAAGGCGGGAAAATATGCGGCAGCCATTGAAGAGTACGGCAAAGGTAAGTCGTGATCATGCAGTCCATTGGGAGCGCTCGTGCTGAGACGTGAGTGCTGCAGCAATCGAGGCGAACCCTACGTCGACCTATCTCTCGAATCGTGCAGCAGCATACATGGCCGCCGGAAAGTACACCGAAGCGTTGGAGGATTGTAAGCGAGCGGACGAGCTGGAGCCGGGTAATCCCAAGATCTTGCATCGCCAAGCGAAGATTCTCACTGCCCTTGGAGAACCACAAGCAGCTCTCGATGTATACGATCGGATAGACCCTCCCGCAACGGCCAAGGACCGGCAGCAAGCCCAGGCGATGCAGAAGTACATCTCGGAAGCCCATGACAATCTGAATAACAGTTCAAGCGGGTCAATGGTGCTCTTTGCTCTGGATCAGGCTGAAAAGTCTTTGGGAACGACAGTGCAGCCTCCACGAAAGTGGCGGCTTATGCGAGGCGAGGCATATCTGAAGATGGGCACAGTAAACAGCCTGGGGGATGCGCAGAATGTCGCCATGGCCCTGCTCCGTGGTAACAATGCAGATCCCGAGGCTCTGGTACTACGAGGACGCGCATTGTACGGTCAAGGAGAGAACGACAAGGCTATCCAGCATTTCCGGCAGGCACTTTCGTGCGACCCTGATTTCAAAGATGCTGTGAAGTGGCTACGATTAGTGCAAAAGTTGGACAAAACCAAGGCCGAGGGAAATGAGCATTTCAAGTATGGTCGCTATCCTCAAGCTGTGGAGACGTACACTAGCGCTCTCGACATCGATCCTTCAAACAAGGGAACGAATTCGAAGCTGCTGAACAACCGGGCCATGTGCTACACCAAATTGAAGAAGTGGCAAGACGCGATCAATGACTGCGATGCTGCGCTCAAGCTGGATCCAAGCTACATCAAAGCCTCGAAGACAAGAGCGAAAGCCCTCGGCGCAAGCGGCGATTGGGAGGAGGCTGTGCGAGCGTTCAAGAACATTGCCGAGCAGCATCCAGAAGAACCGGGCATCGCCAAGGAAGTCCGTGATGCAGAATTGGAGCTGAAGAAGAGCAAGCGCAAGGACTACTACAAGATACTGGGGATTGAAAAAGATTGCAGCGATACGGATATTAAGAAGGCTTACCGCAAGCTTGCCGTGGTTCACCACCCGGACAAGAACCCGGACGACCCGGAAGCGGAGAACAGGTTCAAAGAGATTCAGGAAGCTCACGAAACTTTGATCGACCCTCAGAAGCGACAACGCTACGATAGTGGAGTCGATCTCATGGAAGATGGAGGTATGGGTGGTGGGTTCCCCGGCGGTATGGGAGGCATGGGTGGATTTGGAGGAGGCGGCGTGCAGATTGATCCAGAAGTGCTGTTCAACATGATGGGCGGTGGTATGGGCGGGGGAGGAGGAGGCGGAGGTTTCCGCTTTGCATCTGGCGGCGGCGCTCCACGAGGGTTCCCTGGAGGTGGACAAGGCTTTTCTCCATTTGGCTGAGTCTGCGAAGATCTGCTGTGTATTTCGCCGTGGATCTTGCTGCTGGTATTGCTGCATCGCATTGTACAGGCTGCCCACTTGCGGCGGAATTGGGGTTCTACAGCATAGCGGAGCGGCACGGCGCCGTAAGCACGACACGGATATACGAATAGATTGCGTTAGTGGCTCGAAGCAGCTTTGAGGCGTGGATAGAGGCGATGCTTCTTGCCTGGACCAGACCAGGATCACGTTGTACATTTTATTGATACAATGATTCACGACGAGCGTTCCATAATACGCGTTTCCATCAAGCTCCTGCAGCAGGTGCGACCGAGTCCCTCAGACTGTCTGCCACCAGAAAAGCCAGCTCGAGGGCTTGCTTCTCATTCAATCTTGGGTCGCAGAACGTGCGGTAAGCCTTGCTCAAGTCAGCGTCGTCTATGCCTTGACTGCCTCCCGTGCACTCAGTAACGGCATCACCCGTCAGCTCGAGATGCACTCCGCCTAGGTAAGTACCCTGCTGACGATGAATGTGGATGGCGGATGCCAGCTCATCGAAGACATGTTGGAACGAGCGCGTCTTGGTACCATCGGCCGTTGACCGCGTGTTGCCGTGCATGGGATCGCATTGCCAGACCACCAAGTGGCCAGTCTTCTGAACCGCATCGATGTGCTTTGGCAGCATGTCGGCAATCTTGTCCTTGCCGTACCTGGTGATGAGCATCACTTTTCCAATCTCGCGATCGGGATTGACAGTGTCCAGGAGGAGGGCAAGGTCTTCAGGTTTAGTGGACGGGCCGACCTTGATGCCAATGGGATTCTCCACGCCGCGTGCGTATTCCACATGTGCATGATCGGGTTGGCGGGTTCGGTCACCGATCCAGATGAGATGGGCACTCGTGTTGTAGTAGCCTGTGGGCTCGCCTTGAGAGGCTTTTGTATCGACTGCGGATGGCCTCCTCGTTGTGGAGCGAGTTGCGTTGCTCGGTCGCTTGAGCTTCCTGGTGAGAGCTTCCTCATACGCTAGCAGTAGTGCTTCGTGTGAGGTGAATAGGTCGACGCTACTCAGTCCGCTCGCGGCATCTGCGCCGATCGTGTTCATGAAGCGTAAGCTCTCCCGAATTGTGTTCACAATCCTGCTGTACTTCTCGAGTAGATCCTGGTCGCCGACATGTCCTAAACTCCAATCCATGGGATGATGCAAGTCTGCAATTCCAGAAGAGAGTTGAGCGCGCACATAGTTTAGTGTAGCGGCAGAATGAAAGTAGGCCTGTACCAGTCTGTCGGGATCGATCTTGCGATCATTGGGATGGAAGCTGTTCAAAATATCGCCTCGATAGCTTGGTATCTCCTGGCCTTCATGCATCTCTGTTGGCTTGCTTCTTGGCTTTGCGTATTGTCCTATCGGGTGTTAGCATACAGACGGTAATGTGGCCGCATATCGACGCTAGACAATGCCTACCTGCCATCCTGGCGATTCTCACCACCGGCTTGTTGCCGCCCCAAATCAAGACCAGCGACATCTGTAGCAACAACTTGATTTTGGAGTCGATGGAGTCATCGTGGCAGTAGTCGAAGAGCTCCGCGCAGTCCCCTCCTTGCAGCAGGAAGGCTTTGCCCAGGGCAACGTCGCGGAGAGCATTTCTCAGCTTCCAAATTTCGAGTGGAGTCACCAGAGGTGGAAGATGTTCGAGCTTTGTGAGAGCAGCTTTGACGGCCTGTGGGTCTTCATATTCTACCGCTTGCACAATCGGCTTGGATCTCCATGAGTCCGGACTCCACGGCGAAAAGGCCCCGTTGGTCGTCGTTGGCTGAGAGGGCACGGCGGCGCCTTGTGATGCACCCGCGCCCGATGCCATGACTGAGGCAAACTTGCCGACTGACGCTCAAGTCCTCTTCTGGAGCTTGACTATGTGCGTAATGATCAGGTCGAAATTTGATGTAGTGACTGAATCATGAAGAGGACAACAAATGAGTCTTTTGAATTGGAGTGCCAAGAATAGCAAACTCACGCCACTTCGACTTTCCAACGTGCCACTTTGTAGCGCCACTGATACCACACATCATGGCCGAGCCGCAACCACCCAACGTGCAAGAAGGCGCCGATGCGCCGGATGTACTGCCTGCAAGCAAAGAGGACCGCAAGGCAGCCGCAGCGTTGTCCTCACTCGATGCGCCGTCTGAAGATGTCAAGCCGAAGAAAGAGACCGATCTGAAAGCCTTGAACGAAGCGATGAAGGCTTTAATGCCGGCCGCGAAACCGAAGGAGACGGCCTCTTCGACCACCAAGAAGGACGAAGCGCCAAAGAAGGTGGTCAAAGTTGATGCTGCGGATGTTGCACTGCTGGTAAGTCTCCCACGAGCACACCTGCACTATATGACCGGTACCTTGGGCAGGAACGTGGTGTTGACAGGGACCCAGGTCGAGCAGTTGGATTTGAATAAGACGAAAGCTACGGAATTGCTGCGAGCCCACGATGCCGATGTTTTGAAAGCGATCAAAGCCTGGGTCACTGCAACCGCCTGAACGCGGAAACATCAAGCAGTATGTAGTGATCACATGCTGTATATCAAACAGAACCTTCCAGGCACGTACAGGTCTCAGCTACTCCAAATAGATCTGGCCGGATGTTGAAGGCAAGACTCTGCTGCGAGCGAGGTCACGCAGCGAACAGATCATTTGGCGGGAAAGCCTAACCGCTAGCGTGGGTCAGTCGTATGTGAATGTACAAGCGATTGAATTCGCTGAGCTACGAAATATTCGGCCTACGACGTGACCAAAGTCCACTTCAAGAACGGGCATCCAAAAGTCCTGTACAGCCCAACACTGCTCTAACATTGGCGCATAGCACGCTAGAGTTCCAGCCCATTAGCGAATGTCAACCTCCTCTGCGTGTCTGCCTTAGCGCTGAGATTCAACTTGCGCACCCTCTTCGCCGGCATGGTCTGCTGTACCAATGAACTGGGGGCTTTGAGATAGGCAGGCGTGGCAGGCTCCGAGCCGTCCTCGCTGTTCTCCTTGTCAGGCGTGCCAATCAACGACGTCTCGTCAGAGTGGTCAAAAATGCCCTTCATGCTCGCGCGACCGATCGACAACCGGCCGTTGCTAGTCCTGCGGTCACGTATAATGTTGCCCCCGTTGGTCTTCAACAGAGTGGACGGCTCCATACTCTTGCGACGTCGTTTTGTGCTGCGTGGATACTCGTCTACCTCGACAACGTACTCCTCGTCGGTCTCCGCAACACGATGTCCCTGCGCATCGCAGTCGTTGACCCATCTGCTGTTCACACAGTAGATTTCTTTACCAGTCCCTTCATTTGCGATCTGCGCGTTGTAGCTTGTCAGAGCTTCGATCAGCTTCGGGTTTCCCTCTTTGAAGACTACATGCGTGACGTTGTCGTTGAAGGTCTTTGTCGTCTTGGCTCCCAGCCTTCTGAGCAACATGGCAAAAGACTGTGACACACAAGCACCGTCGTGGGTATATACGTCGACCAGAGCCACAACACCACGTAGAGGTGCTGATGGATGCGGCGTCATTGCCACCTCACTAGGGGTACTTGTCGACGCTTTTGAAATGGTCCTCATCGGAGTCGAAGTTGCCTTGAGTGCAATCTTGCGCAACGAATTGGGCTTTTGTGCAGTTGCAGGTTGCTTGTTGGGCGATCGTCTCGCAGGCGTGAGCGACCGACTCGCTAACACGGCAGACTTCACTGTCTGAGGGCTCCGGGACACCTCTGGGGACCAGCTTGAACGTGTTCGCTTGGGAGTCGTAGCCATTGAGTGGCTTGTGTCTGTCGTGTCATGGAGGGACTTCCTCTTCAACGAGGAAGCAGTCTGCATAGGCACATATGCTGGCGTTGCTTGCTCTTGGAAAGGAGACCGTTGCGGCGAGTGATTGTGTGAGGGAACAAGAGGGGTGCCGTGGAAGACGCTTCCAGTGCCAGAGGGCGTGGAAAGACGGGCATGCGGGGACATTCTGTTCTTGCTGCTCTTTCCCAGCAGATCGTGATCAATTTCGATCGCAAAGCCCGAGGATGATTCTGCGGCTTCTGCGCTCATGGGTGTCGTTTCTGCACAGCGTGGAGTACCACTCTTGTCTAGATTGCGGAATTTGTCTTCAAATCCACCACCTTCGAGGGTCAGGGCCGGAGTTTCCAATTGCTGCGGCAGGGGAGAAGATAGTGCAAGCGTAAGGTCGCCTTCAACGCCCTCCTGCTCTTCGGGGAAGTCTTCTATCGTGGCCAGCTTGATCGGGCTGTGTGTGGTTGTGCGTGGACAGCTAGATTCCTCGAGCGAGAGAGTGATGTCCCCCTCAACTGTGTCTCGATCCTCTTCGAGGCTGTCTTCTGCAGTCACCAATTTGATCGGTGAGCGGGCAGTCTTGGGAGAGAAGACCGCCTCATCGAGGATCAGGGTATTGTCTCCCTCCATCCCGGCATCCTCCTCCTCCTCAATGCTGTCCTCTGCCGTGACCAATTTGATCGGTGAGCGGGCCGCGCTGGAAGAGTATTCTAGCTCTTCGATGATCAGAGTGTCATCTCCTTGGATTTCGCCGTCTTCTTCCTCGACCTCCTCAGCCGTGGCGATTTTGAAAGGTGTTGTAGCAACGGCCCGATTCAAGTCTGTTTCATCACACATGAGTGTCACGTCGCCATCGACCATCGTGTCGTCTTCAACAAGTTCTTCGATTTCTGGGCGTTGAGCGATCACGGCGCCTTGCGAAGGCTCGAGCACCTCCTCGCGATGTGCTACCAGAGAAGTGGTTTCCAGGAAATCGCTTATGTTGACAGTCTGTTCGGGAGAGTCGCATTGTTTGGCCACGCTTGGTGTAGACTCGGAGAGATCCGTGGTTGAATCGTTCCCGACTTCCGCCAACTGTGCAGTGGTTTGTTCTTCCTCACAAGTTATATGTGAGTTGTCACGTAAGGCTGCTGGAATGATAAGGCGTTCGGTAGGCTCCGCCTGCGGTAGACCTTGAAACAACGTCATATCATTTTCGAGCTCGAAGAGTGATGTATTGTCCTCTCGCAGGTTGTTCCAGTCGATTGTCTCTGGCTGCTCGATGGCATCTTCACCAAGGCTTGAAGATCGGCTAGCGACTATGGATGGTGTACCGAAAGCAATTGTGGCCATGCTGGGTTCAAGGCCGAAAGATGTATCGTGTGGTAAAGTGCTTCGTTCGCCACCCATTGCTTCGTCCATTCTGCCGTGGTCAGGCGTCTGAGAGAGCGCAGCACTTTGCGGTTCGGACAGGTCACCGTGCTCATGCTGTGAATGGCTCTCGTGCAAAGTCCCATCTCGCATTTCTGCATCTACTAGCGGGCTCGGGGAGTTTGTTTCTTGTTCGGGCTTGTGGTCGCTTGCGGAATGTAAACTCTGGTCTGAAATTCGGGGTTCCAGGTGATTTTGCAAAGCATCGGAATGGTTGGGTATGGAAAGGTGAGGCAAAGGTTGCAGCTTTGGAAACACCATGGCCGTGTCGCGTGCTCTCGCGACTGTCATGGGTCGGATCTCCAATGTCTGAACATTCTGCTTGAAATATGGTCTTTGAGTCTGTGGCGTTCCCCGCTGTGTTCCCAGGACCTGGAATCGTCTGACAGGCGTCTCCAACGCTACACTTGTATTCGCGAGTGGTTCAGCCTGAGCTGTGCATAGGTGAGAATGCTCCTGGCGATCGCAGCGTCTCATCGGGGTTTTCGGCGCGCACAATTCATCGTCCGATACTTGTTGTCCTTCTTGGTCCTCCCTGAGCTCCGAATTTCCATCATCTTGGAGCACATCATCTCTTGGCTTCAGGACGCGCTGTGCAGGATCTGCTGAAGTTGCTGACTTGGTGGGTGCTGCATCTATCTCAATCTTCGTCGCTGTTGCGGCACCTTCGCGCGTATTCCGTCGCTTGGGCGCTCTGGATGTTCGATCTGCCCCGTCTATGGCTGATGCCAGACCCGCCACATCGGCATTCTCGTCTGATACGTTCCGCTTTCTTGCCACTGGTCTGGCGGCTGGCTTAGCTGGCGCAGCTGCTTTGTTGACTGTGGTTTTGGTAGTTGCCACTTTAGGTTTCAGGACCTGAGTGATCTTCTTGGGCGATAGTGGTGCCGCCTTCTCCTTTGCCGCTGTCGCTCGCGTAGGCCTCGTGGCCCGCGACTGAGTCGGTTTCAGCTGAGGCGCGTCGCGCGGCTCTACGATGTCTGTAGTCTGCTTTGCTGCCTGTGTGGTCTTGCTCGTTCGGGAGGCTGTGGGTTGTGTGACCTTCTTCGCTGTTGTTTTCGTCGTGGCTCCTGGTCTTGTCGCCTTCTTTGTGGCAGCCTTCTCTGCTGGTACATCATTTTCCACCGTAGCTAGGCGGCCCTTCCGTATGCCTTTGACTGGCGGTGGAGCGGGCGCAGCCAATTCATCCAATTCGTCATCTTCGCGCAGTTCTGCTGACGATATGCGACCCGTCTCAGGCACTGTTTTCCTGGTTCGCGTCGTCTGTGTGGTTGCGGGTTTTGCTGCTGCTGTCGCCGGCTTGCGGGCCGGTTTCTTTTTGAGAGTCGCCACCGTATCTCCAGCACTCGTTCGAGCGCCGCCTCTCGTTGATACCATGGTATGCGATGATCGTGGTTGTACAAGTGGTTCGGTATGCACCGACTCGGAGTGACGCGCTTGCCCTGTTTAACAGCAGCGTGGTCCGGCGTTGCCATGACGACGCTGGCCCGGCACGAGACGTGCCTGCCCTTCAGCCGAACTCATGCCGTCTCGCTGTCATTGTCGTCATAATCGGACCAGCGATCGACCACATGCATGCACCTGAGTGCTCGCTTGCCGCTCCCTAGCGCTGGGGTTGTGAGTGAGACGATGGAGTTACTTTTGCGATGCCGGCGCATGGATTGCGGCTGGCAGGTACCGGCCTGCGGAAGCAATATGCTTCTCTAGACACGAAGCAGCACTTAATAATGTGTCATTGACTCCCTCTGTTCCATATCGCCATCAGTATCGCCGGGCAGCAGGCCAAAGCATCAAACCAGCAGTCAGCCGCGCGTGTGAACAATATGGCCACTTCTGATGACCACGATTTCGATTGCTTGACCATCAAGGAGCTGGAGCAGCATGCTCAGCAGCGTATGGACAAGCAAACACGCGATTACTACAACGAAGGCGCCGACTCAGGCTCAACACTCCGCGAGAACACCACGGCTTATGACAAGTACCGAATCCGGCCTCGTGTGCTCCGAGATGTCTCCAACGTTGATACGTCGGTCGACATCTTTGGCTTCAAGAACAGCATCCCGCTTGGCGTAGCCCCAACTGCTATGCAATGTCTGGCTCATTCCGACGGTGAGCTAGGTACGGCCGGGGCGTGCAAGGAGTACAATGTGATCATGGGCTTGTCCTCTTTTGCCACCAAGTAAGTGACCAAAATCCATACTTCGCTGCCTCGTGTCTATTTCGGGCCGAGTTTGCTGTGGCCATCTCTACGTGGCTCGCAGACATACCCGGCCGCCATTCGCCTGAGAGATACCCTTGCTGATCCGCTGCTTGTTTGTTTCAGATCGCTCGAGGAGGTGGCAGAAGCAAGCGGAGATATTCCCAACGTTCTTCAGCTGTACTTGTTCGAGGAGAAGGAGCACAGCGCGAAGCTCATTCAACGAGCCAAAAAGGCTGGCTACAAGGCTGTCTTCCTCACCGTCGACACTCCCTTCCTCGGCCGACGAAATCTCGAAATCCGAAACAAATTCAAGCTTCCTCCGCACTTCAAAATTGCCAACTTCGCCGACGATGACCCAATGCAGCCGGCAAACCAGGAGAAAGCACAGGAGCAGCGACCGCAGCCCCAAAGGCGGAAGTCTGAGGCAGGCTATCACGATGGCGAGAAGCGTGTGTGGCCCACTGGGCCCGTAACTTTCCACACGCATGCTCCAAATCCTACTCTGTCGTGGGAGCAGGATATTGACTGGCTCAAGAAGGAGTGTGGAAGCGAAATGCAAGTATGGGTGAAAGGCATTGCTACTTCAGAGGACGCTATTCTCGCACTGCATCATCAGGTTGATGGCATCGTAGTGAGCAATCATGGTGGCCGTCAGCTCAATGGCGCGCTCGCTACACTTGACGCTTTGCCAGAGATTGTCGAAGCAGTTGGGGGCAAAATTCCAATCCACGTCGACGGCGGTGTCAGGCACGGTACAGACGTGTTCAAAGCTCTTGCACTTGGAGCAGACTTTGTCTGGATCGGACGGCCAGTCTTGTGGGGCTTGGCATACAAAGGTCAGGCTGGAGTCGAGCTTTGCTTGAAACTGTTGAGTGATGAGATCAAGTTGTGCATGGCACTGGCTGGCACCACCAGGGTGCAGGATATCACCAAAGAATATCTCGTGAAGGTAAGCAAGAGTGACAGTGTCGAGTGCTGGCAGAAGGTTACTGACCCAATGTCGTTTAGATGGACCGCAGCGGATTCATCTCACGCTTGTAGTACTAGACAGTACGACCGAGCGACGGTAGTGGCAGAGACGAATTAGAGCAATCGACGATTCCGTGTAACAATAGCATTGACGAATAATTCGACAAGTCATATCTTGGTGGGGTGATATTGCATGTGTCCGAATTCTGCATGAGGCCAACTGTTTTTCGTACATTATAAGGGATTTCAGGTCTCTGTCTGACAGGCGCCGATGAACTTCCCAGGCTTATCGCAGGAGCTAGAAAAGTGAAAGCCGTACCCGCCATGGTCTTTTGATACTAGTCTCTCACCCCGAGCCTTCGATCAGCACTCTAAAAGGCCACCTTCTCCTAGCGCCCGCCCGCTGTGTTGGTCTCAGAGCCCTCAGCGCATCGCACTGGGGTCGCGAGATCCGCGAATGCATTCCGAAGCTCTGCGACTGTAGCGCGCAGCTTACCAGAGGCTTGTCCGAATACAGCAGCACCAGCTGCTCACAATTGCGGCATGCCCCATCTGGTCAAATTGCTTATGATTGTGAGAAACTTGTTTGGACACTTCTTTGGCTTCAGATGGCGCAGCAAGTTGAAGTGCTTGCCCGGCGCGTGGAGAGCGCAATCACGATTCTGGCCAATCTGCCATGCTCTGTTGGAAGTTCCTATGCCTCGCGGACTTGTTGCATCATCTAAACCCGTGCGTGAAACAGATTGTTCAAGCAGTACCAAGCGATCTGGAGACGACCATACAGCGCATGATGCGCAACGTTCGCAATGTTCTAGGTAGCCGGGCTTCATTTAGAGCTGTGATCATGGTCCAAATCACAGGCAGGTGACCACATGCTTTCAAACATTTGCAATGGAGTAGCAAGCAGTATAAGGAGAGCGCCCCGCAAGGGAGGCTTGGACTTCTCAAGTCAGGACATGTAGGAGCTTCGAGTCAACCACAAGGCGCATCGGTGAAATGACTCTCGACATGGCGGCTTACAGCGACCTCGTCGCCTTCGAAGACCCCGCAGACCGGGCACGTGGCGTTCACGCTGCTGAGTGATGGCTCTGTTCGCTGCCCAGTGGCACTTTGCGGCTCGTCAAAATTTGGTAGGAAGTCTGCGAGGGTCCTGGGCGGTGGTCCAGCAGCAGAATCGATGTAGCCGTCGTCGTACCGTACGTCAGCCACATGCTTGAAGCCACCGCTCGTAGTGGACGTCGTCGTTATTGTTGTCGTTGTCGGTGGCACTGATGCCGACATGCGCTGCACACGGCCCACCCTGCCATCGGTCAGACGTACCTTGACGCCCCGTGGGTGATCGCCGCGAGTCAACACGTCTTGAACGATGCCTTGAACCTCTCGGCCAGTGGGCTGATCTGCTTTCAGCACTATTGATACGGCAGCACCGGGCACGACCTGTTGAATCGAAGGCACAGGGTGGTATTCAGGGCCGCGGTGCACATCTCGCCCACCTCGTCCACCTCGCCTGCCTCCGCCACCGCGATCACCGCGTCGAGCGTTGTCGTGTGCAGCGCGAGGCTGGCGGTTGCGCGGGCGTTGCATGCTGGTGGTGCGCTTGACCTGGACAGTGGATGCGCAAGGTGAAGAAGGTCGTTCGAAAGCTGGAAAGGCTCGCGTGGCGTTGCCGGAGGTGGTTCGGTTCCCTTGGCATTTTGCACGCTCACTTTGTCATCCACGCGAACTTCCAGTCCGTTCAGCACATCTCTTCCATCACTGTCCCTCTACCCCGTGCTCCGCCATCGACAACGACAGTTCCGCCTGCACTCTCCGCCCTCCACTCCTCTCACCGCCCCGCGCTCGCACTGCAACTCCAGCGCCACGTCCCCACGAGCTCGCAGCACTTTCTGCCCCAGTAGTGCAGCACAAACCTCCGCGAGCAGACAAGCTCGGTTGGCCGAGTTTCACGAACACACCCCATCCTCGCAACCCGCAGGACACCTCTGCCTCGTTCGCGCGCACCCCGCTCACTTCTGCCATCATGGCCGCCGAAGTTTCCGGACTGCCCAATGGCAGCTACGGCGTGCACCAGCCCTACGCCGCTGGGGACCAAAGCAGCTACGGCTACTCTGCCTCCAACCAAAATTCACAGCCACCTGCTGCTCAGCAAGCTCCGCCGCCATCCACCACGCCGTCCAACTCCGCACCGCAATCCGCGCCGCAATCTGATATCCCCAAGGATGAGGTCGGCTGGTATTTCGTCGAGCAGTACTACACCACGCTGTCCCGATCGCCGGAGAAGCTCTACCTGTTCTATAACAAGCGCTCGCAATTCGTTTCGGGGCAGGAGACCGACAAGGTCGCCGTGTGTGTGGGACAGCGCGCAATCAACGACAAGATCCGCGAGCTGGATTTCAATGACTGCAAGGTCCGAGTGACCAACGTCGATTCGCAAGCTTCGGACAGCAACATCGTCATTCAAGTCATTGGCGAGCTGAGCAACCGCGGCCAGCCTCACAGAAAATTCACGCAGACATTCGTCCTCGCCACGCAGACCAACGGCTATTTCGTGCTGAACGACATCTTCCGATACCTAGTCGAGGAGGAAGACGAGGCCGAGAATGAACCACAGCAACAGCAACAAGAGGAGACACAGCAGGTGCCCGACGCAGAAAGTGGCGTGCAGGAACCTGCACCTACCGAGGCGCACCCCACCACTCTCACGAGCTCCTCTGACCCTGCCGCCGTGGAGCACGATGCCGAAGAGGTTGATAAGAAAATTGATGAGAAGCTTGCGAATGGAACGAAATCAGAAGCCAACGAGAAGACTGCTGCTCCTGAGGAGGCGAAGCCGGCAGCGGTGGAGCCCGAGACGAGTGAAGAAGCGCCGGCCGCGCAGACCGAACAAGAGCCTGAGCCAGCCAAGGAGCCAGAGAAGGAGGTTACTGCTGAAGCGACTGCAGAGTCAGAGACCGCGAAAGAACCGGAGCCAACACGTGCACCTTCGCCGCCGAAGCAGGAAGCACAGAAGCCTGCGCCCGCACCAGCACCAAAGCCGGCCGCGCCGGCAGTGCCAAAGACTTGGGCCAGCCTCGCAGCATCTGCTGCCAAGACTGTAGCTCCAGCAATTCCACAGCCAGTGGCACAGGCCGCGAAGGCCGTCGCTCAGAAGACAGCCACCACAGTCACTCCAACCGCACCAGCCGCTGCTACCAACCCAGCGACCCCGATCACTCCGTCTGCCCCATCTTCACAAGATGCAAAGGCCAACGACTCTCAGGACGAGTGGACTGCAGTGGGAAGTGCCCACAACCGCAATGCTTCGAAGCAGACCAACTCCGCTCCGCAGCAGCAGCAGGAGCCCCAATTCCGTGGCTACATCAAGAACGTTTCCGACAACGTGGACGGCAACAAGCTGAGGGCAGAACTTGAGAAGTTTGGCGATCTCCTCTATTTCGACATTGCGCGTCAAAAGGTAAGCCTCCAGAAGAGGTGCGCCAAGGTTGACCGTCTGCTAACTATCTCACAGAATTGTGCTTTTGTTGACTTCAAGACCGCCGAGGCTTACAACAAGGCCAAGGCCACCCAATTCGAGGTTGATGGCAACGATGTTCCCCTTTTCGTTGAAGAGCGCAAGTTCCGTCCCGGCTCAACACCATATATCCCACGCGGCCAGTACCAGGGCGGACGTGGTGGACCTCGTGGTGGTGGCAATCAAGGTGCTCCACGGGGCAATTTCCAGGGTGGCCGCGGCGGTCCCGGCCAAGGCGCACCGAGAGGCCGTGGAGGATATGCGTCTGCCGGCCCGCGCGGCGGACGTGGCGGTGCTCAGTCTTAAGCATCATGCCGAGTCAACTTGATGAGGTCTGCAGCGTCGCCCCTGCTCACTTTTCACGGCGAAGGAACGAATTCGGCAACCTTTCACCTACCATTCGACGCGATGTACCATTACTTTGAACGTATTACGCCTCGATTCCTCGCTGATCGAGTTCATTTGGGAGTGGAAAGGACTTCTAATGTGTCATTAGCAGCAGACGAAATGTTATGTTCAAAGAGAGACGGCGGCAAGGGAAAAAAGCGAGCTTGTTATTATATCAGCTAGGTTTTTTGCGTTGCATAGCGTGGCTTCCTGAGCGTGGCAAGGGGCACGTGCTTGGCCTTAGAGCGGCACCAAGAGCGACGAAATGCTCTACTCGATAGTTTGCCACTCGACTCTGTGTATGAAGAGTGCAGGGTTTAGACTTTCGAGACCAATTGTACGAACACATTGCCTTCAATTCTTTCGACGACTATCTCGTAGCATACTTCACAGCTGCCTCTAGCAAGTCATTGCCTCGCCTGTGAGGTCCCTTTGCTTGATCAATGTCGAAAAGCCACGTGCATCCGGGTCACTGCAGCTCTGCTTCTTAAACTCGTCCACGGACAGGTCTGGGGCGTCATCCGGATACTCGATGTGAAAGACTGGCTTGTTGGCATCGATGAAGGGTCTGTATGAGTCGCACTCTTTGTAGTGTACACCTGGAGTAGTCATTAGAAAGCAACACTCAGCAATGCAGTGCCAGGCGTCACTTTTCATGGGACGAGACGATCACTTTGACTTACATTCTTCGTTAATCTCCCACTGGGAGACGTCAACCACGCGATTGACAAGAGCATCATCGCCATTTTTCAAACCATATGCTAGACCCGCTTCGTGTGCAGTCTGAGCCAGAAATCGGATGAAGTCGACAGCATCATCTTCCGTCATGTCGAATCCAGAGTCATTTTGGTAGCCATCGATGTTGTCCGGATCTACGCCATCACAACCTTTGGATTTGGCCTCGTCTATTCTCTTCTTCATAATGTCTCTGACTCCTTGGCTTCTGACATCAACCCATTTCTCGTCTGGCCACTGCAGCGCATATAGTTAGCATGAGCTGAGAAAATAGGCATCCTGCGATGCACTCGAGATCAGCAGGTTTTCAACGCTTGCACTTACCCCGTCCATTACTTTCCCCACGGCCTCTTTCGGAAAGTCTCCAGCATCACTTCGATAATCTTCCACACTACCAGCCGAGAAGTAGCATATCACACGTCGTCCTTTGGCATGAAAAGATTCTACAAGGGATGAGCTCGCGAGAGCCATGTCGAAGTCCCAAACAGAGTACGCGTTGTCCTCGGCAGCAGATACATCGGGCACTTTCAAGAGTTGAATATTCCATGACTGGCCTGCGGTCGGCTTCCAAAGATCGGAAGATTGTGTGTTCGAAGGTGTCGAACCTGTATTTGTTGGAGTGTCATAGTTCCAGTCTGGCGATAGCCAATCTTTCAATGGTGACAATGCTCCGAGAATCTGCTGAAGTTCGAGATTGTTCGCAAGGCAGAGAGATGAGAATTGTAGGGCCAGAAGTCCAGACCGACTGATTGTCTTGACCATTTTTGGGGAAGATCGACGCAGCGCAAACCAATCTCGAAAACAACAACTTGGTCACGGAATGTGTTTTGATTGCTGAGCCACTTTCCAATTGTGCAGAATCAGTACAGATCCAATGGTCGCTATATATCGATCATGCGTTCGTGGAGAAGTCAAAGTTATTAATTGTGCGCTGTGGCGGAGGCGCAGTCTGGCCAACGCCTACGCTGAACCTTCGGCTCAGCCAGGAAGCATCGTTGCGTGCTTCTACTCGAAGGATGCGGCGTAGCTGGAATCACACACGCTTATCAAGAGGCTCCAAGCCTTCATCGTCGCAAGTCATGAGGCTTGTGCCGGTGCTTGTGCGCGAAGGTCAGGAACGAGACGCGGTCATCCTTCTTCACTCTCATTCCATCTCTGCACAGTGCCTCGGCAGGATCCGACTGTTTGGAAGTGAACCAAGGTATTCCTTGCGTCCGCCAACTTCGTGCATCCTGAACGAGAATGAGACAGTATTGGCGTAAAACAAACAAGAATCTCGTGATGCGGTGTTTTGACAACTGGACGCTACCTTGGTGGCGTTTTTCGAGGCAGCGCACTCTGCTTTTAGGCTTCAACATATCGCTTCAGATCATCTCCCTGCGCATCGAAGGCTTTCTGGAGGTTTTTCTTCAACAAAAGAGCCAGAACAGGAGCTAGCAGTCCATAGTAAGATTCGTAACTGACATATCTGATCGTACCATCACCAAGGTCTGTGAGGATGTTGAGGTGTTCCGCAAGCTGACCGGGACCGTCATATCTCCAGCCATTGACAGCAATCTTGCCTTTGCCGTCCACATTTCTTATGTCGATGGTGACAATTTCGTCCGAGGTAGAATTGAATGGCCCGAGCAAACCCTGCGTAATGAACTTCACTTTGGTTTCGAGGGGAGCAGGGCCGGGTGGCAGTGATTTGGGATCAACTGGTTGCACATCGACGACGAATGAGTTCCATTCCGAGTAGCGACTGAAGTCCAAGAGAGCATCGTAGGTCTCTGCGATCGATGCCTTCAGCACACGCTCGGAGCACACGGTGAAGATGATGCCGTCACCGCCGTACGTAGCTGTAGGCAGCTTTTTTCCGTCGTTGCAGCGGGTGTTGACGAGCTCGGCTGGTGGAATCTTATAAAGTTGTGCTTGCGAGATGGTCGCCATTACGGCGATAGCGACTTTCCAGGAGGCTTTCATCTTCATTCCTGGTGTAACGAGCTTGCTCCGAAGAGTTGACCGACCTTGAGTGGAAGATGGAAGAGACGAACTGGTACTGAGACCGATGCCAAATGCATTGATTCCATGCCAAGAGTGCTGACGTCGATGGCGATTCGGAAATCTCGCATAGCCATACCTTATCCCAGGATGAGGCTGCGAACGAGCGATTAATGGAGTTTTCAAGTCAGTGATGCAGCGTGCCAATCCGGGAACCATAATCTCTGGAGCCCAAAGATTGGGCAGTTCGTACTTGCCGTTACCTGTTATAGACATCAATGCAGCTGAGGAAAGCGCTGCTTTCATGTCACCTCGACCTTTTCTGCAACACTTTTTAAAAACACACAGCTGGGTTCCGAGACCGCAACTCGCAAAGCGTCGAAATCCGAGTGGAGCTTCGCTCTAGAGCAGAAAGAAGAATGGACGAAGGTTCCGGCCAGGCCAGGCGTTGCCTTTACTCATGTGTTCTTGCCTCTGGTGGGCTTGGCGGCTTTCGCAAACCCGAGAGAAAGTGCCAACCGCCTCAAAGCTGCCGGACACGCAGCAGTCGTGGTTGTAACTTGGTAAGCAGCGACCACCTGGCTGTCTGATGGTGCTCTTGACCTTGACAACTCCAAATTCGTCCCCGACCGTATGGAACTTGGAAGACGGCAACGGAACGCGTAAGACGCGTAGCGCGAAGTCGCGCACACAGCGGTCAAGGAAGGTCCATCAATGGATCATTCATCAATGAATGTATCACAGATGGAAGGCCTGAAGGCCCAGTGCTGCGATACAAGCGAAGAATGTTCACATCGGCATGGAAATGGCGAGTCCCTGAGAACCTGAGCGACAGCCTGTTTCGACTGGTGTCGGCAAACTTGCTGATCATGTTCAAGCCCTGCGGCCCCTGAGCCCATCACCTGACCAAGCGAGGGCGAGCGGAAGCAAGACCTGTCATGAACGAAACCGATTCTACTCTCCGTTCAAAATCACGCAGTGTGATCGAATGAAGTTGTACGGCGATCATGTGCACTCGATGCACAGCGTCGAGAAATGCCGCGCCATGCAAATACGAGCACAGCTTCACGAAGTGAACAAAGACCCTGAGCGACGCCACTGAATCTCATGACTCTGCCAGCCCCGCCGCGATTCGACAGTCTTAGGCTTCGAGAAGTGTTTGCGCAAGCCACAAATCTTCCTTCCACATTTTAGGGCCAGGGACTGGATTCACAAAAAAGGTAATAGGACTCTCTGTCGTTTCAATGGCGTTTCGCTCCTTTCAGGTTTCTTGTTCTCAAACTTGGTATTCTTCAAAATTAAATGGGCAGGTACGACTATGGGCATGAAAAGCGCAATGATGGCGACTGGCGGCCTTCTGGACGCGCGAATCTGCCATACCTGAGAAGACGAGTTCCTAGGAGAGTTTTCTACCTGATTGCTTCCATCGTGTGTGTGGTATATCTGTTCTGGACACATCAATGGCCCCCGCTATCATTCACCATTGGCCGAACAGAATCAGTAGCACAGGAAAACAAAGGCTTGCGAGAGTCTGCAGTCGGCCGATGCCGCCATCTGCCAGGAGCGGATGACACTGTGGTGGTGATGAAGACGGGTGGGACTGAGCTTGGGCACAAGTTACCGATACATCTCAACACCACACTCCTCTGCTACCCCAACAAGATTATCTTCAGTGACTACGAAGAGGACTTCCTCGACGAGCACATTTTCGACGCTTTGGAGTCCGTGAATGAGGTGACCAAATCTCAGCATCCCGATTTTGAGCTTTGGAGACGTCTAAGAAATGGCGGAGGGAGAAGGGCACTCGAACCACATGAGCTTAGCGGCCAGGTCAGCAAAGTTGGAACCTCGATGGGAAAGACTGACAACCCCGGCTGGCGTCTGGACAAGTGGAAATTCTTGCCCATTGTGAACAGGACTTTGTCGGAGTGGCCGAACAAGAAATGGTACATCTTCGTCGAGACTGACACCTTTATCCACTGGCAAACACTGCTCAATTACTTAGCAGCGCTCGATCATACGCGGCCGTACTATATCGGCGGGCCTATGTGGATTGGTGACATACTGTTCGCCCACGGCGGGACCGGATTTGTGATCTCTAAGCCCGCGCTCGAGAGTGTGGTGAGCATGTTCAGAGGCCATCAGACTGAATGGGAGTGGTTCGTAAATGACTTTTGGGCTGGCGATGGAGTACTCGGGAAAGCAATGATTGATTCTGGTACACGGATGACCCATGGATGGCCCATCTTTCAAGGCGACGGCATCGGAAGCATGGACTGGACTCGCAACGAAGGCGGTCGCAGGCTGTGGTGTTCTCCAACCGCGAGCTACCACCATTTGACTCCGAGCGTTGTCGAAGACCTTTGGCGGTGGGAGATGGACTGGATGGCGCAGGTTGATGTACGTGCAATGTGTCCCACATGTGAATATTTGCTGACTATGTTGTGACAGGAACCGCAAGCCGTGCTGCACCATCACGATATGTACTCCATGTATCTGCTACCTCGGATCCAGAAGCCACGGATCAATTGGGACAACCAGTGCAAGGATGACAAGGGACCAGTGGCCGATCTCGAGGAATGTCGCAGCATCTGTCAACAGTCCAGGACATGTTTGCAATATTCCCTGAGCATCGATTCGAGATGTCTGGTTTCAGAGAGACCGCAGCTTGGTGAGATGGCCAAAGGAGTGGAATCTGGCTGGATCGCGGATAGGATGGAGCAATTTGCCAAAGAGCAGGAACCTTGCCCTCATGGTGAAGAGGCGTGGATTTACTGAAGGGTGTTGCTGCTTGTTGTTGAAGAACTCGCCGAATTCAAGCGCATCTAATTTCACCGAATGAACACATCCTGCGGCGCGGTCCACTGCTCCATCGCAAGCGCCTCGCCATTCATGACACCTTGAACGTACGCTTCTCCAATCAATTTGAAAGTGCCGTCTGTCTGTGGTCTTAGGACATATGGCACCCCGGAGCCAAGGATGATGTACACAAGATCCCCTTCAATCGTCCCATGAGGCGCCAATCCTATGTAGCCGGTGGTAGTGCCGAAGAATACTCTGCCACGCGTTGGGCCCAGAGTCAGTGTCAGTCTTGCATTGTGAGGATCGTCAAGCTCCTCGGCAAGGTCGTGCTCGTCGATGAGGCTGCGTCTGCGTCGAGGTTTGTGAGGATTGGATGGGCTCGCCGGCGCTGATTGTCCTGTGTAGTAGCCGTGTCCTGGGTTACGATCAGCAAATGTCTAACTTTTCGATCGACATGAACGAGAACACTCACTGCACAAGCCGAGTTCACTTCGCAAACCTCTGTAGGCGTCGCTCTTTGCTGTACTTCCAGGAGATAGCGCTATCCTTGCGTTTGAGATTTGTCTAGCCTCAATACCCCAGCGTTCTATAGAATCGCGAGCATCTGAAACAGAATCGCCCAAGAGACGGACATCGCCAGCTACGGAAACAGTATCGAGCAACTTACCACAAAGCTGAAGGCCAGTTTCGTAGTTCCAATCGATCTCTAGCTCATCTCCACCAGCTCTGAATCGTGGATCGAACACAAAAGGCCTTGAGAGGAGATCGGTAGTCCAATCCGGAACCCACGACTGCAGTGGCGAGTCACGATTGTGATAACCGGCGCAAGATAGCAGAATCAAGGCATGTCTTGCTTCCTTTGCGGTTCGCGAGATCTTTGCATCGCTGCCAGCACTTCTGCTGGCTTCACCAATGACATGCAGGGCGAACTCCGTGAAAATATGCTCGGGACTGCATTGGTAGTCTGGCTCCAGGTCATGATTGCTCAGCCCGAGAAGCGCAAATACCTTGTCTCTCGGGTCCGTTGCACCTAGATCGCGGGACATCAGTAAGAGGTCGAGCAGATCCATGTCGTTGGCCTGATCGGCTTGGGGCTTGCGCAAAGAGACGGCTGTGGCATGCAATTGCTGATGTCTTCGCCGAATGCGATTGATACGTGAGAAGGGCAGCTCCCATGCGCTGGCTGTAGGGTCTTGGTGCCATTGCGCTGCAGATGGCTCATCAAGCAGGCTGACAATAGCCTCCAGATCATCCCACAGTAAGGTGCTCCCACCTAGGACAAGTTCGACGACAGGGTTCAGAACAATCTCTTGCACGATCCACGTACGCCAGAACCAAGGTCTGCGCAGGATGGCAGCAAGCGCTTTCCACTTTCGGTCGCCTCGGCGAGGAAGGCCAGGAGTGTCCAGCGAGGACTTGGGATGAGCGCTTCCACAAAGCAGTCTCAGTTGCTCTGCAAGCTGCATGCCTGCTTGAGAATCATCGTAGTGATCTCCCAACCACACAAGAACTTTTCTAGCATTGAGGAAAATCTCTCCCATCATTTTGACTTGTGCATTACGCTCAGGGAGGCTGTCCTGCCAAATACAGATCTGATCTATCCATAGCGTGACAGGATGCATGGGATCGCGGAAGCGGAACAATGCCTCGTGGAGGTTCTCTGTTACTACCAGTCGTCTGTCATTGCAGAGGATGGTCTTCGTCCTGGACGCATCTCCCCAGGTGTACGAAAGGGCATCATAAATCTGAGGGGCTTGCTGGCCAGATTGCGGCAACCACGATTCGACCAGGTCTATCGCAACACGCTTATTCCCGGATCCCGGTCGAATTTTGGCAAGACGAATACCATTTTTGGTGTCTCTGAGACGTTCGTAGTGGAAGTTCTGTGTGTCCTGGCCTGAGTTTGTTCGGCTTGTGTATCGAGCCAAGCTCATAGTTATTACTCTGGTCGAAACAGAGCTCAGGGAAAGTGCATTCCCTGCTCATCGTGACTGCCAGCACGCAGCAGCGGCATGAGCGGTGTTCTTGCTGAGACGCATACACATCTCGCCGTGAGTGGAAAGTGCTCAGCATCATCAGAGTGAGAAAGCAACAGCATGATCCTCAGCCAGAATAGTCGTGGTCCATCACTCTTTCACTCACGCATTCCGACACGTGCTTTGTAGCTTAAGCGCCCAGCAGTATTTCCGGCCCCGACTTGCAGCGATCTCGAACGCAATCCTTCGGTCGGCACTCAAGCCATCCGCTGCCCACACGCTCAGCTCGCATCGGCCGAGCAGCGCGAAAGGCTGAAGGGTGGGATCGACAGCCTTCCATACTCACTGCACGTCCGCTCGTAGTCAACCCGTCTGTATCACACCATCCATCTAATTCTCACAAACCCACCTCGCTGTGCACGCCGGCGGGCGCATCTCCATTCGCTCGTACACAGTACCTCACATTCGCTTGACCAGAACCAGACCAGATCAAACACGATTTCTTACGACACGAATCCTCCCAACCGAAAGCGGCTGCCAGTTGCGACACGATGCGCTTCCACGCCTTTGATCGGCGCGCCAAAACTGCGCCTTCGTCCTACCCTCGCGTTGTCTTCCATGGCATACGGAGCGGACAGCTCCTCGCGAGCTTGGTCGTTGGAGGCATCATGATGTATTTCATCTACCAGCTCACACACGACAAGTGGAATACGCCGTGGACGTTTATCTGGGTAAGAATGGACCTTGAGAAGGAAAGCCCCAAACGCGCGGTCCTGGAGAAAAGCGATGGAGCTGGGAGACCATGAATCTATGCTGATCCAATTGTGTCACAGCTTTCTGCCGCCTCGCTCTTCTCCATAGTCGCCCTCCTTGTCACGATCGTACTGCACTGCTGCTTCGGCCTCAATCCGCGGTTCAATCTCGCCATCAATGGCTTCCTGCTGGTGGTCTGGGCGATCAGCTGGTCACTTCTGACGTGGTTCATGAGTGGGACACTTGCGAACATGTGCGATGTGCAGCATTGGCATGAGGACGTGGGGATCATGGTATGCAGGATATACAAGGCACTGTTCACGTTCACATTGCTGGGCTTGTAAGTTGTCGCTCGCAATGCGAGGAACTGGCGAAGTTGATACTGACATTTCTTGCACAGCATCTCCACGATCGCGGCTTTCCTTTTGGATATCTGGGTACATCGCAAGAACACTTCGAGGGGGATGTACAAACTGCAAGAGCTGGATCACAAGAACAGACCGAACGCTGTGCGTGGGCCTTTTACAGATCTTGATCACGATGAGCTCAGGCCTGGCAACCCACGTGAGAGCAGCGCATGGGAAGCACCGCGGCACTCTATGGGTCCATATGGCGAGCAACCAGAACTCAGAGCACCGCGTCACGGCTATGCTGTGCCAGAAGGACAGTTCGGTTACGACACGGGGTACAGTAATGGTCACCATCAGATGCGATGATCTCCCATGTGGGCGAGGAGACATGGAGTTGAGGATGTTTTGAGCTTGTTGCGTTTTCTAGCCATTTGAGATACCACTTGCGCAGGTCACCGCGAGACATGTTACGATGATGATATGATAGCGACAGTAAGGAATGTTTCAGCCTTCGCAAAAGTATCAATTGTGCTTCCAACAGCAAGCGGACGGTGTAGGCATGGTTACTCCAATCTGTCAGCCAAATGATGACAGATGGAAGGGCACGCTGCAAGGCCCAAGACACTGCACGACCTCATCCATGCTGCCGAGTGGCAGTACAAGAGTCTTGTGGTCGAAGACAACGCCATTGCCGCGTGCCCAGATCTGTGCGACTACCAGCCTCGCTTCGCGTAGATATCGAAGTATGGTGAGGCCAAGATGAAGAGGAGCCTTTTCTATTGCAGTCGAGCCACAAATAGAGCACGGGATGACTTTGTTGCGGCGTGGTCGTAAGCATGGCATGCCGCTTCGCCTAGCAAAGTCAAAAGGCAGCCCTGTGATCGACGACACTTCATCTCTCCTCTCTTCACTCTCCATCTTGTGCAACCGTCACAAGCAAGGCATGCTCACTCCGCATTCGTGTATCACACCGAAAAGGTAGCGCAGAATTCGCCAACTCGGACACGAAGTGCCGTGCGCCTGGTTTCCTCCAAGCGACGGAAACCACTTTGCAGAATTCTCGAAGGATTCTCGTCATTGCACTTTTCGTCCACAAGGAAACCTCCACAGCATTATCGAATGGCAGATAAGCGCAGCAGCTATTCTTGCTATCGGGCCACGCGCTCTACCAGTGACGTCGAGCGGAGACGAGATCCACTTTCGCGAGCACCTCCATTTATCAGCGACTGATCAGGAAATACGTCAAGCGGAAGGCCACGATGAGCCCACCCGTTGTTTCATGCAGACAACATCGCACGACGGCTCAACCTCAAGACTCTAGGCAGGAGTGGCTGCCACACCGCAGCACAATGCCCTTATATACCAGCCGTACATTGTCGTGGTGATGTGCTGTTGTGCACCCCGTTGTCCAGGCGCCACAATATATCTCGGCGGAGGAGCGTATCAAAACGCTATACTATCCCTGTCGCGCATTAGTGTCGACAGGCACGCACTGCAGGAACCCGCTCGACGATGCCGTATCCGGGTGCTCGCATGCACAAACGAGCAAGAATTTGTTTGACACGACCGGCCTCCTGCCTCTCCCAGCGCACAAGCACAAGTCCCACACTGCGAAAGGAGGAAATTCGGCAGGACCGACGTCCAGTCCAAATGGATCAAGATCCCTCCATCAGGCGCTCTTGGGCCGTCGCATAGCCGCATCCGCTCGCTCGTTTGCGAGACGGCGTGTACACCATTTCCCTCTTTTCGTCGCTCCCGTTGCTTGTCCATTGGTGGCGTCGATCAGCGATGCGTGCAATCCTTCCGTTCGTCTTCCTGCCCTTCTCGGCAGCGGCAGCTGCGACAAGGATACCTCGTACTCAAATCCAGCCTCCGGAGGAAGTGGATTCCCTCCTGCAGACACTTCGCGATGAAATAAACAGGCTGGAGGCTGCTGTTCGAAAAGACTACTCACGCCTGGCCTCTCTTTTCCACGCAGGCCCAACTTCCACTCGCTTTCCTTTTACGACTGATACACCAGGTACGGACTCTCCTGGAGGCCAGCAACAATCCGCTTTTCTTCCAACTAGTACTTTAATACCACAAACGACCTCTTCCACGACTGTTCCAACGAAATCAACCCTGAGCTCCATACCAGTTGTTACACCTTTGGCACAAACACAGACAAGCCGAATTTCGACAAGTAACTCGTCCACCATGGGCGTGACTACTTCTCAGCCGAGCGCGGCGCCTGCAGCGACCGCAGCGGCCAACATCACATGCGCGAACCTCTGCTCAGCACTTTCTTTCACTGAATCAGAATACCCGGTTCACCCAGTGTCTTGTCAATCATATGCTGCTGGCGATGATATCACCATCACCGGCGGTCAAGCGCAGGCAGGTTGCGGAACATCTTTCTCTCCTCAACTCGACGTTTGCCGAGTGGTCCTCACAGTAGAGACTAGCGATGCTTCGGAGACGTACATGGAAGTCTGGCTTCCTGAGAACGGCCAATGGAATGGACGCACCATGAACACTGACAACGGAGGTGTCAATGGATGCGTGCACTACGTTGACATGGACTACGTCTCTAGCCGCGGGTTTGCTGCGATCGGTGACAATGCTGGTCACAACGGTTCTTCGTTCGACGGCTCGTGGTTTGCAGACGACAACGAGGTCATCATCGACTGGGTCTGGCGCGCTCGTCACTCTGCTGTCGTTGCAGGCAAGGAAGTTGTCAACCAGTTCTACGATCAAGCACCCGAATACTCTTACTACATTGGCTGCTCGGCCGGTGGTGCCCAGGGCATGAAGTCCGCGCAGATGTTCCCAGATGACTTTGACGGTATCATTGCCGGCTCTGCTGCTGCCGACTTCAACCACCTACAAGCCTGGAGCGGCCGTTTCGTGCAACTCACTGGCACATCCGACTCCGACCCCAAATTCCTCACTCAAAATGACTGGATCACTGTCCAAGCTGCCATCTTCGATCAATGCGATGAGAAACTTGACGGCGTCAACGATGGCATCCTCGAAGACCCTTCTCTCTGCCAATTTGACTCTTCTGTTCTTGCTTGCAGCAACAACGCTACCCTCTCTGGCTGCCTGACCGACACCCAAGTCAACACAGTCAGAGAAGTCTTCACCGAACTCTACAACACCGAAGGCGAACTCCTCTACCCAGCTCTCCTCTACGGCTCCCAAGTCGATGCCTTCCGCCTCGGCCAACTCTCCGGCAGCGTCCAAGCCATCTCCCGCGACTGGTACCGCTACGCAATCAACGACGACCCCGCCTGGGACCCTCTCGACATGAACCAAGCCGATTACGCTCGCGCCGACGCTCTCGACGCCTACCACGGCAACGTCTCCCAGTTCTCCGGCGACCTGAGCGGTTTCCGCGCCGCAGGAGGCAAACTCCTCATGTACCACGGCACAGCCGACCCTCTCGTCTCCAGCAGCAACTCCCAACGCTACTACCTCAAAGTCGCCTCCGAGCTCGGAATCGACAACGTCGACATGGACGACTTCTACCGCTACTTCCGCATCTCTGGCATGGCACACTGCGGTGTAGGCGGAATTTCCGGCGCTGGAGCTTGGATGTTCGGACAGAACGCCGCTGCGGCTGTCGCTTCGCATAACATTATCGATTACTTGCAAGAATGGGTCGAAGATGCCAACCCACCTGAGACTCTCATTGGAACGAAGTACTGGTACGATACGGTGTCTATGGGCGTGCAATTTGAGCGTGCGCACTGCAGATTCCCGTACAGGAATACGTTCATCACGGGCCAGGATCCTAATGATGTGGATTCTTGGAGGTGTGAGCTGATTGATGAGTGGAGGGAGTGTGGACCTGGTGCTTTGCCTCGGTTGTGTAATGTTGATGGCAGTTTCAATTAGATTGCCGGATGAACATGAGGAAGGAACAAAAGAGACAGAATAGGCATAAATGGCTTGTGAAGACAGTTGTTTGTAGATTTAATGTGATTGATGATGAATCTAGGTATGCGCAAGAGAAAAGTTCGCAAATACCATTCGGTGTACATATTTGACTACTTCGTCTCGTTCCAGCATCACTTGAAAAATCTGAAACAGGAGTATGTGTGGTTGCTTTATGCTTTCATCAACATTATCATTCATTCGTTAAATTTCTAGACAGAGTCTGCCTTTCCCAGCTCATTTTTCGTGCTCTCACGAGACATATGTAGCCGGATTTTCACTGAACACCGACTGCCCTCGCGTCATGCCATTTCATCCCGACCCTTGGACCCATCACATCTTCCATCTATCCTCGTTCTGATCCATGCAAGCAGTAGATGAAGACAACCCGTAAGCAGGCACACAACCGCAAAACGCCATCGCTAAAAACCCGCGAGAAGAAAGCCATACTGTGGGCACAGAAGCATCATCACCACATCGTACTCCCCTTCTTCGTCAACTTTCCTCCCTCATCACTTCCCGATCTCAGCCCAAAGAACGAGCTTTTCTTCTTTTTCGGCTGCTGTCCACCTGAAACGTTCAACATGCTAGCCGAAGGATTTCCTCCACTCATCATGGCGCTACCACCTGCGCCAGGTTGCAAATACATTCCGGGTCTCGAAGAAGGCGCCAGAGGAGGAGGCCTGGAAGAAACATGAGACGCCGCAGGTCGTCCTTGCGGTATTGAAGGCAGTCCATTACTTCCAAAACTCCTCCTCGGAGGTTGCTGTGGCGGAGATGGGCGATGACCGGTCGTAGTATGCGGTCTCGCGATGTTCGCTTGTTGAGGTTGAGGTTGCTGCACGCCATATAGTTTTCTTAAACGTTCGGTTTCTTTTTCCACTTCCAATTCCTTTCTCCTGCGAGTTTTCTCTTCTTCTTCGACCATGCGTTGAAGTCGCTTCCGCTCGGCTTCGTCGGCTTTGGCTTTCTCTTTCTGTTTGCGACGTTCGAGTTTCGCTTCGGCTTCGGCTTGGGCTTTGAGACGGGCGGTTTCGGCTTCGATCTCCCATTGAGAGCGAGGGTCGGCATGAGGTGGAGGGGGTTTGGGTGATGAGGATGTGGTTGTCGGAAGAGCGGCTGTGGATGTAGCAGCAGCGGTATGGAAAGGAGGCCGGTTGTTGATGTTGTTAAGAGGCGGTTTCTCCGGCGGCAAAGCAGCAGAATATGGAGCAACCTTTTGCATCGCCGTGTTCAGTTTCGGTAGAGCGGTCGTCGACTGTGCGGCTCTCCCAGGGGGAAGTCCTGCCCCATAGACTGCTGAAGGAGGATGATGCGAAAGAGCAGGAGCGCCGACAATGCTCACAGGAGGATGCATCATTCGATTGTTCGGGTTCGACAATTTCCTTCCACCACCACTCAACTTCCTCTCATTCGGCGCCTGCGAGACATTGAAGACTTCTCGTAATCCGTCCTTGGATGCAAAGTACAGGTCCTTGATCACAACGGCACTCAGCAACAACGTGATCTCCATCCCTTTCGGATCTTCCAATTCCAGGCGATCCATGTTCGATTCGTAGATTGTCAACTCTCGCATACTCCTCCACAATGCGACAGCAATGTCCGGATCCTTTTTGCTCTTCTTCTTGACCTCGATATCCGTGCTCTTACCCGTCATGTAGCATATCAGATCTCGACTCAATTTGCTCTCTTTGCGCCAGACGAAATTGATTTTGGGAGTGATGGATAGACTCGCTGGGTCGGATTGTCCACGATCGAGGTAGCTAGCGCTAGGGGTTCGGAAAGCGATGAGAGGGAGACTGAATTCGTACGAGTCGGAAGCTCCCCATTTGCCCTCCTTGATGTCTACTCGCACCTGCTGGTCGGGGTTGTAGAGTTGAACGGCGAAGTCGTGAGGGAGGACGGGTTGAGGAGGCGGAGGAACGCCTCCATTTCGGCGGATCTCTTCCTGGTTCAGCGTGGGTTGTGTCCAATCTGGCCGGGCGAGGACTTCTCCGAATAAGATGTCAGGGTTGTAGGCGTCGAAAAGGGCAACGGCATAGCAGTTCTTGTGGGCGGGACTCGTACTCGCAGGGTCGGTGTTGTGGAGGGCGTATGAGGGAGCGGGCGTCGAGCCATGGTGACTGTGGTAGACATCGCGGTGGTGCTTGATGCCGTCTGCGGCAGGCTTCAGGAAGTAGACGGGCAGGTTCTCGTCCAACATGGTGGCATGTGTTGTAGTCTCTGGCAAAGTTGCCTCTGTGGTTCTCGAACGTCTGTCAGGTGAGATTGAAAAGAGTCGCGCAGACTCCGGTAGCGAATGTGGTGTGAGCACTGCCCCTCTCACTTTCAACGAGAGTTCTTCTGTCGGTCTTCGGTCGTGGAGGCGATGTTCAGTCCAGAGGCTTACCGCACGGGCAGTGCGACGGACTGCGATGAAGCCGAACAACACTGCGGCGAACGGTCTGACGACGAAGGGACATCCTCGTCTGCTATTGTGCACTAGTCGACGGTTCGCATATCAGCAGCGACCGCCGCAGCAGCAGGCGCAGTTCCGCCCATCACGCGCCATGTTTCGAGTCGCGTTGCGTTCCTCGTGCATGCGACACAAATGGCCTGCATGACGCTGCCTGTGGCTCCTTCGGCCTCGGAGCATTTCACCCACCAGACCAATCAAATTTTTCAATTGACATTTGCTTGTTTCTCGGCTTCCGCGCGAGCTTCCCAGTCAAGCCGTGGTCAGATCGGACACCGTCCCACACTTCTGGAGACCACGCTACTGCTTCAAGTTCAGCTGCACAGGGGTGTATCGCATGTCTTCACGATGATGAAGAATTCCGTGCGAGATCCGGTGGAAGGATTGCTGATGCCTTGTTCCTGCACTACAGCACTGTCCCACCGGGCGGCCTGCGAAATGGGACGAGGTGCAGGAAGGCCGCGTATCCATCGATATCTTTGCACAGCCTCCCTCTTCAACTCCTAACCGCGGACCCACCACCAATGCCTTTTCTGACAGGCATGCACGTAACGCTTCCCCATCGACCACGCGTCACATGCACGAGCAGACGTCTGCTCACTCTTGGCTGCCCTCGCTTGCGACAATGGGAAAGAAAAGCTTGCCATGCACAAGTCAAGCTCTCCGCGGAGGAGAAGCTAACCTAGTGTGCTATTGTAGTATACACTATGTCCTCATCGCTACAAAACACATTACGCCTTAGCCAGAACTGTCCAAGGCCGTGAGGCTTCTTCGTCTCCGTCTCCATCTCGCAGTGTCCAATTGGAATAGTATCGCTCCATCTGCAGTGTCAATTTGGGATCGCAATGTGCAAATGTCAAGAACTCGCAGCTTCGTCATGCCAGAAGGTCAGGCAGCCACCTAGGCAACAACACTAAGCAGAAGTCAGCACATCAAACCTCATCTCACCGATCGAACATAGAAACTCACCTCCAAGGATGCTCCTCCTCACCATACTGTATCCCCTCAATCCAATCCTTCATCTGCTTTGCGATCGGTCCTACCTCTTCTCCGGCCGGAAGCCCACAGTCCACCAACTCTCCCTTATACGAAATGGCTCGTACAGGCGAGACAGTCGCCGCCGTACCCGAACCAAACACCTCCAATAGCCGTCCCTCTTTAGCGGCCTCCGCTAACTCTCGCATCGTGAATCTCCTCTCGTTGACTTTCCACCCCTGGCGCACCATCCTTTCCCTGGCGAGCGCGAGAACAGAATCTCTAACCACACCCTCCAATATCGTACCATCCAGCGGAGCAGTCATGAGTTCCTTCTGTCCATCCTTCCCTTGAATCGCAACGAAGAAATTCATCGTTCCCACTTCCGTGACATAATCTTCCTCCAGTCCCGTCTCCGGGTCAAGGTCCTTGAACAGCCAAAGATTTTGATGGAAACCCCGTGTTGCAGCTTGCATTTGTGGTACAATGCAAGGAGCGTAGTTAGCTCCTAATTTGCTAGCTCCTACGCCTCCGGGCCAAGCTCGCACGGCGTAGTCCGTCGCTTCGAGAGACACAGCTTTGAAGCCTGTTGGGTAATAAGGTCCCACGGGAGAGGCGATCACATAGAGCATTGCGCTTCCTGGTGGTCCGACGCCGAGTGTACGTTGGGTTCCGATGATGTTGGGTCGGATGTAGAGACTGTAGCCTTTTTGTCTGTTTCACGGATCACATCCTCGTTAGCATGAAACTCCAATCTCATATCCTAACGCAGAGTTTCTTCTTTTATATGTGGGAAAGGGAAAACGTACGAAGGAATAAACCTCTCCTCCATCCTCACAAACTTCTTAATCAACTCAATCACATTCTCCCCCTCAAACGTCGGCAACGCAATCCTCGCCGCACTCTTATTCATCCTCTTCATATTCATATCCGGCCGAAACAATCTCACGTTTCCTTTTGAATCCTTATAAGCTTTCATCCCCTCAAAAGCTTCGAACGCATAATGCAATACGCAAGTCGCCGGGTCAAGAGACAAATTTTGGTAGGGTGTTATTCGCGGTGGGAGCCAGCCGTCTGAGGCTGTCCATTCGAGACTGAGCATGTGGTCTGTGAACGTGCGGCCGAAGATGAGCTCTGAGTTGGGGGTTATAGGTTTGGGAGTCGTGGTTTGGGTTATGGTGAGGGTGGAGGGGTCGATTGCGCTGAGGCGAGGGTCGCTGGCGTCGGGGGCGCGCAGGTTTGAGAGGCGGGTGGTCGTGGAGAGGGAGCATCTTGTTGTAGTTGAGAGGAGAGCTGGTGCTCTCGTTGCGCTGCGGGTGAAGAGGGTTCGGAGTGCCATTGCGGCGGCTTGGGCGAGTGAGAGGGTTCGCGCAGGATTAGGACTTGAGATTCGGGCTTCTTTTTGTATTGGGATGCCCTTTGGTAATGCCAATGGCTGTGAGTGACTCAAAAATGTTTTTGTGATAGGGCGCACAGGTTCCTGGAGTACGGTTGACGCATTGCCGAGAAGGGAAATGCCAAGTGAGGGTAGCCGACATCGGCAGAGTAGGCAGAGAAATCTAGACTTTCACATTGCGGAGGAAAGGGAATGGGAATGATAGCAAGACTGGTATATCAAGACATTATCTGATCTGACTGCGCGATTTTCCTAGGAAAGAGCTCGCAAGTGCGCGAGAATTTCGTGCTCTCATTCTTGCTCGTTCCGCTATTGCAACGCGCAACCTCAGGCAGCTGCCGAGCGCCCATTTGGGATGGCCAGTGACTCTATTATCGATGCTGACTCCACAGACGTGATTCATTGGCATGTACTGCTGTAATCTCACTTTTCAAGCGGCCGTCCATAGCTGTCAATAGAAGCCTAGAGCTGTGCCAGTGGAAATAAGCCAACTTTAGGCAGTTCCCATATCACCAGGTTCCAGTCGTCTCTCAAGTATAGAAATGATTCCACGAAACTGGACCCGTCGTTTCATACATCGCCTCCTCGGACACGACGTGCGTAGTGCGTGGCGGAAGCTCGCCAGCATATGTCCCTCGTCTCTGCTGATTCATCATTCTCTGCTGTTCCTGTTGCTGTAGTAGCATTCGTTCCATCAAGCCAAATCGAGGCTGGATTTGTGTCAAGGGCATATAATTCGCCGCTGGGATATCGTCTGCCAGACCAGGAAAGTCGTAGAAGAAGTTGATATCCATGCGCCAGTTCGCCATGTCCAATAGGCCACTCTCAAATCTATTGCTGAGGTGGTACATAGAAGACCTGGGCGAAACAGCCATGATGTCGAACGGCTCGAATTGCCATGCGACTCGGAGGTTTCGTGCAAAGAGAGCCCAGAACTTGTTCGTGAGCATATCGGTTTGCGAGGACATCATTCGCTCTCTGAGTTTGGGCCATGTCAAATGATCGATGACTGGTTCGTGGGCGATGAGGGTCTCCGTTACGCTGTCACTCATGTCAGCTCATGTCTGGAAGGGTGAAGCTCGTAAGATACTCACTGAGGCTGGAACCAAGCTGGCAGCGGGCCCTCTACTTGTACTGCCACGTTCTTTGTCTCAAACATGTACCGCTTGTGCAGCATGCGAAGACAACTAACCCGCTCGATCATGTTACACTCCTTGAACAGGCACAGGTCGACCATCTGGAGTACCTCCCACAAGGGACAGATCTGCTCGTAGCGGGACAGCGCGAACTTCCAGCCTTTCAGAACGGCCGAAATAATTACATCCTGGTTGTGCTCATCGTCGTAGCAGACCCGATCCGGCGAGACGTTGCGAATGTGGTCTACCAGGTGGTTTAGAAACAGAGTCAGCTCTCGACCCTCTGCTGTGGGCTTTCCTCCCGCCGTGAACTGCGCCAGCAGCTGTGGATGTGGTGCTATTCGATTGGCATTGAGACCGTCGATGGTATTTGACGGGCGCAAAGTTTGGCCTCCGACACTGCCTGTTGGTGTTGTAGTATCGTTCGGCACATCATGGGAAAATCCTAAGGGAGTCAGCTTTACTTCGTACAAGAGAAAACTTCCATGTCGCACCTATCGGCTGGTCCCAGTATTGAGGAGCCGGGATAGTCTCGAGGGAGGGTGCTATTGTCCCGTCGATGTCTGTTGATGCTGGACTGGTACTTCCAGTCAAAACAGTGCCCGGCGTGGTCGCTGCGGGCGCATCTTTGGTTTCGCCTTTAGGACCAGAGGCCTCCAGCTGTAGGACGCGTGCTTCTAGCAGGGCGAGTCGGTCTTGTACTTCTTTCTTCAAAAACCTGTTCTGCGATCGGCCAATCCTCGTCAGTGATTTTCCTGGATACACATGCGAATGCGATGCATGAATGAACTCACGGCCTTGCGATCGACCTCTTGCTTTCGTTGACGCTGCTCAGCAGTGAGAACGCGACCGCTCGCCCAAGCTTTCTTTTCGACGCCTCCTGCATCTGTGCGACGGGTACCGTTGGTTGTGCGACCGCTCATTTTGAGAAATTGCCATAAATGGCCGCAGTTGGCATATCAAGCAGAACAGCTAAGCAATGTGCCGCTGCACCACGTTCCTCGCACTAGATGTGCATGTTGGCTACCGACTTCCAGTGATGCTTGTAGTAGTATCGCGTGTGCGTAGGGAGGAGCGCAGTTGGACGAAGAAGAGGATCTGTTCCCATAACGTAGAACCCCGCAGGAGGCGTTCGAGATCGACAGACAAGAGTCCAGTCTCCCGTGGCACTTCGTCAGAGTTCTGTCGGCCGAACTCTGTATTAAGCCTACACGCCATGCTTAAGGCTTGTCACTGGCTCTTTCCGTGGCCAGTGAGAAGTCTGCAGATTACAGAAGGGTTCAGGGCACTGATGAGGTTTCCTGCACGAATGAGGTATTGTGTCAATCAGTCTGATGGTGACTTGTCATTCTCACACTTCTCCGACGCCAAATCGCAGCCGTGCTAGACATACGAGAACAGAGACCAATGCGCCAGGGAGCGTAGAGAAGGCATAGTCAGACAGTGTTGGACATGCAGGAGGTCCAGGCGACTTGTTCGGCAAGTTCGTGAGCCGAGGGTTCGATAGCTGGAACATTTTTGGTGCTATTAGAGATACTATGCGGGTACCGCTGCAGAGCTTATGGGCAAGCCATATTCGTCGAAGACATATGGCGGCGCAATACGCTACGTGGATGGCCAGACTGAATTCGAGCAGCTGTAATTCATGAAGGTGTTTGGAGCGACGTGAAGCTCGTGGAGGAGTGGAAGAGAAGGGACGATGCATGCGACAGAAACGCCGAGACGTGGCGCTTTCCTGATCTTATCGCCGACACAAGGGTAACTTGTGAAGCTTCCAGCTCAACATTTGCCATGTGCTACTCTGGACACCTCCGGATTCTTGTGATTCTTGCATTGGAGCTGGAGACTATGTTTTCGGACTAAGGCGTAGTGTTGCACTCAGTCGTGCGCACAGGGCTGACATTGAGCGGGGTGAGTCCGTGGTCACCGTCGGTCTAGCACAACCTGGCCCACCATGTTCGCCAATGCGCTCAAATCGTTTTCCTCCAACATCGCCAGCAACTACTCCATTGCTCCTCAGCCGTCTGCTTCTGCCGGTGTATGGAAGATTTACGATGCAAAATCCAAGCGGACAGGCAAGGCTGCCTCGATATTCGTCTTCGACAGAAAGAGCTTGGAGGCGCCGGGCGGCAACAGCGCTCTCGGAGGGCGCAGTGGAGGTGTATCGCTGAAGCGCGCTCATGAGGAGGTGCTTGAATCATTGAAGAAGGAGGCCAGCAGTCTTGCTCGCTTACGACATCCGTCCATCTTGGAGCTCGCGGAGCCCGTGGAAGAGACGAGTCGCGGGGGCCTGCAATTCGTTTCGGAGCCAGTCGTCAGTAGTCTGGCAGGTCTGCTGGAAGAGAAGGAACAAAGTTCTTCGAGGTCCAGTGGCCGCGTCAGTCGCTATGTCGTCGACGAGTCTGATGGCAGCGGGCGGCGGAAGGAATTCGAAATCGATGAGCTGGAGATCCAAAAGGGCCTTCTCCAGCTGGCCAAGGGCCTTGAATTCCTGCATGAGAGCGCTGGCCTGGTCCACGCCAACCTCACGCCCGCAGCGGTCATCGTCAATGCGAAGGGAGACTGGAAGATCTCCGGTCTGGCATTCTGTAGCCCTCACGAGAGCAGCCAGTCTGCTTCAGCGGTACAACCTATCAGCCTACACGAGGTCCTGAACCACGACCCTAGACTGCCGCGTAGCGTGCAACTGAACATTGACTACACTTCGCCCGATTTTGTCTTGGACAATTCCTTGACTTCTTCAGCTGACATGTTCAGCTTGGGTCTTCTGATCATTGCACTCTACAATAACCCGCATAGCTCACCAATCAGCACGGGCTCGTCGTTGTCAGCGTATAAGCGCATATTTTCGAGCTCATCATCAGTGCCTTCGCAGCACAACAATTTCCTGGTGCCTGCTTCTCACCCACTTCCGCCGAAACTGGCCTCCGAGCTGTTACCACGGCTTATCACGCGACGGCCTGCTCAAAGACTGACAGCCAAGGCCTTTCAAGAAGCAAGCTATTTTCAAAATGTGCTCGTGGACACCATACGCTTTCTTGATGCCCTGCCAGGCAAAACACAAAACGAAAAAGTCGCTTTCATGCGTGGGCTGCCAAAGATCATGCCTCAATTTCCAAAGAACGTTCTCGAGAAGAAAGTGCTTCCCGCGCTGCTCGAGGAGATGAAAGACAGAGATCTGCTGGCATTGATTCTGTCCAATTTGCTGGCGATGACCAAAGAGATGCCTAATGGAAAGAGAGCTTTCACAGATCAGGTTGTACCGAAATTGCGGGAAGTTTTTTTGACCAGCAAGCCCGCTGAGAGGGACACTTCCAAAGAAGGTGCTTTGATAGTGCTGCTCGAGGCCATGGAGACGATCACTGAGAATTGCGCCGGAAAGGAATTTCGAGATGATATTCTGCCCATCATCCTGCTCGCTCTAGACTCACCGACACATGGGCTCATTGATGCTGCGCTCAGCACATTACCATTTGTACTGCCCTGTCTCGATTTCAGTACTGTCAAGAATGAGTTGTTCCCAGTCATTGCACAGGTCTTTGCAAAGACGAGCAGTCTCCATATTAAAATTCGAGGGCTTGAGGCCTTTTCGACGCTCTGCGGTAGCTCGGAGCAAGACGACGGTGACAACGATGGACTCAACGGGATCGGCTTCGCTGACTCGAAATCCAACTCGAAGACGAACAGTGTAATCCTCGACAAATATACCATCCAGGAGAAGATGGTACCCATGCTTCGTGGTATCAAGACAAAGGAGCCGGGCGTAATGATGGCTGCTCTCAAGGTCATGCGACACATCGGAGGTGTCGTTGATATCGAGTTCCTCGCCAAATCAGTGTTGCCGATTCTTTGGGATTGGTCACTCGGGCCATTGCTGAACCTCGAGCAATTCGCTGCTTTCATGAAGCTCATCAAGACATTGAGCAACAGGATTGAGGCAGAGCAGACTAAGAAACTCCAAGAACTGTCGAGCAGTGGCGGTCATGCTAATGGTGGTGTTCCTTCGGCACGCGGCTCAACGCGAACCCTTGCAGCGTCAAATGGGCAGAGCAATGGCGATCATACAGATTTCGAGCAGCTCGTATCCGGGCGCACACAGCCTGGGAATGGCAATGACTTGATGAACGATTGGAGCGCATCAGTGCCAGCACGTCCGCAGCGAAACGCATCGCAGACAAGTACCCCAACCTTCTCTTGGCAGACGAGCTCCTCAAATCCTGCCACTCAGACGTCGATGTCCTCTTTACGACCAGCGCAGATCCCTGGACGTACAGTAACACCAGACTTGGCAGCTTTCAGCTCCCTCGTACCCTCCAGCCAATACTCTCAACCTCTGCAGCCTCAGTCGGCAAGCTCTTCGAACATGTCGTCACCAGCCCCAACATCCAAGCCAAACTACGGAGGATCGGTGGACTGGTCCACTGCCGCCTCGCGCTCAACTCCGACATGGTCGACTCAGACTCCTTCTCTGCCCAATCACTCTACGTCTGGCACTCGGCAGCCGAGCACCTTCTCCTTACCTCCGCCACCGACGAGTCCACAAGCGGTGCAGCCCCACTATGGCATGCCAAGCATGTCTCTCGCACAGAAGTTGCAGCAACAGCCACAACAGCAGAAGCCACAGAATAACCAACCCAGTGGGCTGGACAAATACGAAAGCCTGATATAGCCCCGGAAGAACCTACCATGGATCTACCGGTCTGGTCAACTGAATGCAGATGCAATGTTCGATGTCTCCCGGTTCCAAAGCTACGCCTCATCATCATTTCGATTGTGCGCTGGTCGTATCCGGTATTGGCCAGATGTGACGTACCAAGAGCAGATCTCAGCATGGATCGTGGAAAGCTTGTGTCCAAGATGAGCACCCATGCGTTGTTTCAGAAATGATAAGCTTCCGGGTACGCATGTGTGAGCTTTAGCCACAGTTCGACCGGATGTTAGTTGAGACGTCGAACGCCCTCAGGTTGTAGAAGAGCAGCTCTGTTACCAGCAGATGCGGAGAGCTATGCCCTTCCCAGCGCCGTCGCGCGCAATGGCAAATTGATGAGCGTGTGATCGAGTCAAGGTACCGCGGAGTGAGCTCCACCCTCGCACGAAATTGACTCTCAGCAATCTAATTAGGGACCGGATTCAGAGACGTGACAGTCATGACCATTACTCCTTATGTTGTGCGAAATGGTGCTAAGCGATTCGCGGCCGACCACTTGCATTCTCCGCGGTGACGGCGCACAACATGCTTAGCTCATCAGCATAAATGTGTCAACATGCATGCTCGCAATATGTGGCACGTTTCGACATTCAAGAGAGGTAAGTAGGATCTCAACTATGTCGACTGGCCCTATGGCACACAGCACCTCGGTGGCGACTCAGTCAGTGACAAGCTTCACGGGTGTTTGCACAACGGCCAACTCCAGACACTCGAGGTTGCTGTGATCACTGACGTTTGTTTGCAGCTTACCAAGATTCGACACGTGGTAGACCGACCGGAGCTGATGTTTGTGCTGTCTCAGCCGCCTCCGGGTTCCTTGTTGGCTTTTTGAAACCTGCCAGGCGACCGTGATCGTGTCACGTTCACACTGAAACTTACGATTATCTTGCAACGGCGCACAGGTCGGACACGACAAGCTTCTCTGCTCTTGCAAATCTGTGTAACCTCCACAAACACCACTTCCAGTCGCTTCAAAGGTTCGCATACCACGTACGCTCACGCTCAACGATCTGGTGATGCAGGCGAATGGAGCACTCGATGCTCGCCATCGCCCAGAATCATGTCACGCAGACCAGCTCAAGCGGCCTCGAGGGACACGTCCTACAGAGCGCTTCCACACAGCATTGCGGTCGTATCGCGTGCTGAGAGACTTGACACCTCAACAAATACAGAACTTCATGGACTCGTATCTGATCTATTCGCTGGATTGGGCCGACGAGGGGAAGATGGTGGCGACTCTTGGCCGTGACTATGAGAATGTCGTTGGCCAGAAGCTCGCCGATTACTACTGTGTCTTGAACCATCTTTGTGCACTTGGCGAGCTGTAAGTACATTTGGAGGACATGGCGATCCGCGCTAATGAGAAACATAGTGAGAAGATGTACATACCCCCAGCAATGGATCTCGATCAGAACATCACCATGAACCAAATCCTCTACGAACGCCAAATCTGCGACGAGCTTCAACTCCCACCCAGCAACGCCCGCGTCCTCGAACTCGGCTGCGGACGCGGTCGCGTCGCAGCCCACATCTCCAGCCTCACATCCGCACAAATCACAGGCCTGAACATCGACGCCGACCAAATCGCCAGCGCCCAAGTCTTCAACACCCAACAATCTCTCCACAACACCTTCATCCGCGCCGACTTTAACTCCCTCCCTTTACCACTCGAAGACTCTTCCTTTGACGCCTTCTACCAAATCCAAGCCTTCTCCCTCGCCAAAGACCACGATGCCCTCTGCCGCGAACTCTTCCGCCTCCTCAAACCCGGCGCTCGCCTCTCCCTTCTCGATTGGGTCAGTCTGGAAGCTTACAATCCCAACGACCCTCATCATATCCAACTCATGACACGCATCAAACCTCTCATCGGAGCAGTTGGAACTCCTACCCCGGCTTCTTTGGCGACTTCGCTCGAGAAAGCGGGTTTCGTAGTACTGGATTCGAGAAACGTGTCGATTAATGGACTACAAGCTCCACTCATCGAACGCGCTGATGGGTTTTTTCGGACGTTGAAGAGGGTTGTACTTGGGGGTGTGAAGGTTGGATTGCTGCCGGGGCATTTTCGGACTTTGTTTGAGAGGTTGACGAGGGACTGTGATGCTTTTGTGGAGGCGGATCGGGAGGGTTTGTGTACGACTAGTTGGAGGTGGTTGGCGGAGAAGCCGATGGTGCAGAGTCCAGGGCCTGTGGAGACTGATGCGGTGGGGTTGGGAGTTGTTGGGCTTGAAGTTGCTGCTGTGACGACTGGGCAAGGTGGGAAGGCTGCTGCGGTTGAGGGCAATGGAGACTCGGCGTATGCGAGTTTGAGTAGTTCGCAGGAGGCCGTGGATCGGCAGGGTGAGAAGAAAGCTGGGGTTGCGGGAACGGAGATGGTGAGTGGCGTTGCCAATGGCAAGCAAGCTGTGAGGTAAGGGTGTTGCTGGTGAGAGCATGTGGGTTGGAGAGATGCATTGTGTAAAGTTGGTATGTTTTTGCATACATGTATGTCATCAATAGAGCGTAATCAAAATTGATAAACACTACTGTGTTCCTTCCTTGAGTCCTGATGTCTGGCGCTGAACCTGGACATGAGATGATTAGTGATGCGGCTCTATGGTATTTAGCCTGAGGGAACAGTCAGTCACTGACATAATCGAGTTGGCAACACTTGGAAAGAACGCTGTTGCACAGGAATATGAGGCGTGATCTGCTGTGGAGTGTGAAGCATGTTTCCGTTCAATGGATCTTCCAATTCATGATTCTGAAGCAGTACGTGACATCTTCCAGTCACAATGGACTGTCATGATCATCGTATGCATTACGGAAGGAGTACATCTAGTTGACTGACCCTCTTTCCCTGTTCGCACCTTGTTCTACAGAGCCTGGCCATCGCAGAGGATCAACCTCTCATTGGTGAAGGGAACGGCACCATCGCGAGTGATTCCTGATCTCTCGATGCCGCTTCTGGTTTGCTGAGTATTGGAGCATTACTCTTCCTCCTCGCCCTTCTTGCCCTTCTTCTTCTTGCCGCCGCCGCCGCTGGGGGCTGATTCGCCGTGTTGCTTCTGGTGCACGATGAACTTGGTGTAGCATTCTTCCTTGTCCCACTCGAAACCTGCGAGGTAGGGCTTGTCGAGCTCGTCGTCGGCCTACATTTATGCGAGGTCAGTACATTTGCTGAGAAAGAAGAGGGTGGGCTGTTTGCTGGCCGAGGAAGTGATAGACGCACCTTCTTCTTGAATTGCTTGTGGATTGCGTCCAGCGCATCCTTGATTGTGACTCCCTTGCTGTTACGGGCAGTGACTTCGAGACCTAGTGGGAAGTGGAGGTCGATCTTCTTGATGGGTGGGTTGCAGAGGAGCTTCTTGAGGACTTCCTTGTCGTCTATTGTTGCTGGTGAGGTATTGAGCTTCCTGCGGGGCATGTCAGCTTGAGCAGGAAAGAGTGAGACATCAGCTCCGGCGATTGGTGGCGTGATGCAATGGCCAGAGCAATGTCAGACGAGATGAAATGAGGGTGTACGTACCATCCCAGCTTCTGGGTCTCTGGAGCGATCTTGAGTTCGACTCCTTCCTTCTCTGCGAACCGGTTAGCGATGCGATGCGCTGGCTGCACTCTGAATAAGGAATGCTCACCGAGATCATTGATGTTGAAGACTCCGCTCACGGTCGAGCTGGTTCTTCGGTGCTTCACCTTGGACTCGCCGGGCGAGGCTGGGGCGGTGTCATCAACGGCGGAATCGACCTTGGACAAAGGTTCTTGCACTTCAGCGGCCATGTTGGTGGTGTGTGAAGGGAGGTGCTAGAGAGTAGCGGGAGCAATTGGTTCAGAGGCAGTGATGAGAGTCAGGAACGGTGGGATGTGTTGTGAAAGGAGGAAGAGAGCTTGCGCTGGAGAGTCGAGGTATTAGCTGACTGGAGAGCGGGGTCCTGGTTGATGAAACACAGCATGTGACCTCGCTGGCCGTGATCCAGATGGACCACTGCCCTCGCCGCGTCGTCGTTGCCGCGCCCGCTCTCTCCATCAGCTCATACCTCACGCGTGTGACCCTGTCCTGTACCCCGCATTGCGCTAGTTAGCCCCAATGCTGCATATAAGCTCAAACCATGCCGCCTGTGCCTTGATCGTCAACAGAGCATTCAATGTTCATCCATTCCTTCTCTTGTGCTGCCTTCCATCAAAGACATCGCACCTGCTTGTCCATCTTTTCTGGTGTTGTTGCCTGTGATGGCAAGGACGAGTGAGCTGACCTGACCAGCATCACGTCACGCGCTCACGCAGCCGGAAGCCGCTACCCGCTGAATTCCGGGGCTTAGCGTGACGATCGACAGATCAATGGCGCGCTGTGTCGCGTGCACCGGATGAACAAAGCGCCCAGTCACACCATGTCTCCTGCCACGACCCATTTCCATCAGAAATGCCTCAGCATCATCAAATGATTGCGAGAGACTGGATGCCATGCCAACCATGTCCGCTTCCTACACGACCTTGCGAGATCGCTCGAAATCGCCAAGCCGAGCAGAAGCTGCCTGAGGATGAGTTCCTAGAGAAAGAGCAAGCACGCTATGCTGGAGCTGATACTCTTGTGGATGCTGGTGACGGCTCCGGAGACGGAACAGCCACGAGTCCATCTTCGTCACAGCTCAACCGAGCGCTTCATGCCAGTGTCAAAGGCGCCATTCGTGCCCCAGGAAGAGGAAGTTGCCAGGCCAGATGCACACGCATACATGCAAGCTTGGACGAATCGGCTCAATGTCGGACGTCCTTGACCTGCTGAGGGTTGGATATTCACGTCTCTTGCGCTGCACTTGACCACTTCCCAAACACAGATGGAGAGCCATTGACCAAGCCGAAGTATCGGCAGCAGATATTGGCTGCGGCAAAACACTGCTCCAACGAGCTGCTGCGGTGGGTGACCGCATTCACTCTTTCAGTATGAATGCCGTGATGCCATCTTGAGATGCCAGACACGCGTCGCGAGCAACAGAGACAGTAAGCGGATTAAGCGCCCAGCTCTCTCCGATGTATGTGGCAGACAAGCTCCTTGATACCGGCAGGCTTTTTGCATCTCTTACGATTCTGCACATTTCGTCGCGAGTGCGACCATTATCCAGCAGTGTTGCGATCAGTCTGAGCTTGTCATTCGATTTCGGCCAGGATTCAGTTTTACATCCTCATCTCGCCGAGATATTGCTTGTGATTTCCGTTCTTCTCATACTGACAACATACACCGACGGACTGGCCTCCGATTGCACCGACCAATCGACAACATTTGGTTCGTGGTTGGGTGAACTTGCAAAGAACGGCTTTAGAGAGGAAATACTCAAATCCTCAGTGCGCAACTTTTCTGTGTAGCGGCATCTCCGGCTAACCGAAAGCAGTTAACGGAAACTCAAAGGTGGGTGGAAGTAACATTGCAGCCGAGGATAACCGTCCGACTCAAACACGCATGGCATCTGTCAGTTGTTCATGAGGCCTGCTGCCAGCGTTGTCAAATTCGAGGTTCGGACATAATCATTTTCGTGCTGGTGAGGTGAACGCCACTTTCCATAGCTCGGCATAACTGCCATGTCTTCATTTTGTTGATCTTGAAGCTCGAACTACATTTATCTTGCGCAAGCTGGCAACCATGATCGGACTCAGGCTAGGGCGGACTACTACATTGCGGCGACCCTGCAGTGTGAACTTCCTGAGTACTATACGCCATGCCTCCAGTTCCGCTGTCAAGATTCTAGAAGTCGGACCGCGAGATGGACTCCAGAACATTTCAGTTCAGGTGCCCACGCCCACAAAGATTGAGCTGATCCAGAGACTCGTGGCAACTGGACTGAAGAATATCGAAGCCACATCGTTCGTGTCTCCGAAATGGGTACCTCAACTGGCCGACAGCGAGGAAGTCATGAGCAGTATTCAGCCACTTGCTGCAGAGAATTCTGTCAACTGGCAAGTCCTAGGACCAAACATTAGAGGATTCGAGCGAGCATTGCGTGCAGGCGCCAAAGAAGTTACTGTCTTCGCCTCTGCGACAGAAGCCTTCAGCAAAGCAAATCAAAACTGCAGCGTCGAAGATGCACTCCAAGCGGCGGAGAAGGTGGCTCGTCTCGCGCTCAGCAATGGTGTCGCTGTGAGAGGCGTGATATCTTGCATCTTCTCTGATCCATATTCGGGCCCTACGGATCCTTCTGCTGTAGCTCGAGTTGCGAAACGATTCGCCGATATGGGTTGCTTTGAAGTTGGGCTTGGTGACACTTTAGGTGTTGGCACGCCAGTCAAAACCCGACAGCTACTTGAGTTACTCCTAAGAAATATACCTGTCGAGCAGCTTGCAGGCCACTTCCACGATACATATGGTCAAGCTCTTGCCAATGTTATGTCGGCTTACGAAATGGGCATACGATCATTCGATGCTGCGGTCGCAGGTCTGGGTGGATGTCCATACGCACCAGGCGCGAAGGGGAATTTGGCTACCGAGGATCTTGTCTACATGCTGGAGGAATCTGGTATCGCCACTGGCGTTGACCTCATGGAACTCTCGAAAGTTGGCGACTGGATCTCGAGCCAGCTCAAGCTTCCAAACAACAGTCGTGCAGGAGCTGCAATCGTCAAAAAGTCTCAGATCAGTACACAAGCCACAAAACCCAAAGCACAATCAGAAACCCCCACAACAAAGCGCACATGGACAGAAATCGAAAACACAGGAGACATCAAAGTCGAACGAGCCGATTCCGCAGTCAAAATCACCTTAACCCGCCCTGCAAAAGGCAACAGCATGACACCCTCCATGCTCGCCAACCTCACAAAACTCTACCAAAATCTTTCCAACGACCGCACAGTCTTCACAATCGCCCTCGCAGCCGAAGGCAAATTCTTCTGCACCGGCATGGATTTCAGCGGCGACACAGATCGTACTTCCGCCGAAGGAGACTTCTACGGAAAGGTCCGAGACCTCTTCGCAGCGATTGAAAATTCTCCTCAGACGACGATTGCGGTCGTTGATGGTCCTGCATTTGGAGGTGGAGTGGGATTGACGTTTGCGTGTGATGCGAGAATTGTTTCGAAGAAGGCGAGGTGGACGCTCAGTGAGATTAAACTTGGTTTGCAACCTGCTGTGATTTCTCGTTTCATGCCGAGGGAATGGGGGTTTTCGTTTTGTCGGGAGGCGATGCTTAGTGGGAGGGAGGTTAATCCGGAGGAACTCCAGAGGATTGGAGCTGTGCATCAGGTTGTGGAGGATTCTGCTAAATTGGATGATGTTTTGGAAGCGTATTTGGATAAGCTGCAGAATTGTGGACCAGAGTCTGGGGCGAAGATTAAGGGACTTATCAGTGCGGCGTGGAGGGATGCGGGTGGGGAGGAACAGGATAAGAAGATTGAGGAGGCGTTTTTGACGATGATGACGCCTGGGTCGGAGGGTGAGCATGGGATTTCGCAGTTTCAGAAGAAGATTAGGAAGGTCGATTGGAGGGCTTTTTGGGCGCCGAAGGCGAAGTTGTAAATTGAAGCATCGAACGTCAGCAGCGAAATGGACTCGGGAATCATTGTGCAAATTGCATAGTAAGTTGTGTTATCCTAGATTTACTATGAACAAGCGAGTACCTTTGCATCCTGGTGTCTTGTCTATGATCCGTCATTGGCAGTCACATCAAATAGCAACAGCAACACGATTGCTAGCGAATCGCTTGAGACTTGGGATGAAAGCCGCAGACAAGATTGCCAGGCACCCGAAGCCGATGGTCGTGTACCTGATATCTGCGTCAGCGAAACGAGCTATGCTTAGTGTATTGAAGGACAAACCAGAGATAATGCAAGCTTTCCGCATAAGCCCACTGTTTACCCAAACCAGCGGCAGCCAGAATCTGCGGCGTGACGCCGGGAAGCTGAGCAGCTTGTACGGGTCCCAGTGTAGCGTAAGTGGCCACGAATGGCCGCAATTGATCGATTGGAAGACCAGCGCCTATAGCGTAGGCCGCGAGCTGTTGTGGAAGGCGTGTGCGGAGTTGATCCGAGAAGATGGCGTAGAAGATGCTGGGAACATGTTAGTCATGCGAACACTGCGCCGAGTAAAGTCGTTTTACCTGTAACCAACGGAACCTCCGACAGCTCTTACTGAGAGTGAAAGGGCTGCACACGTGGTGATAAAAGCATCTGGAGAGGCGATCATCGCTACTGTGGCGCTCGGCACGATCAAACCACCAAGACCAAGTGATGCCAGTACACCAAATGCCACTGACATGATTTCGTTCTCAGGAGTCATGACAGCCAGAGCACCACCAAAGCAAGTCAACATAACAGCAGCCAACCCCAGAATATAACGAGGACCTCCAGGCCAGATGCTGAGAGCAGCATTAAACACAACAGCACCAGTCGCAACGGCCAATGCTCCTGCGAACCCACGAAGGCCAATAGGTACGACGGCGGTGCCCCAGACATTTTTGATCGTCACTGGCCAGAAGTTGAGTAAGCTGTAGAAATTCATACCTGCCACGAATGCGACTCCAAATGCGAGGGCGACGGTGCGCTGGCCTTGGAACAAGCCATGAGGAATCATGGGGTTTGGCGCGAATTTCCATTCCCAGATTGTGAAGACTACTAACAGGAGGAGTCCGATGATTAGCATGGAGAGGACGAAGGCGGAGGACCATGGGTGGGTGTAGCCGCCGGATTGGAGCGCAACGAGTCTGTGGGGTAAATAGTCAGCGATAAGTAAGGGCACTTGTGGGCAGAGCCAGATTACAGAAGTGTAAGGCCGGCGGTGCTCAAGATTCCACCAAGGTAGTCAATCTGTTTGACGACCGTCTTCCATGGAAGCTCTGACGTCCTTGAATGTCCTCTGGGATGATAGAGAGCAACCAGTCCGACGAGGGTGGCAGCGTTGTAGATTCTACGACGAAGTCAGTCTGACCGAAGTTTTTCAGATGGGTGCGTACCGAAGATACTCACAACGGAATCCAACCTGCCCATCGCCATGACAAATTTCTGCCAAAAAGCTCCGAGTACATGACATATGGGGCAAAGGGAAAGACGAATATAGTGATGATGGCACTTGCATATCCTCGATGCTTGACCGGCATTGCTTCAGCGAGACTGTCAGGAAAAAGTTGTTAGTGTTAGACAAAGACACTCTATGCAGACCTCAATACTCACCCAGCCAGCCCTGTCAGCTCACCAATACCTGCGCCGACACCAGCAATTGCCATTCCCGCAACAGCTTGTGCGAAGCTATTTGCAAGAGCCAGTAGCAGACATCCCACACAGAGCAATACCGCACCAATGATACTGATCCATCGTTTCCCAAAGATATCTTGCGTGTAGCCAACGAAGGGGCAGACAGCTCCGATGGCAAGTGTGTTCGCGACCGGAAGCCAGCTAGCGACGCTTGGAGAATTCAAATCGGCCACGATGTAATTGAGTGATCCTCCCACGAAGTACAAAACCAGTTGCGATCCAGTATAGAGCATAGACAGAATACTGATGACGAGAACTTTGCGAAAGGTCCAACCGACTTTGCCATCGGAGTCATCACCCTTGAAAGCATGTTGATTTAATAGGTCAGGGTCACCTAGTGCATGCTTGTTCTGTTTCTCGTCAACAATATCGACATCTCGGTCGCTGATCATGGCAGCTGAGTTCTTCATTTTGGAAAACGACAATCCCTGCCTTGTATGGGTTGGTCTGAGATGTTCAACAAGTTTGTAAGGAGAGCAAGGCCACGCGCGGCCATGTGGCAGAGTTTATTGATCGATGCTCTTCTTGCATCTCTCAGTCCTCACCTGATCTACTGCTACTGGGGAAGGAGTCCAGGAGGGGAAACCAAGACTTGGCCAAGGAGGCAATACCGTGCTTTTTCCGGTGCTCCTCATTTCAAATGTTGATTGATGTTCATGTCTTCATGGAGTAGGCGATTGGAATCGTATCCCGAGGGTTTTGACCTCCACCCGTGTTTTCTAGCGGTCAGATCTGCAGAGAACGCTAGGTGTACTACTCCATGGCACCCAGCTGATATCATGATTAGGGGCCCAAACTTGGACTCTCTACTGTCGTTGTACTGTGTCTGCGCCTCAGACCAGTATAGCAAGCGTCTTCGATTGCATCAAGCCTGATTGGACATAGTCTGTAAGACGTCGGGAATCCTGAGCAGCTTGGGATAGTACCGTGATTTACGCCCTTCTTATTTCCGCGAAGTTTATGTTGCGTTTTTCGGGCCCGAAGTTGCCGCGCACAGGTGACTGATGAGGACCTGAAGCTGTCGTCGAAGCGCGCAACATCGTTCTCAGCACGATCTCATTCAGCGGCACGCTCCAATGCTCCCCATCAGCAATGAATGCCCGGAACATCAGGTTCTGCCCCTCCCATGCTCTGGAAATACCATCAGGGGTTCCTGCCGAGGACTAGTGAGTTCTCCATCAACGGAGCATACTTGAAGAGTTGGAAGTCGCAAAGGGAAGGGAGGACAAGGTGTATTGCTCGAGACAGTGGCAAAGAGTCGCTGTGAGCAGAGTGGAGATGGGCGTGTTGGTGTCAGAACGATGATTAGAAGTGCTGCCTTCTGTGAGTGGCGGAGGAGGAAGGAAGCCATGAGCCCTTTCAGGGACATGCCGAGAAACCCCGCTTCTGGAACACCTCCTACGCACACCTCACGCCTACGATCTGCACTACTGAGAGCAAGGTGAGTCTGGCAAGCAGCACCACGCAGCCGACCAGCACAGGCGCTCACACAGACATCACAGCATCGAGCATGGGTATCGCGGATCTCCTGCGAGACCTGCCCAAGTCGGTCAGCTTTCCGCTCGACCCTTCTCGCCTTAGCATCGCCGACCACCACGACCTCGAGCAGTATGGCGGCCTGGTCCTCCCCCCTACACCGCTCCGCGGCCTCATACTACAAGCCTTCGCCGAATTCGTGTATCCCCAGCTGCCTGTGGTCAATCTTGGGCAACTAATCGACACGATTGACTCTAACGCGCAAAATGCTTCCGAGCCGGTGAGCCTGGTGCTCTTCCAGGCCATCATGTTCGCCGGTGTGGCTTGCATTCCGGTCGAGCAACTGAAACGGCATGGCTGGTCTTCCCACTTCGAGGCCCGCCGCCAGCTGTTCAATCGCGTGGAGGCATGTTTCCACGTCTCTGTCCACCACCGGCTCTGTGACCCCGTGAGTCTGATCCAGTCATTGGTCCTGATGACGCTTTGGTATGATCCTGGGCGGGACCAACGCCGGGATAGCCATCACTGGATGCGCATCGCTCTGAATCTGGCTGGAGACATTGGTATGCTCCATCCTCGCGCACATAGCTCTCACCCGCACGATCCGGCTCGAGAGAGGTTGTGGAGGAGAATTGCGTGGACCATGTACGCACGAGACCGGATCATTCAGCTAGGAGCGCGCCGTCCTGCCCTTATTCATCCCAACGACTTCACGCTGGCGCCCCTGTCCATCGACGACTTCGAGCTGCAGCCTCTACTTTACCGGAGGCCCTCCTGTCTGCCTGCTGAATGCACGCTGTTCCGTGATCCATGTCAACTGTTCAACATGGCGGAAATCATCATCGAGCAAATAGGATTGTTAAGACATATCGACGAAGTTTGGACCGCACACGAGCAGCTGAAAAGCTCCATCTCACGCGGATCCGCCGCTTCCACGGTACTGGCCTGCGATGCCAGACTGAAAGCAAAGTGGACCGAATTCTTGAGACATGAAGTGCCTACACATCTCGAAAATCAGCAGCAAAAGAGCGCCATGGTTCAGCGTGCTGTGCTCAAACTTCTATGCAATACAACCATCTCGGCGCTCCACCGGCCACTGGTTCTCCGCGAAAGTCATGGACCACAACCACAATTAGATCGGAGGATACTTCAACAGTGTCACGCCACCCTTGAAGATGCAACACGGCAGATCACGGGCGTCGCGAGCCTTATGCTGGAGAATGACCTTTGGCTCTGCCTTCCTGCCAGCGTGGTCGCCTCTCTTCTTTCTGCGCTCATCGTGCATATCATATCGACAAAAGCTACAAGCGAGGACGTAAGAAATGCAAGTCTGCGAGGCTTCCACCAGTGTCTCCGGCTTTTGGCGCGCCTTCGATCCAGACATGCAAACGCTGATGACACCTACCGATTCCTCGAGGGTACCATTATGAGCATGCGAAACAGTTCCGAGCCGGAGTCATTCGAGGTGAAAGAACTCGCAAATCTCCTTGAACAGACCAGCAACGAGCAATCAAACACCAAAAGTCTGGTGAACGCAGGACTTCCCGAGCCTGACTCCTCATTCATGATGACGGCAGAAGACGATGGCAGTATGTTTCAGTGGCTCTCTAATGATAACATGCTGCCTGAGTCACCGCTGTCGGATTTTGAGCTTCTGCCCAGCACCGCGATGGCTCAGGAGACAGCGTTCCCTGACATGTATTCGCTCTTCGACGACCAAATGGCCCAGCCATCCAGAGACGACTCCAGCCTCCAAGACTATGACTTCTTACAGTTGATCTCACAACAAGTTTGAAACTTTGCAAATTGCCGAGAGAGGCGTTGTCTTTTTATCAGAGCATCAAGCATGGAGCACGCATTTGTATTACGATCTTATGATATGCATCCGGTCTGGAAAGCTGGTCGGGATGGCTAAGCAGCTACTTGAGCTCTTACGAGAGAGCGATACTGATGCACAAAGACGTGCTCATGATTTTGTAATTATGTAGTCTTCTGGAGCTTCAGACCTGATGCTGCTTTATACAACAATGGTCCTTGTTGACAACCACGGAAGAGAAATCAGTAGCAGGCTACTGCTGCCGCTGTCAAAGGTGGTGTTGTATCGTTGCGCACAAAGGACTGGAAACTATAGGCCGCTATAGGCCCTTTGCCGGCATGCTGATGTTTCATGCCAAAGTCTTCACATCTTCCCGGAAGCCAACTGCGGCTTTAGTCTAATGACACCCTTGGCTCTGTCAGTAGAGATCTCGTTGGATGTGTCGGCAGACGAACCTCTTGCATACAAGTCGCTAAAAGTTTTCCAGAATGCGAATACATTCGTCCTTGTACGAGTCCTCGGCCCTCTCCTGCCCAAAGCGGTTCCATTTCCATGTAGATCCACTCGTCTGCTCGGAATTCGTAGCAGTGGAAGTGGATGACATGGTCGAGTGAGACCATCATGCCTATCGTTGGTGGCAGTTCTCTACCACCCGACTCTGTTGGTCGATCATGTGTACCCGTGAAACGGTGATCCATTCGCAGGCCCATCACTTGAGCTATCGCTGTGATGAAGTAGCTGTCGCTCAGACACGCAAGTGCGGCTAGATGGGTCTGTATATTGTCTCTTTTGCGAAACGGTAGGCGGGCACGAAGCCATACGACCTTTCGCATCGCTGGTAGGGTCGGAGAGTCGTGAGGAAAAATGGTCTCGATGTTTAGAAAGGGCTTTGCATCGTCGTAGTGATCGTCTTCAATTGATTCGGGCGGTGATAGTATTATTACAGCGCTCTTTCGTACCAAATTTGACGCTCGATCCTCTGAGCTTCGGGGAGAAAATCGTATGCTTGCAGTAAAGACTACTGTATCATTTTGGATGGCCTTCACTCTAGTCAAGAGTGCCGCAGCACACCCATTGGAAATATGAACCAGGTAGGTGATGGGAGTAGTACTACTGCCAGCTTTCAGGAATTGGCATTGCATTGACCGGACGAGAAGTGAAGGAGCCACAGACTCCTGGGCAGCTGCAAGACTTTGGGATATCAGCACACCGCCATAGATCCCTCGTGAGCCCAAAGGGTGCCAGACTGGATTTGTAGTAACGAGCGTGCGGGTGGACTTTTGAGTATCAGTGGCTACTGATCGCAGCTCCAGCATTTGTTCCATGGATGATGTGGCTTGCTCGAATCATCGGGTGAGGTTGAGACCGCATATCACTCGCATGCAGTATCTATTTTCGATGCAATCTTCGACGAGAGGCTCAATTTGGTAAGTGACAGCCGCTGCAGGATGTTGACCTTGGGAATTATTTGCACAATGGAAATGTCCCGGCAATAGAGCCGTCCTGGGCTTGGCGTCTAGCGTCAATATCTCGATGTCTGTAGTTCACAAGTCGGTCTATATGGCCTGGAATAGTAAGATGGTGCTGCTTTGGCGGTAAAGAGGGAATTCTAAGCAAGTACAGTGACCACAACGCACTTTCATACGGCTTTCATACGACTGCGAATGGAATTTCCTCTACTACAAAGCATTGTGACCGGCCTGCCAACATGGAGACTCACAAAGCTCTTTCAACTGAGGTCTACTACAAGCCGTCCCTGCACTTGTCCTCCAGCTAACTCAGTGAACAGATCTTGTAGTTTCTCCATCCTTTCTATCCGATAGTGAGGTCGAACCAAGCCCCTTGCCGCCATCTCCAAGACTTGGACAGCATCGATGCGATTACCCACGGATGATCCGACAATGCTGAGCTCTTTCGCAATGATGGTAGAAGGAGCTGCTCCGTCCAGATTGACAGGCTCGCCCTCGGGCATACCCACACACACAAGCTTGCCGTGATGAGCAAGCATGGACAGAGCCTGCCCGTAGGCCCGATTGTTTCCTGCGACGACGAGGGCCACATTCACGCCGTTGTCGATCGAAAGAGCTTTGACCGCGGTTACCGTGTCATCAACTGTGTCGAAACCAACAAAGTGCTCCGCACCACACTCGAGGACCAGATCCTTTTTGCTGCTGTGATCGATGCCGATGACCCGGAGACCCATACCCCGGGCTGCTATCTGAACTGCGAGGTGACCAAGACCTCCACCTGCCCCTAGCACAGCGACGCTGCTTCCGGACTCTACATTGGCCTTCCGTAAGGCTGCATAGGCAGTCAATCCTGCACATAGCATTGGTGCAGCTGCTGAGCTCTCCAGAGCATCAGGGATCGGGGTCACATATGTCGCGGGCGCCGGGCAGTATTGAGCAAGCGTTCCAGGGGTGTAGTATCCAGAGATCTTTCGGCCTCCCGAGCAAGCAGTCTCGTAGCCACTGAGGCATGATCCTTCAACGAACCAGAACCGTCAGCATCCTGTCATCAACGACTTATCTCAAAGCGCCTTGGAGACTTACTACAGGTACCACAGGCATATGCAGTCCATTTGATGCCCACACGTTCCCCGAGCTTGCGATACTTCTCTGATCCCGTTCCAAGCTTCACCACACTTCCCACGCCCTCGTGACCACCAATCTGACCCGGTTGTGTCGGATACGGGAGAGCCTTCCAACTGTTAATTAGAAGCTCTAGTCAGCATGCACGCACTACGAGCTTCCGATCCTCGGATGTTCGTACCTATTCATCATCACAGCCAAGTCAGAATGGCAAAGGCCCGAGTGAGTCCTTGAGGAAGTCTGTCAGAAATTCATCCTTGCGCAATTTCATCCTCAGAGATACTTCTTACAGCTGCACCAATACCTCTCCTGGACCCGGAACAGGCATTGCGACATCATCTTTGATCTCGATGGCGATTTCACCAGGCTTGGAATAAGTGCAAGCTCTGAAAGTTGCTGGAAGAGAATCTCCGGCGCTTTGTTCAGATGCCATGGTCAAGTTTGTGCGATAGTTCTGATTAACGACGCTTTCAAGACACTGCGATCTATTCTGTAGTGAGATGTATTCTCTCCAGATGGTGAACCCAGCAGTGAAGCTCTCTGCGGACCGGAGCCTTCTCCTCGGTGGAGCATTGTTTCCGTGACCGAATGTGGCACGAAGCCGACCATGGTTGTTGTCCGCGCTATTCCCTGGAGCACTTTGAATGGAAGGTCGATCAACAACCTTCAGATCTTGATTAAGCTTAGAGCTCTTTCGGACGTCGGGTGTGTTCGAGCTTTATGACCTGCAACGCTGAGATATTTTGTTCAGAGGTATGTGTCGCTCTATACGAAGTCCGAATGTGAGGCCTAGTTTCCAAGACCCGATGAAGGTGTCATGGCAAAGTGAAAGCGCCTAGATCATGCAACTGGTTAGAATTGAGAAGTTCTCTTGCGCCTCTTCATCTGTATTCTCTGAACACCATGCAGTGCCCTCCTGATGCAGAACAAATCATAGTGATACCGTTGCCTTCATCTGCTCCTTGATTCTACAAGATATCTATGCCTCCTCGACAAGCGATTAATCAAAGATTTCTGCAAGTAATTCGCGTGAAATCTGTTGTCTTCTAAAACCACTGCACGGTTGGTCTTTGGCACTGTATCGTAGAATTCACTGCATCTCTACTTGATCATCCAGCTGAGTTGATGGGCCTGGGCAATTTGGACGCCCAACTCCTTGGCCCAATTCGCTACAAGATTTGGATCCTTGAGAAACTGTCGTCCTACGACAGCGACGTTCAGGCCTTTGTCGATCTGCGCTTGTGCGACGGAAGCTGTCGTAATATTCCCGACTGTACCAACAGCAACTTCATCGCCGACCACTTGTTTGATGGCATGTGCAAAATGAGCTTGGTTGGCATCGCCCTGTAGTACCTTTTGAGAGACATGGCTCCCTCCGTATGACACGTCAATTAGGTCTACACCCAGTCCAGCCAATATTTGAGCCAAGTGAACAGCATCCTCTGGTGTCCACGATCGGTCTGCAAACTCCGTGTCTTCTAGTCCATCGGACCCAGATATGCGGACGAATAGGGGCATATCTGTGGGCATCACTGCTCTTAGATCCTCAATCACCAATCGCAACAAGCGTGTGCGATTGTCGAACGAGCCGCCAAAGTCGTCTGTCCGCACATTCGACAACGGGGAGCAGAAGCTGTGAAGTAGATAGCCATGCGCGGCATGACATTCTATTGCATCGACCCCAGCGTGGACCGCTCGTCGAGCACTGGTACGAAAGGCTGCACGGACTCGGTCGATGTCCTCTGGATCCATTGCACGTACTGGTGCATTCCGATCAGACCAAGAGATGGAGCTAGGCCCAATGACCTCTGAAGGCCACCCTCCAGCCACCACTTCGGAGATCGCGGGTGGGAAAGCAAGCCACGGAGCCACCATACTGGCCTTTCGACCTGCGTGAGCCAACTGAATCCCAATTTTCTGGCCTTGTGAGTGCGCGAAGTCAACTATTCGGCGGAGTGGCTCAATCTGCGAATCTTTCCAGAGACCAGTATCTTCAGGCGTGGTCCGTCCTTGCGGCTCTACTGCTGTAGCCTCCACCATTGTCAGGCCGGGTCCGCGCATCAGAAAAGACGACAGATGCGCCATATGCCAGTCGGTCTGGTGTCCGTCCTGCGCAGAGTATTGACACATGGGTGAGACCATAATTCGGTTCTGCATTGTCATGCCCCGAAGGGTCAGCGGCTTGAACAAAGAGACTGCTTCATCGCTCGGCGCCTTTGCTGTTCCTGCAGGAGGTTCCTGGGCGGGAGTGAAGTAAGGGGCATCGCGTGCAGCGGCATTGATGATGGTAGACAGTCGTCGAGTTGTGCCGGGACACACATCTGTGCCATTCAGTATCTTTTCTGGTATCCGGAGGCTGAGCCGTGTTCTTGTGAAGCAAGACATGGTGAACTGGGTCGAACCGAAACCGAGACACCAACAAAGTCTGCCTCAGGCCACACGTGGCGAGACTTCAACTTCAATCTTTGCGAACCACACATGCAACTTGAGATACATTTTGATCGCATCTCAGATTCACAGTCGGCACTGATGAGATGAGTGAGGAGGTTCTGACTTCACTAGCTCGCGGGAATAGAGCGGTTCTCCCACGGTGGCTGCTTCCGAGTTCCACTGCTGATCTGCATGCCGCTGCCGGATTCGAACTTCGGAGCAACGACTCTCGGAGGTCAGACATGATGTGAGAATCTATCATGAATAGAGCCGACACTTCCTCTGCAAGATCGTCCACTCATCATCACCTTCAAGATGAATCCAGTCCCGTTCTCCGAAGCCCCTTGGCTGCGCATGCCCTCGCCGTTTTACGAGGAGACGCATCGGGTGTGGCAGAAGTTCTGTCGAGAATTCATTGGAGCCAATTTCACGCAATACGCGCTGCAATGGGAGAATGAAGGTGCTGTGCCAGCGGAGGTCTACAGTGAGTGGAGTCGTTGGCGCGATATCAGCAGTCTCCCCTGATCCGAAATAGGGAGCTTTGGAAAGGCGAATATGCTGGCAGCGTGCCTACCAGCGCCACTGCCCGCAAAACTACTTCGAGAGCACGGCATTACCCACATAGGACCTCTGGCTGTTGAGGATTTCGACTACACACACACCTCAATATTCCTGTCAGAGATGATGTCTTGCGGGCTATCCGGGCCGGTCTCTAGTCTCATTACTGGAGTCGCGTACGGCACACCTCTACTCATCGACCATGCCCCTCAAAAGATACAGTCAGAGTTGATACCAGAGATTCTCAAAGGCAACAAGCGCATTTGCATTGCGATCACAGAGCCAGATGCTGGAAGTGATGTGGCCGGGCTACAAGCTACCGCTGTCAAATCTGCAGATGGCAAACACTATGTGGTCAATGGAGCCAAGAAATGGATAACGAATGGACTCTGGTCCGACTACGCTAGCACTTGTGTTCGGACGGGAGGCAAAGGGCCTGGCGGCTTGTCGCTTCTGCTCGTGCCTCTTAAAAATGATGGAGTCTCCGTGCGGCGCATAGCTGTATCTGGGCGAAAATGCTCCGGAACTTCTTACATCGAGTTCGATGATGTCAAGGTACCAGTCGAGAACTTGATCGGCAAAGAAGGCAATGGCATGAAATACATCATGGTAAGAAGCTCGCTGCATTGGTGCGGGATGCTTGCTGACAGAAACTGCAGAACAACTTCAACCACGAACGGCTGTCAATCGCGATCAACACTACCAATCAAGCGCGCGTCGCTCTATCTTCCGCATTCGAATATGTCACCCAAAGGGAAGCATTCGGCGCGCCACTGATCAATCAGCCCGTTGTCCGAAATCGTCTCGCTCGTGCTGGAGCCAAGTTGGAAACTCAATGGGCTTGGGTCGAGAGTCTTGTTTACCAGTACAAGCATCTGCCAGCACACGAAGCAGCTTCAAAACTTGGTGGGATGACGGCTCTGGTTAAAGCGAATGCTGGAATGGTGTTAAATGAGTGTGCAGAGTGTGCACAGATCTTATTTGGCGGCAACGGCTACACCCAAAGTGGCAAGGGGGAACTAGTGGAAAAGATCGCGAGAGAGGTGGCCGGTGTGCGCGTACCAGTGAGTAATACTCTGGGGTGGTCATATTCCACGTGCTGACTGAATGACTATCAGGGCGGAAGCGAAGACATTATGCTGGATCTATGCATCCGACAATTATACAAAGGTTATACCAGCCAGTCGACGCCGTCGAAGCTTTAGCCATGAAGATTGGACCCACGCAGACGGCATGCTCTAAATACATATGGAGCGCTGGCCTAATTCCACCAATCTCTCATTCAAGACAAGATGCTCACCGGCAGGAGATCGCCAAAGCCGTAACCTACTATCTTGGTCATTAAGCATGTGTTTAAATCATACTCATGGATCTCTCTAAACTTGGTGTACGGCAGGGCGGTGAAGTCTGTCTGTCAAGGCTTCAGTCCCAAGAACTCGAGACACGGTTTGAGACTCTTACCTGAATCAAGTCAAAAGTCACCGAACCATTCTGATTTATGATGTATGATGGATCTTCCACTCCGGAGAAGAGTGCTTGGCCACCGCCAACCAGCACAAGTCGAACGGAAGCGGCATCGATCCCGGCAGGCACTGGTACTGGCACATTCCCTCCAAGTTCGGTCGGGCTGGTTGAAAGATGATGTTAGTCAAAATATCGCCCTGTCTGGGGAAATGGGAGTCATACTACACTGTCACCACACGAGTGACTCTAGGATCCAATGGAATCTTAGCTGCATCTTCGAATCTGTGCGTTTCAATCGTTCGCACGAGCTGCTTCACGCCTGCGAGTCGACGAGCAGGTGTGCAAGGTGCCTGTCCGACTGCTGCGCCAAAAGCCCATGTGGCAAAGGTAAGGCAGAGTGCGAGACTGATCATTGTGTTTGGCTGTATTTGGATTGCAGCTGATCGACATTCAACGTGGACCTTCAGCACTGAATGGAAAGAGCGCAACCATAGTTCTATGTGCCCACAGTTCCAAGGGCGTTCGTCATTCCAAAGCCTCACAAGCCTCACAGTGTCGATCCGGAAACAACTCCAAGCTTACAGCCGGCTTCAGCCCGGCCAGAAAGAAACAAACATGTGAGTCCAGTGCTGCAAACACCAAGATTGAAGTCAACCTGATAATTTTCAGATACTATACGACAGCTGATATGTACCAAACTTGCTATATGCACTTTGCAAGGCCATGTTCCGGCTACCTGTGGTACATCACGCTCTCAGCATGTTCCCAGGAGACCGCACGTGGCATTGCCAATAATGCCGGTCAGTGGATCTCTCAGCGCAAATGCATCTCTTAAACCTCCTGCATTCAAGTTCGGCAGGTCACGCGCGAAATCGGGAGCGTCGTTAAGGACAAGCTGTCCGATCATTGCCCCCAGAGTAACAAAATTGGTCTCCAGCAGCGATTTCTGCCACCCCTGCTCGTATGGCAACCTTTCGTTCTCTAACGATCTGTTCAGTTTTGGCTTCAATATGCAACGGGTTTACTGTAAAGCCTTACCAAAAAGCGATTTCACGTAAGAGACCGGCGCGACTCCTGTCAATGGATCACCCATAACGCTCAAGTAAAGTGATGTCTCTCCGAGACTGAGAAAGAGCTGTCGGGGACCATATATCAGTGTGTTGGGATTGAGGCGGCGCTGGGTTTCGACTCGGCTCCAGATGGTCTGCGCAGCAACTGGAATTGTTGCTGCGTTCATGCCCTCGTAGAAATCGAGGACCTCGTTGAACACATTCTGGTTGAAGACCAGATTGTTCCCCTGGTAAATGTCCTGCCGGGATAGACTAACATCGTGCTCGATGGGGAAGTTATGAGCGCGCAGGTCGTCAAGGTTGAAGGTGCCCGCCAAGGGGTCCCTGTTGGCAAGTGTTGCTGTCTGTCCTACGAGAAGGCCGAAATCTGCTCCAACGTTGATGCCTTCCTTCAAGCCGGCGACCATGATGGTTGGCGTCAAATTCTTTCCATCTCGTGGGATGAAGCCTACGCTCCCATCGAAGAGAGAGTATTAGCCTCGCGGAATCGATAATTCGCGGCTCGGTTGTACCCACCATGATTTGCGAGTGAGTTGATGCCAGGACACGGAGATCGCACTAGGCTTCGGTTAGTCGTCACAAATCAGTGGCAGCATTTGACGAAAGTGCTGACCATCATTCGGACCAGGTGCTCGGTACTCATGGCCAGATGGAGCAGGTCTTGAGAGTGCAGTACACGCGAGGCTTAGGATGAGAACAAGCGACATCGACATTTTGGGCAATGTTCCAGTACAGTGTAGACGATCGTGTGGGAGAAGCTCCTACTCTATGGAAGGAGCCTATGATGTATTGTGCAGTGTGCACTCAGCATATTTACACGACGCTCAGTTGGACGGGAATTAACTTGGTCATTACGTAGTAGGTACCTCTGTGGTGCAGTCTGCAGTTAATATGGGCTCAGATCTCTTGCCTGTTTGGGCGTGACGCGACTGCAGATCAGCCGTACTTATTCCCGTCGTTGCTCCTCTTGCGTCTACCACTTCCCCTCTCGCATTCAAACAGTACAAACCGCGATGCAGTCCGACGGCCATAACGGAGCATATCCGTCCGGAACATCGTTTGAGGCCGACGTATTCTACGCCTTGCAGTCGCTCGTGCCCCGAACCAACCATCTGGACGGCTCGAATCCGGCCCTCGAACGGACGACGACCATCCAGCAGCCTACCGGCTCGCCGTCATCGCCTCGAGCGCCGAAGACCAGGTTCAAGCCTACGCTCAATTGCGATCAGTGCGTGCAACGCAAGACCAAGTGCGATCGAGCTCGGCCCTCATGTCTTGGCTGGTACGCCAATTGTGCTCTCCCTTGTGCAGCAGACGTTCACTGACTTGTAGAGTAGTATCAGGAGAGCGCAATCATGCACGTACCACGCCCTTGCAGAAATCTTGCACGCTTCTGCTCCCACAGAACGCAAGTCGAAACGGCAGAAGAACAGCCATGAAAGTCAACATCATGAATCTCCGGAGCACAACCCTGCTTCCACATCTCGAGATATCCCCTCCGGGCCCGCACACTCGTCTCACAGCGGTGGAAGCACTCCTCCTCACTCGATGATAATACATACCGCATTGAACCTTGTTCAGCATTCGATCCCGTCGCCCAAACCAGCATCTTCTGCTATGCGGATCAAGTCTCCTTCACAGCGCCGCAACATCCAGCCCCCGCCACTTACTCACAGTGTTGCTTTGCCTCCACATTCTACAGCTGCATGGCATTCAGTATTACCCACCTTGTTGGAAGTCCCAGCAGATCACCCGTTCCGTGATAGAAGTTCGGCGGGCATATCACAAATCATGAAGGCCATGCCTTCCAAAACACAGGCTAGTACACTGTGCGACATCTATATGCGCGGCATAGACCCAATACTGCCAGTCTTGAGCTCTCACGACTTTCTTGAGGCTCATGAGGCGTTCTGGACAGAGTCGGTCTGCGATAAAAGTCAATGCGATCCGACGCAGCTTGCATTGTTCTTGGGAGTGTATGCGTGCGCTGCTCAGCAGTCCCCAGACATGGATCAACGTGACCAGGCACAGATGTTCCTGTCCGCTTGTCACGAAGCGCTTGGTATGTCGAACTATCTACAGCTACACTCAATCGGGCGAGCCCAGGTCCTGCTCCTGATCAGCCATTACTTCATCAACGATGGGCGCCTGATTGAGGCCTGGACGCTCGCTGGAATAAATCAACGTCAAGCATGTAGCCTTGGGCTTGGTCGTGCGGTCTTGGGGACGCAAGCCTGCAGGACTAGCGAAGAATGGCAAGGCGCTCAACTTTGGGATGCTCTCAGTCATCAAGATAACATGCTCGCATGCCTCCTCAAAATGCCACGAAGCATCATTCGTGGCGTCTCTGGCCCAACACTAGGGTCCAATCTGACTGCCGAGGGTCAGCGACTCGACGATGAAAGCCACGAGCGGAGCCAGGCAGCCACCGACCGTCGCTACCACACAGCCCTGTCGAGGATTGGAGCAGTCGCCTCCGAACACATCTGCAGTACGAATGATGCCTTTCCGTCGACTGCTACCACAAAATCAGCCGAAGCCAGACGTATCGTCGATCTACTGCAAGCGACCTTCGATTCCTTCGAAGCCCCATTCCGAAATCTTGACGCATTTTGGGTCCAAAGTCAGGAAGACGACCGAGTTGCACGCCAGGGAGTCGAGCTGATGTCTGTGTTCCACTTCTACATGATGCTTGCTTTGCACATGAGCGAAGAAACTGCCACCACAATTCAATCGGATGAGCTCGTGCACTGTTTCCACGAAGGGCTAGCTGCATTCTTCGCACTGTCAGACCTGGACCCGAATGCAGCGCGCAAATGGTCTATCTGCCATACACTGTCGTATCTTCAAGCGGTACGTTCTCGCTCCGCCGTCCCCTGCTCAAGTAGCTCCCTAATATCTTCACGTCTTGATCGAGATACTGACTATGATTTCACAGGTGGCCCTGGGGAAGTTTCTCGGCCGTATGAGTCGTGACGAATCTAACAAAGTACCCTCCAAAAGACGCGACCCATTGCTGATGCTAGCAAAAAGCGACTTTGATCGCTACCTCGAAGCTCTGACCCGCGAATCAAATCGTGACGGGATGCTTGAACTAGCAGCTGACCGCGTGCGCCAGTTGAAAGAATTGCGAAGCAGTATCAGAGCGGTATGAGTATCATAACTCGAGGAGAGAAGAATACCTCAATCATATGTGGTGATCAAGTCTCGGCCTGGCCTGGCTCTGCTGCTAAAGACGTGCTGCAATCTTTTCAAGAGTGTCACCCACCGCAAATTCAACTCTGTGCTTGCGGCTGCGAGCAATATCGCCTTCGGTTGGCGTCACGTATCGTGCTTCCACTGCAGGGTTGTACTGGAAGGCAGAAGTCTTCACCACTTCTTCGTTCGAAACAGGCTGGCTTGCTTTGCCGTCTGCTCTTCTGTACACAGTCACAACACAGCAGCCTCCTAGGCCCAGATTGTGCTGCAGTGCTACAGTCGTTGATCGACCGAGGCGGTTGTTCGCCCAGCCTCGTCTGCAAACCTGTCAGCTGTGCATTATGCGATGTTGTAGAAAGATGAACACTCACAAATGCCATGTTAGTTCCGCGCACTGAGCGACACCAGTCGCGCCGAGCGGATGGCCTTTGGAGATCAGGCCGCCAGACGGATTGAGGAGTGGCCCTTGGCCTCCACGAGCAACACTGCCTTCTCGAACCATCTTGTGGGCTTCACCAGGAGCGCAAAGTCCAAGTCCATCCAGCAGAATGAGCTCGTTCGTCGAAAAACAGTCGTGGACTTCGCATACACCAACATCCTTTGCAGTCACACCAGCTTCTGCAAGCGCGGCCTTCGCGGCCTTCTTGGTCATCCCGAATCCAACCAGATCCATTGAGCTTCCGGAGAAGAGTGATGGATCATCGCTCATGAGGGATTGTCCAGCCATGAGAATGGCTTGGTTCCGCTGACGAAGACCGGTGAGATACTTCCCGGATACAATGACCGCGGCCGCCGCCCCATCGCTCGTAGGACTACACTGCAATTTTGTTAAAGGAGAATGTATCATGGGCGAGTCCAGAATTTCCTGAAGCGTATATTCGGTTTGGAATTGCGCATAGGGGTTCTTCGTTGAGTTCTCATGACTGAGACGTGCGAGCTCTGCGAAGTCCTCGGCTCGTGCTCCATACCGCTCCATATATTCAAGTCCAGCGTTTGCGAAGAATTGTGCAGTCATTGGGCTCTTGAACTTGCCTCGAGTCTTGTGCATCAGGGCAGTTGAGAGCTCGACCGCGCTTGGCCGCGGATCGTCGTTCGCCAATGGGCCAGCAGCCATTTGCTCAAATCCGATCACAAGAACACAGTCCGCTGTCCCCGAACGCACGGCATTACGAGCCATGTTTAATCCAGTCGAGCCGGTGGCGCAAGCATTGCGGGCATTGTAGATTGGGATTCCAGTCATGCCGAATTGATAGAATACACGCTGGCCTGCTGTTGACCCGCCATAACCAAAGCATGCGATACCCATTTCCACATCATCGTAATTGATACCAGCATCAATCATGGCCTTCACTCCAGCCTCGTAACCCAATTCCGGATATTCTCGCTCCTTGCGAGGGCGCAGGAATTTGGTCATTCCCACGCCCAAAACGTACGCATCTCGTAGACCGCCCATGTTTGCTCAGATTTGAAGCCTCCAAATGCACTGATGAGTTGAAGTATTTCGCAGGCTATCATTAATTGAAATCCGACCCAAGAAGATCGCTCCCGGAAGGATGCAGCAACTCTAACTTTCGGCTGTGAGACGGAAATAGGGAGCGCTGGCACCTAGCTGCCTCGGATAGTCACTTAGTCCTGAAATGGTTAATGAGAGGTCGATCAGATGCATCACGCCCGTCCTGAGAGTCACTTCATCAGCCTGCAGATTGCTCTCACCAGCAGTGCCAAGCACAATGGCGCCCTTTCTCGCTGAGACGGTAGTTCAGTGAGTGCTATATCGTCGGGACTCGAATTACTGCAAACCAGGCTGATTATTTACAGCATTCCCTCGAAAGACATTCTGTCGTGGTACTTTGATCATCCACGCTTCGATCAGAACAGGCAAATTTACGTGGATGCCGCGGACACTAACAAGTTCTGGACTGCAGAGCAATGTCGGAATGCCATTCGACAATTTGCGGCAGGTTTCCAGCACGTAGGACTACAAGCACAGGAGACGGTGTGCATTCATGCTTTTAACAGCATCAACTATCCGGTGCTGGTCAACGGGATTGTGGCAGCTGGTGGTGTTTTCACGGGCAGCAATCCAGCATATACGTACGTACATACCAGCATGATTCTCATGATCGATCTTTTTTCTAGTATCACTAAAATCTGGAAAGCCTCCATGAGCTCATACACCATCTGAGAACATCGAAAACCAAGTTTGCTGTTGTGGAGCCGGAACTGTTACCTACATTCCTTGAGGCAGCAAAGCATGCCTCCATCGATCGAAATCGTATCTTCGCATTCTCTGAGACTAGCTACAACGATGTCAGAAGCTGGACAGAGTTGAGAAGGCACGGAGAAAGAGATTGGCCTCGAATCGACGACCAAAAGACTGCCAGTGCAACTCTCGCAGCTCTACTGTTCAGCTCGGGAACCACAGGTCAACCTAATCCTCACATGCTATACCCAGGCTTTCATCTGACTTCTTACAGGCCTGCCAAAAGCAGCTATGCTGTCACATTACAATTTCGTCGCTCAATACACGGTTCTAGGTGACATGAAGGGCGTAGGGTGGCAGAAACGACGCCTCATAGCCCTCCCTATGTTTCATGCCTCCACAGTGCCAAGTGTACATTTCAATCCCCTCTATACCGGCGACACAATGTACATAGCGAGGCGGTTTGAGCTCGAAAGTTTCATGCGGGATACTGAGAGATATGGCATTACCGACATCAGTCTGGTACCGCCTATCATCAACCGTATCCTATCGTCCCCGATTCGCCACAAGTACTCGCTCAAAGGCATTCGAAATGCTCAAAGTGGAGCCGCACCTCTCGATTCCGCCACGCAGGCTCGATTCAAAGAATTACTGCCAGAGTCAACACCGCTGACACAGGTCTGGGGCATGACCGAGACAGTCGCGACGTGCTGCATGACACCATATACCGATGGACACGAAACCACTGGAAGTGTCGGCAAAATGGCACCAAATATCGACATCAAACTATGTGACAACGATGGGAACGATATCACTGCGGACAACGTTCGGGGCGAGATATGCATCAGAGGTCCGGTGGTCATTGCAGGATACTTTCACAACGGAGAGGCAAACAAGCGGGATTGGGATTCGGATGGTTTCTTCCACACTGGAGACATTGCTTGTAAGCAATCACAAACATCTCGACTAGAGTAACGACATGCTGACGAGTATAGATCGTGATGAGAAAACAAAACTCTGGTACATTGTCGATCGCAAGAAAGAGCTCATCAAAGTCAGGGGCTTTCAAGTCGCTCCTTCTGAGATCGAAGGAGTGCTGGTGAGCCATCCCGACATTTCTGATGCAGGTGTTATTGGAGTGCTGCACAATGGGGAAGAGCAGCCTCGTGCGTATGTTGTCAGCTCTACGAAAGATAAATCAGGTATTGAGTCGTATCTTGCGGAGAAACTGGCGAAGTACAAGCAATGCACGGGAGGCATTATTTTCGTTGACGAGATTCCCAAAACTGCCAGTGGAAAGATACTGCGGCGAACTCTGAGAGAGTGGGCTTCCAAAAAGGAGCCCGGAAGCAGACTTTAGTTGGAGATAGTGAAGTATAGCTACAGTCTCCAACAGCTTTGCGGGATTCTCATTTTCTTGAGCAAACGCTTGATTTTTCTTTGTCTTCTTTCGTTGGTCCAAAGCTGCAGGATGCTTTGCTGTATTGACGATCATCGAATTTCCCCGCTAGGATGGTCAACTCATTCCCGAGGTCTGGATATGGGAATATAGCGATGATCTTTGAGTTCCCGATCAACCCGTTAGTGCCAAGCACAACTTTCCAGCAAAACCTCTGTGCTGACCACTGTTCTCGAGATTGGAAAGTCTCGATACTACAGAAATTATCAAGGCTGAAACGCCATAGCTCATGAATAGGCGACCATGGCATTACGTTTTGACGATCAGGTCATCGTCGTGACTGGAGCTGGCTCGGGCTTGGGAAAAGCGTACGCGTTATTCTTCGCTTCTCGAGGTGCATCTGTTGTGGTAAATGACAGTGATTCATCGGTAGGTGTTGATTGAAGTTTGCGTTCGAATTGAATGCAGCTGACCTTTTCAGACCGCCTCACAAGTAGTTCAGCAGATCATCCAAGCCGGAGGCAAAGCAGTACTAGACAGCAACAGTGTCGAACAAGGAGACAAAATCATCGATACTGCTCTCAGTAAATTCGGTGCCGTACACGTCTTGATCAATAATGCTGGCATACTTCGCGACATTTCCTTCGGGAAGATGACAGACGAGCAGTGGGACTCGGTCCACGCCGTACACGTCAGAGGGACTTACAAAACTACGCAAGCAGCATGGAAAATATTTCGAAAGCAACAGTACGGCCGTGTGATACTCACATCTTCAGCTGCTGGACTGTACGGCTCTTTTGGTCAATGTAATTATTCGGCGGCAAAGTCAGCCATGATCGGTCTGGGCGAGACACTTGCCAAAGAAGGAGTGAAGTACAATATACTAACCAACATTATCGCTCCTATTGCTGCAAGTCGTATGACGGCCACAGTCATGCCTGAGAAAATGCTTCAACACCTTCCTCCTGCTTGGATCGTTCCATTGGTGGCTGTTCTTACACACAAGACAAATACAGAGAATGGTTCTCTCTTTGAGCTAGGAGGTGGTCATATGTCCAAGCTGAGATGGCAGCGAGCAGGCGGAGGTCTGCTCAAATGCGACGAAACGTTAACACCGGGTGCGATTTTGAAGCATTGGGATGCAGTGAACGACTTCTCTCAAGCCGAGTATCCCTCGACCGTGGCAGACCTTGTCTCCAAACTGAAAGAGTCTCAACGCCTGCCACCTAATCAGTCAGGGTCGGACGTCCGTTTCGACGGAAAGGTTGCTGTTGTCACTGGAGGAGGAGCAGGCCTTGGGCGACAATACTGTCTCTTGCTCGCAAAGCTCGGTGCCTCAGTTGTGGTCAACGACGCTGTGAATCCAGAAAGTGTCGTAGAGGAGATCCGTAAGAATGGCTATGGTCAAGCCATTCCTATCAAAGCTTCAGCAGAAGACGGAGAGCTCCTGATCAAGACAGCCATCGATGCCTTCGGCCGCATCGATGTATTGATCAACAATGCAGGCATACTTCGAGACAAGTCGTTCCAAAACATGAACGACGAAGGCTGGGACGCTGTTTACAACGTCCATCTTCGCAGCACATACACAACCGCTCGAGCTGCTTTCCCATACATGAAAAAGCAAGGATACGGTCGTATCGTAAACACCACCAGTACCTCAGGAACATATGGTAGTTTCGGGCAAAGCAATTACGCTGCAGCAGTAAGTCGCAAATCACAACAACGTCTCCAGGTTCATCAACAGCATCCTGACTGCAACAGAAAACCGGCATAGTCGGCTTCTCCAAATCCCTAGCCCTCGAAGGCAAAAAATACAACATCCGAGTCAATTGTATATCGCCATCAGCAGGAACAGCGCTCACCAGATCCGTGCTTCCCGAAGAAGTCGCACAAGGCCGCAAACCTGATTACGTTGCACCGATCGTACTCCTACTGTGCTCGGACCAATTGCCTTCCGGCGTCGATGGACAAATATTCGAGGCTGGCTGTGGTTGGCAAGCGCAGACAAGATTGCAGCGATCCAAGGGATATGATTTCAGTCTGAAGGATGGTGTCGCGTCTCCTGAAGATTTTCAGAAGAGATGGCACGATATTGTGGATTTTACGTCTCAGACTGCTGTTCCGGAGCTTGCTTCAGATACTCGGATGAGGATCATGGCGAATATCGAGCGAACGGGCAAGCATGATGGCGTAGGCAAATCGGCAGTCAAGCTATGATTCGAATAGATATATGAGGTATATTCCGTTAGTTCAACGTTGTTCATACTTTCGTAAGACGTAGCGTCTGGCGCTCTGAGACTCTGAGCAGATGGGCGTCTGCTTGCACTGTAGTCACTCAACTCGGGATCATGGTCAGACAGGCTGGGGTGGAGATAGGTTTGAGGTACACTTTCATTTGCACCATATCCAATAACTATGTACGATAATATGTCGCGCTACCATTTTGGCAGCTAGCGTACTTCATCAGTCACAAGTTTCCACGTCACCACACACACCGAGCTTGCTTCGTACAACTTTGATTCGACCCCAGCCACTTCAGATGTTATAAGGATTTCCTGGAAGTTTGGCCAGAATTCCTCTTAGCCCAGGAAGAGTGTCGAGGCCTGGGAATGCTGGAATGACAGGAGTGTTCACTGGTACGCCTCCAATAGCTGATGGAACGAAAACGTTCGCTCGGAGAATCTGCAGGCGACATGTCTCGAGGTCGAACTCGGCCGGTACGAGGATGTGTGCATTGACGGGGAAGTCCAGAACGTGGAGTGTTCCAAGGACGACGTCGGCGTCCATGAGGGTTGTGCCGTTGCCGTAGTCGGTATATTTGGATGTCACTTTGGTGAATAGTTGTCGGACGACGATGGCGAAGTTCTTGGTTGATGATGCGTCGAATCCGAATTCGACTGCAGGGGCGCCGTTTGCGCTGACTGTCGATCGAATGTCAGATATGTCCCGCAACGAAAAGCAGTCCAGGTGAAAGGGCTTCACATATGAACCAACTTACCGATTGCAGGACAGTCAGGTTCCAAAGGCATCCCTTGAATGCCTGCTGCTGACTTCAAGAAGTCCTTCTCGTTGAAGACGGCAGTGATGTATCGCATGACATTGATCCTATGCTCTGCTGTACAGAAGGCGGCTTGGGCAGAGCCGCCCGCAGCCCATGCGAATAACGAAAGAGCCAAAGTGAACTTCATGGTGTGCAGTCGTGATGAATCGACCTTGCAGTTTCTCTTGCGAATAGTGACGATCGACAGGACCCCAGGTAGAGTTGAGGAATATATGTTCCAAGCAAGCATGGAGTTGTTCACTGCAGATCTTCAGTGAAGAGGGTCCGGAAACAGTCCGGAAACTTTGTTTGACAACTTCACTTTGATCGACAGTGGGGTTCGCCTTTGCCCGCACTCTGGATCCAGCTTTGATAGGCGAACCAGTGCGCCCATGTGCGTAAAAGCCGTTCGCACAACGACTAGTGAAGGGATCGACAACCCTAGTCGGACATAGGAACGCCCTGAACATCAGTACCCTCTCCATCAATCGGCAATGCCACGGTAGCACTTCTTGTAGCAGTGTACTAATAAAGCTGCTGCTTACCCTTGTGGATCGCGCCTGATCTGTCACTTGCGAACTGACCGAAACACTTCTCTTGCCGTCTCTGCAGGTCTTCGAACAAGCGCCATGAAGTCCATAATAATCGCTGCTCTCTGCGCAGTCGTCGCGGCCGCTCCACAAGGCTCGACTCCAGGCTCCTCTTCTGCCTGTCCAGCCGGCAGAACCCCATACTGCTGTCAAATCCGAAGAACTCCTCAAACGCCAAGTACCGGTTGCGACTTTCGTAGGTGACACTGACCGTTTCGCTGCGAAGCAGTACTGACGGACCTCTTCTCCAACAGCTCCGAGCCAGCCTGCTGATGGTAACATCTTCTTCTCGGAGTGTTCGAATATCAGCCGACAAGCTGCCTGCTGTACCAGTGTCTCCGTAAGTTTAAAGCTTCTGTGTCGGTTCTCAGGAGATTTCTGACCCTTCCACAGGCCAACGGTGCCGGGACAGCTTGCCAAGTGTATGTGCCATAATAGAGCGCAACGTCGAATGGGTGGTCACAGGCGTAGTGATGGTCTGCATCTTGTATCTTAGCTCGAGAACTTCCGAATATTTCGTTCTTGGTTGACATTCTTCTCCTGTGCGTCAGTCCTGTATGTGAAAAGAACTTGGTGCATTTCCATGTCTGAGAAATGGTTACCAATCACCCTCCGGCCCAGTACCACCAGCACAAGTCCGGCTCTGGACTGCAGCTGGAGTGTGAGAGGAAACTTTGCAAGTGTTCGAGCGGGTTCCTCCACCAGGAAAGGACTGCGAATTGATCACTGCACCTCAGAGCCATCGCCCGATATCCTACCTTTCTCCAGATCGATACAGCCTCCACAGTCTTCTGACTCAGCCACAGACGCAACCTGTGCTACAGTGCTCGGTCTGTGACATTTGCGAATGTACATTCTGCAGGTGACGTTGGATGCGCTCTGTCCGTTAATCGTGTCTTCCCTCGCCTCTTCGGTCTTACTCCAAAGTTGTCGAGCCTTCCAACAGTCAAGTTGAACTCATTGTACTGATATCTGACACTGTCTCTTGCCGCCCTGGGTCTTGGTGCATCTTGCCTTGGGCGCGTCGAATGCTCTTCTCGATGTTGCTGTTCTAGCCAATTCGGTCTGCTCGCGTTCCTGCACCAAAAACAGCACAGTACCTACGCTTCGCTATCGTGAGTGATGCGACAATGTCGCTGGAGTTTGTTGCTCGAGTTCGGAGGCACACATTAGCTCTCTGAGTCGAGCACGCAGACGCGTTTTTCGCTGGAGGCTTATGTCGATGATCTGGGCGCGACTGGAGTTCCAGAAAGCTGTCTCCTCGGACTTCGTACGCCCCAAGACGTGTGGTGTCCTTCACAGGCACAAAGTGTTGATGAAGGCACGCAGTTGATGCCCTGTAGCGGCCGGTCCCGCAGGGTATGCACCAAAAGTGCAATGTGCCACAAACGACAGAGGGAGGCCTGAGGCACGAACAATGCAATTCTGCTGCGAGTGGCTTTCCTCTCCTCATGCTTGTAACACCTCCCATTTCCAGCTCGGCATCGTTGCCCTCACATTGAGCACCGTGGTGACGCCAATACGGTATCCAACTGTGCCAATGCCTGCCTGAGCCAGCCATGCACGTGGTGCCGACCAAATCCAGACCGCGCCGTCTCGGCGGAGGAGCTCGATCAGACTTCTGCTGCAGATCTCTCCGTTCGCAGCCATGGTGGCGGCGGCCGAATGGCGTCTTCCGCAGCTGTTGGCGTCGGTGGTGACGAATGAGACGGCGCGCCTGCTGGGCTTGGAAGCGAGCAACGTGGAAACCACGTTTTGTGCTTTCCCCGATGAACCACTGACTTCTATTTCGGTTTGACATCCAACTCACGGCAACTACATGAGCACGTTTTTCAGCTACAGGTTAACTACAGGGGCGTCTTCGGATCGTTATCATCTTCTTCTCACGTCCAGAACTGGCATTGAAGGCACTCAGTGCGCAGTCGCGAATGCACGCTACTGTCTTCCAGACCAGCGCCCAGCTGAAAGTCTAATCGTGCAACAAAAGGTCCAGACGTCGACAAATAGGTAAGCCATTCGCAATTAGCGATCGTCCCTTATACTGTCCTCCTTACCCTATTCACGCCCAATTCGGACTCTGCACTTGCACAATCCAAGCAACGCGCGTCCGTGACAACAATGTTGGCAGCTCAGCGACCGCAAGATGTGCGTGGTTTCGGCGAGCAAATCGTACACTCGTGGAGCGAGCATGTGGTACTTACGCAGAGCATATCTAAACTGCACGATTGGAGCTAATTCAAGCACAGCCCAAATATCAAGGCTCCAGCTTTGTGTCTAGTGTCATGACTATTACTCTGAATCCAACACGCGATGGCACCCCACGACGTATACCAAAGCTGGCCGTGAGGAACCGGACCAGCGAGCATTCGACCTCTCACGAGGATCTTAAACAACCGGATCACCAGCATCATGACCTGAGGGGTGCTGCAGAGCAGCAAAGCTCCTGCGACTCATTGCTCCATCCTGCGTTTCGCCGTGAGCCAGGCTCCACGCCTTCCACTCGCTCAGCAGTAACGACAACTCGAAGTTCTGGAAGAAGTAACTTGGAGGCGGAAGCTGCAAGTGGAAAAGTGCCAACGAAGCGGAAATCCAAAGGAGTTCTCGGCTTCCTCACGCTCAAGGAACCATCCATTTCGGCATTCGAGGAATTCGCAGAGCAAGAAAAGAAGAAGCTTGCATCGCAGAAGGGCTCCAATGTTCTGCGAGGTGTGAGTTCTCAAAAGCTTCCCGAGCATGTGCCGAAAGTCAACAGCAAGTGGGACGGCCTGCCGGAATCGACAAAACGAAGCACAGCAGAGAAGGACAGTTCCGCTCGACACTCTGCAATGTCATTCGTTAGCAGCCGAAGCGGGACTTCCGATCGAGATAGCGTGCTGTCGAATGGACCAGCTTTTCCCTCATTGAGCTCACGAATGCGCCAGTCGAACGAGAAGCATCGTCCCCTGACAACTACCACGGAGACTCGACTTGAGAGAGCAACAGCTTCTTTGGAACGGATCAAGCATTCGTCAGTCGAGGCCCTGCAGTCTGGATCGGGTGAACAGCGCCGCTCAGCTCGCGGATCTGAAGACTCAGGCTCCTTTTACAGCTTCTCATCACATCCCGATACTCCTCCCGGGCTAGAGCCCTCAACATATCCAAGCTCGGCGTGCACACCCACAACACCGGATAGCATGCCTCGGACGCCCAATCTCGAGAGCAATGTGACGATAGAGTCGAAACTTCATCCTCAATGCAATCCATGGAGCTCCAAAGCCGATGCGGCGCCATTTCAGAACTCCGATATCCGAGACTTTAGGCATGCCTCGAACTATCACGACAGAACTTGTTTTTCCAAACCTCACGTTAAAGGCAATGCTGCCCAAAGAACAAACGTAGCAGCTATCACTCCTCACAGCTCAGTGGCATCAAAAGACGTCGCTCCATGGGAAGCATTCGAGCCTCCGAGTGACTCAGCTCAGGCTCCTCCACGAAGTACGACATCCAACAACCCAAGTGCTGGTCACAAATTATCGCAGCGATTCGGCGCCAAATTGGGCTTGAAGTAGCGCTGGTGTCCATTCAAAGTGTTTCATGAATCATCTGGTAACAGTATTATACCCTTACGGCAGCACAAAACTGCGGCAGGCGCAAAAAGGAAGGAACACGGGACAGAACATAGGGCGCAGAAGCATTTAGCGTAGCATGGCGTCGGAGGGGTATCTGATCTAGCTAGCAGCATGTATGCTTGCTGTATTAAGCCGTATTACTTCAATGACGAAAGATTGTCACTATGCATCTATTTTGCTTCATCGTGCACAATTCGTTCGCCCGTTCAACGCATCACCCTGCCCAGCTCACACTTTTCACCAACTTCTGCCTCAATATTTCCAACCTCTCTCCCTTCTCCACCCATCTATCTTCCAGCCATTGTGCGAGCTCGGCGTCCGAATGCGGTAGGTCTGCTATCGCGTGCCGTGTGACGTGAACGTAAAAGGTATTTTGTTGGTCCAGCTTCGGTTGGGAAAGCGTTTGCCAGAATGTGGGTGGCTTCTGAAATTGCGGACTCCCTCCTTGTGGGTGGTGGGCATAAGCAATAGTAAGATCGTAGACAGCTTGCACGTGAGGCGTAGTTCTCAACTGTCTCACAGACGCGCAAAAGCCTTTGACACGAGGGTAGAGGACATGTTTCCCCAGCTGGCGATTATTGGCTTCGCACCATTTCTCTGCTGAGAGGCGTTTGGATGGCGTGTAGCGTGTTGCTTCGCTGAAGGATATGAGCCACATTGGCCACTTCCTTTCTTGCACGCCTTTGAAGACTCGATCCATTTCACGTTGGTCTGTCATCCAGTTGCGGCTGACGAGAGGCATGCCCATGGCCCAGAGGCCCCAGCCGAGAAATGGTACCCATTTGAGTTGCTGTTTGGCGAAATACCGACAGCGACCAAGCATTGATTTCTGAAGAGCAAGGGCTTGAATACTGTAGAAATCGGCCCATTCGACTACATTACAAAATCCGTGTTAGGGCAGGGAAAATTCTACTGGGGGAATTCGCCTGAAGAAACACACCATGATTCGATATTACAATCGCACTCTCCCCCGGCGGAAGATCATCTGCACCCGAAACGATAATCTTGGCGCCATTTCTTCGCGTCAGGATACTTTGGATTCCGTTCCATACGGGCTCGGCGATTGCGGAGGAGAGGTCATATGCTAGGGTGGGCGCGATCGCGGAGAGGGGTAAGAGAGCGGAAAGTAAGATGTCGGCGATGAAGAGATGGATGAGCCATGGGATGAGGAAGATTGCAGATCGCAGGACCAGTGCGACCTGGTATATGGGTGCCATGGGGTTTGTGGAGCGTGCGGGCTATTTATACTGTATCACATACGTGCAGATGATGATGTGCCTCACGCAAGGAACGGAGTGGCAGCGGAAGAGCAAGAGGTCTTGGCAAGCACGGTCGAGCAGTTCGAGCTGCGAGGTACGTCATGTTCTCTTTATGCTTTCCCTTCACCGTTTCGGAAACCTCAACTCTATGTCTTGCGTGTCCTTCTGTCTCGCGCCTTTCCAGGCATAGCAAATACACAGCGAAAAACACGAAAACGAACTACTGCTGCAGCAGTTGTCTCCGCGGGACCACCACAAACAGCGACGGCGATCCTACAAACTTCACGGGTCCTGCCGCATCCAATCTGGCCCACGCCTGGGAGGCCAGCGAGGGCCTAGAACCGACCCGCCTCTCTGTGCAACACCAGACTGCCTCTTAAACCGCGCATTCAGAACGCCAATCTTCCATATCTGATCATCTCGCATCGAGGTCCTCCCCTCTGTTCACATCCTACGACCCAGAAACGATCCGCCAGGCAAACATTGTCATTGTTCTCGTGAGCGCGATAGCATCAGGACCACCCACCGGAAACACGCCTAAACGGCACAAGCACACAGCCCCAAGCCCCCAAGCAAACAACCACTCACCACAGACCTTTCGCACAGTTCGGACCCGGACCCGCGACTTCGAAGGAAGGGCAAGCATCTGCATCTGCAGAACTATCCCACCGAGCCTCACATTCCAAATCTCGAACACTCACACATCTTACCTCCCGTATACAACAACGCACAACCACTCATTTCAATCACCCGCCCGATGTACTCAAGCACAGCGTGAGACGCACTCGTTTCAGACTGCAGCAGGCAAACGTCGGACCTTACCATATTCGACTTCCCGTGTGCGACATAGGTACGCTCCATCCTGTTTGTGTGCGGTCACACGTGCGTTTCCTTTTTGTTTGATTTTAGCTATCCCTTGGGTGAACCGAGGTGAGGCAAACTTATGCGCAGGCCGATGCTGCGGCGGGAAGGATTTGTGTTTGTGCCGCTTTTTTGTTTGAACTTGCTTGTGTACTTGTTGTGCCTGCTTCCGAGCGATCGGTTGGTGAGGGTTGTGGAGAGATGATATGAGATTTGTTCGTTGCGCTTTGTGGTGCTTTTGATCTTGTTTGAGAAGACTTCAGTGTTTGTCGACTTTGACAGGAGACTAATCTGTGAGAATTCAGTCTGAGAACGGTGACAATTGCAGCGAAGACGCTCGAATTTCGATATGGCGACGTATAGCTCTGGACATCATGCTATGCACCATGGCCTCCCTCAGGTCGGTCAGCTGGATCAGGAAAGCTCATACGGTGCGTGTCATCTTAGCTCGGTCTTGATCTCCATCCGGAAGGCTTCGCAGTCACGCAGCATAATGCTACTGGGTGCTTTGACTTGCAAGTCGAAGGTCGGAGAAGAGTTCGAAGTGTCAAACATTCGTCGGGGCCTCTTCGGCAAACATGCTGACATGTGTCTCCTTGCCAGAACCTACTTCATCAGCGAGTGACAGCAAAAGTCCTCTTGGATTGAGCTTTTTCAAGAATCTCAACCCTGAGAAGAAGCAGACCAAAGGTAGGAGAATTGTGTGAAGTTCCCGATGCTCTTGAGCTAAAGTTTGCGTGCAGATGGACAACCTCCCAAACGAAGAGGCCCAAAGCCGGATAGCAAGCCGGCCTTGACAAGACGGCAAGAACTGAACCGACAGGCTCAGAGGTATGCTTCTGTCATTAACGGCTGCCGCGACTCAGTCTGACTTTCTCAGAACACATCGCGAACGCAAAGAAATGTACATCAAAGCCCTCGAACAAGAAGTACTTCGACTCAAAGAGCTCTTTACCCAAACGGCGCGTGAACGAGATGCTGTCAACGAAGAGAACCGCAAACTGAAGGAGCTGTTAATGCAACATGGCATCTCCTACGATTTCGGAACTACACCAATCAAGTTCCAACGCGCAGAGAGCGCATACGGGCAGAGTTCCAGTGGCAGTATATCTGGCAGCTATCGCGGCACATCTGACAGCACTGGCCTCAGCCCGCCAACGATGCCCAATCAAATGGCGCATCCTCAACATTACGCCAACATGCAACCCAATCAAATACGCAACATGGCGCAAATGCCCACCAGCCGCCTCGACTACGACTCAATAGGCATCGACTTTGTCTTAACGTATGACTCCCAAGGCAACCCCATCCAATTCCCTGGTCCATCAAACCCATACCCATCGCCACCACCTCAAACCTAGCGCAGCTGCGAGGTATGCAGAACCCACAAGAAGATCCACCTCAACTGACAGCTCACATGTTACGCAGGCTCGAACGCCCCTGCATGGATCACATGCAATACCTCCTCGTCCGCTCGCACAATCCCGAAGGCAAAGGATTCAATCATCCGATGGAGAATCCTGATGATGGTCAGATTGAACATATGTCGGGTCATGCGTTGATGGGTACTAGTGCGCCGTGGTCGCATATTAAGGATACGCCGAAGGAGAATTATCCGCATCAGATGCCATCGGATATGAGTAATCAGAGTTTGGCGAAGCTGTTGGATCTCAGTTCGAGGTTGCCGATTGATCGGGAAGGGGAGATTACGCCGATTATGGCGTGGACGATGATTTTCACGTGTGAGAGGATTGGGGAGTTGGTGGAGAAGGATTTTGAGAGGTTGAAGCATGGGTTGGTGGGGAAGGTGAGGTGTTATGGGTAAGTTTCCTTGCTTTGATGCCTGTTGGCATGATTTTTTTGGTTGCTGACGAAGAGTTTTACTCAGATTCGGAGCTGTGCTCGAAGAATTCGAAGTTCGGGATGCGTTGAATGGGGTTCTGGCCGAGAAGGACATTGTTCCGGCCATGTCGAATGCGATGTTCGTTTCTCAGTAAATGGCTGCCGGGCAGCGCTGATTGTTGTTGAGGAGGAGACGGGCGAGGCTCGGTCAATATTGTCCTCTATATTCGGTTGCTGTAATGTCTGTATGAACATGATTGCCTCCTGCTTTTCTGAAAGCTATGTGATCGCCGCCCAACATTGAAAATCCAGTCGTCGTCGCCGCTGCTTATCCGCCATTTGACTTGTATGTTGGGCATTCGACTTATTGCACTTTCCCGCAGTATGAGTTGACACCGTAGCAAGCTACAAAGAAAGATGTCAGAATGCAGGCTGGCGACGAGCTTTTGGGGTGCTCAAAAAGGCAGAACGAAAAAATGAAAATGAAAAATCTTGGACTGCTCACAAGAGAATGAGTTGATCACTTGCAACCACCGTTAAGCCTGAATGATACTATGCAGTAACGTGGCAGCTTCTCACGATGCTCATCTGGTGAACACAGTGTAAGACTTGCCCTGCAAAAGTGTCCTTCCTACCTTGAAGTGAATAGATCATGATCTGGCCAAAAACGTATTTCCTATCGATCGGGAAAGGCAAAAAGATGGTCGTCGACTGTTACGTTGCGTTGGTAGGACACCAATGATGATTACAGGTGACGAGGGACGCGAGTGTAGTGAACATTGTGGGAACTACAAGATATTTTGAAATAGCTTTCCAGCACTAGATCAAGTACAGGTGTCAGCGAAAGCACGAGAAACGAGGATGCTCAAATTGAACAAAAGCAGGCTGGAACATGCGAACATTGTTCAAAGCACATTACTGTCACAGATGAAGAGGAACTGAAAAACAGGAACTGGAAAGCAACGAAGTTCTGTGCAGAGATGCATAATTGTAACTACAGTTCGCAGGATGCGGATGATAGTCACAAGCATTGCGGATCGCGATTTCGCGTTCGTATCTCAGGCAGCAAAAGTGCCCGGTAGACTGAACCTCAATTGAGGACGTCGATCTCAGCGTATCAAGCGCTGGAAGCAAGAGTGAGCATCATGGTAATCTCATGAGCCAGGCGTGGAGAATCTCATCAATCAAAGGACTTCGTCGTCGTCTTCCTCCATCTTGACAGTGGCGGTGGACTCGTTGTCAGAGAACTGGGAAGTCATGTCAGTGTCAGAATCAGCAGCGTGCTGGGAGCTGTCGGCCGTCACTTCCGTGTGAGGTGGGAACAAGGTGGCCGTACTGCGATCAGAGTCGATGTCCATACGCTCGGTGCCTTGCTCGAGGCTTTGCTCGGCGCTTGCAGGCTTTGGCTCGGTCTTGGGGAGCGCCCGGGTATCATCGGTGACGACTGGTTCGTGCAGCATCTCTTGCTCAGGTCCAAGCAACATCTGCTTGGCATCTTCGAGATCTTGAGCCGAACGTTGACCTTCTGCGACGATGGGCCCGGAGCCTTACAACACCTCTTTCTCAGTACCGAGTAACATTTCCTTATCGTCTTCCAAGTTCTGAGCCGAGCGTTGCTCTTTTGCGGCCTCTCTTGCTGCGATGTCGCGCTCGATCTTGGTCAGCTGTTCACGCAGTTGAGCAAGACGGTGACCTGCGGTGTCTGACAGACTACCGGTGGCGAGCTCGCGGATCTGGACGAAGTAGCCCAAGCTGGTATGGGCTCCCTTGAGGTACTTTCTAGCATCGGCCGTTTCGTCTGTCAAGCCTGCAAGGATGGCATTGCACTGAGCTCTCATCCAGAATGGTATGTGGGGCTCTTCGAGCAGCTCGATGAACTTGTTCTCAGCACGAATGACCATGAATGGGTTTTCGCTGTTTGTGGCCTTGAGGTAGGCATGTGCTTCGGCGTAGCGCTCTTGATAGACACGCTCAACGTTGGTGATTGGAGGCATGTTGGCTGATGATGCAGAGGTGGAATCGAGGTCAATGAGTGAGAGTTGTCAGTTATGGCACGAGGGGGATGCGCAGATAAGAGCAGCGGCTGCCGGGAGAAGATCAAGGACAAGTGATGAAATAACTCACAATTGCAGATTCTACCACGGGTTTCTCGACCTGGGATTGTTTGTTGCACAAGGTGGCGGGTCGCTCCGGATTGCTGTCGAAACTTCCAGTCTTGTTGCAAACACTTTGGAAAGCTCTGTGAGTATATAGTGCTCCTGCCCCTTCCATCCCACTTTTGTCCTTCAACACATCCCCCACGACTTTCACACCAACCTGTCCTACAGCTTTGCCCACACCTGTCACTTGATAGTTGATACTCACACCTCCACAATCTCTTTTGTTTCGTGAGCGTCACGAACAACCGCCCAGGTGTTATCACTGACTGGCGAGACTTCCCCAGCTGCCCACTGCAGTTGAGTCCAGTCATTCACCATGGCTGAGAATTCCGGGTCTGATGACTACGGAAGCTTCCCAGAGGAAGAGGTAGGCAGCAATATGCACTCTTTTCTCAGACTGCTCCTGCGAAATTTGGCAGTGACAACGAAAAAATTGACATGAAAATCTTGCGCGGCTTATACGAGCCGGACTTGACTACTTGCATCCAGCGTCAAAGCGAAAGGATACTTAGTATGCGGTATCGAAGCAGGTTATTACGCTAATGTGCCTGTAGATACCGTGGAACGAACGATAGCACCAAAAAAAAAAGTCTAATCGGAAGTGAAGTGAACATACGCTGGATGGGACCAGAAATGATCAAGCACAACAAAGCAGCTGTGTCCATAATAATTCCTGAATGGCACATTGATTAGAACAGGCAAAAAAGATGGTCGTCGACTGTTACGTCGCGTTGGTAGGACACCAATGATGATCTTGGTCCTAGGTATCGTTAATACAAGCGCCGGATGTTGTGGTTGTGGACGCTGCTCACCCTAAGGGGGTCGAACCCTATTCGAAGGTTAGAACAAGCTCATTAATGCACTGGAAGCAGACTCTATTCACCTCGACCTTGGCGTTTTTGACGATTGGAATCGTATTAGCACCACGCTCTAACCAACTGAGCTAAGGAACCGTGGTTGTTGATGGCGGTGGAGCGAAAAAATCGAATATAATCACTCAAACTCAGCCGAGCCGACCCGGGCCGACCACGTTCTCCGACCCCACATCAGTCAGCAGCTGAGCAACTTCAAAGTTGTTTCTCTAACACTAACATCTCCAACAACTTTGCAGACTTCGTTCTTTGCAGCATATTTCGCCCCTGAGGAGGCCTACTACTTCAGTGAATCCCTACGCTCTGCAATACAGCAGTTTGACCCTCTATACAAGCCAGACTGGACCTCACAAGCCCGACGCGATGCGTCGTGCCGTTGTGCTACGTCGCTCGAATTGGGTCTGGAGAAAGACTGCTGCGCTGCAGCAAAGGCGGACGAAACATCACTCGGCGAAAGCAACCAAGAAGTCTCAACGCCAACATATTACTTCCCTCTCATGCGAACAAGTCCTTGCCGCCGGGCTGGAGTCTAGTGGCAGCATAAAAACAATGCCACTTACAATTCTCGGGCCATAGCTTCCTGTGACACTGGAGTTCGATTTTCTGAGAGTGCCAAAATTCTCGAGATGTCTCCAAACCTGGCTCTAGGACTAAACTCGTGCCATAGATGGTTGTTCGGTGGCCAGCATAGCAAGGAGCCATTGCTTTGGGTATACTCTCCCGGAACGCATTTCTTATCTGCTACTCGTGAGTGACAAATGTGATCAAGGCCGAGCAACAAAATCTTCACAAGCATCAGATGCTGCATGTTTGAGTTGAAATGAGGTCAGTATACGAAGCACGACATCTCGACATCGCTTCACATGTAAGTGCACCGAAGGTCCATCCAGTTTCACATGCAATCAACGAAGAGCACCGATGAGCATTCACCACCCTGCCCGTTATCAAAACCAGGCTCTTGCCCACGACTTTCTCATACCTTCTCAACACTACCACCATTCGCAATATGACCCAAGCTTGATCACAGCACAGCACTAGGAATCCACAATAGCGGCACCGGACATCCACTCCACGCGGGCGGCAGCCAGCATCCACTCCACACAGGCGGCACCGAAACACTGCGTCACCATGGCCTGGCTCAGTGCATTGTTGCTCCTGTGCGCAGTCATCTGCGACGTTCATGCCAATGGCTACCCTTTTCCCCAAGATCCCAAGGCGCTCCACGAAGTATTCCAGGTCGACATGCGTGCTCCCGACCGCTATCCAAGTTCGTGTGCGAGGCCGCTGTGGCAATCGAGAGATGGTCGACCGAACGCTTTTGGAGGTCAACCGCTCTATGACCCCCAGGAAGACTTTTACGGACGTGATGCGAATATGCTCAATCACATGTGGTTCCAAGCATACGCCATGTTGTCGACTGCTCGGGCTGCGATCTGGCCACGCAATTACGCTATGCCTCAAGTCTATTCCCTGGTGTATAGCTTCTTTGGTCTCTGGCCAAACCCGGACGCAGATGACAAGGAACCGGAAGAAGGCGACAAAGTGTTTCTTGATGTGTTACGAGGTATGTCAACGTATTAAGCCAATTTGGGCAGTACTGACGTGAGACCAAGCTCGCTACGCAGGTGTGCAGCAAACCATAGAGCGCGCTCAGGCCGATGGACGCAACAAGCCTAAATTGTTCTGCGGCGGAGCATACTGGGAGATACAGTATCCGGAATCTCCGGCTCGGCAACGCGATGGCAGTATCATTAAACGCCCAGACGGTACTGACATGCCGCTGTTGGAATGGGAGCTGCAGCATAATCGTGACTATCACAAGTCCTGGTATCTCTGGTACGACATCGATTATCCCTCTGGGAGCGAGGTAAGTACTGCAGTACAGTGACATCGTACATCTAGAATCTGAGGTTGACATTCCATAGAAGGGCTACATTGTCCTCGACAAGGAGGAACACCCCGCAGACCCAGCATCAGCGCCATTCCCATGGCCTCTGGCCGCCAACGGCCAGCCTGATTTTTGCTTGCAGGAAATTTACGCCCAAGTTCTCCATGCGACGACACCTAGAGGCCAAGGCACCGATGCATGGCAAGCTGCCGACCATATAATCCTGTGCCCGCTCAGTTTCACTGCCAGGGTCGACATGAACGACATTGATTTCGCCGCTCCGCAAACGGAAGGTAGTAATGGTCAGGATGGGACACATATCGATCTTATGAGCGTGCCCGGTATCACTCTACTGCATGAGTTGCATCACGTTGCATACCGAGATTTTTCAAACGACGTGTATCCTTGGTTCCCGAGGCGAGATCCTGATGATCAGATTACTGGGAAGATCTCTGAGGAGTAAGTCACAATATCGACTTATTGGGCTGAGTTTCAAACTAATCATTCGCAGTTTTCCCAACCAAAAGTCGGGGTTTTCGCAAGCTCGCGTCCACCACTGCGCAGAAGGCCCCACGCAATCAATGTCGATTGCATCGTATGAATTGGCAGAACCTATATCCGAAGGCAACGACATACAGAGTGTTTTCGCTCCAGAAAGCGCTGCGTGGTTCGCCCGAGCCATTGACCTCACTATGCGCACTCACCAGGACTGGAGCACAGGATATTGCCTACCGTGGAATACGCAACCACTTCAGGGACCCAGTGCTCCAATTGTAGAAAGCTGCCTGGACGAGGTATCGAGAGCCAAGCATTTCTTCAACGAAAGTTTGCTGAGCAACATCTCGTATGCGAAAGCTGGTCATGGCGTACAGCATCCTTGGGAAGTACCACTGTGCGACATATTCCGAGAGGTTATGGCTCAGGCGTAAAATGGGCTCGATCATTGAGAATATTCATTTCTGCCGCCACGGGAAGTCAACAGCTGCTGGGAATACGCCATCCATGTCTGCAACACCGTGAAAAGTTGCGCAGCTTGCGCGAGCTGAGGCCGCATCCCGCACAACAATAGTCAAGCTTCGCATGATCTCCTATCAGAACTTCCTAGGACCTCCGGACCCACTGACTTGTTCCTCTCCAATCTTCGAAATCTCCTCACTCGGCTGCACCCAAACCTTCGTTGCATCTTTGTGCATATCCGTCCCGAAGCGTTCCAGACACCAATCAAGCAAATTCTCGAGTTCAGCACGACTCTTCGATCTCAGAGACTCCATATCTTCCTCCCTACCGCCACTTTTCGCGCATCGTTCGACCCGATCGAGAAATTCTCTCGCACTCGTCTGTCTTGGCAACTTCTGCCCATCTTCCTCTCCAGCAGCATCCTCGGAACCCCAGAACCTCGAAAAACCTTCCCACTCGCCAACATCGGAATACCAGGCTCGGGCATTGTTGAAGTCGCCTTCGATACGATGCAAAATGCCATGGACGTACATTCCTTCGTAAGCCGGCGGGGACTGCATGTGGCGAACCAAGAAATGAGCCGATGGCAGATCATGGTTCAAAATGTGCAGTAAGGCTTCGATTGCGGGATGCAGATATAGTGAGGCGATACTATCACTAAGTCCAGGATCTTGTATCTTGTCTGGTGCGAACAGAGGTGCCTGAAACGATTTCAGCTTGATGAGAAGCTCATCGAAGGGCACTGGAGCTTGAGCTGGATGAATTGAAGTCATGGTCATAGCCAACTTCTTCACACTTGAATGTCGTGCAAATATCTTCAGTACACCACGACGAAACAAAAAATCCAAAATTGGTGTCGGATTTCTGGATCATGCACGTCATGATGCCGTCGACGATCTCAAGACCGATCGCTGCAATTCTCACCCAAAACAGCAGGTCACTGGAGCGAAAATATTGGTCTTGCTAACGACAATGTAACCAGCAAATTGGGAAGGCTCTCCGTAAGAAAGCTTGGTATATCTCTTTGGATCGACAATGCAGTACCCTAACGCTCGGCAGACACAACGACTTCACTATGGCTTTCTTCCTATCGTCACATACATGATGCAATGCAGTCCCGTCCCAGACACCAGTGTCTCCCGCATCTCTTTCCTGAGCTCTTCTATCCGCAGCTGCATCTTTGGACTTAAGACTTGTCCATCGGCAATGGCTCTCTCGATGGCGAAATGCAACATCTTCGGCACATTCTCAGCATTGAACTTGCCCAAAGCTCTCAGCTCAGGCGTCTTCTCCGTAATACCACAGCTTGCCCATTTGTATGTTGTGACCGACACATCAACGAACCCAGCTTCACGCATCCACTGCGCTGTCTTCTCTCCGCAACGAGTATCTAAGCGCTTCTTTGGAGACTGCAAATCAGCGTTCAAGCATCGAAGCCACTCCCATTTGTCGCTAACATTGTTTCCAGAACCATCGAACCAGGTCCACGACAGATCATGGATCTCTGCCCATCCGCCGGATTTGAGGAGAGAGTACTCTTTCTTGACGAATGACGGCCAGTCGTTCATTCCGAGAATCAAGAGCCGGCTGTAAATGTAGTCGAAAAGATCTGTATCAGTTGGCAACGAACATGACCCGGGGTCATTCGGCGTCCATTCCGTGGGTCGTTGACTTATGGCATTGCCTTGGAAGAATTGTACGTTTGGGCGATGTGCTCTTAATTCTGGAACGCGGGAAAGGTCCAGCCCGATGCATTCTGCTTGAGGATATCGTTCGGACATATCGTCTGTCACAATGCCTGTGCCGCAGCCGATGTCGAGCATGCGAGCACCTCTGTTGTCGGAGATCGGAGCGTGGAAGATGTTGCCGTGCATGACATCCTTGACCAGCCGAGCTTGTGTTTCGAGACGGACATGCTCTGGCGAACTGATCAACACAGTCAGTATTGCAACTCCTGAGATCTGATGCTATACTTAATCATTTGGCAGGCAATATTTCGCCTTCTTGTCGACATGGTAAGAAGGTGTTCGGTCTGGAGTTTGACCAAGATCGATGGCAACATTCTTCGATACGAGCGACTCGTCACTATCATTCCGGAGCTCTGTAATTCGGACGATAGACTCCTTCTTTTCTGAAAAGACATCGACAGTAGGGCTGTAAACTTCGATTGATATCGCCATGTTGAAGCTTTATGAGGAGGAATGATGTGGATAAACAGCGAATGACAGGGACAAGTTGGCCAAAGAATAGACTCTTTATATCTTGCACAAGCGCTCGGTCTTCAAAACAAATTCGATTGCGAAACTATCTTCTGCATCACTTCGGATCCATCCATTCTCACTAAACGCGTGGACTGCTATCGAAGCCACCGTTCCGCGTCCTGGACCTCGTCAGTGTAGCGGTATACGGAGGCGCCGAGAGGCGTTCTGAGGCTGGCTGAGAACACGACCATGCAAAGCCAAGCTGTGGCTTCGAATACACCCGCCGTCCTCGAAGAGCTTAGAGCAGCGGTAGAGCTCTGTCACACGACTTCGATCGCAGATGAGGCGTATTTCACGAAACCGATTGGTATTTCATGCACGCTAAGCCCTCCAACCTCGAACGCCTCTATGCATCCTCGTGCTGTCCGTGAGCCACAGAGAGCTGTCAGTTATGCATATGCGAAGCATAATTGCTCCATTATCCTAAAGAGGTAAGTTTCGACGCCTCAGAAGGCGCTCTCCACAGCAAGCTCGGTGTTATTTATCAGGCCACGTACAGATGGCGTTTGTGGATGATCTAGAGTGTACGGACAGGCCGCGAGCTCTAAGACGGCGTAGGAGATCATATTTCATTCCAACACCCAGTGATTTACGTCTCTGTTCACCATCTCATAACCATCATGTCTACTTTAGCGACTCCTCCAGCCACGCCCGGCACCGAGAAGAACAATAGCTTCGATCAGCCAGCGGACACCAACTCGCTCATGAATGAGCTCTCAAGACTAAACATTTCCATCTCCAAAGGCGACAATGCGGCCAAGACGAAAGCCCTTGCTCTGTCCCGCCAACTCACAGCCAGCTTGACTGAACCCGTCGACGCTGCTTCGTCCATGATCTTTCAGCCCTTCGTTTCATTCGCCGTGCAAACCGCAGTGCGTCTGGATGTCTTCTCTCGCCTGATTCAACAACAAGACAAGCAAGACAACAAGGTCGTTTCCACAAATACCCTCTCAGTCTTGTGCAATAATGCTGAGCCGCTACTCCTCTCACGCATTCTCCGGGGCCTCTCAAGCTTGAATTACATCTCCGAGGGCACCGAGCCAGAAACATGGCTTGCCAACCCCACAACACACGCCTTCGCCATTCCAGCAATCGCAGCCGGTCATCGCTTCGTGTGGGATATCCAAGTGCCAGGAACAGCTTACGCGCCCAAATTTCTGGAAGAGACCAACTACGCCTGCCCGACCTCTGCAAACGATGGCTTCATCCAATATGCCCTCTCGACAAAATACGATGTTTTCGAATACATGTCTCGTGTTCGACGCGATCGACTACAAGACTTTCACACCTTCATGGGCAACACCATGGGTTCCAGATCCTACTGGGTAGATTGGTATCCCGTACAAGAACAGATCCTCTCGGGCTACGATTCTTCCTCAACGCTCCTGGTTGATGTCGGAGGAGGGAAAGGCCACGATATCTTGTCCTTTGCCGAAAGATTCCCATGCACTGGGAAGGAAGAAATGTCGACACCCAGATTAATCCTCCAAGACCTGCCCGCCGCACTCTCCACCATCTCTCCCTCATCTCGCGACCCTCGAATTCACTACCAAGCTCAAGACTTTTTCCAACCGAACACTATCCACGGCGCGAGAGTCTACTTTCTTCATCATATTCTACACGACTGGAGCGAAGCTTACGCCTTGAAGATCTTGCGGAACCTGAAATCTGTGATGAAGCCTGGGTATTCGAAATTGTTGATTCACGATTTGGTGCTGCCGGACAAGGGGACGAGCCAGTTCCAAGCAGCGTTCGACATGGTGATGATGACATTCAATGCTGGAATCGAAAGAAGTCGGACGCAGTGGGAGGAGTTGTTGAAGAAAGCAGGGTTGAGACTTGAAGGGATCTGGCATGGAGAGGGCGGAGAAGATGCAGATGGAATTGTGCAGGCAGTGGTGGATGTGGACGTGGAGCGAGAGACGGAGGAGTATCGTGGCCCAGGTTTCCGCTGAGTTGGAGAAGAGGGTGCTGATTGTCTTCTTCGTTTTATTTCCAGCGTTCAGCATTTCGTGCATTTTGCAGATGTTTTGCAGTCTATCCCACGACAATGAGGCTCAAAGAGCATCAGGCCTCCACATCATTCATTTCGGTAGGCTGAATGTCTCGGGTCACTGGGCTCGACAATCCAAATCTCATCTTTTTCACCACCATGATGACCCGGGTCTCCTGGTTTGACCACGACCTCTTCCGCCCCATTCATTTTCCATGAGGTGATCATATCTCCCTCCGGATCCAGACTTATCGGTGCACTCCTCACGTTCTCCTCCGTCTCTTCGTCGAAATGCAACCAAAACTTCAACAGATATTCCTCCACACTATCGTACAACTCGCTCGAGTAATACTTCTCGTTGATGCCATACCGCCACTTCCAATCTTTCCTCTCCCCTTCGGTATCAGGAGAGCAGTAAAGCGCATGAACACCACTTGGTGTCCAATCAGGGTGTTTCTCTCCGATGTTAATCGCCACTGCGATCGTCCAGTCCTCCCAAGCTTGTTCATATGGGTCGAACTCATCGAGCGGGGTATCAAGAGTGTGTCCAATCCGAACGGGGGCATGCACTTCCAAGTCACTGCTCTCAGTTGGGAAAAATGTCGAAGGGCGGGATCCATAATCGCATTCCATCTTGGGAGCAGAGATGGAAGAGACGAGGGACATCAAGTACTCGAGGTCTTCGGGCGGTTCCTCTGGGTATTCTGAATCTTGGAGAGCCGGGTCTTTGGAGCTTTGTTTGGAACGTAGTGCTTGTCGTAACGTGTTGAAGTAGTTTGTCACGGACGTCAGGTCCACGGGCTCGTGCGAAGTACCGTCGAGTTTGAATCTTTCCGCGAAGCGGGAAGTGGGCATGAGAGTCAGAAGATCTTGCGGAGTAGAGATAGTGTCTCCAATCGCGTCTCCGCCAAGCCGGTGAGCGAAGTAGTCGTTGATGGCTCTCATACGAGCCTTGTGCACATTCTGTTCATTCCAGCTATCCGGAACAACGGCAGTCTCAATCTTCTCCACCAGGATAGGCAGTAAAGACATGTTCCTTGCAAAGACTGTCTGTCGGTATTGGTCCAGAGCATGCTGAATGCTCGCTTTTCGCGAATCGTCTAAAGTCATGGTGAGTAGAATCTTTGCGTTCTCAAGCAATTGCAGACATTGCAATGGCAGCAAGCAAACACTTTGTTATATCCACGCCACCACCGGTGAGGCCTCCACAGCCAGTGGCATTGACCCACTGTAGGCTGCAATGCGCTAAAAGACAGCTCCCACAGGCGCTTTGCCTAGCTCGGCGCGATCCAAACACAAATCTGTGGACAGATCAACAACACTCACTCTTTTTGAGCTCACGGCCGTCCTGTGAAATCGAATATTGGCCAGACTGATAGCTATGTCTAGACAGCTAAGCCTCTGGCAAAGCGCGTATATCCTCACCATCTTGAGTACCCTCATCGTTTCGCTGTCATCGAATTCCATCATCCGCATCTTCAACTCATCACTCACCTCTGGACACGAGATTGTTCAGACATCTGCTGAGTGTAGAGACGTTCCTGCCTGTCATGACTTCACTCTTTGGAGCTACTCACCCCGGGAAGCACGTGGAGGTGCAGGCAGATCGCGCGGCGGTACAGCCATGCTCTCCATGGACTGAACAGTGTCCATGGTCTCGTCTTCTTCGAAGGTGTCCAAGAATATTGTGCTTGTCGCGAAGCTGTCTCCCTCTGCTATAGCCAGCTCAACAGCTCATCTTGAACTGGCTCTTCATATGCCACGCTTGCACCCAAGACTCGCTGTCCCTCGGTTAGGACCTGCTCTTTCACTCATGGCGTGAGCAGAACCGGGCGCCTGGGGGCGCACGACTGCTCGGTCGTTCAAATTACTGGCAGCGTAAATACTGACCGATCTTCGTGATTCGTATGCGAGGTCGAGGGCGTCTCGGAGACAGCTTGTTTCGCTGGTTGCGGAGGCAGAGCGGCAATGCGAGTCTTATCAGCGTGCGGGAATATTGGTTCTTAGCTGTATCAGCGCGATCCGCCAGACACTGACTGTCGGTCACGTTCGCGCGCGGTAACGTTTGTCTTCAAGTTGGGTCAGTCTTGGTGGAGTTGGAATTTGGCATGTGTCCGCACAGGCCAGCCTCATCAACGCGTCTGACGCGATTGCCTTTGACACGAACTTCTTCAACCTCAACTTTTCAACATACATGTACCACATTTCCCTTCTCCGGTGGCACTGCCATTGCATCACACTCACTCCCCTTCCCGCATTAGCACAGCTATTGCGTCTCCCTGCACAACAGCATGGCTGTTACATGTACTCAATCTGCACATCAACAAAGTCTGACTTTGTTCCTCCCTTCGCACCAGCACACAACAGCATAGCTGTTATTTCACCTGCACACCAGCAGAGTCTGACTCTGTACCTTCCTCTGCACCTGCGCACTAACAGAGTCTGACTCTGTAGCTCCCTCTACACCTGCACACCAGCAGAGTCTGACTCTGTACCTCACTCTACTCCAGCACACAACAGCACAGCTGTCGTTCTCCTCAAACAGCCTGGCTGTTGTTTCACTGCACGTCGACAGAGTCTGACTCTGTCGTTCCGGGTCTCCGCGAGTAGCACGTTTGCAATGTGAGGATAATCTGGCTTGCACACAAGTAAAGGTCCACAGCATCAAATGTCGTTACCAGGAAACCTGGGGGCCGAAAGGTTTGTAATTCTCTTACGAAGAGACTGCAAGCCCGCCCCATCACTTCTTGGCTGGTATCAGTTGGGCCGTGGAGGGGTGAGCATCGAGAAATACGCAGTCGAAGAGGGTAGTGATATGCGATGCGGTGTGGAAGAAGGAAAACGAAATGTGCGAAAGATGCTCTCGACGACAGCGTACCCTGTCTTTTCAGTCATCAGACTGCTGCGCTCAGGTCAACTCTTGCAGTCAGAGATGCCTCGCGAGGACACACTACGATATCTATCTGCACCGAGCACGTTCCTTGGAGGACACGGCTCGAAGCGATCAAGACATCACGTCCATACCGACATTTTGCAAAAATGGTGCTCGAAGAATACCCAGACGTGAGCGCGTCTTTTTCCCACTCTTGCAGTTGGTGCTGCTTGGATCTGAAAGAGCCCGAAACGGTTTTCGCACGGTTGGCTCAAGAAGTGATTTATGATATTCAGTTGCGCATACTTTGCTTGTAATTTGGACTCTGCTGGCTTGGCTTTTCGTCGCCATCTACACCGAACGATAATCCTCATTGCCATTATTCTCAAGCTGAGTGTCCCAACATCTTGTCGTCGTCCATCTCGACAGACAACGCAGACCGCACGTGTACAAACAACTCGAAAAGGCAAGAGCCCTCCAAAGGCTCTTCGCATGCAAGCGAACGCCCGATGATGTAGGTGTCGCCTCCCCGCAAGCACGCAAAAGCTCCGTGGCGCGGTACAAGGCAGGTCAAGCGCTGTGCAAACGTGTATCGGACCCAGACAAGCCTGTGTAACTCTGCTGCCTCCGCGGAGGGAAGCTATAGAGGTTGATGGTAGGTTAGCGCTTATAAGTCATGGCAAGTCTTGGTATTTTCCGCTCTCCGAGGACGCTTTTCTTGCCGGTTTTGGTCGGGACAAGTTCGTTTGCGACTTTCAGAGCAAAAGATCGGCAGATCGAGGAACACGTGGGTATATGGTTTTCTGGGGCAAGCTCTACTTTGGAAGAGCAGCTCATCTAGTGGGCTAGTGTTCACTGCTGACTGTCAGTAGGGCAGTGCCAGCGAAAGAGAGGGAGCAGAGTACAAGCTCAACACGTGGCATGGACGTCCTTGTTCTCAAAAAGATACGATATATTGTGCTTCTCACCTTGCCAAGGGCGGTGTTGGCAGTCTTCCATCTGGCCGCGTGGTGCGGCGATTCTTCAATGCCACCTAGCATTCTTCGACGCTTGGCATCTCACGGTGCACCATTGTTAGTTGCAATTTTTGCAGTCGTTGGGGGTCGCGACCAGGCACGGCGAAACGTCTTGAGCCCAGATGTAGCAATATCAGGTCCGAACAAACCGCACTGGTCGTCTCAGAGAGAGACAGAATACGCATGGGAATAGCCGGGGGCCACAGTCTTTGCGGATGGAGGTCCGCCACTTCTCCCGCCGCCCGTCACGGTGCCCAAACGAGCCTTAGATGCCAGAATGACAGTAGAGCAGGAAGTATTCCACTTATTAGCCAAGATGATGGAGACTGCAGATGCGTGTTCAGCCTTATCACCAGCCTATCCAGTATGTTCACCACGTGGTGAAGCATTTCCGTGAGAGACGTCATTGAGACCGTACGAGCCGCGGAAAGGAGGCAAACATGCATGCAATTCTTCGATCCTGTCCGGAGACTGTCTCTCACTGGTGAGGCAGTGCTGGGCTGACGCGCGTCTGGCCACATGCAGGGCGGTCCACGCGGCCTGAAGAGGGAGGTGTTTACGCTGACCTTGGCAGAAATGGGAGCGGAATGCCGAGCAATGGGACGAGCGGGATTTCTTGGACGTATCCCAAGACAATCCAAGTCCAGCGGAGTCTCTCGGCAACGCCAGGGGCGCTAGTACTGCGAGTCCCTCATCTCCGCGACCTTGGCACGCAGGGTGGCAGCTCCCGAAAAGCTCACCTCGGAACGGTTTTTCCTGGAGGCCCATCGGTAGACCACCCGCTGGATCTCAACGAGCGTGCTGCTCCAGTGTATACATTACTGATCGCGTCGCTGATGTCGTTGTCTATCTCCTAGGAAGATGTGAAGCGAGCCAAGCACAACCTAGGTTGCTGGTGAGCTGAACTGATTGAGGCGCTAAAAGGTACACAGTGCTACGGAGCATCCCCGCTTCCGAGAGATCGCGAGCTGTGCTGCGCCTTCCTGTCATCCCGTGACATGCAGTCTTTTGTCCTGCTTTCTGCTCAAAGGCGACGTGGCCGAGTAGGATAAGTCGGAGGTGATGCCGTCGGAGAATGGCCTGGCAAATGTCGTATTGTCTGTTCTGATCTGCTCTCGTGGCCGCAGAATGGCGGCACAACACGTGCGAGCAGGCTGCGGTGGGTAGGCTCGGAAGCGATGATAATCTGCAGCCCGCTCGACGCACTTAGGTTTGCCGTGCTGCCCAGACCGCCGAGCAGACTTGGCAGCCAAGACCAGCCAGTAAGAAACGGAGCGGAGTTGAGGCTGGAAGAAAGACAGCAAGATTGGGCGGTCCCCGTTTCGCGTGCGCCCTCTGCCCTCGCGCGGGTCTGCCTTGACGTTCTGCTCGGCGGCCCTTTCCTTATAGCTTTGCCCACCCCCGGAAAGTCTTGGTGTCCGCTCTTGCCTCTTCCGCCGACCTTTCGACACTCCCATATCCAACAACCACGCTTGCTCTGCATTTGCAACACGTGGTGAACCGGTCTTCCAAGGCTTGATCATTCACCCATCCACCAGAGCGCGGTCGATTGTTTGTGCAAGTTCGACTGTGCTTCACTCGCGACTTTCTTAAAGGCCCTCGTCTTGGCCTTTGCCAAGCAGCAGCATCAAGATCACCACAATGGACGCTTCCTCTGCCCCTCAGACGGTGAGCAAACACAACTGTCGCGCACATCCGCAACCACCACTGACATGGCCAATTTTGCAGGTCGCGCAAGCCGTGCAAGCCGCGACGCAACAGGCACAAGCTGCCGCTGCCGCGCCTTCGCCATCCGTGCAAGCACCAGTGCAGAGCACGCAGTCTTCCACCATCGACAACCTCACCTGCCAGTGGCAAGGCTGCGGTGAGCGATGCGACAGTGCTGAGGCTCTCTACGTAAGTTGACTTGTGTCGCGCGACGTATGCGACCGCGACGCGACCAGCAGACTAACAACACGCGCAGGACCACGTCTGCGAACGCCATGTCGGTCGCAAGAGCACCAACAACCTCAACTTGACCTGCCAGTGGGGCGCCTGCAGGACTACCACCGTCAAGCGCGACCACATTACCTCTCACATCCGAGTCCACGTTCCCCTCAAGCCACATAAGTGTGACTTCTGCGGCAAGGCCTTCAAGCGTCCTCAGGATTTGAAGAAGCATGTCAAGACCCACGCTGACGACAGCGTGTTGATGAACTCTCCTCAGCACGGTGCTGGCCGCAGCGGAAGCGGCAGCATTGGCGCACAGAATGGCAAGCGTAAGCATATCGCGTTGCGATCGCGTCGCGAATCCACAAGCTAACTGTTTCCAGCATCTTCCTACTATGGTGCCGGCGGCCACGACTCGATGAGCAACCCATACCCATCCTACCAGCCTGGTATTCCAAACGGTGCCAACGGTGGCTCATACCCACAACAGGCCGGTGCCCAGTACGCCGGCTACGGCTCCGTCAACTACCCAAACAGCTCCGCACTCGCCGACATTCAGAGCATGGACACTAGGAGACGAGCGATCGAGGCGCTCAACGACTTTTTGGGAGATATCAAGCGTCGCGCGATCGACCCAAGCAGCTACTACGATGTTGGACACCGACTTCAGCAGGGCAACGCACTCCCTCTTCCCGTCGGCGGCGGTGGCTACAACACTGGTTATAACAACAGCGGTGGATACAGCGGTGGCTCCAGCGGCTTCAATGCCGCCAGCTTCCTGGACTCCTTTAGCAACGGAGGCGGCATGGGCGGCGGCGGCAGCGGTCCTCACGGCAGCGTCGCTACCCACGGATACTCTCTTCCACTGCCAAACGCTCGCACTAAGAACGATCTTCAGGACATTGACCGCTTCCTTGAACAGCTTCAGGCCACTGTCTACGAGACTAGCAAGGGCTACGAGTCTGGCAATGCCGCTGCCGCTGCTGGTGTGCAACAACCAGGTCTCCACTCTCAGTTCACCGGTGACTTCGGCTTGGGTGGCCACCAGGCTCAATACCGCTCCAGCCACAGCCCACCAAACTTCCAGAACCATCTTGGTAGCTCCGGTGCCATGAGCAGCGGCTCCAGCATGCACGGCGTGACCTCCGCCTCATCTGCACTCGACACCCCAGCTCTCACTCCAGCATCTGTATCCTCATACACCAGCTCCGGCCACTCACCCATGAGCAGCCACGGCCGTGCCAGCTTCGGCAGCGCCGCAGGCAACATGTACCCAAGTCTTCCAGCTGTCACTGGAATGTCTGACCTCGGCTCCGGTTACCCAACTACTACCTCTGCTCCTGCATCTGGTCTCGCCTCCGGCTTTGAAGGTCTCGATGGTCGCCGCTACAGCGGAGGCCGCCTCCAGCGCCAAGCGCCAGAGACCAAGACCGAGGACACCGAGATGGCTGATGCCGACGATGGAAGCCGCACACCAAAGGCTTCGGACTCCAAGCGACCCAAGAGCAAGGGGAACAGTACTATCGATCCTGCTCTCCGCGGTGAGGACGGCGCTGGTAGCGATAGCGCATCCACCCCAGCTGCTCAGTCAGAAGGTGCCGATGACAAGCGTCAAGAGGAGTGGGTGGAGAACATCCGTCTCATTGAAGCTCTCCGCAAATGGGTTGCCGATCGTCTTAAGAGCGGCGACTTCGAGGAGGAATCCGGCGCGGCCAAGGAGGGCGCCGAGGAGAAGCAAGTCAGCGCCGACAGGATGGTCGAGGACAAGCTTACCGCAGCCTTTGAGCAACAGCGACAAGAGGAGGCTGCGAGCAAGCAGGAGGAGGCGAAGTACCCCAGTCTGCCCACCGCAGCTTAGATTGCACGTCAGCCATTGTGCAATGCTTGACGACGTTGACGAGGCGCAAGAGGCGTTGTGGGAAGATATCGAGCGGCAGCTCTGTCTGGAACACTGGGTGGACGAGGATGTGTTTCATCATCAGTCATGTATGATTTCGCCCTCAAGGGCATGAAGGCGTTTGGGTTCCTCAGTATGAATTAGATGCTATCACGCTTCGAATGCACGTCATTTCCACTTCACTTCACCTGTGTACAACAAGTCTCCATGAAACGAATGAGATGCTGAAGGACGCTGGCACATATATCCAAACATCGCCGATACTGACAAGCTATGATTGCGCTATTTCCATAGCATCGCCAAGGCTGCTGGGCATGTTCCAGCGACTCTCCGTTGTTTTAGTCGCTCTCTTGGCTTCGTGAGACGCACAAAATGCGCCGTGTGCGCGTGGCTCGAACTTATGCCCCTGCATATCCTTTCAGGAGATACGAACCACGCCTCATGCCCCACGGCTCCCCATTTGTGAAGCTATTGCTCTTACATACAGCTTTCTTGCTTACATTGGAGGATTCGCTACGCTGAGGCTGAATCGGCTCTTAGTCATGGTTGTTGTCGCGGGTTGTCTTGAAGCTTATGCGACGCCGGACTCTGACGGCAGAGTTCAGTCTGAGGACAGCATCCTGGATGGAAGTGTCACACGGCACGCGTTGCGATCGCGTCTGGAATGTGCACAATCACCGTCAGCATGGCTGGTGTGCAACGTGGTGCACCGTGCCATGCCTGTCTCGAGGCTTGTAGGCATCAGGCTGCAATGCTCAAGAACTGTTTGGTGAACGGCGAGATCAGCGTTGTCTGGACGTCACCGTCACTTGGCGCCCGTTGTAGAGTGGGTAAACTGAAGGAAGGAGAGTGAAAGGAGAAGTTGCGATCTTCACTTGACACTGCCCCATCTCACCTGCAGACAAACGCGAGTGGTTTAGAAGTGACAAACAAGCACGACATCGCTGCTTACAATTTTTAGATCGTCTCTTGGCCCCAAGCACAACTCAGCAAGGTTCCAGGTTCCACGGTTTCACCCAGCCGTCGGGGGATAGGCCATTGATTACTTGAAGCTGCGCGAGCCCGTGTTCACTCTCACACGCTGCCCGCTTGCCGACAGAAGCTCACCTCTCCAGCTTGTGGAAACTCACTCATTGTTGCTCATTTTTCACCTTAATGGTCATAGCCTGACAAACCCCGCTTCGACAGCACATTCATCATGGTCCGATTCACAGATCTTTCCATTCACGCTCTGGCAGCTTGTCTCATGAGTTCCGCGCAAGCACGCGTCGACCACGTTGCAAACGGGTGAGTGGGAGGACTTTTTTTGACTTCATCCATATGAAAGGAGGACATTTGTGCTGACGCAATGACTCCAGCCTTAACGCACGTCAAACAGACATGGCTGCCGCCTACTCTCTCCCACCGCTAGGCTACGCCTATGACGCCCTCGAGCCATACTTCGACAAGGAGACGATGGAGATTCACTACACCAAGCACCACCAAACCTACGTCAACAACCTCAACAACCTGCTCAAGGACAACGAGCTCTCCACCCTCGCAGTCGACGATCTGGTCATCAGACTCGCCGAAGTCCAAGACCAGATCCCATCAGTCAACCGCACCGGTGTCCGCAACAACGCCGGCGGCCACTCCAACCACAGCTTCTTCTGGAAGCAACTCAAGCTCAACACCACCCTCGAAGGCGACCTCAAGGAGGCAATCGACAAGAACTTCGGCAGCTTCGAGGAGTTCCAGAAGCAATTCGAGAAGGCCGCCACAAGCGTTTTCGGCTCTGGCTGGGCTTGGTTGGTGCACCAGGAGGACGGCACGCTCAAGGTTGTGTCTACCGCAAACCAGGACTCACCATTGATGGGCAAGCAAATCGCAGGCGCTGAGGGAACTCCGATCATTGGCCTCGATGTCTGGGAGCACGCTTACTACCTCAAGTACCAGAACCGCCGCCCAGACTACATCAAGGCGTACTGGAGCGTGGTCAACTGGGAGTTTGCTGGCCAGCGCTACTCTGAGGTGAAGAAGTGTTAGATGCGGGCAGGCGATTCCCCACACCACTTTTCTTGTATGTTCTTGGACAGTAATTTTGCGTCCATGGTCTGACTCGATGAGTTGGCAACATAGCGGCATCAGTTTGGAATAAATCAAAACTGCACATACCAAGGTCAACCTTTGGGCTTGCCGAAGATCTTACTGCCAATCGTGGACACTTTCTTCACGTCCCGATATGTCAGACTGATCCTCGTTGTTCGCGTATTCTTGCCTTCATTCTCTTCCAGCACGCTCCGATCACCCAGTAATTCCCAATTCGCCACCGTTTGCGCATTCAGGTTCTCATCTTCTGTGACTTCTGCGATTCCGTGCAATGTCTCCACATACGCTTCACCAGTCGTGACGAGAAGCGAACGCGGTTCTTGGAAGATCCGCCAGGACTGAACTCCTTCATTGGCTCCATCTGCATCACCAGTTCCAGTCTCCTCGCCCTTTCCACTCTTTGCCTTGACATCCAACACCAAACTCCCACCCAGACTCACTGTCGCCACAACAGGCCAGTATGCCGGCCCGTCTTCATGAGGCATGATGCCTTGTCCGGGTAGATACTCATTTATGAGGCAGTGGTTGATTCCATGAGGTGCACCTTCGAACAACTCTCCCAGATTGTGGATGCGGTCGACGACGGGATCCTTCAGCCATGTGGGGAGACAAGTGTTGGTTACTAACGTATTGGTCGCTGTGAGTCTTGCTGGAAGGGTTTGCAGGCGGCGGTGGGTTAGGGTTATCCAGCGATTGGAGGGAATCTGTAGTGGTGGTCAGGTTTGGTGAGCTGGAACTGAACTGGGATGTCTTGAGGAGAGGCATGTTGTTTTTTACCTGTGAGAGGATGTAGACTTCTTCTTCAGGCGTGATGAAGTTGGGAATGTAGTACATTGAAGGTGGGACGCCGGTTATGCGTGCTGATTCCATGTTTGCGGTTTGACAATTACTGCTTGTCCTTATTCGTGCTCATCGCTTCCTATCGTGCCTTCCGGTCCGTAGTCAGAAACTTGCAACTTCTCGATTGTGTTGTTGTGTTGTTGTCTGTTCGGCAGCTCCAAAATGGCGGGACGTGTGCTTGCTTGCCACAAAATCGGCTTCGCTTTCCCCCTCCATCTCCAAACTTCACATTGCCACTTGCTTGACCACGAACATGGCACCAAAAGGCAAAGGCGGCGACAAGGGCAAAGGCAAGGATACAAAAGATGACAAAGGCGGTGGTAAAGCCAAATCTGGCGCGCAAACCATCAACGTTCGTCACATCCTCTGTGAAAAGCACGCGAAGAAAGAGGAGGCTTTGGCGAAGATCAACGCAGGAGCCAAGTTCGACGATGTAGCGCGAGAGTTCTCGGAGGACAAGGCGCGGACTGGTGAGTTGCACACTGTCTCTTTGCTTTGATCTGTCTCCGAAGACTTACACTGTTCCCAGGTGGCGCGTTGGGATGGAAAACGAAGGAAGCCCTTTTGCCGGAGTTCTCAGCTGTAGCTTTTGATCTGGCAGCATCAACAACGGCTAAACCGGTCATCGCCGAGTGCAAGACGACAGAAGGCTACCACATCATCATGGTGGAGGGGCGGAAATAGATGTTCTATGTCGGAAGCGTTGCAACTGTTCCATCTGGCGCGAAGAGATCTGCCTACGACCTCGCCTATTGTCCGCGTGGTGTGAGAAGCTGGACGGAAGTGGCAGGAGCGATCTGTATGCCACACACATCCCACGTTAGGCTCGGTGTTGAACACGCATTCGAGAGAAGTGCCGCGATGGTTGAAGAAGTCCCTGGCAGCGTTGCGCTCGCTTCACCAACGTGTGGTTGCAGCGTGCTCAGTCTGCGACAAACCCAACAAAGCACATTGCGATCAACCTCGCGTGCGCAGGACTTTTGGGTCACTTGATCACGAGCTGTCACAGACCTAACAACAAATGTTCTCAAAGTGCGCTAGAAGGTCAAGAAGGCACTATCAGGGTGCTGCGAGTGCTCCGACGCAGGGCATCAAAGCCTCATGGCGCTCGTTCATCAGCGGCACGGTCTTTCTCCTTTTCCTTCTCTATGTTCGACCGCTGCAGGCGTGTCCGAAATGTCCATCAGCCTTCCGCTCCGCCGCTGCCGTACCCTTCTCGCACACCTGTCGTGTTCCGTGTACCGCTGACTCGTTCCCTTGAGATGCAATTTCAGCAGCGATGGATCTGCCGAGCCTTTCGACAGGGCCGGCCAGCAGAGCCAAAGCCGTTCCAGCAGCTCCAGTTCGGCGGGTAAGCTGTGAGGAGAACCATGCCACACCACACGGACGCACGTTGCAGCTTCGGGAATTCGGCGCCGCATGGGACAAGGCTTGACAGCTCTCTGACGAAAGGAGCGAGAGGTACCTTTGTATCCTATCGCTTCGCACATGTCCGGTCAAGAAGATACCGCGGAGGAAAAGTGAAGGTACACTGTTGACGAATGAATATCAAAGTGGTGTATGTTCCAAAGCACAGATGGCAGATGTGCTGATGAGATCATCACTGAAACGGACACACGGGTCGACGCACTGACTGGAAAATGCACATTATTATAGCCGCGCGGTAAGTTGACGACCGCGCTCGAGTCGAAACTTATTTGTGAAGCCAGCTTCGTCTCGCTCTCCCCCCGGGATGGGGGGCTTTGACCTGTTGACCATCTGTGCTACCTGGGCTGGCCTTGCGACAAAAGATGGGAATCCATTCTTGACTTGACACTCTTGTTGCCCCAATGTCATGTCCTTCCTTCTGAAATAATCCTCGCGGCCAGCACCCACCCTAAGTCACCGCCTCTCTCTTTCTCTCATTCACCTTACTTCTCTCAAGGAAGAGGAACAAGCATACTTATTAACGTGGCCGCGTCGCCACCATGCGCTCTGTCGCCTTCACTATTGCTGTCAGACATGAGCTCTACTAGTGAGACGACGCGGGACATCATGACCGATGCCTTCGTCGTCTCATCCTCGTTCTCCTCCGCAGCAACAGCAGCAACAAGCAACGCCCGCGTCATCGGTAGCAGACAACCGCCTCGGCCTCTCCGCTCAAGATGTCGCCGCCCTCCGCCAACACCAACAGCTCGCTCACGCGCAAGCTCGAAGCCCAGCGGGCAGCGCAGCTTCCAGTCAAGGGAGACTGCTCCTCGACCCGGGCAGTCTCCAATTACTATCGCGGCACTTCGATCGGGTAATGCAAGCTATTCAGCAGCGATTAGAACAGGTACGGACGGACCTCATCCTGCACAGCATCCCATCTCTCGAATCTGTATGGCAAGCTTGAAGCTAACACACTCTTTCTTCCCAACATAACAGCTCAACCAAGCCACCGAACGAGCAACGCAAGCGCAATACGACCGATCCGGCAACGCCATCCAAATGGCCGATAACGAAATCGCGCGCTTCCGAGCTATCCTCCAACAAATCGACGAGCTGGAGAATGAGTTTGAAAAGATCAAAAGAATCAGAGAGATCGTTCGCGGGTTTCGTGCTCGTGTAGAACATATGGAGAGGAGATTGGGATAGTTTTGCTGCTGTGCTACTACTATTTGCGTGAGGGAGGATGGATTGAATTAATATGGCGTTGGAAGTATAAGATTTGGAAGCCTCACGGCGCGTACTGTGTGTGGATACCCTTTCTGCGGTTTTTTGGGAAGAACTGTTTGTATTGAGTTATTCAATTCGTGGGTGGCTAAATTTTGTATTTCTGGTCTCTCTGCTACTGTGCCGCAGACTTTTCTACTTCTTCTTTCACATTGTACTTTTCGCTGTTGCTGTCATTTCTGTCGTTATAGCTGGATCTTGCCAGCTGCATCATTCGCATCAGAGCTCTTTGCCCCAGACCAGGTTCTCCTGGATCTCTTCCGATGCTGTCTCGCGTCACCGACGCACGTCGCCAGTTTCAGCGCCGCCACAAAAACGTGCAAGCCACGAGAATGGAAGTCGCACATCTATGGCTTCACAACGGCAACCTGGCTACGAACCGGAACGTTGTCCTTGCGACCCGGTTCTGGGAAGCCCTCGACTTTGACATGCTTGCGGAAAAGCAAGACATGTGAGCTGCCACCAAAGTGGAACATGCCCGTCTGTTGTCCCTTTTTGATGTGCTCGCCTTCCTTGACTGTGATCTCGCACGTGCTGACTTCGTCCATTCCGACTCCGATGAACGCCATGAGGCCGATCGCAGGGTTGTCAGCTTCGATGAAGATGACGGCTCTGGTAGCGAGGGCTGTGAGATATCCCTGCCCCACGCTGATGCCTCCAGCATCAATGTCCTGCGTGCCAGGCTCTCCGAGACCTTCGAAAAGAGGTTCGGAGAAGTACGTCCCATCCTGGACAAACGCCTTCTTGACAGTTCCGCTCACGGGTGAGTGCCATCGGTGGTAGCTGAGAGCAGATAAGAAAGCCTGATACACAGTTCCACCAGCGAAATTCTCGGCGAGAGGGTCATGGGCAAGCATGTCTCGCACGGAATATGGTTGACCTTTGATCCAGAAGTGGTCCCTCAGCTTGACGTTGCGCGCCACATTGAACACTTTGCTCTCGCATGCATTCGCGATCACGTTCTCGTCCTCGGGCGATGCCACTGGACGAACCTCGTCTCGGAACTGGCGCGTGAAGAAGTCATCCCATGACTTGTAGCCGTAGTGCTTCGCTTTAGGGTCGCAAACGAAAAAGTCTTCAAATCTGCAAACGCTGTCAGCTCCACTCTCTTGCCTCTTCATTCGGCCAACGCATACTTGTATGAAGTCTGGAATGGCGCGTTTGCAACCTCCATGATATCCTTTTGTCCCACTTCGCTGAACCATCCCTGCTTGCCAGTGTTCAGGACCTCCGCAGACTTGGGCGTTGTCAACAGCTTTCCCCACTCATTCAGCACCTTCTTCAGCATCTTGTTGACATCTGGGTCGAGGAAGGCTGCGTAGCCCGAGGGTGTGCCCATGGGGTAATCGAGGATGGCGCACATGGGAACACCGACCATGCCCACATTCGCTGCGGCGTCGATCCAAGTTGGCGCTTGGCCGAAGACGTGGTTCAAGATCTCGAGTAGGTGGTGGTAGTCCCGGATTTGTTTGCGCCCAGTTGGGTCCTAGTAACTTTTAGCGAAGGCGACACATCTTCCATGCGGCAAGATTACCTTGTTGTAGGGGTGCTTCTGAGGCACTTCCTCAAACATTTGAACGAAGAGCATGTAGACTCTCGTATTGCCCTCGATGAAATCCTTGAACTCTTGGAGGACGGGTATGAGCTGCTTCTTGTTATCGTGAGCATGGCCAATCTGTGTATCGAGCCATTCTTCGTGGATGCGATGATCCGCTGGAAGCCAGGCGCCCGCCTTGACCTTCCTCTTGTCCGCTGGAATATCGTGGTGGTCTCCGTGTTGGTGGACCATGATTGCGCTGGTTGTCAGTGGTGGTGTTGGGAGTGCTCTGCTGTCAATCCGATCAACTGTGAAGGAGAAATGTTGAAGTGATAGGAGAATGAGTCAAGGGAAATCGCGAAGCAAACAACAGCCTCAGCTTTGAACATTACCTGGAAGGACGTCAGTCCTGTGGTTACGTAACTGCTGAGCATATGCGTGTAAGTGCAGCTCGTGCCTGCCGTGAGCCGTTTTTCAGGCGCGTTTGCACGCGTTGTGGCCACGAAAAATCCAATGGCAACGAAGCTCTGGACTGGCCACACGATGATGTAACTTTGGCCGCGTATGTACGCGGAATCCCAGTTCCGCGCTATCCGGAAGAGGCCGTGGGCGTGATCAAGAACAACAAACGCCATTGTCGATGCCGAACAGACAGTGGGCAGTTGGCAGCAACCGATACAGCAGAGAGCAGAGCAGACGAAGTCGTCGCGCACCTGCGGACGCGATGGACAACATTGCCAAGTCACTTCCGTCGCGGCCAAGAGGATGGTGATGACAGGGGTGCCCCTCACGTGCGAACTGCCCCTCCTCAGGGCGCGATCACCAAGTGAACCGTGGGCTGGCTCGTGAGACAAGACTAAGACCATGGAGAACACCCCGGTGAAACTGAACGCCAGACATCTCACCCAACTCAACTCCAATTGTTTGCACACGCTGACACGCCAGCATGGTCTCTGCAGCAATCCATGTGCACAAAGGAGCTTCTCTCATTCGTGCTCGCTCCTTGTTTGGAGGAGACCCCGGATGACGCGCGGATGAGGAGGAGGCGATCACCTCTCGTCATCGATCCTGTTCTAGGCTGACACCATTGCGTGCTCTCTGCTCGAACATTCGTAAGGCTTCACCTCCAGTTCTGCTCTCTCACCCCATCTCCATTCTCTCCTTACAGTCGTGAGGTTGGAAAGATGAAGTTCTCCAGTGTTTTGCCGCTAGCCGTCGCTACCTCAGCATTCGTGCTGCCTCCCGAGGAGGTCTTGAGCGAGCTCAAGATCGAGGACCACCATCTCGAAGCAAAGGTAGACCATTGGTTGGAGGAAGCCTCATCGACCAAAGATGAGTTCCTCTCGAACGTGAAGAAGTACTTTGGCGAGGTCTCCGAGACCACCAAGGACGCCTGGAAGGAGATCAGTGAGACTGGCAAGAGTGTGCTCGACCAGGCCTTGGAGAAGGCCCATGATACTGCGGAATCACTTGGAAGCACGCTCGAAGATGCTGCAGATGACTTCCAGTCATACATTGAAGACAATGATTTCTTCACTGGCTTTGGCGGTGACCACCACGGCAAGCCAAAGCACCCACCACACCACCACGAGCCAAATGAGACCGTGTATCAACTCATCGCGGGCAGCAAGTACACTACCAAGCTTGCCAAGTTGATCTCCGAATACGACGATTTGGTCGATGCTTTGAACAGCACCAAGGCCAACTTTACCGTCTTTGCTCCGACCGACAGTGCATTTGAGAAGATCCCTGAGCACGCTCCAAAGCCATCCAAGGAGCAACTGAAGGCCATCCTCTCCTACCACGTTGTGCCAGATGTCTACACAGCTGGTCGTGTCTTGGTCACTCACACCGCACCAACTCTTCTCAAGGGCGAGCACCTGTCATCCCAACCAGAGCCCCAACGCATTGCCTTCAAGATCGGACTCCGAGGCTTGACTGTCAACTTCTACAGCCGCATCGTGGCCATCAACATCTTCGGCACGAACGGTGTCATCCACGGCGTTGACTCAATTATCTTGCCCCCACCAAACGCCATCACACTGGTCGACCTCTTCCCAGGCGAGTTCAGCACACTTGAGCTTGGTCTTGGCAAGACTGGTCTCCTCGACACCTTGAACACAACCCACCACGAAGGTGGCACTCTGTTCGCCCCATCCAACTGGGCGTTCCAGAAGTTGGGACCAAAGATCAATGCCTTCCTCTTCTCCAGCTATGGACTCAAGTACCTGAAGGCTCTTTTGGAGTACCACGTCGTGCCAGGCAACACATTGTACTCTGATGCATACTACAAGGCCAAGGACGACAAGGACGCAGCTGCCAACTCAGATATTCCAAAGGGTCTGTTCCATGTCGATTTGCCAACTCTGCTCAAGGACCGCAACCTGTCGGTCGATATTGCTCGTTACGGTGGCTTTATCAGCATCAAGATCAACGGCTTCGCGACTGTTGCCGTTCAAGATGGCATTGCCGAGGACGGCGTGATTCAAGTCACTCGCGATGTGCTTATTCCTCCAAAGCAATTGGGAGGTGCAGAACTTGAACAGTGGGACGGCTCTGAGCTTACCATTGAGGATCTCAAGGAGCGCCTTGAGCCGTTCGTGGCCAAGACTGATCTCTAATTGACACGTCCAACAATTGTCTACACTATATTAGCGATTAAGTTGTAGCGATGCGGGATCAAACGCTGCTGTGATTTGCAACTATGTAGAAAAAGTGACGAGACCATGCTATAATGACAATGTTTCCGATTGAGCCACAAACAGTTCTCCTCTTGCCCAGGTATGACAAACATTTCTCCTGTGATCCGAATCAGCTCGATATGTCTGTCGACCACATGAGTCGTGCCTCGGCCCGTGACGAGGTCCTGTCGACGGTACATGCTCAGTCTTCGGGTCATCCATATCAACCCCAACATCAGCGCCCTCGGAAAGATCGCACCAAGAACATTTTAGCGACACCCCACCCCGATGTGGTTGGTGCAGGGTCGTCTTCAGCGGCGTGATCGGCGCCACAACCCTCTGCCGCGCACTTTAGCCTTTGGCCGATCCGTCGTCATACACAGCCCACACGAGACGACAGCGAGCGTCTTGTTGACGCAAGGACTTTAGCTTGTGCTCCGCGTTGGAGCACTGCATGATCACAGCAGGCGAATCGAGATGGCTCGTGCGAGACACACTGGCTCAGCACTGAAGTGCAGTCGCAGACATCTTGGCGACGACTGTCGACGCCGGCGGACATGTATAGGGTAGCGGAAAAGGCACCACACGATCTAAAGCATGATCCCGTTTCGGAGTCGGCCATCGAACACTGACCCTGCAAAAATCTTCACGACTTCCCGGGCCTTTCCTTCGAAGAGATCCACCAGCAAGCTGCTGGCCGCATGCTCGGGAATTGGCCACGCGGGAGATCTAGCCTGATCCTGAATCCAATCTGCATTCGATCTCTGTTCCTTGTCACTATCCGGTACGACTGCTTCTCGATCTCAGGAACTGCCTTCCATCTGGCTCGACAATCTGCTCGGTTCGCCCTTCTGCGCGGTGGAGAGAATCCTACGCTTAGCTTTCCCAGATGACACACTCGCCTCTGTGCCCGTTACCCTGGGCAGGGATCACCCACTGCGCTGGAGCACAATTCCCCCTTCTTGGTGCCATAACTCTCCAGTGTTCCTGCAGCTTTGTCCATGGATGCTGGGCGACACACTGCTTTTTGTTATTTTCACCCTCGTCGCGATAGTTGCAGGCCGCTTATTGGCGCAGATCCACTCGTCAACGATTCTATAGCAGCCACTCGGGATATTATACAACGCAAAGGGTGTCACATTGAGCAGATCACAGCTGCAGGAGAGAAAAACCAGGACGTGACTCTTGTTACATGCCATAGGCATTGTCTCGGAGATCTCGTTATACCCACATCGGTCCCAGACCGAATGTCGGCAATCAACACAGAAATCCCGGGTGTCTGAACAGACACGAACAACAATGGCAGGCGCGCAGCGAGTCCTGGTCTACCTCCTGCGACGAGATCTCCGCCTGGCAGACAACCCAATTTTCAATGAGATTGCAAAACTGAACGCCCAGTCAAAGAAGCCCTTCACTCACGTGCTTCCTGTCTACGTCTACCCTGCTGAGCAGGTGGAAGTATCTGGGTTCTTGGCCCCCGGACAAGAGAAGTCGCCATACAAGGAGGCACGCAGCCGAGTGGGCAACTTCTGGCGATGCGGCACTCACCGCGTCAAGTTCCTCGCTGAGAGCGTGTGGGACCTGAAGAAAGATTTACAGAAGGTTCAAAGCGACCTGATCATCCGGATCGGGTCAGTCAAGGATGCAGTAGAATCGATCTTGGAAGGCTTTCGCGGCAAAGAGGGCGCTGAGCTTCACGGCCTGTGGATGACGAGTGAGGAAGGATGGGAGGAGCAGAATGAGGAAGAGGCAGTGAAGGCCATGATTGAGAAGGACGGCAAAGAATTCAAGCTATGGGTCGATGAGAAGTACTACATCGATGAGTACGTCCTTGCATTTTGCGACTCTGACCTGATCGACTGACACCAAACAGTCGAGACATTCCTTTCAAGGATTCGAGGGAGCTCCCCGATGTCTTCACGACTTATCGTAAGATGGTCGAACCTCTGAGAGATGCTCCACGCAAGGAACTTCCAAAGCCGGAGCAGCTACTCCCACTACCAGATCACATCCCTAATCAGGCAGCACCCTTCAAGATCCCCTCTTCGTACGATGAAGTTCTTGCGGCTCTCAAGAAACCTCTTGAGGAGAAGCCCGTCGATATCAAAGGGCCACCAAAGCTTCCCCAAGACGCAAAGTCGGCACATCCGTTTGTCGGAGGCTCCAAAGCTGGTCACGAACGCGTGGATCATCTGATTGAATCAGGCTCGATGAGCTCTTACAAAGATACCAGGAACGGGCTACTAGGCCTTGACTTCAGCACCAAGCTCTCTGCATGGTTGGCTCTAGGCTGCATCTCTGCGCGGCAAGTGCACTGGAAGCTTTTGGACTTTGAGAATGGCAAGGGGTCTCGCGCGCAGGCCGCAGATGGGTATGGCAAAGGAGAGAATAAGGTAAGCCAGTAATCAACAAACCAGAGGTCGGCCACAATTAACAGTTCTCGCCTCCAGGGCACAGCAGCGGTACGCTTCGAACTCCTCTGGCGCGACTACATGCGTCTCTGCACTCGCAAATTCGGCATGCGGCTCTTCTTCATTGATGGCTACCGCGGCGATGCCGACGCCGTGAACAAGTTCATCAGTTCGCCCTACACCCACTCAACCAACAAGAAGAACAAAAAAGGTGTAGACGACGAAAACACTCGTCGCGTTGTTGAGCGTTTCCTGAATGGAACCACAGGAACAGGGCTCATCGACGCGTCGCAGCGAGAGCTGTGGTTGACAGGTTGGACCTCCAACCGCGCCAGGCAAAACGTTGCATCGTATCTGTCCAAGCATCTCGGCATCGACTGGCGACTAGGAGCAGAATGGTACGAGAGCAATCTCATTGACTACGATGTCTCATCCAACTGGGGCAACTGGCAGTATGTTGCAGGTGTGGGAAATGATCCTCGAGGCGATGCCAGGGTCTTCAATCCCGTGAAGCAAGCTGTTGACTACGATACCAACGGAGAGTATGTTCGGACCTGGGTTCCCGAACTTCGCGACGTCGGTCGTGGCGAAGGTGGACAGCAACAAGGAGGCGGCGACAGTATGGAATCTCTGATGGGAGTATTCCAGGCCTGGAGAGTGCCACCTGAAGAAAAGAAGCGTCTTGGGCTGGAAGGTGTGGAATTCGTTGAGTCGCCACTGATTCGAATTGACTTCTCGGTCAATCGTCGTGGTGGTGGACGTCCACGAGGACGAGGAAGAGGTAGGGGTGGTCGTGGAGGAGACCGTGGCAGACGCGGTCAGTAGTCGATATTTGTACAGTACGAAAACATATGAAGTACGCGTCACAGAGCGTCAGTCGCAAAATTGCATGACAAGTCATTGCCAATGGCAATGGTGACCACGCGAGATATGAAGATTGATGTGCCTCGAAAGCAGCACTGGAGGCAATCGAGAACTAGGACATTTCCTCTATCTGCACATTTACGAAGGAGTTCGTCTCTTTCTGGGTGTCATATGCCAAAATCTCAGAATACTTGGCGGCGGATACAACGAGGTATGTTCGTCTGAACAAAATACTTCCGCATACAAACTTAGACTTTGTTATGTGAAAATTGAAATGCTCTTCTCGCAATGAAGTTGCTACAACTATACACATCTCATCAAGTGGCCATAAGTCGTGACTGATAGTTGTCCTTGACTTATGCCACACTAGCTGGTTCACTCCCTCATAGTCTTCAAACTCACAACATCTTTCTTCCTGCTGAATCGGAGGCCCTATGCGCCAGTAGCTTGATAAACAGCAGCTTCGCAAGCGCCCCACTGACCCATCACATTCATATCTCCAAAAGGCATGACTTGGGATGCTATCATACCAGCAACACCCTTCTCTCGGTCGGCCCACCTTGAGTGAATGTCAGTATGTGTCAAATCTCACATGTAAATTGAGAAGCCAAGTACTCACCAGAACAAGTTTGCAATACCCGCCCACCAAGCCGTATTCCTACCTCTTCCAGTGGCACCAGGTTCCTGCGTAAGCATAAAAGACAATCCCCAACCTTGCGGCGGGTTGCCTTCTTGCGGATAGAGCTCAGGAGCAGGATTCGTCTGCTCGGGTTTGGCAGCTGGGATGCCCTGACGAGCGAAGTCGGGGAATTGTTCGACTTGATTCTGTGTAGCATGTCAGAGGAACTTCAAACAGGAAGGGATAATAACAACAACATACCTTGAACATCTCATCCACAGTTTCCTTCTTCAAAATCTGAGCCCCTGTAATCGGACTCTTCCCATCGTTCAACAAAACTGACAGAACCTGCACATACTGCACCGGCTTCGCAAAACATCCCGCTCCACCGGAGTGGAACACATTCTTCTTCTGCTCATCCGTCTCCGCAATAATCGGCTCACGATACATATGATCTCTCTCCTCCGAAGCCGAGCTTCCAGGCCAGCGTTGATGCATATACGCCAAATTCTTCTTCATATCAGCTGTGGGGAATATATTGATCGCATCGAGGTTGAGTGGTTGCATGATATTCTTTTGGATCCAATCATTGAGTTTGACGCCGCTGGCGCGTTCGAGGACGATTCCGGCCCAGTCGATTCCGATTCCGTATTCCCAGTTCTCGCCAGGGTGGTGGACGAGAGGCATTTTGAGGATGTCGCGGATGTCGGCGTGGAAGACGTCGAAGCCGGTTGGGCGGCCGTAGTCGCGGAGTTTGGGGTTGAAGCTGTTATCAATCGTGAGTATTCCATTTGGATGTGTATGGAGCATACGAAGCTCTTACAATTCATAAGCAAAACCAGAAGTATGGCTCAACAGATTCCTCAAAGTAATATCACTCTTCTTGGGCTCCAAAGTACCATCCTCTCTCAAAACCTGAACTTTCTCCAACTCAGGACAGAGCTTATAGACTTGAGCCGAGTCATCGAGGTTCAGAATGCCTTGTTCAACAGCTTGCATGCAAGCCATTGTCGCAAGGATTTTCGTGCAACTGGCAATCCAGAAAACAGTGTCCAAATCCATTGGAGCTCGATTCTCGCCTACTCCCTTCTTTCCAGAGGCATTGGCGCAGATTTGCTGTCCATTTTTGTCAATGGCTACAAAGACGAGGCCTGCGACGCCGGTGTCTTTGTTGCCCGTGACCGAATCAAGGGACTGTTGCACAGCATCTTGAGCTTTTTGATTGACCATCTTGTGCTAATGACGTTGTTTTGAAGCTTCGGTGCTTATTTGTATGATCGGAAATGGTAGCACAAAGGTTGCAACACCTGTTGTACTATATTTCAGAGATCGCTACTAGGAGCCGGACTGCAAACCTTGCCGTGTAGACTGTTGGTGGTTGTTTTATCATACAATCCACAAGCTATGGTATCCCCGCTTCTGTTGTGTAAGCCCCGCTCATGGAAGCTGCGTGGAGGTCTGGAGCCAGCTTTGGACAAGATCACGCATGGCTGATCCACATTGGCTCCGCTGAACCGACAGGGGTTCTAGGAGCTTCAAGAGGAACCGCATGGGAAATACTGCAAACAGTTAGGTTTGCGGGTAAGGTTCATTGTGAGGTGAAGCTCAATTTGAGACTGTGATGGTAGTAGCGGCAGACGAAGTGGGGCTAAACATGTCGAGCTCACCGAGGCGGTGCTTTTCCAACAACGTTGTTTTGTATCGAAAGCTGTTACCGTGATTTCGTCGACGCTGTTTACACAAAACACTGGTCCCAATGACCGCCACTCCGGGCAAAGCTCAGACTGTCGACAAATTTGCTCAAGGAACATCTGCCTAGTCGATCGCCTCCGCATTGTTTCATTGGCAGAACTCTGTCATTCACGATCACGCGAACTTGTTCTTCCTTCAGACCAGCGCATTGAAGCTTCTCAAAATATGCTCGAGCTGCAAAAGGTACTGTGTAGGACGCGCTGTAGCCATCAGCTTGGCTGGCTTCAGTGACAGTTGTGTTCGAGAGCGGATCATTCGCAGTATACAGACCGAGGGCAGAGAAGATTGCAGTCATATCGTTATCGTGACTGAAGTCTGCATATAGCTGTCTTTGCAATGGGAATGTGGCCGGGTCGTCGTCCAGAGTGTGGTTTGTTGAAGTATCGTCCTGGACAGCTGAGTTTGTCAGGCGGGCTATGAGTTCGTTGGCAAAGCCGACGCCTTGGGTTGGACCGAGTGGGTTGCCATAGCTGTAACCGTAATATTTGTTGAGAGTCTCATAGTAGTTGTACTGATGCCATTCCTTCACTGTGAAGAAGTCGCAGAAGGGAGAAATTGTGCCGTTTGGAGATGCTACTGTGCTGAAAGGGCAAAGATCCATCAAGTAGATGGTATCAGACACACCAAGAGATGTGCCTCCGAGATCTTTGTTGATACGCTTCTGAATTGGCGGCACGAAAACATCGGCCCAGGTCTTCTGCGCGTTGTCTGCGATGGAGCTGACAGGACCATCCTCAAATTGGGTGCATAAGCCGTGGTTCAGCGTGTTATTAGAGCCTTCGTCCTCCGATATGACTACCAGCGGGTAAGGATATGCGCCATCTCGGTACCCACTGAGGAAATCTGCAACCTTGGCGCGATGAAAGCCTTGAGTAAAGTTGAGAGCAGATTCCACGACACGATCCTCCGAGGCAGATCTGAAGAATGGCGTGAGGTGACTGGCAAGATGCTTGTAGCGCTGGTAGAACTTGGCACCAGAATTGATCATCTGCTGCTCTCCGAAAAGTGTGAGCTGGTCAGCTCCGAGAGTGTATTCAAACTTCTGGAGAAAGGCATATTTGCCGGGATATGCCTTCGCACTGGTTTGGATTTTCTGGATAGTTGCGTTATAGGCTTTCGTCTTGGATGCAGTTGGATCACGGGCGCCGTGTCTTGATAAGACTTGAGCAAAAGTGACCTTGCAAGCTGGCGGAATGTCGTTCGGGATTCGGGATTCTACACTGTAGAATGGACTATACTGGCCCCTATAGCGTAATGAGTCAACACTGCAGATTTTAGAGCCTCGAGGTCTCATACCAGAAATGAGATATTTCTGGTTGGCATTGGTAGCCAGCTTGCACCGAGTCGCAATTCGACTTGCCCTTAGGCGCGGCGGACGATCTGTTCGCACAGTCAGTTACTATTTCCTGTCAGTGGCCGAAGTAGCAATCTACCCAGACACCAGCAGTGCCCCGAGGATTGCGAGGAAGAAGATCATGGCGACAGCAAAAGTCCTAATGTTCGCGCGTCTCCTCTGCTTCTGCTTCGCTTCCTTCGAAATAATTTGATCCCCAGTCCCAGCATCTCCTTCTTCCTCGCCTAAACGCGTATACTTATACGCATCTCCATTTCTGCCGCCACGACCCGACAGCGGGAGGAGACCCCTCAGCCTGGCCATAGTTTTGTACAAGCCTGCCACGCTTTCGCCTCAAGCAGACCAAGAACCGAGCCCGTCTGCATCAACTGCATTAGACCAACGCGATGCCGGTGATCTCGGGGTCCTTGTGCTGTCGAGTGCGGGTGGGTTGCGAAGGGAAGAGCGGAAGTGCGGCATACGTGGTGAGTTCAGCGTGGATGTCGCGTGAGATCCGACGCTTCTTGGCCAATGAGCCAGGCACGCGCTCAAGGCATTCATCTGCAATCTTCTGCTTCACACATTGTGTTCTGTCGATCGTCCAGCATCTCGGAGACCAGGTCAAGTTGCAGTAAAGGTGCCTCGCTAGCGGCTGCTCCTCGTACGAATGGCCAAAGCGTGCCGTGCGGCCAGAACAGCTCTCTTCTCCTCATCGACGTCGTTCCCAGCCAAGTCATGCCGAGAATGGAGGAAGGCATGGCAACGTCAGAGCATTGATGCGCCACACACATGTAAGAGAATGGAAATTCGTGGATAGTAGGAGATGGCATAGAAGTCCTTCGCGACTCGGCGAGTGTGACATCAGAGTACGGCAGGAAAGCGCAGATCTGACTACGAGAAATTCGTACCTGCTGCGATACCAGGATAGGCAAGCGTCATTGAGCAACACAGACGTTTCAATTGCATGTTGATAGACTTCAAAACACGTCTCGTGATCAGAACAAATGATATGCCGCCAGAATCCATGCCACGTACGCCAGATGCTCATGATACCCAATCTGCTCGCTTCGTCACTTCATGGTTTCCTGTATAAGGCCGCTCGCACACTTCAGAGCTTCGACTCGACCGACCACTCAAGCTGGGACGCGGGTAACGGCGAGCCTGTGAATCGCAGCACGAATCAGCCTCCATCCACAAAGAAAGAAGACAGAAGTTGTGATAGATCCAACAAGGTAAAAGATCTGATCATTGCCAAATAGATTTACATGCATGTGAAGCGCCGTACTGTTGCTCCATTACTCATAATTTTCCAGCAGGGAAACTTTCGTTCAATCTCGCTTTCGTGAAAACATCTGCGGGGAGGTGTGCTCGTGTCGTGAGCAGTAGATCAACTACAACTTAGCGGCAGGGACCTTCTCACCCTGGTTCGTGATCTCGTTATACAACAATCTGTGGCATAGTCAGCGTCTCGCTCTACTCATAAATTTTCACCACAGGGAAAGTAAAAAAACTCACGATGTCAAGAACTCTGCGTACTCCTCGCCAGTCACCTGGGTGGCGAAGTACTTAGCCGCAAGCTTGTACTTGTTGCCCTTGGGGCCATTCTTCTCCAGCTCGTCGGCCTGCTCGTACAGCAGCTTCAAGGCATACTGCTTGTCGACCTTCTTGCCTTCAGCAGTGGGCACGCCGTGTCTGCACCATTGCCAGAGCTGCGATCGGGAGACTTCGGCAGTCGCAGCGTCCTCCATCAAGTAGTTGATTGGCACGCATCCGATTCCGCGGAGCCAGCCCTCCATATAACCGAGACCGATGTTCAAGTTCTTGCGAATTCCGTCTTCGGTGATCTTGCCAGGAACGTTCATGTTCAGAAGGTCATTGGCATTGATGTTGACGTCCTCACGACGGCGGTGGATCTGGTTGGGTGTTGGCATGTGCTCGTTGAAGACGGCACCTGCAACTGGGGCGAGACCTGGATGGGCGACCCAGGTTCCGTCGTGACCGGCACGGACTTCGCGAAGCTTGTCAGTGCGGACTTGGTCCATGACTGCTGCGTTGGCCTTTTCGTCGTTCTTGATTGGGATTTGTGCTGCCATGCCACCCATGGCGTGCACACCACGGGAGTGGCAGGTCTTGATGAGGAGTTGGACATAGGCGTCCATGAATGGAACAGTCATCGTGACGGATGATCGGTCTGGAAGGACGAATTGTGGGTTTTGTCGGAAGCGCTTGATCACGGAGAAGATGTAATCCCATCGGCCGCAGTTCAGGCCAGAAGAGTGGTCGCGGAGCTCGTAAATGATCTCCTCCATCTCGAATGCAGCGGTGATGGTCTCAATGAGGACAGTGCCTCGGATAGTGCCTCGTGGCATGCCAATGTAGTCCTGGGCGAGATTGAAGACATCATTCCAGAGACGAGCTTCGAGGTGAGATTCCATCTTTGGCAGGTAGAAGTATGGGCCAGCGCCACGCTTGACGAGCTCGTGGGCGTTGTTGAAGAAGTACAGACCAAAGTCAAAGAGCGAACCTGAGATTGGCTCGCCATCGACTGTGAAGTGCTTCTCTTCCAAGTGCCAGCCACGGGCACGGGCAATGAGAGTGGGTAGTGTGCGGTCTGTTCGCAGCTTGTACTCCTTCTCGCCTTGCTTGAAGTCGATTTGCTTGCGAATGGCATCGTAAAGGTTGACCTGGCCGTTGATCATGTTGTCCCAAGTTGGAGCGCTGGCATCTGTCTAATTGTCAGGATACTATCTTCCGGCATTGACTGCTGTGGACTTGCCTTCGAAATCAGCCATATATGTCCAAACATCCGAGTTCAAAGCGTTCACAACCATCTTGCGATCGACTGGTCCTGTAATCTCCAATCTCCTGTCTGCCATTCCTGGCGCTGGGGGAGCTCCTCGCCATGTCTTATCTTCACGAATGTGCTTCGTCTCGGGAAGGAAGTCGAGTTGGTGGCCGTTGTCAAGCTCTTGCTGGCGGACCTGGCGGCGTTCTAGGAGGGCCTTCCGTGTGGAGTTGAATGTTCGGTGGAGGATGGCGAGGAAGATGGTGGCTTCCTTGCTGAGCACTCGTCGTCGTTGGTCGTCGAGCTTCCCGAGGATATTGACATCCTTGAGGATCTGATCTGTGTTCACGGGAGTAGGCATGGTGGGTGCAGTCAGTACCAATGCTTTGGTGTTTCTCTCTTTCCTGTGCAAAGTATAATGTATAGCACAGCGGAAGAAACAATGAGAGGATGATGAGGTAGTATACTTGAGCCGCGAGCTGGCGCAGTATCGTCCTTATACGTCACGCTGGGAGCTCCGTCCAGAGCTGGCTCTGACATTTGCTATGCCGAGGACGATGTACCGCGCCCCAGCGTGGTGCCGCCGTCATAGCATCCGCTCCGATCGCACCCTGCCACTGTCGGCTGAGGGGAGCAGCTCCAGTCTGCGTGTGAACTGGCGCGCAAGCGATCGACCTCGGCCAATGATACAACTACCCGCAACCTTAAAGTGCATGTGAAGAAAGTCATCCGAGAGCCATGGCATTGCGCTCGCGGCGATAGCAGTGCCAGGAGACATGGAATTGCCATCAAAGTGGTGCGACAAAGGCCGTGAATGGCATGGCGAGTGCTTTGTGACTCCGCAAGACCGCTGCAATGACTTTAGTACTCGCGCATGGAGCTCCGCAGCGCCCGCACTACCCACGCCATCCACTCACAAGCGGACTTGGCCCGATACCATGATGCTTTTGGCCCTGGATCGAGGCTGAATGTCGCTCAACAACCATGCGGCGACAGGCAGTGCGGACGACCGTGACTTTGTGCGGATGCCAGCATTCCTGCTCCGAGCCTGCCGTCCCTGCCGCTGCCATTCGTGCGCTGATGCCTGCAAGAAACACTTCACTGACTATTTGCACCTTATGAAGAACTGCAAGACAAAAGAACGCAACATCAGAGAAGAGTGAGGTCCAGAAGATGACCATGCCGAGCACGATATAGACTCAAGATTCAGCCGCCCTGCACAAGGAAGATGGCGCCGCTACTGCCAGTTCACAAGAGCCTCACGTTCCGAAATATTCTCGAGCCAGGCCTCGGCCGGGGGCGAAGACGATTGCGATCGTTTCTCGCGACAGACATTGAAGTCCCCTCTACTCGAACCGTTCACTGAGTCACTAGACTGGAAGTGGGATTTTGCAAGTGGTGCCGTTGCGCCTGCTTGATCTTACGATCAGGCACATGAAGAGCAGATGGTTCAGAAGGACTGAGCCGCAGGACTTCTAGGAAGCCTGTGCGAAGATTTGACACCACGGGAAACATTCTCTATGCACGTACTATGCGAGCTTGTTGACTTTCCCCAGGCGCTGATGTAGCAAGCAAGCTGACTAACATATCTTTATGCTCAAGCCAAATGTACAACAAGTTTCCTTGATTTCCTAACTTCATGCAAATGATCAACCTGCCCACACAAGCTCATACCGCAGCAGCTGTATGATATCCACAGAGACGGCCAAGCCTGAACCCAGAGCAAGATAGAAATGAGGACCGGAGGCGGAGGTGTCCAAGAAGCCAAACAGACCACACTGCCAAGGCGACTATCAAGATGGAAGATCTTTGAGCTACGTCTTATACTCATCACACAATCCTCCACCCAACAAGCAGCTGGGGACAAGTCGACAGGCGCAATGAAACTAGCCCGTCGCTTTTCACCACATCCACGCGATCAGTGATCACCAATATCACAAAGATTCACATTTCCGCAGTCATTGCAACATATGTGTATTCAGGATATATGCACAACCGGTGCACAATTGTGAAAATACATCGCTTCGTCCACTCTCCGCAGCCATATCACTCATATATCCCCACTTCCAAGCCCTCTGCCCAGCTTCGCTACATATATAAACCGACGGGCGACGATCTGCAAAGGGAAAGCTCCACCTTAGCGACAAAATAGGCGATCTCTCATGCCTCACTTCGCCGCCCCGCCGCACAGCATCCAATGGGCACAATGCATTGCGAGGCATCGGAGCTATCTGCACACAAGCTCGAGATATCACGGCAAGTGAAATTGTTCCTGCATGAAATAAATATCCTTTCCTGTCACGATTTAAGATTCTGTGGACACTATGTCTCTCTGTCTAATGGTTAGGCCTCGGGCAAGTAGTGCCTCAGGCTTTAGGAATTCTTGGCAGAGGGTATTTCTTTATAGGCTTACGGTAGATAGAAACCTAAGCCTCTCTAACTACTTACTACGGGAGGTTTTACTTTGTCTTATTCTGCTATATCTAGATAGATTAGACCTCTAAAATTTAATAGGT